GCATTTTGATATTAGAACTGTAGGAAAGCTTGAAACTGGGGCCTCTGTCAGGCTCTACTTTTATACTTATAATACCAACTATTATTTAAAGAGGACCACAATGGTCGCAAAAAATGTAAAGGGCAAAAGGACGATAAAAAAGGAATTAATAAAGTGGTTTACAAGTTCTTGATCACAACACAAATAAATAGAGAAATCATTGTTATCATATATTTTTAGATTGTTCCAGGTAGTCGTAAATCTCAATATTTCGACTAACACTGGATAGCTCCCTGATTGATGAGCAGTCACGAAGACTAAAGACAGACATCTTCAGGGGAGAGATCAGACTATATTTAAGGGGGGAAAGGGAGTACAAGCAGACATTGGTGTTATAATTGAAAAAGTGGCCTAATAAAAGGGGGGATTTTTAGCCTGTTACTATGACAACTGTATAATTATTAAGCTGAAAGTCACTATTAACATGGTTGCTGTTTAAACCATTACTGTGATCTTACCATCATGATAAGGCCCTGATCAGGGAGCAGGATGAGAAATCTTACTCATGTACCAGAAGTTTACTTCAAATGAATCAACAAGTGGTAAATCACACCAACAAGATTGCGGAAAAGTAAGTGACAAAGAAGTGCAGTGAGGTGATTTACCCAAACGTTGGTAGCAGAGCATCTACGGGCAAAAGAAATAGTCTGAGAATCATCAAGGTAAGTTGACTTTATCCTCTGAGGTCTGTGAATGTTTGCCCTACTGTAATCATTGTTAGTCCAATATATGACATGTGCTATAGTCTGGACAAAGTTTAAACTAACCAACCAACGACCAGTCTGCAACAGTTACTTATGGGGGATCATGACGGCCATGTCTACAATAAAAAGAAGTCAGAAAACAACAATGACACACATCTTCTAGTAATCCTAGGTCTGTATTTACCACTGAGTCTCTCATCTAATTATGTTAATAAATGCCACATCACTTTTTGATGGAAATACAACAAGACAACCATTTGCTAGTTGGAAAAATATGAAAACTATGAACTCTATATGAGTTACCTCTCTAAGCAGAGTACTGTAGGCCTTCACTAAATGCAGACTGGCCTGTCAAAGCAGCCTGACATACTCAAGCCTGACGTATTTAATAAAAAGAGCATCGATATAAACAAAGTCTACACTTTAAAATCCAAAGATTTTTGGCTGAAAGGGCACAGATAAAGATCAAATATCTCCTGATGTTTTCATAGTGTTGACACAGTTCTCCCTCTGTAGATCAACTCTGTCGCCCATGACTGTAACCACACTCTGATCCTCACTGACTGAGCGTGTGATCTCATCTCGGTATGTCCCACCTCTCCGTATCAGCTGTTTTTGATCTGCAGAGTCTCTTCATGGGAACTGATTGTGGCTGTTCAATAGCATGCAGGTGATACAAGGAACAAATTTTGGAAGAGGTCAGTTCAGCTCCAAAAAAGCATGGAATCTGTTCAAATGAGGGCTGTTTTCTCACACTACAAACAAAAGCTGTTGAAAAGTTCAACATTCATGGTATGCAGTTATATTTGAAAGAAAAATAGCTTGTCATGAATTATATTTTAAAAAAACAACAACCGTGGGAACAACCTGTGTCTGCCTGTGTCTTTTAAAGGGTAAGAAATGTCTGCCATCTTTAAATAGAAGAAGCCTGCCTAAACCAGAACAGTGGAAAAACACACTCAAGAAGGACATGGGGCCCCTTATAACATTATATTAAGAAATCCCTTTAAAATGCCAACTGGTACAAACACTGGGTGGCTGGTGACAGCAAGAAGATGGTGGCTGACAGCTATGTAGCCAGAGCACTCTGTAAAATAAGCAACTGAAAGGTCACTGTCATTAAAACCCACTTAACTATAGTGAGACAATGCTCTATGATGCACAACATGCGACCACAGAGGGACTGACAAGGTGACACAATAAAGAGTTTTAGAAAAGTGTGTTTTTGTTAGAGATTAGAGATGTTCTCATCAAAGCCGAAGGAGCTGTTGTCAAGGCTTGTTTGTGAGAGAAGCCGGTCACCAGTATTAGCAAACACATACAGAAGAGAAACAAACAGTTTGTGGAATTCCACAAGTTAGTTTAATAGATTTACAATAAATAATCAATGTTAGATAAAGTGTAGACTAAGGATGTTCTGAGGAAACAATTTTCCTACTTGTTTGTAGAGAAATTTAAATTCTTAAAGGTCAACGAGTCTAAAAGTAGAGAACCAAGAGAAACAGTCAAAGTTGCGCACAATTTGGGTTACAGAGTGTGGCTGCAAAACATCTTAGACAAATCATGTTTCTGGCATTATAGGCCCTCAATAATTAAAACATTGATAACGCATTAATGTGTTTGAAAAATCCTAATTCTGGTGCCTACCTGCAAAGGTGACATTGTGAAATTTCTAGATAAAACTGGACCGCTGATGTAACATCTATGTGCTCTGGCTGCAAATAGAGTATTCATGGTAGTTTGATTGAGTGTCTCTCCATGTGTGTTTTTTCAATCAACTGCAACTTTTTGTTATTTCTAGTTTTCAGCAGCGGTATCCAAACTTCAGGTTATTTCAAAATTACCCCCACCCCTCAAAAAAAACAAATTAAAGTAAACCCCCTAAAGGCAGAGTGTAGACAGACCACCACTATAGAATGAAAATATAAGCAGCACCAGAGTAGGTAGCTTTCAGATTAAACATGTGGGATCCTTTCTTAACCCTTTCCAAAATAGCAACAACCACATTTTATGGACATCTTTCGGAGGTCTGGGAGCCACACCACTGGACAAACAGTGTCAAACAGTGTGGTTCAAAAGCTTAACCAACCTGTGAACATACTTTGATGCAAAATTATTATTTTTTTGCAAAGGTTCAAAGCCAGTTTTAAGCTAACAACAGTAAACTGCTAGCCCTATATGAACGGTAATTCAAGAAATTTTGAGCAACGTGAAATTGAAACCACTCAACAAAGCCCTACAAACCAAAATAGCTACACATTAAAGTCACAACACAAGTACCTGGAAACTATGGGAACAATCAAAAGAATGAAAATGAAAGGAGGAAGGGAGAAACACCAGGACACATTGACAGGATGTTCAGCTGAGTGTGGATAGTACTGCAGATTGGAGCAGACCGTAACAGACCAGTCCAAATGAATGTCCAGCATATGGCCTATCTCAGCGGGACATTCAGTCCTAAACCATAACGCCCCCCTAAAATATTTGATTTCCCCCTGGTCCTACTATACAACCCCACTCACACACTGTTGAGCTTACCATCCTCTCTGAAGGAGAAGAGGGAAAAATAGAAATCAGAGCTCAAAGGATTATTTGTGCGGCAGGCAAGTAAAGAGGACTATCAAAATCTGTTTCTCTAACCAAGAAGGCCTGTAACAACAGAACATCTCAAAGACAGATAATCCTCAGACGCAGCTCCGTGTAAATAACTGTCTCTTGCTCAACGCCTAGACTTGCCAAAACACAGAGTCACAGTGGTCGAGATGGCTGAGTAAGATAAACATTACATCTTTTCTTAGGCACAAGGGACATAATCTCATTATGGAAACATTGAATCAGAATGTAAGAGACATGACGGTCACTATTTTACAGGGTGTTAAGTACAAGTACTTGCAGTCAAATAACCTTTAATGTTTTCCATCATTTAAGAGCAAAAACATGTTGAGAGGCACCCACCATTTCCTTTCTTTCTCTTTTTTTTCTGCCCGGTAGAGATTCGCTGTCAGAGACAAATTTGAGAAAATAACAAAAAGATCATCAGTCTAACATTGTCCTGTGTCTGCAGTACAACTGTATCATCTTATTTGGTCATAGCATACAACTGTACTGTTCTGTAAGAGTGGCTTACAAAGTTAATAGCTGTGTTCAAAGAGAAACCTAAATATAAAAGTGATGGTTTAAGACTGTTTCTCTAACATTCCTGTTGTGTCACCCTGACAGTAAGAGAACTCAAAACTGAACTCTAGTGCCATCTAGTGCTGTGTGACTGTTTTACCAATGTTTTGTGAAGAATAATCAAACATGATGCATTATCAGCATATATTGTACTTTTATGACAAGATAAAAACTAAAATAAAAGCCATTAATGAAAAATATACCATCACTCAAATGAAGGTGGTGAAATTCAAATAACAGCTCCAGGAAAAAAAGAACTTGTTTTTGTGGTTCATACTTGTTACTTATCTGCTTCCAATAATTTGTCTACTAACATTTCAACTCCTTCGTTGTCATCCTCTTATATCCCTGTGACCTTCCTTTCTTTTAAAGCCAAGATATACCTTCCAGGGTTTTACAACCCTGTCTGAAGCCCCCTCTTTAGACTACACAAGACCACCTGTGGTCCATTGTTGAGGTCAAAAGTTGAGACGAAAACCAATCCCTCTGTGGGAAGCTGCCAGAAAATAGCAGGGAACTATTTTAGGACTACTCGATAATGAAGAGGCACGGGTGGAATCCTGGAGTCATGTTGTCTTTCATCATTAACGCACACACACCATAAACTCTCAGCATACACACTACCCAACAGCTGTAATAAATGCATCCAGCTGCAACTCCTCAGGTCAGTGTGTGATTATAGGTTCAAACACTTAGACATGTCAATGAAATTTGACTGATGCAAAATTTTACAGTCTTCCCAAGCCCCATAAGCAGCAACTGCATTTGACCGGCTGATGCAGTTTTACTCTCTAATTCATGACTTCAAAAAGTTACATTGCTCCTTGTGGGTCACTAGATTGTAACTTGCGATGCACAAAGTCTGACAACAGAAACGCTTCTCATTGTGAATTCCATTAACAAAGGCATATCAATAGACAAACAACATATGGTAACAAGGTATTAGGCATTCTTAGGGGGTCCATTTACGTCTAGAGTGTAAAAATAAACCTAAACAGATTTGAGGTAGTCATGGTCACACATAGCAGCATGCTGACTGAGAGAGAGGCTGGGTCAACTGTCTTGAATTCCCCCTCCTCTCTCAGTTCATCTGCAAACACTGCTCCCGCTCACTCTTTGCCGCTCACTCTGTTTTGTCTCTGTACCACAACTCATTTCTACCTGATTCGTGCACAGGATAAAAGGGGCACAAGACACCAGCACTGAAGTAAGTACATCTTTCTTTCATGAAGGTAAATTGTGTTGTTTAAAGTGAATAGGAATTCTCTTGAGAATATGAAAAACTTTTATGCTGATTTCCAGAATCATTGGTTATAATATTGTAAACTAATTTATGAGTTAAAAAAACAAGCTTCAAAGATGCATTTTTTTCTTATTTTTGTGAAATTAAAAAGTAAATAATCAAAATGTGTGGCTGACTGAAGTGAGTGCTTTGTGTGGTGGAGGTCTAAAGGAATGTGACTCGTGTCCACTCCTGCTCTGCTGCAGGACAGCTGGTGACCGTCATGTCCTCTCTTTAGCTTTTGTCAGCCATGTAGAGATTTACACAGTTTAACCCAAAGCCCCTATTGAAACTGGTCTCAAAATAGAGCCAAACATCGAATAGAGTTGTTGGTGCTGTAGTTTTTAGTACTCTAAATTATTTGTATCATCTGACCTACTTCCAAAGAAACCCATGTGGCTTGACTTGAATTCGCTCAAGTAGGTTTGGGCATGGAAGATACAGCCGCTAAATAAATGTCACAGTACCTATCTACATAACAAATTTCTGTTGATGACAGTATTGGGTCAATCTGATAAATTTACTCCACTGGGACTCAACCCCCAGTCTTGGCAAACACCTCAAAGGGTGGAATTACAGTTTACTTATTCACAAGGGATGGGTCCTGCTGCCTATCCATCGACACAATGACAAGTTATGATTATTTGCTCTCGAGAGTAATCTGTTCAATGCCACCTGTTGGAGCTCCAGACGAAGGCTGTTTGCATGTGTTTATAGTACCAGTGCTGTGGGGACCTTGTGCACACATGAGTAGGCTCGTTTAAGGCGTGTGTCTCAGTATTGCCAAGCACTCTGTTGGTCATTGGGGCATGGAGCCAAGCAGAACAGCTGCTGGGGCTATATCCTTTGCTAAACTGTCCCCTCGCCCAGCTTTTGCTGGCATATACTGCTGTCACCAGCATAACTTAAACAGATGTCTGGCTAAAGTACCGATTCACTTACTCTGTTGACCTGTTCAATGCAAGAAAGGTCTTGTGTTTGTTTAACATGTCTGCAACTGCGTGATATGCGTCAACTATCCTGTCTTACATTTTCATCTGCTTTTGAAGGAATGATGCAGTCATAAAGAAGATTTTTTAATCTAAAGAGCTGATAAGAGTTTCATCAGTTTAACCAATGGAGGACATGGATGATAATGTTTCACTGACTGGGTTCGAGCCTCTCTTCATAAAAGAAGAGGATGCAGATCCAGACAGAAACCTCATGGAACAAAGTGAGCGAAACAAAGCGCAATCTGGATTCAGCCTCATGAAAACACAACTGAATCAGTCAGCCATGATGAAGCCATACCTACAGGAGATGGATGAATTACTGAGAAGCTGTGAAGAGCTAACAGGTCTTCATTTCAGCTCCAACTTCTCAACAAGTTACGATGAAACAAATCTGACTACAACAACCAAATGCCACGACAAAGACAAAGTCACAGTAGAGAGCTACCAAGAAACACATACTTCTCCCCATGCCTATCTTTCCACAAGTTATATTGACACAGAAATGGATGGAGCTGGAGCAGAAGACCAGCCAGCACAAGGTCAGACACAAGACTTGGACCGGATCATCAACAGGTGTGGAGTGACCAGAGACATTACCCGCCAGAAGGGAATGCCTCTCACTTCAGTGGGTAACAAACTCAGTGACTCCATGGTTGAGTATGAGGGCCAGCTTGTGGGGATGTTGGCCATGCTTGAGAGCTGCATGGAAGAGACTGGGATGGACTTTGAGCCCCAAGACTGGGCTACGGATACAAGCCAAGAATATGTGCACATCAGTACAAATGCTAATCTTCGTAGGGGTACTACGCTGGTTCCCATTAGGGAAGAGAGGTTAACTAAGTTGGACTCCCATATGCTGGAATTGGAATCCTGCGCTGGTCCATATGATAGGGGGGATGAAGTTTCCGAAGAAATTAGACATGACATGACGGCCAGCTCAGGACCGAATGAAAGCCAGCGGCGCCCTGTGCTTAGATTTGACAACACAGGCGACTTCTTAATGGAAACACTTCAAGGGAATTCAGAAACAGTACAAGAGGCTCCTGATGGTCAGTTCAGGTTTTCAGGGCCACAAAATTATCCAGTGAACTGCGAGGAAACAACAGCAGGGTGTATGTCTACGATTGAAGGCACTTACACAATGGGAGAAATGGCAGGGACTGAAGTAAACTGTGAATCTTCAGCTGAGGACACACAGGAGCACAGAATGGACTCCATTAATGTGGGATCCGGCATGAATGAACTTCACGCTCTAGGGTCTCAGATGGAAGAGTACATACAGGAGGTGCAGGAACTAGTGAAGAGGAGGAAGGAACTGCTGGCTGAGGTGCTCAAGCTGAGAGGGGATAAAAGCAGTGAGGAGGAAGAGGTGAGCATTGAAGAGGAGACAGAGGAGCAGATTGGTCATAAAGTGACAGAGTTGATGAAGGTACTGAAGAAGGAAGAGGAGGGGAGAAGGCAGGAGAGAAAGAAAGAGATCCAGTGCCTAAAGAATGAGAGAACGGAGGAAGAGAAAAGAATATGGAAGGTAAACTTGGAGAGGCAAGAGCTTCATGGGGAGCTCAGAAAGCTGAAGAGGAGGTTGTTCACCATTGCCAGAGACTGTGCTCTCAACCAGCTGGCCCTCAACACCCAGCACCGTGAGGTGGAGCTGCTGAAGAGAGAAGAGGTAAGAAACTCCCCATGACCCTGTACATGTCTCCAGGTTCCAAGGGAAATCTCTTCATAAAAATATCTTTTTTATTTTCCATCAAGGAGAAGATGAAGTCGCTAGAGCACCAGCTGACAGAAGAGCGCACCAAACTTAAAGCCGCCCAACAGCAGCAGCTCTTAGACCTACAAGCAGAGATTCACGCCCAGAGCTCCAATCAGCCCTTAAACACCACAGATGAGATGACCCAGTGCAAGAGGCACTCCTGTGGGGACATTCAGCAGTATCTGCAGGGTGGGCTGAAAGCACTGGAGGACAGGTATGGTCTCCATTTGGTACGGTCAAAAAAATCTGTTTTATTTTTTCACACTACTAACATGTTCTGTTTTACTCTTAATGTGGTTGTCTTCACCAGATATGAACCCATTTTGCTTGGATTGCTCAAGAGGAGAGAGGTAACTGCTGAAGCGCTGATGAAAGCCAAAGAACAGGCCCAGGAACTAAAAACCCAGCTGAGACCCCTGAAGGAGGAGATTCAAAAACTGAATCTCCAGAGGACTTGTTTGGAGGAAAAAATCAAATTATTGTACATGCAGAGGAGAGAAGACGTGGGGCAGTATAAGGTAAACAGAATGGCATGTTGTTTTGTTTGTGTTAACCAGAAAAACAAATTTGAGGGCAAAGGCAGGAGATTGTGATGCTTATGACATTGACAAACTGCTCAAGTGTGTGGAAAGTAAAAAGAAAGGTTGTGTATTTCTTACAGGAGAAAGTTTGCACCCTGGAGGAGTGCAGCAGAGAGCTAGCGCATGAGTTAAGGATTCAGAAGAGGAAAACACAAGAAATAGAGGAGCTGAGAGACAGTCTAACCAAACGCTTACTCCTTTACAGGTGAGATTTGTTTCTGCTCCCACATTTAAAATGATCTCTGAATGTTTTGTTTTTTTTAAATAAAAAAGCTTTTTCTTCCCTACAGGGCAGTCACTAAGGACCACAAGTGTGATGATGAGCAGAAAAACAGTGATTGAATGTTTTATTTAAAGATTTCTGAGACAATCATGTTATTTTAACACAACATTGTGAACTCCTAGGTTCCATTTATGCACTTTACATATATAACGAGACATGCAGTTGAAAAAATGTAGATGTTTTTTTTAGCCACGAGATTAAGAATATTGTTGCCTGTACGGTTTTTGTCATGAATAAAGACTTTTGTTTGCTGTAATCCGAGTGCAACTGATGAGTTAATGTCCCTGCATGAAGTGCGAAGAGGGTTCTGTACTTATAAGGGCAACATGGCTGAAGAACTAAACAATGGGGGAAGAGTTATAAATTGAGAACAAGTTCTGAGGATAGGAAAGCACCAGGACGTCATGCCAGATACACAAAGCTCTTAGCAAAGTGCCTTCAGCATTACCAACTCCTTCACTTATAAAGATTACTTTGTGTTGTTAAAAAATATTTCCAGGCTGAGCAAGACTCTGATACTGTTCTTCAAATATTTAAGTAGGGTATTCAAACCGAGAAATGTCAACAACAGTACATCAAGTGGACCAATGGACTAATGAAACATTTTTATTAAGAATGCACTCACTGTACAAATATTGAACATATAAAAAGTTCAACCACTAATCTATATCACAAAAACAGATAAATGATTAAGAACTAGGAGCGGGGAGGTGGGACCATTGATGGACATTTCATACAGAGAGTTATTCCAAAATTGGAACTGTCTACAAACAGATGGTGAGGAAAATCACTTGTTGAAAAATTTAGGTAATGACCACACTGCCGCGAGGGAAACATGAGACACTTGTCTGACGGTGAGCTTGCCTGTGTTCGACCTTTATCGTTGCTACAAAAGCTGTTACTGAACTAGTCAATGACAGTTTCCTATTGTAGCTTCACTTCACTTTAGTTTTTCTGCTACATTTCTGACATGCCCAGAGGGAACATGACAAACTCTTTACTGACAGGGTAATTAGAAAAAACCTACTGTTGTGTGATCAAAACCCTAGGTTTTATAAATAAGTTTTATTTGTCACTGAAAAAGCCTCTTGAACATTTCAGTGTAAAAGATCAAATCTGTGAATACAATTTTTTAATGCACTGTGAAAGACTTGAGCTTCATCAGGCATTAAATTGCTGTTAAGAGTTTTTCATATCGACTGTCCCAAAGGGGAACAGGGCTTTGTGATTATTATCTGTCTTGTATTTACAGTGATTTACGACAAAGTGTCCCACCAGTAAAAGAAAGAAAGATGGGAAGAAGAAGTAAATAGCTGCACGGAACTACTGAGGTGGCAGTTTGGCAGTTCATGATGAGGTTGTGGTTAAGTTACACGGTCGACAGACTTGTTATGCGGTGGCTTCAGGGTCTGTCGTACCCTCTGGATCTTCATCATTGTAGATGTTCTCCGCCTGAAAAACAGAACGGCAGTTAGCCTTTCAGCCGCATACTGTCGGAGGGTGTTCACATTCACAAGTTGAAGGAATATTTTTTAGATAAACTATAAAAATACAAACTGGCAGAATTTCCAAGAGCTGGATCTTCCCAAGAGGAAACTACTTATTTCACTGTTCAATGTTCAACTTTAAGTCTGTTAACTTTAAGGGAAATAATACATGGAGATATCAGACAACACAACAAATACAGGGTTGAAGTCAAATGTGCTTTTATGTCTTACCATTTGCCAGACTTGCATGATGTTGTCCTCTGACACGGAGCAGATGACCCAGGGCTCGTTGGGGTTCCAAGAAAAGTCTGAGATCTTGGCTGTATGGCCTCCATGGATGAACTAATAAGCAGTAAAGAGGAACAGTTTGACTTTCTTTCTGATGCAAGGTTTATGAGTACAAAACTCTAGAGATTCAGCTGGCTTTGAGGACTCACCAGCAGCTCAGGTGGGCCATCTTCTGCATCTTCTGGTGACTGCTCCTCTCCAATTTTGCTGTGTAAATAGGTTATTTTAAGATGCAGGGCAGATCATGCTGCTGATATACTGACATTATCAATCATGTACAATACAAATAAACTGCTCATAAACATGCTCCCAGCAGGGTGGCCCAATAGGTTGTGCTAAGATGTTGGCTTTTGCCAGGATTTCTACACAGTTGGAATTTCTATACTTTTCCATACCCTACTATTTAGACTTATTTTTGGAGATACCTACTTTTCTATTTTAGCTGTGGTAACAGTCTGGAAGCAGATATTTTTCCATACTTTATTTTTCAGACCTGGAAATTGATCACATTTATTTCCATACTTTTCGTAGGAACCCTGTTTTGCTCTCCTTGGAGAGCTCCGGGTGTTTGTCACTGAGGTGCCTGGCAAGGTTTTTAAAAGTTTCTTCCCTCTTATGGCACCATTTTGGAGCATCTCTTGCACACAGGTTTTTATAAGTCAGTGGGTTTGCCATCAAAAATTAGTGTTGTGGTTTGCTTGAGCTGAAGACTTGCTTGTCCTAATTATGATTAAAGGAAGTAGGCTGCTGCAATTTTAGCTGAATGAGACAGCTCCTTTCAGTAGACAAAGGAACCAAGGAGTCAAGATTGTACCTGAGGTCCCAGACGTTGAGGCGGCGGTCTGTTCCGCTGGATGCCAGGATGGTCTCATTATGGGGTGACCACTGAACCTGTCACAACAAATCATAGGGCTCAAAATAGGTTACACTGATGACTAACCTGTGATCTAAAAGTTTACAAGTGAATGTACAGTATGTGCTTTTGTTTTTAGACATTTACACAGGTCTGGGCAAGAGCATAGTGAAAACACTTCACCTAAAAATAATACATTTACATCGCTGTGACCTATTTACTTTAATTGTTTATACTTTACAGTTTTAAATAAAAGATACAGATCTTTAGAGATAAGAATCTTACCTGGAAGATCTCATCCTTGTGTGACTCAAAGGAGTGCAGCTTCAGTTTCAAGTTTCTCAAGTCCCAAAGAGCCACAGTCTGCAACCACGAGAAAACTATCAAATATATCTGCATCTTTTTAATAATTGCACTCACATAACTGCGATGTTATCTATATATACAGTGCAATATGATCTATACTGTGAGCCTATACTTTAGGGATTATAATTTGCATAACTACCTGTTCACCATGCATTATCCCCTACATATCACATATATACTTCATGCTTTAAAGTTATATAACTGATGTTAATGATATTGTGGTGAGTTACATACCTTGTCTGCTGAGCCAGAGGCAAGAATGAACTCACTGTAGGGATTAAATGACAAACAGTTGACCTCTGCAGTGTGAGCATCGACTGCATGGCTGGGTTTGGAGGTGTTGTTTGAGCGAGTGTCCCAGCTAGGAATGAAAATGTCAGGCAGAATAATTAGATCTGTGCAGACTTACACCTTTTCAAATGTCCATATCTATTTTCCTGTGAGGTTTGACTCATTATCAAGTGTCTTACATCATGAGCTTTTGGTCATCTGCAACAGATCCAAAGAGTGACTCGTGAAGCAAGTGCCAGGACACATCCTCTACTACAGCAGTGTGACCAGTGAAGATGGTCTTTGCATCCACCACCTTCCCCTCTTTTGGCACAGCGCTGATGTCCCACAGACAGACTGTCTACAGAGCAGAATAGAGGAGATAAAACAAACACGATTAACCACAACTCAACGTCGTAAAACTGAGAATACATCTCATGGATAGGAACGTGCATGCCACTTAATTGAAGTCATATTTGGTAATTTGAGTAAAACTTCAACTCGGTTTTCCTCTTACATGGTCATCTGAAGCACTAAGCAGAGAACCAGAAAGATTTGGGTTCCAGGACAGACCGTAACCTTCTTTCTGGTGGCCTCTGAGACGCAGATCCGGGCGACACTCTCCAGAAGGATCTATCGACAACAAAAGTTATGTAGTCTGTGTCTCTCACTTCAATAACAGAAGGTACAGAAACTTTGTCAAAGGGTTCTACTTAACTCTTGACTGTCGAAACATGCTGATCGAAACATGCAACCTTGAGAAGTGTCTTTGTCTACATGAGATCTTTTACCTGGCTTAGAGGGGTGCTTGGTGTAGTCAAAGACCAGCACATCTGAAGTGGGGGTTTTGGTGGCAATGATGCAGGGGTTTTGAGGCATGTAGCGGGCTCGATTAACTTCTCCTTCATGGCTGATCTTGATTTCTATCTCAATTTTGCCGCTCACAGATCCAAAGCCTCCAAACTCTGCTGAAAAATACAAAATAGTTGTTACAGTATTGAGCAAAACATGAACACAGCATATTTTTCAGCATTAGGCAATTAACTGGGAAACAGCAGCCCTGATTTGTAAAAAGTAGTACAAGAGTGTGGCTGGTTAAGGTCTTCTTTGAGCTTACAACAGCAATCTAGAACAAATGAATCTAAATGCTACTGATTTGTTTGTTATATTGACAGTTCTACAAAACTTAAGTGTTAAAATATTTCATCTTACACCTTTGAATCAACCAAACAGTCATTCTCACTGGGAGTGTTAACTACAAAGAGCTCTAACCTCCTTTTTCACTGTCATAATGTGAGGCATCAAACTGGGCGTCATCATTCGGCAGCTGGACGCTGGCGATGACCAGGTGATTCTGTTCATCAGATGTATGTGTGCCCAACACAAGCCGGTGAACGCTGTAATCCTTCCCCTCAGGCCTGGTACAAGGAGAAAAAAAAAGGTTGATTATAATCATTAATGCTATTTACAATTGTCGACAAGGTGAAAGCTGATTTCAGCAATGACTTGGCAAAAGTACATCAGCCAGAGGGGACATTATAAACCTCTGTGCAATCTAATGCAACCGGTTAGAACAGCTCTATTGGAAATTCTTCTCACACAAAATGTCTATCTTTAATCTTTTGTCAATATGGTCAGAAGGTAATAGCTATTCTTGGAAAGAATTTTGGAGGTTGTCGTGGGTGTAGAATCTGAGTGCATTACATTGTGCAGTGTGTCTGATATTTTGCTCCACTGATATTTTTAAAGGGATATGCCGACATAAAATCAAGTTGAATCAACTTAGCGTCTCAAAATGATCATAAATGTTCTTCCTTGAGCTGCGTCACCCCACAGCAGTCCCTAATGGACTGGCCTGAGGTCTTGCTACAAACAAGCGGCTGCTGGAAGAGAGGAGGTGAGTTGTGTTTAGTCTCTTTGCTAAAAAAATTAGGCAAAGTTAAAAAGATGTTCGGTGGTTTGTGCTATGGCTGGGACCCTATTTGTACTGTTGATTAAGTTAGGTGCTGTTCTGGCGTTTTTGTTGAGGTTTGTTTATGGCTCCTCAGACCGCTGTGTATTGCTATCCTGCGGTCATGACTAAAGTTGGTATAACTAGAGAAGCAAGCGGTCGGCAACATTCATCTCTGAAGGGGGTGTCTAACTTGGTGTTGCGGTGTTTGACCATAAATTAATTTTAAGAAGGACTATCCCTTTAAGCCGGTTGATGCATATAGATGTACCTGGAGACGTCAGGCAGCCACTGGGCAGTGAGGCTGGGCCACTCCAAAGCGTGGGTCATAACCAGGTCATACAGGAAAGGAGTGTTTTTCTTCCAGATCTTGTATTCCTCATTTATAACTCTCTCCTCAACTGCATCATCAAATGCGCCTGCTGAAAGGAGACAGGGAGTAATAACAGGAAAGGTGAACATAACAAAGTCAGTTTTCTTGCCAACAGGTGTCAGCTAAACATTAAGGAGAATGCAGTGTACCAATATGAACGGAGGATTACTGACAGACGTTGAACAACCAACTGTTTTTAAACAGTCCTTATGGACAAAAGTCATCTTGATTGACCACAGCCTAGATTGTGTTTGGTATGTAGCAGTAAGTTAGCATCTTCCCTGGTTTATCTACCCGTTAGCTTGACATTACCTGGTTACTATTATCACTGTGATGCTATCACAATGGTCCTGCTAATGTCAGCGTGCTCCTCACACAGCTAGCTCGCACACACTTGATATCAGACAACGTAAAGTGGGGTCAAACAAAGCGGAAACAACAACTGCAACGTAAAACTGAATTTTTAACAGTTTAGACCAAAACACAGGTACCCAGCTATTGTTATAACTGCTGAAGGCCTACTCTGAAGCTACGACTGCTAGCAGCTACATCAAACTAGCCATTGTGCGAGCTAATCTAAAAGCCGTCAGAAAACAGCGCTGTTTGGATCCTGAAATAAGTTCAAGTCGTCGCTTTACCTTCCTTGTCGGCCATTGCGGGCAAATGTCGGAGAACCTTAATTCAGGTTATTTTCTGGTATACTCCGTTTGGGACACCGAGCGCCGCAGAGCAGACACAGCAGAGTAGCGGCAGCAGCCTGGAAACCACGTAGGTGCATTCGCGCGCTCTGTCCAAGCGACGGGGGTGTCCATCTACCAATCAGAGTGTAGCAATTGTTGGCCGACAGGGGGCAGCAGGAAGCTATGGTGCTGCTATGGTGGAGACAAGTGCGCAGTGCAGGTCCTGCGCTACACTGTAACCCGTGTCCAAAAAGTGAGAGACAGAAACTTTGAAGGGTTACTTTACATGGGGCAACAAGTACATTTATAAAAGGAGGTTTTTACCAGTTTTTACTCTCATTTAGTAAGAAAAAGGGACAACATTCTCTTGCTTGTTTGCCATTGGTCAGCTGTCAACTTCCGTACCTGAGTAAGATGTTACATGATTGGACACTGAAAATAAACTGGTCGTTCATTGGTTGAGAGTGAACCGGTAAATTCAGTCCCGCGTTATTTACTTCCTCTACCAGGACAGTAACATGCAGACATGTCCTCTAGTATGTCTTCCATTACTCTGAATATTCTCCAGTCTTTGTATCAGCACACAGAGTCACTAGAAGCGTTTGCACAGAGTATCGCAGTAAGAGAGGGAGAGAAGATTGTGCTGGTTCAACCGTCTGACACAAACCGGTTCAAGACTTTCGTCAAAGGTGTTTTTATATGTTTTGATAAGAAGCCACAGGATGGATGGAGCTGCAACGAAGTAAGTCAGCCCACGATTTAGAAGCTTTGGGAAGACCAGAGCCAAGACGAAATATATTGGCATTTACTCGCACTTTGATTTGCATTAAAAGAAAAAAAATACATTAGAGTTACAGTGCAGCGGATAACTGAAAATAGTGTGTCATAAAGGTGTAAACTATGTGAACATTCTCCTGAAATGTGCAAATATCTGCTGCACTAGTAAGCAAAAAGCTCATCAATCTACTTAAAAGCCTTTAATTTGAGATCCAGGGCATTTAACTACACTAACTGCATGAAGTTCAAGTAAAATCTGCAATTAATCCCCTCATGAAAGTACAGTGTAACTGAAATGACGGGCACCAACCCTGTATTGATGTGGTATGTTTTATGCTTTCCACAGACTTGTACTTTTCCTGAACTCTTGGCTGTTGTTCTCAACACCATAATAAGAAAAAATAAGAAGAATGTCTTGGCACATGGATACAATCTCCTGCCCTTCACCCAGGAACAGCGGAATGCAGACTTATTTAAGTTACAAGGAGAGATCACCCAAAGTGCTGCCTACATCCGTGGAAGCTGCCTGTGGAAACAAGTCGCCAGTCGCCTCGGCACAGACATCACACGGTACCTGTTGGAGGGTTGTGCTGTGTTTGTAGCTGTCCCTCCCTCATGTCTTTTCCAGGTGTGTGGGGTTCCCATCTATGACAGAGTACAAGTGGCTTCTGCCAGCACTGGTTTTTATCTTCAGCCTCGATCCAATGGCAAAAAGAGAGCAAGACCGGACAAATCAGTCTGGAACAGAAAAAGAAAGAGGGAAACTGATCAGACAGATGAGACAGACATGGAGACGCTTCCTGGAAAGAAGAGACGAGTGGGACAAGAAGGACCCACAAATGAAATCCAGCAGGATTGCTTTGAAACATTGGAGAAAGAACAGCCATTGTCGGCGAAATCAGCGCCATCTTTGAAGCCTTTGGAAAATAGTGCCGCTGGTTTAGAACAGCCTGGTGGAATGCAGACAAGAACAAATCCCTCAAAAGGAGAACCCACTTGGAGGTCAGGGACTTACCCCCCTCTGCCTCCCTCTCAATGTTTTATCTACTCACATGGATTGCTGTATGGGGGTAAGGGAATGGGTGGCTTGCTACTGAACAGGAAAAGGAACAGTGCTGATGGACGCTCAAAGCTAAACGGGCAACATTTACTGAGAATAATCTTTTTTGAGGGACTGCCTTATCTAAAAGGGGTGGAGAAGAAGCCGAAGAAACTCCCCCGTCGCTATTTTAACATGGTCCCCCTATTCGACCAACTGATGCATCAACATAAAAAATGTCCCTACCGCATCATTCTGCAGAGGTTTTGCCCACTGATGAAAGTGCGCAACACAGGAGAAGAGGAATTACACCCCCTCTTGGCTCAACACTGTGCACCTCATCGGGTCTACCTGTTTGTTAAGAAGTGCCTCTCCACTGTGATCCCCCAAGAACTGTGGGGCTCTGAGCACAACCGACTGAACTTCTTTGCCAGAGTCAGGGGCTTTCTGCAAAATGGCAAATATGAGAGGCTCTCAGTGGCTGAGCTGATGTGGAAGATGAAGGTGAATGACTGTGACTGGTTGAAGATCAGTAAAACAGGTAAGATTGTCTATAAGCTGATTTTCCTTGGACATGTTTTTTTCATGACTTGAACAACACTTTTACTTGTAGGCAAGATCCCACCCTGTGAGCTCTCATACCGGACACAGATCCTGGGTCAGTTCCTTGCTTGGCTTCTGGATGGCTATGTTGTCAGCCTGGTTCGAGCCTGTTTCTATGCCACTGAGAGTGTGGGTCAGAAAAACCTCATCAGGTTCTACAGATGTGAAGTCTGGGAAAAACTACAAGACTTGGGCTTGAAGTACACATACTCACACACAACTTGTTTAAGGCCTTATGTGTCAACAATCATGATCACATAAGCTCACAAATTGTTTTTGTGATGTAGAGATCACCTCTCCAAGGGCCAGATGGAGGAGTTGACTGCGGCCCAGGTGGCAGCCCTCCCCAAATCCACCATCATCACCAGTCTGCGCTTTATTCCCAAGACAAATGGCATGAGGCCTATCACACGGTTAAAGGGAGCAGATGTCAATCTAGGGGTACATTTGACGCTGATCTCTAAGTTCTTCTGTACAAGTTCAAGACACTGTGTTATTGCATTTTTTTTCCTGAGTGGTAAAATTCACTGAATAAAAAAACTTAAAAAACCTAACCTAGACTGTTAGCTGACATACAAACAATAATGTGTAGCAACAGAGTCAGAAATAAAACTTTAAATGCAGAATTTTTTAATAGTTTTTCTAAAATAACAAAGCTTTTTACTTTCAGCACTTGATGTGTTGTCTTGTCTTCTATTTTATTAAAGACGTTAAATAATTTGCTAACCACATTTTCACTGCTTCCCAATTGTTTTGAAAATGCTGTTGTAGATTAATTTTATATTACAGAAACGAGGAATTATTTGTGTCTTCATGTAAAATTAAAATGATTTTCACCCAAGACATTTTATGACCATGTACACGTTTTAAAGGTCCGTTCTCTCTCACCCTCACAGCGGAACAAGGGCTGTGCGCAGGACTTGTTACACGTGCTGAAGGCCTGTGTGAGGTCCCGTCCATCCCTCCTGGGCTCCACAGTTTGGGGGGAGGCAGATATCCACAAGAAGTTGGTCTCTATAGCTCCAGCCCAGAAGGAAAAGCTACAGGACCTCTACTTTGTCAAAGTAGATTTTTTTATTACTTGTTTTGATATGTTTTTGTCAGCATTAATCATGTAAACAGAGGTTATCAAAAGGCTTCACTTTAAAATGAGACTTTTTTTTTGTCATTTTTTATATCTAAGGTGGATGTAAAAGGAGCTTTTGAGAGTCTGCCTCATCACAAGCTCATTGAGGTGGTTGGTAAAGCTTTTTCCCCTTTCCAAGATAAATCTGTCATCAACCGCCACTATGCCAAGGTCTGGTCTAATTCCTACGAGGGCCTGAAAAAGTCCTTCATCAAACAGGTACCGTCACTCACACTGAATGTGTGCATTAAAACAATAAAAAAACAGCATTAATTTGTCAAGTGTGTTAATACAGGCAGATATCATGGAGGGTGACATACGACCCAGCAACATGAAAGGCTTTGTGATGTCAATGCAAGAAAGCGGCAAACTTCAGCACAGCATTCTGGTGGAGCAGGTGAGAGTGGCCTGCTCAGAGCTCTCCCTTAGATGAGGAGTCCTATTTCTTCTTCTTATACCTGACCATGTCATTTTTTGGTCTTACCTTCAGCGTTTCAGCTTAGATCTGCGTGTCGGGGAGAAGACGCCGCTCCTCACTCAAATGCTAACCGGCAGTGTTGTTAAGTTTGGGGAAAAGTAAGCATTATTCACACTATCGGATAAGTAATGTTCTTCTTACTATTAATATACTGTCAAATGAGTAGTTTGTCCAATTTTGCTAAAGCTTTGAGTGTTATGTTTTTAGACAACATCATAATAAGAATTCATATATGTGTGTGTTTTCAGAACATATCGACAATGCAGAGGGATCCCTCAGGGCTCTGCTGTGTCCCATATGCTCTGCTGTCTGATCTATGGTCATTTGGAGAACACTCTGTTTAAAGGCATCCCAAAAGAGGAAGGGTAAAGAAGACATCCATGTATTTTACTCAACTTTCATATGATATGTAGTAACATGTCTGCAGCAGCAGGGGGCAGTATTTCATATGAAAGCATTTCTCTGTTTACTGTTTGAGGTATGTACCTGTCTTTGTTTCCTGTAGATGCTTAATGAGACAAGTGGATGACTTTCTCCTGATAACTCCAGACATTAAAGAAGCTCTAAACTTTCTCAGGTATGACACACGGCAAGTTTTTAATCACCTTACAAGAATACTACAAGAGCTCTCAACCAACTTGTATGAGTGTTTGATAGCTTTTGAAAATCCATTGTCCACATCATCAGGAACTAGACTTATGAAAAGAAAAACAGAGGTGCATCATAACTAAAGAAAAGTTATCCCAGAGATTCAGGTTCCTGTGAGAAGTCTTGAGCTGGTCATGAAAGAAAGAGAAATTCAATCTAATGCTTGTGTTTGAGCCACAAGAGAAATTAGACCATGAGAGAGTGGACTGATTTTTTTTCTGTTAGGTGAAAAGCAGTGAAAGCCAAAATGTCCTGCTTTGTCTGTAGGGGTCACCAAAACTGACACAACTTTCAAGTTCCTTCCTGGAGCAGCAATAAGCAGTGAAACCATAATCACCAGATGCAGTGAAGTTAAAATAAACTTTGACTTATGTGAGCCTCCGCACAGTCAGTTATACAAATCTAGCTTAAAAGTGATATGACTTAATCCACTGAAGAAGAATAAATGCTGCATGTAAATGAAGAGAAAGAGAACAGCTTTAGAGAACTGAAAAAGCAGTTTAGGATGAACTGTTTCTTAAAGCTCCTGTAAGTAACTTAATGTCAGTTTTGGGGCACCCTGTTGACAAAGCAGGCTTTGCTTCACTTGTTCTCTACATGCTTAAATAGTGTTGTCTCTGACACAAAAAAGTCACACTGTTGTGATTTTTGACAGTCTAATTTATCCTTTGTCTTTTTAAATGTGAACATTATAAAAACCGAGCTGGTTCTCAGCCACTCAGCTGACACCTACCCTCTTGCACTGGTTTCAGGGATCAAAAATTGTAGCATTAAACTCATTAATCTTGTTGCTGATTGTCCTATTTGATTGATCCTCACAGTAGCTGTAAATGCGGTACATTGAGGTAAAGCACATCAAGCTGACTAATGTGATATGATACCCAGAACTCTAGATGTGACGTTTACGGACGAGTCAGTCGTTTGAACAGCTCTTTTAAAGAGCTGTTCTCATAAAATTGCCCACGCTGCCTTCATGTGTCACTTGTGTGCCCCAAACACCAGGTAGGGTAGTAAAACTTGCGTTCACATTTTTATCATGTCTGAATTTTTATCAGTTATCTGTAGCCTTTTGAACCGCTCTTTGACGGGAACTGCTCCTCAAGATCTGGCTCTTTTCAAAGAACCATAAATCCTATCTCTACTAAGACAAAAAAAAACAGCTTTGGTGTATTGTTTTACACAATACACAACACTTAAATCAAGAATGCTAACTATATCCCTTTGAAACTAAAACCTAACACTAATCTGTCTCTGTTTCTCTGCCATATCCACTGGTTTGGGAAATGACAAACCTTTACAGAAACGCCGAATGTGAAGCTGAATCTTAAATTTCTTTTCCACTGCAGGAAACTTCAGGAAAAAACTTCCTGGCAAATATAAAGTAGTTGCAATAAACAAGCTATGAAGAGATAAAGAATGTACTCTGTGTCAAGATGTACAATTTTGCTAGATGACATAACTAGATTAAAGATTCACCTGGGAAAATTACCAAAAAAGAATCTGACTAACTTCCTGTTATGGGGCTGGATCTCAGCCAAAAGGAAACTGGGCAGGATTAACGAAAGATGTGCTTGGACTCATTCTCACGAAAGCTAAATATCTAAAAAGGAAAAACACCATCCCTGTCAAAAGCACCACTGTCACTGCATGGCTGGTGTAAAACCTGCTATATAATTTGATAAAGTGATATGACTTGTAACTTAAAATATTGATTACTAGCATTATTTAACTTTAGCAGTGTATCAAAACGGAAAATAAAAGAAAAATAATAGAATTACAAGTTGACTCTGTTGTGATTCGGTTGTTCGTTGGCTGGGGCTTGAGGTCTTTGTTGTCATTCTCAAAAAGATATTCGCTGTAACTCACAGTTTTTGCTCTGTGGCCCTCTTGCTGTCAAAGTTCACGTCCCTGTATTACCACTCATGGTGCTGTATTCTTTATCAGTGGACAAAATGTGGAGAGACTGATTTAACACGTCATCAACATCAGCATGGTTTTTGATTCAGCTGTGGATTCTATCTGTTTGTCTGTTACTCAGGGTCATGCTGGCTGGGGTACCACAGTATGGCCTGGTGGTCAACCCACAGAAAGTGGCGGTCAACTTCCATTTGCCAGAATGCGGCGGCCCTTTTGCTGACATCAACGTACTGCCGTTACGCTGTCTTTTTCCCTGGTGTGGACTGCTGATCGACACCCACACACTTGATGTCTACAGAGACTATTCCAGGTGATGTACCCTCTCAGCTAAGATCACACTGTGGGGTTGTTACATGACAACTTATCAAACTTTTGGCATCCTTTATGGTTTCCTGTAACTTAAGTGAGCCAGCCCCTGCACTTTGTACCTACTTGTAAACACTCCTGGAGACACTGACCTGTCTGACATGTATGATTCATACACTTGTTAAGTACACATTAAACATGGCACCTGCTGTTATCTTGAAAGTTCACTTTTTATAGTTTTTTATTCTTCTTGTTCTCTCAGCTATGCGGGCACTTCTTTGCGCTACAGCCTCACCTTGGGATCTTCCCGATCACCTGGACAGCAAATGAAGAGGAAACTGATGGCTGTCCTCAGACTCAAGTTCAGCGTTTTGTTGTTGGACCTGAAGGTCAGATATCATGACATTACCCTCTTAAAATAATGGCCTAAGTCAATGATCAAGTGTTTCAGAAATTTTTCTGATACTCTCAGAAAATGGCTTAAAGGGATATTCCGGCATAAAATTAATGAAAAGTCAAATTAGCCACACAAACCTCAACCAAAACGCCACTCTATAGCCACAAATAATGCTCAGAACAGCACCTAACTTCATCAACAGTACATATAGGGTCCAAGCCATAGTACTAGCCACCAAACATCTTTTTAACTTTGCCTTATTTCTTTAGTCCATTACAGACTGCTGAGGGGTGACGCAGCTCAAGGAAGAACATTTATGATCATTACTTTATCATTTCCTTGAAGTAATAACCATCATGATAATCATTTTGCACTGCAGACACGGTAGTTCTTCTGCCTTAGCTTCTCTGTCTGATTGCATTTCCATGAAGAAATGATCATAAATGTTCTTCCTTGAGCTGCGTCACCCCACAGCAGTCTGTAATGGACTGGCCTGAGGTCTCACTACAAACAAGCGGCTGCTGGAAGAGAGTATGTGAGTTGTGTTTAGTCTCTTTGCTAAAGAAATTAGTCAAAGTTAAAAAGATGTTTGGTGGCTAGTGCTATGGCTGGGACCCTATATGTACTGTTGATGAAGTTAGATGCTGTTCTGAGCATTATTTGTGGCTATAGAGCGGCGTTTTGGTTGAAGTTTGTTTAACTCACACTCTTGAGTCTTTACATAGACAGTTACACTACAAAGAGTAGTATCACACAATCTGTTCCAGTGAGGATTTAGGCAATTCTACCAGAGGTGGGCAGCATCATGAAGGAGTGGTTTTGTAGAAAAAAAAAGTCATTTTTGTCAAAAAGTGACATAGACCATTATACTAAGAAGGCGACCATGATCTGAGAAGTTCTCATGGGCTTGTTAATAATGTATCTTTCAAAAACATAGTAAAAATCATTGACAAACAATAAACTCACAAGAAATCAGAGTTTAATTATTGGAAACAAGACATGTGAATTAAAAAAAAACCCTTGCAGTCAATAGCTGCCAACTTAGGAGGTAATCAGGATAGCTTTTCCTTGTTTTGTGGACAAAAGACAAAAACATTTTTAACTAGTCTCTCCATACGGCAAGTCAAGAGTCCAATAATAATGAATTTAATGAATTTCTCTTCTAGGAAAAAAGTTCTTGTTTTTATTGTACAAAATGAATGACATTTTTAGCCTATCTGTCAGCATAGCTCTCAGTGTTGGTTTGTTGTCAGTTTGTTCTGACTGAATTACATCCAGAAATACATCACACATTACCATCAGACTCGTGTAAACATTAATTATTTCCAGGCTTTCAACTGTAATGACTGGTGAGCCTTCTGCTCAAAGGGGGGGTTAATATAAGGTTAAATTTTGATTTATTCAAACATCTAATCATTACTGTCTGTTTCTTATGATGAGACACGTAAAATCTCTGTCTCTGTTGAACTCACGCTTCATCTCACTAAACAGACATTATACTGGTACAGTTGCTTCAGATCTATGTCACCTTAACAGACTGAACATTCCAGACTGAAAGATTTAGGAGCACGTCAAGTAAGCGATCCAACGACAAGGCAAACCTCGTCTCCTTTTTTTTGAAAGAGGCTCCCGGGTCGTTTATATGTCCAATCAGCTGGATGACGAATATAAATCAACTGTATCCCAATTAAAAAGCTTCCTCCCTCGAAGTAGTCGTAGTAGTCTGACACCTGAGCCTGCACTTTCTCACTTTCTCTCACAAATTATACAGACAGATGGCATTTATTAACAAGTAGCTTAAAAAGTATCCATGGCGACAAGACGGAATGTTCCCTAATGGAACTAAGAGGTGAGAAACTGTTGTAAACTTGTCAGGTTTCACAATTACTGGTTTAACAAGCCATGACATGTAGAATAACGGGTATATGATGCAGCCGAATGCATTGAAGAGGTGCTTTAGCTTTGGTTTGTGCCATATGGTGTATTTATTGATTGATTAATTTTCCTCCTTAGATGAACTCTGTCGAGGCAGTCTACAAGAACCTCTACAAGCTGGTGCTGCTTCATGCGCACAGGTAAAGAGAGGACTCATTTAAGACCGTTTTCTTAATCATTAAGCTTAATGTTTGTTCTGCGTTCTGTTAATATGTTATGGCTTATCTTGATTTAAATAAATTACACAGGCACCATTATCCACAACAAACTCAATTTCCTTATAGGTTCCATGTGTGCGCTCGGAGTTTGCCCTTTGGTATGACGGTTGCCAAGAACCCCATGTACTTCCTGCAGATGATATGGGACATGGCAGAGTATGCGAACCACATCATCAGGAGAGACAACAAAGGCATCAATTCCTTTTTAAAAAAACACAGAATTTTCTTTTAAATTCCATAATTTTTTTTTCTTGTCCCTATTTAATTCTCTCTTTTCTTTGATCCAGAATTGGATTTGGGCAACAAAGCCCAGACTGGCGTTTTGCAGTTCGAAGCAGTGGAGCTACTGTTCTGTCTCTCCTTCTTGGTGGTGCTGTCCAAACACCGTGCTCTTTACAAAGGTCTCCTCCCGCACCTTCGCAAACGTACGTAACCCCAGAGAGGGATTAGGTTTAGATATAACCATAAAATCTCATCTAGGACTGGAACTACATGATGTTTCAAAACAGGAGTCCATTTATTGCAAACATGATTAGTTGATACATTTTTAAGTTACTATAAAGGAGAAAAAAAGATGTCTTCTGCTGTCATCCTCTTGACAGGGAAACGCAGTCTAGAGCACCGTTTGGGAGACCTAAGGCTGGCCAGGGTCCGGCAGGCGTCCACTCCAAGGATCCCAGCTGATTTCATGGCCATTCAGGTGTGGACCAACAGCTTGTTCAAAATACATCTTTCAGCATTAGCTCAAAAATCTCTTTGGCTAGAAGATATAGGTTAAAAGGTCTGTCTAGTTAAGCTCTGCTGGGTCATTAGTTTTAACGTTTTTAGATCTATCTCTCAAAAATCCATTAAAATGCACTCATTTTTAAGATTAAAACTCTTTTCCACTCTTGACTCACTCTTAGGTTTGAAAGGAGTGAAACGAGCAGCATGCTGAGGTCAGTTATGTGGATTATTTCCGATCGGTCATGACCTGCCAGTGTTCCAGTTTTTCTCTGTTATGCCCTGATTGAAATCTCTCCTTAGACAACTGCTGTAAACCACTTAAGTAATAAACCTGACCCATAAGCACATCCAATAAAACTCAATCATATCAGTTAAGATGGATAACTATCATCCTGCTTCTGTTCTAGAAACTGTCCCATCCCCGAGCTGCTTGTCTCACTGGACTTTGATTTATACTTCTTTTTTTTTCCATAAAAAACATACGTCACTTGAAGAAGAATTTAAGTTTGAAAAGTTTGTATTTGTGAGTTTGAAAAGATCTTAATGAATCACAGGAATCCAAACATGTACTGCAATGATGATGTGTGACAGAAATAAGTTTAAACTGTTAAAATGGAAGTTTTAGTTAAATAAAGCCATGTTTTTCACGATTGTGTTGAACCAATTCTCTCAATATGCCTAGTAAACAAGACCTATCAAAGAAACAAGAGTATAAAGGGGAAATAAATACAGTAATTCATCAAGTCAGAGCCTGATAAAAGTATACACCAAGTAGAATCGGTGCGCTTCTATTACAGTACCATAAAAATTATCTGTCAGCTCCCCGAAATCCGTAAAATCCCAAAGATTTTGGGGCACCATGAAAAAAAGTCTTTTCTCTTTCAGAAACACTTTCAGCGGCACTCAAGCTTCCCGATGTTTGGGTTCTTGTGGTTCAATCTCAAAGGCGTCATTAGTGTAGGGGTTTGGGTCACTGCGAGCCGAAGTCGAAGTCTTTCCCATTGCTCTTGAGATCAGTCTGCAAAGTGCCACCAAAGGGATGGGAACCACAGGGACAACACAGAGAAGGATGATGATGGCAAATACCCAGTTAGGGTAAAACAGCGTTTCATTGCCAGGGAAGGGTTCCTTGAAAAATGGACAGAGGAAACAGTAAATACATTTGGATTTAAAAATACATTTGTAAACACTAGTTGGAGAATATCACTGTTTGCCTTGAATATACTGTATACTGCAAGAGCCAACAAGCTCTTGGCTTGGCATGGTAACCAAAAGACAGTGTGCTTAGCTTAACTGTTTTTTACGCACAAGTAAATAAGAGTTAGATCTGCAGTGGACTTGACTGGACTAAAATACACTGAATAGTAAAATTTATAGATACTGATAGACATATTTGTACAAATGCCAGATTAACCAGATTGTACATTGCTTTGGACAAAAGCACCTGCTAAATTACACAATATTATAATAGTTTTGCCTGGACAACAACATACAACGTGGAGCATTAACTTAATTACACTCAGCTTTTTTGCACAACAGCATCACATTATTATAGGCCTATGGACTCTGAATGGATTGTGCAGAAGCTGGAGAGTTTCAGGAGAGGTTTGCATTGACTTGACAGAAATTGTCTCTTTGCACACAATCAGCTGTCATTGTCTGGACTTGGTGCAAGTTTGAAAAAGAAATATGAGCTCATTTTTTGTGTCAGTCAAGTTTTCACTCTAAAACTCCTTCCCATTGTAATGTCAGGTTGAATTTTGTATATTCGTTTTTTGCATCTGTCCAAGCAAACACCCAGGTAGAGAACTAGACGAACAAAAACTGCTTTGTCCACAGGGGGCACTAGAACTGGCGTATAACAGAAAGTTCTCCTTAAAACTTCAAATCTCTCTCTTTTCTCTATAATGTGGCTTAAGTATTTAGTTGTAGTACTGCCTATACCTTACATAAATTCATCAAATATTAAATCATGTTTTAGTTTGTTTTTTTTGTTTTTTTTAATTTTACTATTCTTCGAAGTGCAAAAAAGGTAACTTGTAATTCCAGTAGTGAAAACTAAGTATTGACCAAACATAGGTTATTTTCATGCAGCCTAAAGCAATCGAAAATCTGCAGAGCTGAAATATCACAGAAAATTGAAAATTTGTCAAAAAGAAAAAATAATATAATATATCTGGACTCGTACTCTGTGTGATATAATCTCATCCAATTTATCTATGAAAATATTGACTAGGGTACCTGTAGATATTGCCTTTACTTTAATGTTGGCCTTTGTGTCTACAGTACATGAACAGATTCCAAATTTTACTTTTATTGCTTACCTTAGTTGCATTCCATGCAGGATAGGTTGGGTAAGTCTGTGCCTGGACAATCACATAGGCAACAAACACACCAAGGAGCAGCAGAGGACTGATCACCATCCAGCACATCTTCCAGAAGATGCTGGGCTTGGACCCAGTCATGAAATAGATATCCTCGCTGAAACTGTCGGTAGACAAGGAGACCAGTGAAATCGTTCAAACATGGCAGAACCAATTTCATGACTTAAAACTGTTCATACTGAAGCTCTTACTTTTTCATTCCATGGACATAAGCGACTCCAACAATCTCAAAGAATGCAATGACAAGCAGAGGCACAGAGCCCACGTAGTTGTTAAAGACCTCCACCCAGTAGTTTCCTGATTCCAGTGAGAAGATGAGAGACATCGCGAAGGATACCAGGCAGACGAGCCCTGAAGGAGTGACCAAGTTTGTTTAAGAAGAGTTCAAAAGGAAAACTTCACCAATTTAGCTTGACAATGACTTTTGCAGATTGGCTACCTGTTACGACTTGGTTAGGGATCCACTTTGGAACTAGTTTTAGATCATAGATCGGTGTGAGTACTCCCTCTATGTTGCCAAACATGGAGGAGAGGCCCAAGCTGAAGAGCATGATGAAGAACAACACGGCCCATACCTGGGAGCCTGGCATTTCAATCACTGCCTCAGTGAACGCAATAAATGCCAGACCAGTACCTGATGCACTCTGGGGAGGAAGATGAAAGAGAGTTAAGAAAATAGCACATGCTTGACCTGCACATGATGTTCTGCACTTTGGAGAGAAAGAGGAGGCCAAAGCACAGAACATTCAGAATATAGGAGAGGAGAAATGCGAGATGAAGTCTAAAGAGAGGAGAGTAATAGCTCGAGTACCTCGTCGAGGTATGTTTGCAGGTTACAGTCTAACAGGGGCAACTTGGCAATCTCATCCGGATATTTATTCTGTAGATACCGAAACTGATCATCATAGTTCTCAAGTGTCATGTTCTGGTCTGGAAGCTCAAAGTGGTTGGTCAGAGTCAGGATGTTACTGGAGAGGGGATACAAATGAAATACCTCATTATAATCCCAAAAGAAAAAAAGCTTAAGGAACAACATGGAATATTTGTGTAAACATACTCCTGTAGGCAGTTGTTGTAAGCAGTTCTAGCTTTGAATCCCAAGATGGAGAAGACTGGAATGGAGGCATAGAGGGATGTGGCGCTGTTTATTATTCCTACCACAAGAGCATCCCTTTCACAGTTGTTTCTAGAAAATGAATGACAGAAAAAACAGCATTATAATGGCACACAAATCATACCAAAATCTCCAGAGAGTGTTCAGTCCCTACCTCTCTTCGTTATAGCTGGAGAAAGCTATGAGGCCCCCAAAGGCTACAGAGAGAGAGAAGAAGATCTGGGTTGCTGCATCCAGCCACACTCGGGGATTTTTGAGTATTTCCCACTGCAAGAAGTACAAAGATTTATAGATAGGTAATGAGGTAATTTTTACATTATCTGCAGCACCAAAAATGGACACAACTCACATCAGGAGTGAAGAGGTAGGTAAGTCCATCAGTGGCACCAGGCAGAGTGAGGCCACGGATCAGGAAAATGGTGAGCACAAGATACGGGAAAGTGGCCGTCACATACACAGCCTGAAACATGGAAACCCAGATTTACAGCAACAGTATTCAATGTGATCATTAGGGCCCGAGCGTAGCTGCTAAGCAGCTGCGAGAGCCCTCTTGTTCCTGTAGTTTCCTTCTTTTGTTATTATTATTAGGGCCCGAGCGTAGCTGCTAAGCAGCTGCGAGAGCCCTCTTGTTCCTGATGGATTCTTCTTTAGGGCCCGAGCGTAGCTGCTAAGCAGCTGCGAGAGCCCTCTTGTTCCTGTAGTTTCCTTCTTTTGTTATTATTATTATTAGGGCCCGAGCGTAGCTGCTAAGCAGCTGCGAGAGCCCTCTTGTTCCTGTAGTTTCCTTCTTTTGTTATTATTAGGGCCCGAGCGTAGCTGCTAAGCAGCTGCGAGAGCCCTCTTGTTCCTGTAGTTTCCTTCTTTTGTTATTATTATTATTATTATTATTTTTCCTCCCCTTTGAACTGGAAAATGGCCCACTTCCCACTGGCGAAAACTCATGAAATTTGGCAGGACGACCGGGCCTGGTGAAAAATTTGATATTCCGAAGTCGCCCAAACAAGAAAATGCAAAATGGCTCCATAGCGCCCCCTAAGGTGAAAATTCACACTATTGACTGTCACGCCGGTACGCTTTGTCAAAATGACACAAAAATTGACACACACATGTATCTCAATAAGATCTACAAAAAAGTCAGTGCGGGCGTATCTGTCAAATGTACGGTTAAAGGGTTATTTCGCATTTTTTGCCGATCCGCACACATTGGAATTTCGCTAACTCCTCCGAAGGCTTCCTTTTCACCGGCACCACATTTGCTCAGGCCAATCTACACCCCATGGCCATTAAAAGTTATTCAAATCATGACGCTGCACCCCACGGTTTAGGTTCTAGGGGGCGCCAAAGATAACCCTAAGATCCACATATTTAAAAGTCTTATAACTTTTTATTTTTGCCCTCACTGGCCTCCAAGTTTTCTAGGATGATGCAATGTCCAGCCATCAACACATTTGTGAAGGAATTTTTACTCCCCAAAAGAGCGCCCCCCCATGGCAGGAGAAAAAAGTCCATTTTTTCTTGTCCCATAAGGTGAAAATTCACACTATTGACTGTCACGCCTGTACGCTTTGTCAAAATTACACAAAAATTGACACACACATGTATCTCAATAAGATCTACAAAAAAGTCAGTGCGGGCGTATCTGTCAAATGTACGGTTAAAGGGTTATTGCGCATTTTTTGCCGATCCGCACACATTGGAATTTGGCTAACTCCTCCGAAGGCTTTCGTTCCACCGGCACCACATTTGCTCAGGCCAATCTACACCCCATGGCCATTAAAAGTTATTCAAATCATGACGCTGCACCCCACGGTTTAGGTTCTAGGGGGCGCCAAAGATAACCCTAAAATCCACATATTTAAAAGTCTTATAACTTTTTATTTTTGTCCTCTCTGGCCTCCAAGTTTTCTAGGATGATGCAATGTCCAGCCATCAACACATTTGTGAAGGAATTTTTACTCCCCAAAAGAGCGCCCCCCCATGGCAGGAGAAAAAAGGCAATTTTTTCTTGTCCCATAAGGTGAAAATACACATTGTTGACTGTCATACCTGTATGCTTTGTCATATTGACACAAAATTTGACACACACATGTATCTCAATAAGATCTACGAAAAAGTCAATGCGCGCGTATCTGTAAAATGTACGGTTAAAGGGCTATTTTGCATTTTTTGCCGATTAGCACACATTGGAATGTGGCTAACTCCTCCTAAGGCTTTCGTCCCACTGACACCAAATTTGCTCAGGCCAATCTACACCCCATGGCCATTCAAAGTTTTAAAAATCATGACGCTGCACCCCACGGTTTACGTTCTAGGGGGCGCCAAAGATGACCCAAATATCCACATTCTTAAAAGAATCCACCCCCCCCCCCATCCCCCATCCCCCATGGCAGGAGAATAAAGTCAAGTTTTTCCTGCCCATCACTCAATGGCTCAATCGCATCGCTCTCCCTGCAACACCGTAACGAGGAGCAACTTGCCGTTTGGATATATCCTAGCTGTGTTTGTGCCCTCACTCATGGTCCAGACTTTTTTCAAATAGGACATGTAGTTTGTCTGCAGCGAGTGTTTTGGTAGAAACTGCGCCTCCCATTCATTATAATGGGAAATGACCACAGACAAGTGCGCACACCATCTTTGGACCTTGAGTGTGACGCGATCGGGAGGGGAGGCGGTCGCACTGGGGTCGGCGCAACGCGGCTCGGGCCCGCCAGTGCCCCAACGGGGCCCTAGTGTTATTATTATTATTATTTTTCCTCCCCTTTGAACTGGAAAATGGCCCACTTCCCACTGGCGAAAACTCATGAAATTTGGCAGGACGACCGGGCCTGGTGAAAAATTTGATATTCCGAAGTCGCCCAAACAAGAAAATGCAAAATGGCTCCATAGCGCCCCCTAAGGTGAAAATTCACACTATTGACTGTCACGCCGGTACGCTTTGTCAAAATGACACAAAAATTGACACACACATGTATCTCAATAAGATCTACAAAAAAGTCAGTGCGGGCGTATCTGTCAAATGTACGGTTAAAGGGTTATTTCGCATTTTTTGCCGATCCGCACACATTGGAATTTCGCTAACTCCTCCGAAGGCTTTCGTTCCACCGGCACCACATTTGCTCAGGCCAATCTACACCCCATGGCCATTAAAAGTTATTCAAATCATGACGCTGCACCCCACGGTTTAGGTTCTAGGGGGCGCCAAAGATAACCCTAAGATCCACATATTTAAAAGTCTTATAACTTTTTATTTTTGCCCTCACTGGCCTCCAAGTTTTCTAGGATGATGCAATGTCCAGCCATCAACACATTTGTGAAGGAATTTTTACTCCCCAAAAGAGCGCCCCCCCATGGCAGGAGAAAAAAGTCCATTTTTTCTTGTCCCCTAAGGTGAAAATACACATTGTTGAGTGTAACACCTGTACGCTTTGGCAAAATGACACAAAAATTGACACACACATGTATCTCAATAAGATCTACGAAAAAGTCAATGCGCGCGTATCTGTCAAATGTACGGTTAAAGGGTTATTCCGCATTTTTTGCCGATCCGCACACATTGGAATTTCGCTAACTCCTCCGAAGGCTTTCGTTCCACCGGCACCACATTTGCTCAGGCCAATCTACACCCCATGGCCATTAAAAGTTATTCAAATCATGACGCTGCACCCCACGGTTTAGGTTCTAGGGGGAGCCAAAGATAACCGTAAAATCCACATATTTAAAAGTCTTATAACTTTTTATTTTTGTCCCCACTGGCCTCCAAGTTTTCTAGGATGATGCAATGTCCAGCCATCAACACATTTGTGAAGGAATTTTTACTCCCCAAAAGAGCCCCCCCCATGGCAGGAGAAAAAAGTCAATTTTTTCTTGTCCACTAAGGTGAAAATACACATTGTTGAGTGCTACGCCTGTATGTTTTGTCGTATTGACACAAAATTTTACATACACGTGTATTTCAATAAGATCTTCGAAAAAGTCAATGGCCACGTATCTGTAAAATGTACGGTTAAAGGGTTATTTCGCATTTTTTGCAGATTCGCACACATTGGAATTTCGCTAATTCCTCCGAAGGCTTTCGTTCCACCGGCACCACATTTGCTCAGGCCAATCTACACCCCATGGCCATTAAAAGTTATTCAAATCATGACGCTGCACCCCACGGTTTAGGTTCTAGGGGGCGCCAAAGATAACCCTAAGATCCACATATTTAAAAGTCTTATAACTTTTTATTTTTGTCCTCACTGGCCTCCATGTTTTCTAGGATGATGCAATGTCCAGCCATCAACACATTTGTGAAGGAGTTTTTTCTCTTTAAAAGAGCGCCCCCCCATGGCAGGAGAATAAAGTCAAGTTTTTCCTGTTCATCATTCAATGGCTCAAACGCACTGCTCTCTCGGCAAAAGCGAAAGGAGGAGCAACTTGCCATTTGGATATATCTTAGCTGTGTTTGTGCCCTCACTCATGGTCCAGACTTTTTTCAAATAGGACATGGAGTTTTTCTGCAGCGAGCGTTTTGGTAGAAACTGCGCCTCCCGTTCATTATAATGGTAAATGACCACAAACAAGTGCGCACACCATCTTTGGACCTTGAGTGTGACGCGATCGGGTGGGGGAGGCGGTCGCGCTGGGGGCGGCATGACACGGCTCGGGCCCGCCAGTGCCCCAACGGGGCCCTAGTTATTATTTTTCCTCCCCTTTGAACTGGAAAATGGCCCACTTCCCACTGGCGAAAACTCATGAAATTTGGCAGGACGACCGGGCCTGGTGAAAAATTTGATATTCCGAAGTCGCCCAAACAAGAAAATGCAAAATGGCTCCATAGCGCCCCCTAAGGTGAAAATTCACACTATTCACTGTCACGCCGGTACGCTTTGTCAAAATGACACAAAAATTGACACACACATGTATCTCAATAAGATCTACAAAAAAGTCAGTGCGGGCGTATCTGTCAAATGTACGGTTAAAGGGTTATTTCGCATTTTTTGCCGATCCGCACACATTGGAATTTCGCTAACTCCTCCGAAGGCTTTCGTTCCACCGGCACCACATTTGCTCAGGCCAATCTACACCCCATGGCCATTAAAAGTTATTCAAATCATGACGCTGCACCCCATGGTTTAGGTTCTAGGGGGCGCCAAAGATAACCCTAAGATCCACATATTTAAAAGTCTTATAACTTTTTATTTTTGCCCTCACTGGCCTCCAAGTTTTCTAGGATGATGCAATGTCCAGCCATCAACACATTTGTGAAGGAATTTTTACTCCCCAAAAGAGCGCTCCCCGATGGCAGGAGAAAAAAGTCCATTTTTTCTTGTCCCCTAAGGTGAAAATACACATTGTTGAGTGTCACGCCTATACGCTTTGTCAAAATGACACAAAAATTGACACACACATGTAACTCAATAAGATCTACGAAAAAGTCAATGCGTGCGTATCTGTCAAATGTACGGTTAAAGGGTTATTCCGCATTTTTTGCCGATCCGCACACATTGGAATTTCGCTAACTCCTCCGAAGGCTTTCGTTCCACCGGCACCACATTTGCTCAGGCCAATCTACACCCCATGGCCATTAAAAGTTATTCAAATCATGACGCTGCACCCCACGGTTTAGGTTCTAGGGGGCGCCAAAGACAACCCTAAAATCCACATATTTAAAAGTCTTATAACTTTTTATTTTTGTCCTCACTGGCCTCCAAGTTTTCTAGGATGATGCAATGTCCAGCCATCAACACATTTGTGAAGGAATTTTTACTCCCCAAAAGAGCGCCCCCCCATGGCAGGAGAAAAAAGTCCATTTTTTCTTGTCCCCTTACATAAAAATACACATTGTTGAGTGTCACGCCTGAACGCTTTGTCATATTGACACAAAAATTGACAATCATGTGTATCTCAATTAGATCTACGAAAAAGTCAAAGAGCGCGTATCTGTATAATGTACGGTTAAAGGGCTATTTTGCATTTTTTGCCGATTCGCACACATTGGAATGTGGCTATCTCCTCCTAAGGCTTTCGTCCCACCGATACCAAATTTGCTCAGGGCAATCTACACCCCATGCCCATTCAAAGTTGTAAAAATCATGACGCTGCACCCCACGGTTTACGTTCTAGGGGGCGCCAAAGATGACCCAAAAATCCACATTCTTAAAAGTCATTTTGGCCACTGCAGGAGTACAGAGTACTGCAGTTCTAGGGGGCGCCAAAGATGACCCAAAAATCCACATTCTTAAAAGTCTTTTTGGCCACTGCAGGAGTACAGAGTACTGCAGGATACACACACATATACACACACGCCAACACACGCACACACACACACACACACACACACACACACACACACACTCAGAGTCTGTTTTTTAGCACCTGCAAAAACATGCTGTTTACATATTTGACAAGAATGCAGAGGCTTCCTTTTGCCCCTGAAAAAAATCAAATTTCAAACACAACTTGACTGTTCATTTCTCCAAAAGACAACCATGAAGCTCCATCCAAACCTGAAGCAGATAGTTGGTGCATGTGTACAGTAACCTGAGGGGAGTGAGGTGACTATTTCTGAGGAGAACATGAGCAGTGAAGATTCACCTTGGAGCTAGAACAGGGACGTGCACATGATTATACAGGGGCAGGGGCTCAAGTTTTTTCCAGTCATTTATACAATATGGAAATTAATGTGAAATTAAAAAACAAAGTATTAATAGAAAGGTTATGACTGTCCTGTGTAGATGACAGTGATATCCAATAGGCTAGGCACTCACGAGGCTGGCTGTGGCAAGTGTAAGTGAAAGCAACACGCACTGGCAGGAAGAACAGCAAACGCCGATGAAGGAAAGGGTCTTTGCAGTGATGGGCGTTACCAGAGAGGACGATGGCCAGAGGACGCGAATGGGACGGGGAGGCAGCGCGTTGGGGGGGGCAGCGCGACATGGCTCGGGCCCGCCAGTGCCCCAACGGGGCCCTAGTTATTATTTTTCCTCCCCTTTGAACTGGAAAATGGCCCACTTCCCACTGGCGAAAACTCATGAAATTTGGCAGGACGACCGGGCCTGGTGAAAAATTTGATATTCCGAAGTCGCCCAAACAAGAAAATGCAAAATGGCTCCATAGCGCCCCCTAAGGTGAAAATTCACACTATTGACTGTCACGCCTGTACGCTTTGTCAAAATGACACAAAAATTGACACACACATGTATCTCAATAAGATCTACAAAAAAGTCAGTGCGGGCGTATCTGTCAAATGTACGGTTAAAGGGTTATTTCGCATTTTTTGCCGATCCGCACACATTGGAATTTCGCTAACTCCTCCGAAGGCTTTCGTTCCACCGGCACCACATTTGCTCAGGCCAATCTACACCCCATGGCCATTAAAAGTTATTCAAATCATGACGCTGCACCCCACGGTTTAGGTTCTAGGGGGCGCCAAAGATAACCCTAAGATCCACATATTTAAAAGTCTTATAACTTTTTATTTTTGCCCTCACTGGCCTCCAAGTTTTCTAGGATGATGCAATGTCCAGCCATCAACACATTTGTGAAGGAATTTTTACTCCCCAAAAGAGCGCCCCCCCATGGCAGGAGAAAAAAGTCCATTTTTTCTTGTCCCCTAAGGTGAAAATACACATTGTTGAGTGTAACACCTGTAGGCTTTGGCAAAATGACACCAAAATTGACACACACATGTATCTCAATAAGATCTACAAAAAAGTCAATGCGCACGTATCTGTCAAATGTACGGTTAAAGGGTTATTCCGCATTTTTTGCCGATCCGCACACATTGGAATTTCGCTAACTCCTCCGAAGGCTTTCGTTCCACCGGCACCACATTTTCTCAGGCCAATCTACACCCCATGGCCATTAAAAGTTATTCAAATCATGATGCTGCACCCCACGGTTTAGGTTCTAGGGGGCGCCAAAGATAACCGTAAAATCCACATATTTAAAAGTCTTATAACTTTTTATTTTTGTCCCCACTGGCCTCCAAGTTTTCTAGGATGATGCAATGTCCAGCCATCAACACATTTGTGAAGGAATTTTTACTCGCCAAAAGAGCGCCCCCCATGGCAGGAGAAAAAAGTCCATTTTTTCTTGTCCACTAATGTGAAAATACACATTGTTGAGTGCTACGCCTGTATGTTTTGTCGTATTGACACAAAATTTTACATACACGTGTCTTTCAATAAGATCTTCGAAAAAGTCAATGGCCACGTATCTGTAAAATGTACGGTTAAAGGGTTATTTCGCATTTTTTGCAGATTCGCACACATTGGAATTTAGCTAACTCCTCCGAAGGCTTTCGTTCCACCGGCACCACATTTGCTCAGGCCAATCTACACCCCATGGCCATTAAAAGTTATTCAAATCATGACGCTGCACCCCACGGTTTAGGTTCTAGGGGGCGCCAAAGATAACCCTAAAATCCACATATTTAAAAGTCTTATAACTTTTTATTTTTGTCCTCACTGGCCTCCATGTTTTCTAGGATGATGCAATGTCCAGCCATCAACACATTTGTGAAGGAGTTTTTTCTCGTTAAAAGAGCGCCCCCCCATGGCAGGAGAATAAAGTCAAGTTTTTCCTGTTCATCATTCAATGGCTCAAACGCACTGCTCTCTCGGCAAAAGCGAAAGGAGGAGCAACTTGCCATTTGGATATATCTTAGCTGTGTTTGTGCCCTCACTCATGGTCCAGACTTTTTTCAAATAGGACATGGAGTTTTTCTGCAGCGAGCGTTTTGGTAGAAACTGCGCCTCCCGTTCATTATAATGGTAAATGACCACAAACAAGTGCGCACACCATCTTTGGACCTTGAGTGTGACGCGCTCGGGTGGGGGAGGTGGTCGCGCTGGGGGCGGCGTGACACGGCTCGGGCCCGCCAGTGCCCCAACGGGGCCCTAGTTCGTTATTTTTCCTCCGCTTTAAACTGGAAAATGGCCCACTTCCCACTGGTGAAAACTCAGGAAATTTGGCAGGACGACCGGGCCTGGTGAAAAATTCGATATTCTGAAGTCGCCCAAACAAAAAAATGAAAAATGGCTCCATAGCGCCCCCTATGGTGAAAACTCACCTGACGCCTGTACGCTTTGTCAAAATGACACAAAATTTGACACACATGTGTATCTCAATAACATCTACAAAAAAGTCAGTGTGGGCGTATCTGTCAAATGTACCGTTAAAGGGCTATTTCGCATTTTTTGCCGATCCGCACACATTGGAATTTCGCTAACTCCTCCGAAGGCTTTCGTTCCACCGGCAACAAATTTGCTCAGGACAATCTACACCCCATGGCCATTAAAAGTTGTACAAATCATGACGCTGCACCCCACGGTTTACATTCTAGGGGGCGCCAAAGATAACCCAAAAATCCACAGTCTTAAAAGTCTTATAACTTTTTATTTTTGTCCTCACTGGCCTCCAAGTTTTCTAGGATGATGCAATGTCCAGCCATCAACACATTTGTGAAGAAATTTTTACTCCCCAAAAGAGCGCCCCCCCATGGCAGGAGAAAAAAGTCCATTTTTTCTTGTCCCGTAAGGTGAAAATACACATTGTTGAGTGTCACGCCTGAACGCTTTGTCATATTGACACAAAATTTGACACACACGTGTATCTCAATAAGATCTACGAAAAAGTCAGAGAGCACGTATCTGTATAATGTACGGTTAAAGGGCTATTTCGCATTTTTTGCCGATCCGCACACATTGGAATTTCGCTAACTCCTCCGAAGGCTTTCGTTCCACCGGCACCAAATTTGCTCAGGCCAATCTACACCCCATGGCCATTAAAAGTTGTACAAATCATGACGCTGCACCCCACGGTTTAGGTTCTAGGGGGCGCCAAAGATAACCCAAAAATCCACATTCTTAAAAGTCTTATAACTTTTTCTTTTTGTCCTCACTGGCCTCCAAGTTTTCTAGGATGATGCAATGTCCAGCCATCAACACATTTGTGAAGGAATTTTTACTCCCCAAAAGAGCGCCCCCCCATGGCAGGAGAAAAAAGTCAATTTTTTCTTGTCCCGTAAGGTGAAAATTCACATTGTTGAGTGTGACACCTGTACGCTTTGTCATATTGACACAAAATTTGACAATCACATGTATCTCAATAAGATCTACGAAAAAGTCAATGGGTGCGTATCTGTAAAAACTACGGTTAAAGGGCTATTTTGCATTTTTTGCCGATTCGCACACATTGGAATGTGGCTAACTCCTCCTAAGGCTTTCGTCCCACTGACACCAAATTTGCTCAGGCCAATCTACACCCCATGGCCATTCAAAGTTGTAAAAATCATGACGCTGCACCCCACGGTTTACGTTCTAGGGGGCGCCAAAGATGACCCAAATATCCACATTCTTAAAAGAATCCACATCCCCCCCCCAACCCCCATCCCCCATGGCAGGAGAAACAGTCAAGTTTTTCCTGCCCATCACTCAATGGCTCAATCGCATCACTCTCCCGGCAACACCGTAACGAGGAGCAACTTGCCGTTTGGATATATCCTAGCTGTGTTTGTGCCCTCACTCATGGTCCAGACTTTTTTCAAATAGGACATGTAATTTGTCTGCAGCGAGTGTTTTGGTAGAAACTGCGCCTCCCATTCATTATAATGGGAAATGACCACAGACAAGTGCGCACACCATCTTTGGACCTTGAGTGTGACGCGATCGGGAGGGGGAGGCGGTCGCGCTGGGGGCGGCGCAACGCGGCTCGGGCCCGACAGTGCCCCACCGGGGTCCTAGTTAGGGCCCGAGCGTAGCTGCTAAGCAGCTGCGAGAGCCCTCTTGTTCCTGTAGTTTCCTTCTTTTGTTATTATTAGGGCCCGAGCGTAGCTGCTAAGCAGCTGCGAGAGCCCTCTTGTTCCTGCATGTTTCCTTCTTTTGTTATTATTATTATTTTTCCTCCCCTTTAAACTGGAAAATGGCCCACTTCCCACTGGCGAAAACTCATGAAATTTGGCAGGACGACCAGGCCTGGTGAAAAATTTGATATTCTGAAGTCGCCCAAACAATAAAATGCAAAATGGCTCCATAGCGCCCCCTAAGGTGGAAATTCACACTATTGACTGTCACGCCTGTACGCTTTGTCAAAATGACACAAAATTTGACACACATATGTATCTCAATAAGATCTACAAAAAAGTCAGTGCGGGCGTATCTGTCAAATGTACGGTTAAAGGGCTATTTCGCATTTTTTGGCGATCCGTACACATTGGAATTTCGCTAACTCCTCCGAAGGCTTTCGTTCCACCGGCACCACATTTGCTCAGGCCAATCTACACCCCATGGCCATTAAAAGTTATTCAAATCATGACGCTGCACCCCACGGTTTAGGTTCTAGGGGGCGCCAAAGATAACCCTAAAATCCACATATTTAAAAGTCTTATAACTTTTTATTTTTGTCCTCACTGGCCTCCAAGTTTTCTAGGATGATGCAATGTCCAGCCATCAACACATTTGTGAAGGAATTTTTACTCCCCAAAAGAGCGCCCCCCCATGGCAGGAGAAAAAAGTCCATTTTTTCTTGTCCCCTAAGGTGAAAATACACATTGTTGAGTGTCACGCCTCTACACTTTGTCAAAATGACACAAAATTTGGCACACAGGTGTATCTCAATAAGATCTACGAAAAAGTCAATGCGGGCGTATCTGTCAAATGTACGGTTAAAGGGCTATTTCGCATTTTTTGGCGATCCGTACACATTGGAATTTCGCTAACTCCTCCGAAGGCTTTTGTTCCACCGGCACCACATTTGCTCAGGCCAATCTACACCCCATGGCCATTAAAAGTTATTCAAATCATGACGCTGCACCCCACGGTTTAGGTTCTAGGGGGCGCCAAAGATAACCCTAAAATCCACATATTTAAAAGTCTTATAACTTTTTATTTTTGTCCTCACTGGCCTCCAAGTTTTCTAGGATGATGCAATGTCCAGCCATCAACACATTTGTGAAGGAATTTTTACTCCCCAAAAGAGCGCCCCCCATGGCAGGAGAAAAAAGTCGATTTTTTCTTGTCCCCTAAGGTGGAAATTCACACTATTGACTGTCACGCCTGTACGCTTTATCATATTGACACAAAAATTGACACACATATGTATCTCAATAAGATCTACAAAAAAGTCAATGCGCGCGTATCTGTCAAATGTACGGTTAAAGGGCTATTTTGCATTTTTTGCCGATTCGCACACATTGGAATGTGGCTAACTCCTCCTAAGGCTTTCGTCCCACTGACACCAAATTTGCTCAGGCCAATCTACACCCCATGGCCATTCAAAGTTTTAAAAATCATGACGCTGCACCCCACGGTTTACGTTCTAGGGGGCGCCAAAGATGACCCAAAAATCCACATTCTTAAAGGAATCCACATCCCCCCCAAGGCAGGAGAAAAAGTCAAGTTAACCCTGCCCATCGCTCAATGGCTCAATCGCATCGCTCTCCAGGCAACACCGTAAGGAGGATTAACCTGCCATTTCGATATATCATAGCTGTGTTTGTGCCCTCACTCATGGTCCAGACTTTTTTCAAATAGGACATGAAGTTTGTCTGCAGCGAGTGTTTTGGTAGAAACTGCGCCTCCCATTCATTATAATGGGAAATGACCACAGACAAGTGCGCACACCATCTTTGGACCTTGAGTGTGACGCGATCGGGAGGGGGAGGCGGTCGCGCTAGGGGCGGCGCGACGCGGCTCGGGCCCGACAGTGCCCCACCGGGGCCCTAGTTATTATTAGGGCCCGAGCCAGCTGCAGAGCAGCCGGGCGTAGGCCCTGTTATTCCTGTAGGGGTTTTTCTTTGTTAGGGCCCGAGCCAGCTGCAGAGCAGCCGGGCGTAGGCCCTATTATTCCCCAAGTGGTTTTTCTTTGTTTCTTTCTTTCTTTCTTTAGGGCCCGAGCGTAGCTGCTAAGCAGCTGCGAGAGCCCTCTTGTTCCTGTAGTTTCCTTCTTTTGTTATTATTATTATTTTTCCTCCCCTTTGAACTGGAAAATGGCCCACTTCCCACTGGCGAAAACTCATGAAATTTGGCAGGACGACCGGGCCTGGTGAAAAATTTGATATTCCGAAGTCGCCCAAACAAGAAAATGCAAAATGGCTCCATAGCGCCCCCTAAGGTGAAAATTCACACTATTCACTGTCACGCCTGTACGCTTTGTCAAAATGACACAAAAATTGACACACACATGTATCTCAATAAGATCTACAAAAAAGTCAGTGCGGGCGTATCTGTCAAATGTACGGTTAAAGGGTTATTTCGCATTTTTTGCCGATCCGCACACATTGGAATTTCGCTAACTCCTCCGAAGGCTTTCGTTCCACCGGCACCACATTTGCTCAGGCCAATCTACACCCCATGGCCATTAAAAGTTATTCAAATCATGACGCTGCACCCCACGGTTTAGGTTCTAGGGGGCGCCAAAGATAACCCTAAGATCCACATATTTAAAAGTCTTATAACTTTTTATTTTTGCCCTCACTGGCCTCCAAGTTTTCTAGGATGATGCAATGTCCAGCCATCAACACATTTGTGAAGGAATTTTTACTCCCCAAAAGAGCGCCCCCCCATGGCAGGAGAAAAAAGTCCATTTTTTCTTGTCCCCTAAGGTGAAAATACACATTGTTGAGTGTAACACCTGTACGCTTTGGCAAAATGACACAAAAATTGACACACACATGTATCTCAATAAGATCTACGAAAAAGTCAATGCGCGCGTATCTGTTAAATGTACGGTTAAAGGGTTATTCCGCATTTTTTGCCGATCCGCACACATTGGAATTTCGCTAACTCCTCCGAAGGCTTTCGTTCCACCGGCACCACATTTGCTCAGGCCAATCTACACCCCATGGCCATTAAAAGTTATTCAAATCATGACGCTGCACCCCACGGTTTAGGTTCTAGGGGGCGCCAAAGATAACCGTAAAATCCACATATTTAAAAGTCTTATAACTTTTTATTTTTGTCCCCACTGGCCTCCAAGTTTTCTAGGATGATGCAATGTCCAGCCATCAACACATTTGTGAAGGAATTTTTACTCGCCAAAAGAGCGCCCCCCATGGCAGGAGAAAAAAGTCCATTTTTTCTTGTCCACTAAGGTGAAAATACACATTGTTGAGTGCTACGCCTGTATGTTTTGTCGTATTGACACAAAATTTTACATACACGTGTATTTCAATAAGATCTTCGAAAAAGTCAATGGCCACGTATCTGTAAAATGTACGGTTAAAGGGTTATTTCGCATTTTTTGCAGATTCGCACACATTGGAATTTCGCTAACTCCTCCGAAGGCTTTCGTTCCACCGGCACCACATTTGCTCAGGCCAATCTACACCCCATGGCCATTAAAAGTTATTCAAATCATGACGCTGCACCCCACGGTTTAGGTTCTAGGGGGCGCCAAAGATAACCCTAAAATCCACATATTTAAAAGTCTTATAACTTTTTATTTTTGTCCTCACTGGCCTCCATGTTTTCTAGGATGATGCAATGTCCAGCCATCAACACATTTGTGAAGGAGTTTTTTCTCGTTAAAAGAGCGCCCCCCCCATGGCAGGAGAATAAAGTCAAGTTTTTCCTGTTCATCATTCAATGGCTCAAACGCACTGCTCTCTCGGCAAAAGCGAAAGGAGGAGCAACTTGCCATTTGGATATATCTTAGCTGTGTTTGTGCCCTCACTCATGGTCCAGACTTTTTTCAAATAGGACATGGAGTTTTTCTGCAGCGAGCGCTTTGGTAGAAACTGCGCCTCCCGTTCATTATAATGGTAATTGACCACAAACAAGTGCGCACACCATCTTTGGACCTTGAGTGTGACGCGATCGGGTGGGGGAGGCGGTCACGCTGGGGGCGGCGTGACACGGCTCGGGCCCGCCAGTGCCCCAACGGGGCCCTAGTTAGGGCCCGAGCGTAGCTGCTAAGCAGCTGCGAGAGCCCTCTTGTTCCTGTAGTTTCCTTCTTTTGTTATTATTAGGGCCCGAGCGTAGCTGCTAAGCAGCTGCGAGAGCCCTCTTGTTCCTGTAGTTTCCTTCTTTTGTTATTATTATTATTATTATTATTTTTCCTCCCCTTTGAACTGGAAAATGGCCCACTTCCCACTGGCGAAAACTCATGAAATTTGGCAGGACAACCGGGCCTGGTGAAAAATTTGATATTCCGAAGTCGCCCAAACAAGAAAATGCAAAATGGCTCCATAGCGCCCCCTAAGGTGAAAATTCACACTATTGACTGTCACGCCGGTACGCTTTGTCAAAATGACACAAAAATTGACACACACATGTATCTCAATAAGATCTACAAAAAAGTCAGTGCGGGCGTATCTGTCAAATGTACGGTTAAAGGGTTATTTCGCATTTTTTGCCGATCCGCACACATTGGAATTTCGCTAACTCCTCCGAAGGCTTTCGTTCCACCGGCACCACATTTGCTCAGGCCAATCTACACCCCATGGCCATTAAAAGTTATTCAAATCATGATGCTGCACCCCATGGTTTAGGTTCTAGGGGGCGCCAAAAATAACCCAAAAATCCACATTCTTAAATGTTTTATAACTTTTTATTTTTGTCCTCACTGGCCTCCAAGTTTTCTAGGATGATGCAATGTCCAGCCATCAACACATTTGTGAAGGAATTTTTACTCCCCAAAAGAGCGCCCCCCCATGGTAGGAGAAAAAAGTCAATTTTTTCTTGTCCCCTTACATAAAAATACACATTGTTGAGTGTCACGCCTGAACGCTTTGTCATATTGACACAAAAATTGACAATCATGTGTATCTCAATTAGATCTACGAAAAAGTCAAAGAGCGCGTATCTGTATAATGTACGGTTAAAGGGCTATTTTGCATTTTTTGCCGATTCGCACACATTGGAATGTGGCTATCTCCTCCTAAGGCTTTCGTCCCACCGATACCAAATTTGCTCAGGGCAATCTACACCCCATGCCCATTCAAAATTGTAAAAATCATGACGCTGCACCCCACGGTTTACGTTCTAGGGGGCGCCAAAGATGACCCAAAAATCCACATTCTCAAAAGTCATTTTGGCCACTGCAGGAGTACAGAGTACTGCAGTTCTAGGGGGCGCCAAAGATGACCCAAAAATCCACATTCTTAAAAGTCTTTTTGGCCACTGCAGGAGTATAGAGTACTGCAGGATACACACACATATACACACACGCCAACATACACACACACACACACACACACACAGACACACACACACACTCAGAGTCTGTTTTTTAGCACCTGCAAAAACATGCTGTTTACATATTTGACAAGAATGCAGAGGCTTCCTTTTGCCCCTGAAAAAAATCAAATTTCAAACACAACTTGACTGTTCATTTCTCCAAAAGACAACCATGAAGCTCCATTTCAAACCTGAAGCAGATAGTTGGTGCATGTGTACAGTAACCTGAGGGGAGTGAGGTGACTATTTCTGAGGAGAACATGAGCAGTGAAGATTCACCTTGGAGCTAGAACAGGGACGTGCACATGATTATACAGGGGCAGGGGCTCAAGTTTTTTCCAGTCATTTATACAATATGGAAATTAATGTGAAATTAAACCACAAATATGTGTGATGAACTGTTTTTAAAACTTAAACTTCAAATAAAAATTGTAAACTTCAAAACATATGCAAATTTTTAACAAAGAACATAGTAATTTACCTCTATTGACATCAAAATGCAGGCAATGGCCCAGGTGTTCTTTGTAAAATTATTTACAAAACACTGTATAGTCTCACAAATGTCACTTTTTATTTATGCCACTACAAAAAAACATGATGTAAATGATGCATGATGTAAAACATGATGTAAAAAACTTGTGTAGATCCTCCTCTATGTTAGTCCATGTGTAATTTTTCCATAATTCTTTGTTTTTTGCAGCATTTTTGTTAGTGTAACTGCAGATTGTGCTGACAGTGTCTATGGCAAAAAAAAAAAAAAAAAAACTGAAAATGCCTCAACATGAACCCCTGGTGGTCTCTGAGGGTGAAACCTGCTAACTGCTGCAGCTCTGTCAGCTTCAGTCTCCCATGCAGAGCTCGGAGCGCATGTGTGGCTCTGCACCCTTAGCAGTGTTGCTAACTCCTCAGTAAGGAAAGCCTGCTTCATGTCAGAGTCTCTAAACTCCAGAAGAAGTCGATAAAAGTCCCTTTCTTTCTAAAAAAAAGTCGTTAGGGGGTCTGAAAAGTCATTGAATCTAACAACAAAGTCGCTAGGTTTGCAACTACGTGTCCCAGACTGCATCCCTGCTGAGAGTCCCTCCCTCCCTTCTCATATTGCAGGAAGAACGTAAGTTCCCGCCCCTTGTCAATCAGTCACCATATAATTTTGGATTGGTTGTTGTGGTGAAGTTTTCCACCAATAGGAGAGATGTTGTGGTGTGTTTTTTTTTTCCTTTGGCAAGCCTTTTCCGTCTGTAAGACCTGTCGCTAATGTCTGCATGCTATGTTTTCCTGTCTCATACAGCGCGATCGAGCGCCGAACGTGATCAAAATAAGCAGAAAACAAGTATCGCGGACATAATTTATCATAACTCTGGTTTTATTTGGCCTATCAACACAATTTAAAAACTGGTATATAGGTTGAGGTCCTCACTTTTGAGATAAATTGAAACGGAGAGTCAACGAGGCTCCGTCTTGCAGCTACATCCGGTTAAATATGTCATGTGACTTGAACGCACACACACACACACACACACACACACACACACACACACAGACACACACACACACGCACACACACACACTCAGAGTCTGGTTTTTAGCACCTGCAAAAACATGCTATTTACATATTTGACAAGAATGCAGAGGCTCCTTTTGCCCCTGAAAAAAATCAAATTTCAAACACAACTTGACTGGTCATTTCTCCAAAAGACAACCATGAAGCTCCATCCAAACCTGAAGCAGGCAGTTGGTGCATGTGTACAGTAACCTGAGGGGAGTGAGGTGACTGCTTCTGAGGAGAACATGAGCAGTGAAGATTCACCTTGGAGCTAGAACAGAGACATGCACATGATTATACAGGGGCAGGGGCTCAAGTTTTTTCCAGTCGTTTATACAATATGGAAATTAATGTGAAATTAAAACACAAAGTATTAATAGAAAGGTAATGACTGTCCTGTGTAGGTGACAGTGATATCCAATAGGCTAGGCACTCACAAGGCTGGCTGAGGCAAGTGTAAGTGAAAGCAACACGCACTGGCAGGAAGAACAGCAAACGCCGATGAAGGAAAAGGGTCTTTGCAGTGATGGGCGTTACCAGAGAGGGCGACGGCCAGAGGACGCGAATGGGACGGGGAGGCAGCGCGTTGGGGGGGGGGACGCGACACAGCTCGGGCCCGCCAGTGCCCCAACGGGGTCCTAGTTATTATTATTTTTCCTCCCCTTTGAACTGGAAAATGGCCCACTTCCCACTGGCGAAAACTCATGAAATTTGGCAGGACGACCGGGCCTGGTGAAAAATTTGATATTCCGAAGTCGCCCAAACAAGAAAATGCAAAATGGCTCCATAGCGCCCCCTAAGGTGAAAATTCACACTATTCACTGTCACGCCTGTACGCTTTGTCAAAATGACACAAAAATTGACACACACATGTATCTCAATAAGATCTACAAAAAAGTCAGTGCGGGCGTATCTGTCAAATGTACGGTTAAAGGGTTATTTCGCATTTTTTGCCGATCCGCACACATTGGAATTTCGCTAACTCCTCCGAAGGCTTTCGTTCCACCGGCACCACATTTGCTCAGGCCAATCTACACCCCATGGCCATTAAAAGTTATTCAAATCATGACGCTGCACCCCACGGTTTAGGTTCTAGGGGGCGCCAAAGATAACCCTAAGATCCACATATTTAAAAGTCTTATAACTTTTTATTTTTGCCCTCACTGGCCTCCAAGTTTTCTAGGATGATGCAATGTCCAGCCATCAACACATTTGTGAAGGAATTTTTACTCCCCAAAAGAGCGCCCCCCCATGGCAGGAGAAAAAAGTCCATTTTTTCTTGTCCCCTAAGGTGAAAATACACATTGTTGAGTGTAACACCTGTACGCTTTGGCAAAATGACACAAAAATTGACACACACATGTATCTCAATAAGATCTACGAAAAAGTCAATGCGCGCGTATCTGTCAAATGTACGGTTAAAGGGTTATTCCGCATTTTTTGCCAATCCGCACACATTGGAATTTCGCTAACTCCTCCAAAGGCTTTCGTTCCACCGGCACCACATTTGCTCAGACCTATCTACACCCCATGGCCATTAAAAGTTATTCAAATCATGACGCTGCACCCCACGGTTTAGGTTCTAGGGGGAGCCAAAGATAACCGTAAAATCCACATATTTAAAAGTCTTATAACTTTTTATTTTTGTCCCCACTGGCCTCCAAGTTTTCTAGGATGATGCAATGTCCAGCCATCAACACATTTGTGAAGGAATTTTTACTCCCTAAAAGAGCGCCCCCCCATGGCAGGAGAAAAAAGTCCATTTTTTCTTGTCCCCTAAGGTGAAAATACACATTGTTGACTGTAACTCCTGTACGCTTTGGCAAAATGACACAAAAATTGACAATCATGTGTATCTCAATTAGATCTACGAAAAAGTCAAAGAGCGCGTATCTGTATAATGTACGGTAAAAGGGCTATTTTGCATTTTTTGCCGATTCGCACACATTGGAATTTCGCTAACTCCTCCTAAGGCTTTCGTCCCACTGACACCAAATTTGCTCAGGCCAATCTACACTCCATGGCCATTCAAAGTTGTAAAAATCATGACGCTGCACCCCACGGTTTACGTTTTAGGGGGCGCCAAAGATGACCCCAATATACATTACAGTAGACAAAGTAGTTTTGCCCACTGAGTGGCGCCAAAGGGACTTGTCTGTGGAGTCTGTGAGTCACTATTGGCCGTTTTTGACTACTTTAGATTTTACCTTTATATTTCCTCTTACAAAATTTTTACCTTGCCTTGCCTGGTATCATTTTTTTCAGCACAACCTCACCTGTGTCAATTTACAGTTATTTTATCATTTTGACATACTATATTTACACATTGGACCCAAATTCACACACAAAACATAAAATCCGAGTGGAAAAAAGTAACGTTTTTACTGTGAAAACCACAAATATGTGTGATGAACTGTTTTTAAAACTTAAACTTCAAATAAAAATTGTAAACTTCAAAACATATGCAAATTTTTAACAAAGAACATAGTAATTTACCTCTATTGACATCAAAATGCAGGCAATGGCCCAGGTGTTCTTTGTAAAATTATTTACAAAACACTGTATAGTCTCACAAATGTCACTTTTCATTATGCCACTACAAAAAAACATGATGTAAATGATGCATGATGTAAAACATGATGTAAAAAACTTGTGTAGATCCTCCTCTATGTTAGTCCATGTGTAATTTTTCCATAATTCTTTGTTTTTTGCAGCATTTTTGTTAGTGTAACTGCAGATTGTGCTGACAGTGTCTATGGCAAAAAAAAAAAAAAAAACTGAAAATGCCTCAACATGAACCCCTGGTGGTCTCTGAGGGTGAAACCTGCTAACTGCTGCAGCTCTGTCAGCTTCAGTCTCCCATGCAGAGCTCGGAGCGCATGTGTGGCTCTGCACCCTTAGCAGCGTTGCTAACTCCTCAGTAAGGAAAGCCTGCTTCATGTCAGAGTCTCTAAACTCCAGAAGAAGTCGATAAAAGTCACTTTCTTTCTAAAAAAAAAGTCGTTAGGGGGTCTGAAAAGTCATTGAATCTAACAACAAAGTCGCTAGGTTTGCAACTACGTGTCCCAGACTGCATCCCTGCTGAGAGTCCCTCCCTCCCTTCTCATATTGCAGGAAGAACGTAAGCGCCCGCCCCTTGTCAATCAGTCACCATATAATTTTGGATTGGTTGTTGTGGTGAAGTTTTCCACCAATAGGAGAGATGTTGTGGTGTGTTTTTTTTTTCCTTTGGCAAGCCTTTTCCGCCTGTAAGACCTGTCGCTAATGTCTGCATGCTATGTTTTCCTGTCTCATACAGCGCGATCGAGCGCCGAACGTGATCAAAATAAGCAGAAAAAAAGTATCGCGGACATAATTTATCATAACTCTGGTTTTATTTGGCCTATCAACACAATTTAAAAACTGGTATATAGGTTGAGGTCCTCACTTTTGAGATAAGTTGAAACGGAGTCAACGAGGCTCCGTCTTGCAGCTACATCCGGTTAAATATGTCATGTGACTTGAACGCACACACACACACACACACACACACAGACACACGCACACACACACACTCAGAGTCTGGTTTTTAGCACCTGCAAAAACATGCTATTTACATATTTGACAAGAATGCAGAGGCTCCTTTTGCCCCTGAAAAAAATCACATTTCAAACACAACTTGACTGGTCATTTCTCCAAAAGACAACCATGAAGCTCCATCCAAACCTGAAGCAGGCAGTTGGTGCATGTGTACAGTAACCTGAGGGGAGTGAGGTGAGTGCTTCTGAGGAGAACATGAGCAGTGAAGATTCACCTTACAGCTAGAACAGAGACGTGCACATGATTATACAGGGGCAGGGGCTCAAGTTTTTTCCAGTTGTTTATACAATATGGAAATTAATGTGAAATTAAAAAACAAAGTATTAATAGAAAGGTAATGACTGTCCTGAGTAGGTGACAGTGATATCCAATAGGCTAGGCACTCAAGAGGCTGGCTGTGGCAAGTGTAAGTGAAAGCAACACGCACTGGCAGGAAGAACAGCAAACGCCGATGAAGGAAAAGGGTCTTTGCAGTGATGGGCGTTACCAGAGAGGGCGATGGCCAGAGGACACAAATGGGACGGGGAGGCAGCGCGTTGGGGGGGGGACGCGACACAGCTCGGGCCCGCCAGTGCCCCAACGGGGTCCTAGTTAGGGCCCGAGCGTAGCTGCTAAGCAGCTGCGAGAGCCCTCTTGTTCCTGCATGTTTCCTTCCGTCGTTATTATTTTTCCTCCGCTTTAAACTGGAAAATGGCCCATTTCCCACTGGCGAAAACTCAGGAAATTTGGCAGGACGACCGGGCCTGGTGAAAAATTCGATATTCTGAAGTCGCCCAAACAATAAAATGCAAAATGGCTCCATAGCGCCCCCTAAGGTGAAAATTCACATGACGCCTGTATGCTTTGTCATATTGACACAAAAATTGACACACACATGTATCTCAATAAGATCTACAAAAAAGTCAGTGTGGGCGTATCTGTCAAATGTACGGTTAAAGGGCTATTTTGCATTTTTTGCCGATTCGCACACATTGGAATTTCGCTAACTCCTCCGAAGGCTTTCGTTCGACCGGCACCACATTTGCGCAGGCCAATCTACCCCCCATGGCCATTAAAAGTTGTACAAATCATGACGCTGCACCCCACGGTTTACGTTCTAGGGGGCGCCAAAGATAACCCAAAAATCCACATTCTTAAAAGTCTTATAACTTTTGTCTTTTGTCCTCACTGGCCTCCAAGTTTTCTAGGATGATGCAATGTCCAGCCATCAACACATTTGTGAAGGAATTTTTACTCCCCAAAAGAGCGCCCCCCAATGGCAGGAGAAAAAGGTCCATTTTTTCTTGTCTCCTAAGGTGAAAATACACATTGTCGAGTGTCACGCCTGTATGCTTTGTCATATTGACACAAAATTTGACAATCACGTGTATCTTAATAAGATCTACGAAAAAGTCAAAGAGCGTGTATCTGTATAATGTACGGTTAAAGGGCTATTTTGAATTTTTTGCCGATTCGCACACATTGGAATTTCGCTAACTCCTCCGAAGGCTATCTTTCCACCGGCACCAAATTTGCTCAGGCCAATCTACACCCCATGGCCATTAAAAGTTGTACAAATCATCTTGCTGCACCCCACGGTTTAGGTTCTAGGGGGCGCCAAATATAACCCTAAAATCCACATATTTAAAAGTCTTATAACTTTTTATTTTTGTCCTCACTGGCCTCCAAGTTTTTTAGGATGATGCAATGTCCAGCCATCAACACATTTGTGAAGAAATTTTTACTCCCCAAAAGAGCGCCCCCCCATGGCAGGAGAAAAAAGTCAATTTTTTCTTGTCGCCTAAGGTGAAAATACACATTGTTGAGTGTCACGCCTGTACGCTTTGTCATATTGACACAAAAATTGACAGTCATGTGTATCTCAATTAGATCTACGAAAAAGTCAAAGAGCGTGTATCTGTATAATGTACGGTAAAAGGGCTATTTTGAATTTTTTGCCGATTCGCACACATTGGAATTTCGCTAACTCCTCCTAAGGCTTTCGTCCCACTGACACCAAATTTGCTCAGACCAATCTACACTCCATGGCCATTCAAAGTTGTAAAAATCATGACGCTGCACCCCACGGTTTACGTTTTAGGGGGCGCCAAAGATGACCCAAATATACATTACAGTAGACAAAGTAGTTTTGCCCACTGAGTGGCGCCAAAGGGACTTGTCTGTGGAGTCTGTGAGTCACTATTGGCCGTTTTTGACTACTTTAGATTTTACCTTTATATTTCCTCTTACAAAATTTTTACCTTGCCTTGCCTGGTATCATTTTTTTCAGCACAACCTCACCTGTGTCAATTTACAGTTATTTTATCATTTTGACATACTATATTTACACATTGGACCCAAATTCACACACAAAACATAAAATCCGAGTGGAAAAAAGTAACGTTTTTACTGTGAAAACCACAAATATGTGTGATGAACTGTTTTTAAAACTTAAACTTCAAATAAAAATTGTAAACTTCAAAACATATGCAAATTTTTAACAAAGAACATAGTAATTTACCTCTATTTACATCAAAATGCAGGCAATGGCCCAGGTGTTCTTTGTAAAATTATTTACAAAACACTGTATAGTCTCACAAATGTCACTTTTTATTTATGCCACTACAAAAAAACATGATGTAAATGATGCATGATGTAAAACATGATGTAAAAAACTTGTGTAGATCCTCCTCTATGTTAGTCCATGTGTAATTTTTCCATAATTCTTTGTTTTTTGCAGCATTTTTGTTAGTGTAACTGCAGATTGTGCTGACAGTGTCTATGGCAAAAAAAAAAAAAAAACTGAAAATGCCTCAACATGAACCCCTGTTGGTCTCTGAGGGTGAAACCTGCTAACTGCTGCAGCTCTGTCAGCTTCAGTCTCCCATGCAGAGCTCGGAGCGCATGTGTGGCTCTGCACCCTTAGCAGCGTTGCTAACTCCTCAGTAAGGAAAGCCTGCTTCATGTCAGAGTCTCTAAACTCCAGATTAAGTCGATAAAAGTAACTTTCTTTCTAAAAAAAGTCGTTAGGGGGTCTGAAAAGTCATTGAATCTAACAACAAAGTTGCTAGGTTTGCAACTACGTGTCCCAGACTGCATCCCTGCTGAGAGTCCCTCCCTCCCTTCTCATATTGCAGGAAGAACGTAAGCGCCCGCCCCTTGTCAATCAGTCACCATATAATTTTGGATTGGTTGTTGTGGTGAAGTTTTCCACCAATAGGAGAGATGTTGTGGTGTGTTTTTTTTTCCTTTGGCAAGCCTTTTCCGCCTGTAAGACCTGTCGCTAATGTCTGCATGCTATGTTTTCCTGTCTCATACAGCGCGATCGAGCGCCGAACGTGATCAAAATAAGCAGAAAACAAGTATCGCGGACATAATTTATCATAACTCTGGTTTTATTTGGCCTATCAACACAATTTAAAAACTGGTATATAGGTTGAGGTCCTCACTTTTGAGATAAGTTGAAACGGAGAGTCAACGAGGCTCCGTCTTGCAGCTACATCCGGTTAAATATGTCATGTGACTTGAACGCACACACAGACACACACACACACACAGACACACACACACACGCACACACACACACTCAGAGTCTGGTTTTTAGCACCTGCAAAAACATGCTATTTACATATTTGACAAGAATGCAGAGGCTCCTTTTGCCCCTGAAAAAAATCAAATTTCAAACACAACTTGACTGGTCATTTCTCCAAAAGACAACCATGAAGCTCCATCCAAACCTGAAGCAGGCAGTTGGTGCATGTGTACAGTAACCTGAGGGGAGTGAGGTGACTGCTTCTGAGGAGAACATGAGCAGTGAAGATTCACCTTACAGCTAGAACAGAGACGTGCACATGATTATACAGGGGCAGGGGCTCAAGTTTTTTCCAGTTGTTTATACAATATGGAAATTAATGTGAAATTAAAAAACAAAGTATTAATAGAAAGGTAATGACTGTCCTGTGTAGGTGACAGTGATATCCAATAGGCTAGGCACTCACGAGGCTGGCTGTGGCAAGTGTAAGTGAAAGCAACACGCACTGGAAGGAAGAACAGCAAACGCCGATGAAGGAAAAGGGTCTTTGCAGTGATGGGCGTTACCAGAGAGGGCGATGGCCAGAGGACACAAATGGGACGGGGAGGCAGCGCGTTGGGGGGGGGATGCGACACAGCTCGGGCCCGCCAGTGCCCCAACGGGGTCCTAGTTATTATTTTTCCTCCGCTTTAAACTGGAAAATGGCCCACTTCCCACTGGCGAAAACTCAGGAAATTTGGCAGGACGACCGGGCCTGGTGAAAAATTCGATATTCTGAAGTCGCCCAAACAATAAAATACAAAATGGCTCCATAGCGCCCCCTAAGGTGAAAATTCACACTATTGACTGTCACGTCTGTACGCTTTGTCATATTGACACAAAAATTGACACACACATGTATCTCAATAAGATCTACAAAAAAGTCAGTGCGGGCGTATCTGTCAAATGTACGGTTAAAGGGTTATTTCGCATTTTTTGCAGATCCGCACACATTGGAATTTCGCTAACTCCTCCGAAGGCTTTCGGTCCACCGGCACCACATTTGCTCAGGCCAATCTACACTCCATGGCCATTCAAAGTTGTACAAATCATGATGCTGCACCCCATGGTTTAGGTTCTAGGGGGCGCCAAAAATAACCCTAAAATCCACATTCTTAAAAGTTTTATAACTTTTTATTTTTGCCCTCACTGGCCTCCAAGTTTTCTAGGATGATGCAATGTCCAGCCATCAACACATTTGTGAAGGAATTTTTACTCCCCAAAAGAGCGCCCCCCCCATGGCAGGACAAAAAAGTCAATTTTTTCTTGTCCCCTAAGGTGAAAATACACATTGTTGAATGCCACGCCTGTACGCTTTGTCATATTGACACAAAATTTGACAATCACGTGTATCTCAATAAGATCTACGAAAAAGTCAATGCGCGCGTATCTGTAAAATGTACGGTTAAAGGGCTATTTCGCATTTTTTGCCGATTCGCACACATTGGAATGTGGCTAACTCCTCCTAAGGTTTTCGTCCCACTGACACCAAATTTGCTCAGGCCAATCTACACCCCATGGCCATTCAAAGTTGTAAAAATCATGACGCTGCACCCCATGGTCTACGTTCTAGGGGGCGCCAAAGAGGACCCAAATATCCACATTTTTAAAGTCTTATAACATTTTATTTTTGTCCTCACTGGCCTCCAAGTTTTCTAGGATGATGCAATGTCCAGCCATCAACACATTTGTGAAGGAATTTTTCTCCCCAAAAGAGCGCCCCCCCATGGCAGGAGAAAAAGTCAAGTTTTTCCTGCCCATCGCTCAATGGCTCAATCGCATCACTCTCCAGGCAACACCGTAAGGAGGAGCAACCTGCCATTTGGATATATCCCAGCTGTGTTTGTGCCCTCACTCATGGTCCAGACTTTTTTCAAATAGGACATGAAGTTTGTCTGCAGCGAGTGTTTTGGTAGAAACTGCGCCTCCCATTCATTATAATGGGAAATGACCACAGACAAGTGCGCACACCATCTTTGGACCTTGAGTGTGACGCGATCGGGAGGGGGAGGCGGTCACGCTGGGGGCGGCACGACGCGGCTCGGGCCCGACAGTGCCCCACCGGGGCCCTAGTCTTTGTTAGGGCCCGAGCGTAGCTGCTAAGCAGCTGCGAGAGCCCTATTATTCCTGATGGATTCTTCTTTCTTCTTTAGGGCCCGAGCGTAGCTGCTAAGCAGCTGCGAGAGCCCTATTATTCCTGATGGATTCTTCTTAGGGCCCGAGCGTAGCTGCTAAGCAGCTGCGAGAGCCCTCTTGTTCCTGTAGTTTCCTTCTTTTGTTATTATTATTATTTTTCCTCCCCTTTGAACTGGAAAATGGCCCACTTCCCACTGGCGAAAACTCATGAAATTTGGCAGGACGACCGGGCCTGGTGAAAAATTTGATATTCCGAAGTCGCCCAAACAAGAAAATGCAAAATGGCTCCATAGCGCCCCCTAAGGTGAAAATTCACACTATTGACTGTCACGCCTGTACGCTTTGTCAAAATGACACAAAAATTGACACACACATGTATCTCAATAAGATCTACAAAAAAGTCAGTGCGGGCGTATCTGTCAAATGTACGGTTAAAGGGTTATTTCGCATTTTTTGCCGATCCGCACACATTGGAATTTCGCTAACTCCTCCGAAGGCTTTCGTTCCACCGGCACCACATTTGCTCAGGCCAATCTACACCCCATGGCCATTAAAAGTTATTCAAATCATGACGCTGCACCCCACGGTTTAGGTTCTAGGGGGCGCCAAAGATAACCCTAAGATCCACATATTTAAAAGTCTTATAACTTTTTATTTTTGCCCTCACTGGCCTCCAAGTTTTCTAGGATGATGCAATGTCCAGCCATCAACACATTTGTGAAGGAATTTTTACTCCCCAAAAGAGCGCCCCCCCATGGCAGGAGAAAAAAGTCCATTTTTTCTTGTCCCCTAAGGTGAAAATACACATTGTTGAGTGTAACACCTGTAGGCTTTGGCAAAATGACACCAAAATTGACACACACATGTATCTCAATAAGATCTACAAAAAAGTCAATGCGCACGTATCTGTCAAATGTACGGTTAAAGGGTTATTCCGCATTTTTTGCCGATCCGCACACATTGGAATTTCGCTAACTCCTCCGAAGGCTTTCGTTCCACCGGCACCACATTTTCTCAGGCCAATCTACACCCCATGGCCATTAAAAGTTATTCAAATCATGACGCTGCACCCCACGGTTTAGGTTCTAGGGGGCGCCAAAGATAACCGTAAAATCCACATATTTAAAAGTCTTATAACTTTTTATTTTTGTCCCCACTGGCCTCCAAGTTTTCTAGGATGATGCAATGTCCAGCCATCAACACATTTGTGAAGGAATTTTTACTCGCCAAAAGAGCGCCCCCCCATGGCAGGAGAAAAAAGTCCATTTTTTCTTGTCCACTAATGTGAAAATACACATTGTTGAGTGCTACGCCTGTATGTTTTGTCGTATTGACACAAAATTTTACATACACGTGTCTTTCAATAAGATCTTCGAAAAAGTCAATGGCCACGTATCTGTAAAATTACGGTTAAAGGGTTATTTCGCATTTTTTGCAGATTCGCACACATTGGAATTTAGCTAACTCCTCCGAAGGCTTTCGTTCCACCGGCACCACATTTGCTCAGGCCAATCTACACCCCATGGCCATTAAAAGTTATTCAAATCATGACGCTGCACCCCACGGTTTAGGTTCTAGGGGGCGCCAAAGATAACCCTAAAATCCACATATTTAAAAGTCTTATAACTTTTTATTTTTGTCCTCACTGGCCTCCATGTTTTCTAGGATGATGCAATGTCCAGCCATCAACACATTTGTGAAGGAGTTTTTCTCGTTAAAAGAGCGCCCCCCATGGCAGGAGAATAAAGTCAAGTTTTTCCTGTTCATCATTCAATGGCTCAAACGCACTGCTCTCTCGGCAAAAGCGAAAGGAGGAGCAACTTGCCATTTGGATATATCTTAGCTGTGTTTGTGCCCTCACTCATGGTCCAGACTTTTTTCAAATAGGACATGGAGTTTTTCTGCAGCGAGCGTTTTGGTAGAAACTGCGCCTCCCGTTCATTATAATGGTAAATGACCACAAACAAGTGCGCACACCATCTTTGGACCTTGAGTGTGACGCGCTCGGGTGGGGGAGGTGGTCGCGCTGGGGGCGGCGTGACACGGCTCGGGCCCGCCAGTGCCCCAACGGGGCCCTAGTTAGGGCCCGAGCGTAGCTGCTAAGCAGCTGCGAGAGCCCTCTTGTTCCTGCATGTTTCCTTCTTTTGTTATTATTATTATTTTTCCTCCCCTTTAAACTGGAAAATGGCCCACTTCCCACTGGCGAAAACTCATGAAATTTGGCAGGACGACCAGGCCTGGTGAAAAATTTGATATTCTGAAGTCGCCCAAACAATAAAATGCAAAATGGCTCCATAGCGCCCCCTAAGGTGGAAATTCACACTATTGACTGTCACGCCTGTACGCTTTGTCAAAATGACACAAAATTTGACACACATATGTATCTCAATAAGATCTACAAAAAAGTCAGTGCGGGCGTATCTGTCAAATGTACGGTTAAAGGGCTATTTCGCATTTTTTGGCGATCCGTACACATTGGAATTTCGCTAACTCCTCCGAAGGCTTTCGTTCCACCGGCACCACATTTGCTCAGGCCAATCTACACCCCATGGCCATTAAAAGTTATTCAAATCATGACGCTGCACCCCACGGTTTAGGTTCTAGGGGGCGCCAAAGATAACCCTAAAATCCACATATTTAAAAGTCTTATAACTTTTTATTTTTGTCCTCACTGGCCTCCAAGTTTTCTAGGATGATGCAATGTCCAGCCATCAACACATTTGTGAAGGAATTTTTACTCCCCAAAAGAGCGCCCCCCCATGGCAGGAGAAAAAAGTCCATTTTTTCTTGTCCCCTAAGGTGAAAATACACATTGTTGAGTGTCACGCCTCTACACTTTGTCAAAATGACACAAAATTTGGCACACAGGTGTATCTCAATAAGATCTACGAAAAAGTCAATGCGGGCGTATCTGTCAAATGTACGGTTAAAGGGCTATTTCGCATTTTTTGGCGATCCGTACACATTGGAATTTCGCTAACTCCTCCGAAGGCTTTTGTTCCACCGGCACCACATTTGCTCAGGCCAATCTACACCCCATGGCCATTAAAAGTTATTCAAATCATGACGCTGCACCCCACGGTTTAGGTTCTAGGGGGCGCCAAAGATAACCCTAAAATCCACATATTTAAAAGTCTTATAACTTTTTATTTTTGTCCTCACTGGCCTCCAAGTTTTCTAGGATGATGCAATGTCCAGCCATCAACACATTTGTGAAGGAATTTTTACTCCCCAAAAGAGCGCCCCCCCATGGCAGGAGAAAAAAGTCGATTTTTTCTTGTCCCCTAAGGTGGAAATTCACACTATTGACTGTCACGCCTGTACGCTTTATCATATTGACACAAAAATTGACACACATATGTATCTCAATAAGATCTACAAAAAAGTCAATGCGCGCGTATCTGTCAAATGTACGGTTAAAGGGCTATTTTGCATTTTTTGCCGATTCGCACACATTGGAATGTGGCTAACTCCTCCTAAGGCTTTCGTCCCACTGACACCAAATTTGCTCAGGCCAATCTACACCCCATGGCCATTCAAAGTTTTAAAAATCATGACGCTGCACCCCACGGTTTACGTTCTAGGGGGCGCCAAAGATGACCCAAAAATCCACATTCTTAAAGGAATCCACATCCCCCCCAAGGCAGGAGAAAAAGTCAAGTTAACCCTGCCCATCGCTCAATGGCTCAATCGCATCGCTCTCCAGGCAACACCGTAAGGAGGATTAACCTGCCATTTCGATATATCATAGCTGTGTTTGTGCCCTCACTCATGGTCCAGACTTTTTTCAAATAGGACATGAAGTTTGTCTGCAGCGAGTGTTTTGGTAGAAACTGCGCCTCCCATTCATTATAATGGGAAATGACCACAGACAAGTGCGCACACCATCTTTGGACCTTGAGTGTGACGCGATCGGGAGGGGGAGGCGGTCGCGCTAGGGGCGGCGCGACGCGGCTCGGGCCCGACAGTGCCCCACCGGGGCCCTAGTTATTATTAGGGCCCGAGCCAGCTGCAGAGCAGCCGGGCGTAGGCCCTGTTATTCCTGTAGGGGTTTTTCTTTGTTAGGGCCCGAGCCAGCTGCAGAGCAGCCGGGCGTAGGCCCTATTATTCCCCAAGTGGTTTTTCTTTGTTTCTTTCTTTCTTTCTTTAGGGCCCGAGCGTAGCTGCTAAGCAGCTGCGAGAGCCCTCTTGTTCCTGTAGTTTCCTTCTTTTGTTATTATTATTATTTTTCCTCCCCTTTGAACTGGAAAATGGCCCACTTCCCACTGGCGAAAACTCATGAAATTTGGCAGGACGACCGGGCCTGGTGAAAAATTTGATATTCCGAAGTCGCCCAAACAAGAAAATGCAAAATGGCTCCATAGCGCCCCCTAAGGTGAAAATTCACACTATTCACTGTCACGCCTGTACGCTTTGTCAAAATGACACAAAAATTGACACACACATGTATCTCAATAAGATCTACAAAAAAGTCAGTGCGGGCGTATCTGTCAAATGTACGGTTAAAGGGTTATTTCGCATTTTTTGCCGATCCGCACACATTGGAATTTCGCTAACTCCTCCGAAGGCTTTCGTTCCACCGGCACCACATTTGCTCAGGCCAATCTACACCCCATGGCCATTAAAAGTTATTCAAATCATGACGCTGCACCCCACGGTTTAGGTTCTAGGGGGCGCCAAAGATAACCCTAAGATCCACATATTTAAAAGTCTTATAACTTTTTATTTTTGCCCTCACTGGCCTCCAAGTTTTCTAGGATGATGCAATGTCCAGCCATCAACACATTTGTGAAGGAATTTTTACTCCCCAAAAGAGCGCCCCCCATGGCAGGAGAAAAAAGTCCATTTTTTCTTGTCCCCTAAGGTGAAAATACACATTGTTGAGTGTAACACCTGTACGCTTTGGCAAAATGACACAAAAATTGACACACACATGTATCTCAATAAGATCTACGAAAAAGTCAATGCGCGCGTATCTGTTAAATGTACGGTTAAAGGGTTATTCCGCATTTTTTGCCGATCCGCACACATTGGAATTTCGCTAACTCCTCCGAAGGCTTTCGTTCCACCGGCACCACATTTGCTCAGGCCAATCTACACCCCATGGCCATTAAAAGTTATTCAAATCATGACGCTGCACCCCACGGTTTAGGTTCTAGGGGGCGCCAAAGATAACCGTAAAATCCACATATTTAAAAGTCTTATAACTTTTTATTTTTGTCCCCACTGGCCTCCAAGTTTTCTAGGATGATGCAATGTCCAGCCATCAACACATTTGTGAAGGAATTTTTACTCGCCAAAAGAGCGCCCCCCCATGGCAGGAGAAAAAAGTCCATTTTTTCTTGTCCACTAAGGTGAAAATACACATTGTTGAGTGCTACGCCTGTATGTTTTGTCGTATTGACACAAAATTTTACATACACGTGTATTTCAATAAGATCTTCGAAAAAGTCAATGGCCACGTATCTGTAAAATGTACGGTTAAAGGGTTATTTCGCATTTTTTGCAGATTCGCACACATTGGAATTTCGCTAACTCCTCCGAAGGCTTTCGTTCCACCGGCACCACATTTGCTCAGGCCAATCTACACCCCATGGCCATTAAAAGTTATTCAAATCATGACGCTGCACCCCACGGTTTAGGTTCTAGGGGGCGCCAAAGATAACCCTAAAATCCACATATTTAAAAGTCTTATAACTTTTTATTTTTGTCCTCACTGGCCTCCATGTTTTCTAGGATGATGCAATGTCCAGCCATCAACACATTTGTGAAGGAGTTTTTCTCGTTAAAAGAGCGCCCCCCCATGGCAGGAGAATAAAGTCAAGTTTTTCCTGTTCATCATTCAATGGCTCAAACGCACTGCTCTCTCGGCAAAAGCGAAAGGAGGAGCAACTTGCCATTTGGATATATCTTAGCTGTGTTTGTGCCCTCACTCATGGTCCAGACTTTTTTCAAATAGGACATGGAGTTTTTCTGCAGCGAGCGCTTTGGTAGAAACTGCGCCTCCCGTTCATTATAATGGTAATTGACCACAAACAAGTGCGCACACCATCTTTGGACCTTGAGTGTGACGCGATCGGGTGGGGGAGGCGGTCACGCTGGGGGCGGCGTGACACGGCTCGGGCCCGCCAGTGCCCCAACGGGGCCCTAGTTAGGGCCCGAGCGTAGCTGCTAAGCAGCTGCGAGAGCCCTCTTGTTCCTGTAGTTTCCTTCTTTTGTTATTATTAGGGCCCGAGCGTAGCTGCTAAGCAGCTGCGAGAGCCCTCTTGTTCCTGTAGTTTCCTTCTTTTGTTATTATTATTATTATTATTATTTTTCCTCCCCTTTGAACTGGAAAATGGCCCACTTCCCACTGGCGAAAACTCATGAAATTTGGCAGGACAACCGGGCCTGGTGAAAAATTTGATATTCCGAAGTCGCCCAAACAAGAAAATGCAAAATGGCTCCATAGCGCCCCCTAAGGTGAAAATTCACACTATTGACTGTCACGCCGGTACGCTTTGTCAAAATGACACAAAAATTGACACACACATGTATCTCAATAAGATCTACAAAAAAGTCAGTGCGGGCGTATCTGTCAAATGTACGGTTAAAGGGTTATTTCGCATTTTTTGCCGATCCGCACACATTGGAATTTCGCTAACTCCTCCGAAGGCTTTCGTTCCACCGGCACCACATTTGCTCAGGCCAATCTACACCCCATGGCCATTAAAAGTTATTCAAATCATGATGCTGCACCCCATGGTTTAGGTTCTAGGGGGCGCCAAAAATAACCCAAAAATCCACATTCTTAAATGTTTTATAACTTTTTATTTTTGTCCTCACTGGCCTCCAAGTTTTCTAGGATGATGCAATGTCCAGCCATCAACACATTTGTGAAGGAATTTTTACTCCCCAAAAGAGCGCCCCCCCATGGTAGGAGAAAAAAGTCAATTTTTTCTTGTCCCCTTACATAAAAATACACATTGTTGAGTGTCACGCCTGAACGCTTTGTCATATTGACACAAAAATTGACAATCATGTGTATCTCAATTAGATCTACGAAAAAGTCAAAGAGCGCGTATCTGTATAATGTACGGTTAAAGGGCTATTTTGCATTTTTTGCCGATTCGCACACATTGGAATGTGGCTATCTCCTCCTAAGGCTTTCGTCCCACCGATACCAAATTTGCTCAGGGCAATCTACACCCCATGCCCATTCAAAATTGTAAAAATCATGACGCTGCACCCCACGGTTTACGTTCTAGGGGGCGCCAAAGATGACCCAAAAATCCACATTCTCAAAAGTCATTTTGGCCACTGCAGGAGTACAGAGTACTGCAGTTCTAGGGGGCGCCAAAGATGACCCAAAAATCCACATTCTTAAAAGTCTTTTTGGCCACTGCAGGAGTATAGAGTACTGCAGGATACACACACATATACACACACGCCAACATACACACACACACACACACACACACAGACACACACACACACTCAGAGTCTGTTTTTTAGCACCTGCAAAAACATGCTGTTTACATATTTGACAAGAATGCAGAGGCTTCCTTTTGCCCCTGAAAAAAATCAAATTTCAAACACAACTTGACTGTTCATTTCTCCAAAAGACAACCATGAAGCTCCATTTCAAACCTGAAGCAGATAGTTGGTGCATGTGTACAGTAACCTGAGGGGAGTGAGGTGACTATTTCTGAGGAGAACATGAGCAGTGAAGATTCACCTTGGAGCTAGAACAGGGACGTGCACATGATTATACAGGGGCAGGGGCTCAAGTTTTTTCCAGTCATTTATACAATATGGAAATTAATGTGAAATTAAACCACAAATATGTGTGATGAACTGTTTTTAAAACTTAAACTTCAAATAAAAATTGTAAACTTCAAAACATATGCAAATTTTTAACAAAGAACATAGTAATTTACCTCTATTGACATCAAAATGCAGGCAATGGCCCAGGTGTTCTTTGTAAAATTATTTACAAAACACTGTATAGTCTCACAAATGTCACTTTTTATTTATGCCACTACAAAAAAACATGATGTAAATGATGCATGATGTAAAACATGATGTAAAAAACTTGTGTAGATCCTCCTCTATGTTAGTCCATGTGTAATTTTTCCATAATTCTTTGTTTTTTGCAGCATTTTTGTTAGTGTAACTGCAGATTGTGCTGACAGTGTCTATGGCAAAAAAAAAAAAAAAAAACTGAAAATGCCTCAACATGAACCCCTGGTGGTCTCTGAGGGTGAAACCTGCTAACTGCTGCAGCTCTGTCAGCTTCAGTCTCCCATGCAGAGCTCGGAGCGCATGTGTGGCTCTGCACCCTTAGCAGTGTTGCTAACTCCTCAGTAAGGAAAGCCTGCTTCATGTCAGAGTCTCTAAACTCCAGAAGAAGTCGATAAAAGTCCCTTTCTTTCTAAAAAAAAGTCGTTAGGGGGTCTGAAAAGTCATTGAATCTAACAACAAAGTCGCTAGGTTTGCAACTACGTGTCCCAGACTGCATCCCTGCTGAGAGTCCCTCCCTCCCTTCTCATATTGCAGGAAGAACGTAAGTTCCCGCCCCTTGTCAATCAGTCACCATATAATTTTGGATTGGTTGTTGTGGTGAAGTTTTCCACCAATAGGAGAGATGTTGTGGTGTGTTTTTTTTTTCCTTTGGCAAGCCTTTTCCGTCTGTAAGACCTGTCGCTAATGTCTGCATGCTATGTTTTCCTGTCTCATACAGCGCGATCGAGCGCCGAACGTGATCAAAATAAGCAGAAAACAAGTATCGCGGACATAATTTATCATAACTCTGGTTTTATTTGGCCTATCAACACAATTTAAAAACTGGTATATAGGTTGAGGTCCTCACTTTTGAGATAAATTGAAACGGAGAGTCAACGAGGCTCCGTCTTGCAGCTACATCCGGTTAAATATGTCATGTGACTTGAACGCACACACACACACACACACACACACACACACACACACACAGACACACACACACACGCACACACACACACTCAGAGTCTGGTTTTTAGCACCTGCAAAAACATGCTATTTACATATTTGACAAGAATGCAGAGGCTCCTTTTGCCCCTGAAAAAAATCAAATTTCAAACACAACTTGACTGGTCATTTCTCCAAAAGACAACCATGAAGCTCCATCCAAACCTGAAGCAGGCAGTTGGTGCATGTGTACAGTAACCTGAGGGGAGTGAGGTGACTGCTTCTGAGGAGAACATGAGCAGTGAAGATTCACCTTGGAGCTAGAACAGAGACATGCACATGATTATACAGGGGCAGGGGCTCAAGTTTTTTCCAGTCGTTTATACAATATGGAAATTAATGTGAAATTAAAACACAAAGTATTAATAGAAAGGTAATGACTGTCCTGTGTAGGTGACAGTGATATCCAATAGGCTAGGCACTCACAAGGCTGGCTGAGGCAAGTGTAAGTGAAAGCAACACGCACTGGCAGGAAGAACAGCAAACGCCGATGAAGGAAAAGGGTCTTTGCAGTGATGGGCGTTACCAGAGAGGGCGACGGCCAGAGGACGCGAATGGGACGGGGAGGCAGCGCGTTGGGGGGGGGGACGCGACACAGCTCGGGCCCGCCAGTGCCCCAACGGGGTCCTAGTTATTATTATTTTTCCTCCCCTTTGAACTGGAAAATGGCCCACTTCCCACTGGCGAAAACTCATGAAATTTGGCAGGACGACCGGGCCTGGTGAAAAATTTGATATTCCGAAGTCGCCCAAACAAGAAAATGCAAAATGGCTCCATAGCGCCCCCTAAGGTGAAAATTCACACTATTCACTGTCACGCCTGTACGCTTTGTCAAAATGACACAAAAATTGACACACACATGTATCTCAATAAGATCTACAAAAAAGTCAGTGCGGGCGTATCTGTCAAATGTACGGTTAAAGGGTTATTTCGCATTTTTTGCCGATCCGCACACATTGGAATTTCGCTAACTCCTCCGAAGGCTTTCGTTCCACCGGCACCACATTTGCTCAGGCCAATCTACACCCCATGGCCATTAAAAGTTATTCAAATCATGACGCTGCACCCCACGGTTTAGGTTCTAGGGGGCGCCAAAGATAACCCTAAGATCCACATATTTAAAAGTCTTATAACTTTTTATTTTTGCCCTCACTGGCCTCCAAGTTTTCTAGGATGATGCAATGTCCAGCCATCAACACATTTGTGAAGGAATTTTTACTCCCCAAAAGAGCGCCCCCCATGGCAGGAGAAAAAAGTCCATTTTTTCTTGTCCCCTAAGGTGAAAATACACATTGTTGAGTGTAACACCTGTACGCTTTGGCAAAATGACACAAAAATTGACACACACATGTATCTCAATAAGATCTACGAAAAAGTCAATGCGCGCGTATCTGTCAAATGTACGGTTAAAGGGTTATTCCGCATTTTTTGCCAATCCGCACACATTGGAATTTCGCTAACTCCTCCAAAGGCTTTCGTTCCACCGGCACCACATTTGCTCAGACCTATCTACACCCCATGGCCATTAAAAGTTATTCAAATCATGACGCTGCACCCCACGGTTTAGGTTCTAGGGGGAGCCAAAGATAACCGTAAAATCCACATATTTAAAAGTCTTATAACTTTTTATTTTTGTCCCCACTGGCCTCCAAGTTTTCTAGGATGATGCAATGTCCAGCCATCAACACATTTGTGAAGGAATTTTTACTCCCTAAAAGAGCGCCCCCCCATGGCAGGAGAAAAAAGTCCATTTTTTCTTGTCCCCTAAGGTGAAAATACACATTGTTGACTGTCACGCCTGTACGCTTTGGCAAAATGACACAAAAATTGACAATCATGTGTATCTCAATTAGATCTACGAAAAAGTCAAAGAGCGCGTATCTGTATAATGTACGGTAAAAGGGCTATTTTGCATTTTTTGCCGATTCGCACACATTGGAATTTCGCTAACTCCTCCTAAGGCTTTCGTCCCACTGACACCAAATTTGCTCAGGCCAATCTACACTCCATGGCCATTCAAAGTTGTAAAAATCATGACGCTGCACCCCACGGTTTACGTTTTAGGGGGCGCCAAAGATGACCCCAATATACATTACAGTAGACAAAGTAGTTTTGCCCACTGAGTGGCGCCAAAGGGACTTGTCTGTGGAGTCTGTGAGTCACTATTGGCCGTTTTTGACTACTTTAGATTTTACCTTTATATTTCCTCTTACAAAATTTTTACCTTGCCTTGCCTGGTATCATTTTTTTCAGCACAACCTCACCTGTGTCAATTTACAGTTATTTTATCATTTTGACATACTATATTTACACATTGGACCCAAATTCACACACAAAACATAAAATCCGAGTGGAAAAAAGTAACGTTTTTACTGTGAAAACCACAAATATGTGTGATGAACTGTTTTTAAAACTTAAACTTCAAATAAAAATTGTAAACTTCAAAACATATGCAAATTTTTAACAAAGAACATAGTAATTTACCTCTATTGACATCAAAATGCAGGCAATGGCCCAGGTGTTCTTTGTAAAATTATTTACAAAACACTGTATAGTCTCACAAATGTCACTTTTCATTATGCCACTACAAAAAAACATGATGTAAATGATGCATGATGTAAAACATGATGTAAAAAACTTGTGTAGATCCTCCTCTATGTTAGTCCATGTGTAATTTTTCCATAATTCTTTGTTTTTTGCAGCATTTTTGTTAGTGTAACTGCAGATTGTGCTGACAGTGTCTATGGCAAAAAAAAAAAAAAAAACTGAAAATGCCTCAACATGAACCCCTGGTGGTCTCTGAGGGTGAAACCTGCTAACTGCTGCAGCTCTGTCAGCTTCAGTCTCCCATGCAGAGCTCGGAGCGCATGTGTGGCTCTGCACCCTTAGCAGCGTTGCTAACTCCTCAGTAAGGAAAGCCTGCTTCATGTCAGAGTCTCTAAACTCCAGAAGAAGTCGATAAAAGTCACTTTCTTTCTAAAAAAAAAGTCGTTAGGGGGTCTGAAAAGTCATTGAATCTAACAACAAAGTCGCTAGGTTTGCAACTACGTGTCCCAGACTGCATCCCTGCTGAGAGTCCCTCCCTCCCTTCTCATATTGCAGGAAGAACGTAAGCGCCCGCCCCTTGTCAATCAGTCACCATATAATTTTGGATTGGTTGTTGTGGTGAAGTTTTCCACCAATAGGAGAGATGTTGTGGTGTGTTTTTTTTTTCCTTTGGCAAGCCTTTTCCGCCTGTAAGACCTGTCGCTAATGTCTGCATGCTATGTTTTCCTGTCTCATACAGCGCGATCGAGCGCCGAACGTGATCAAAATAAGCAGAAAAAAAGTATCGCGGACATAATTTATCATAACTCTGGTTTTATTTGGCCTATCAACACAATTTAAAAACTGGTATATAGGTTGAGGTCCTCACTTTTGAGATAAGTTGAAACGGAGTCAACGAGGCTCCGTCTTGCAGCTACATCCGGTTAAATATGTCATGTGACTTGAACGCACACACACACACACACACACACACAGACACACGCACACACACACACTCAGAGTCTGGTTTTTAGCACCTGCAAAAACATGCTATTTACATATTTGACAAGAATGCAGAGGCTCCTTTTGCCCCTGAAAAAAATCACATTTCAAACACAACTTGACTGGTCATTTCTCCAAAAGACAACCATGAAGCTCCATCCAAACCTGAAGCAGGCAGTTGGTGCATGTGTACAGTAACCTGAGGGGAGTGAGGTGAGTGCTTCTGAGGAGAACATGAGCAGTGAAGATTCACCTTACAGCTAGAACAGAGACGTGCACATGATTATACAGGGGCAGGGGCTCAAGTTTTTTCCAGTTGTTTATACAATATGGAAATTAATGTGAAATTAAAAAACAAAGTATTAATAGAAAGGTAATGACTGTCCTGAGTAGGTGACAGTGATATCCAATAGGCTAGGCACTCAAGAGGCTGGCTGTGGCAAGTGTAAGTGAAAGCAACACGCACTGGCAGGAAGAACAGCAAACGCCGATGAAGGAAAAGGGTCTTTGCAGTGATGGGCGTTACCAGAGAGGGCGATGGCCAGAGGACACAAATGGGACGGGGAGGCAGCGCGTTGGGGGGGGGACGCGACACAGCTCGGGCCCGCCAGTGCCCCAACGGGGTCCTAGTTCTTTCTTTCTTTCTTCTTTTTCCTCCCCTTTGAACTGGAAAATGGCCCACTTCCCACTGGCGAAAACTCATGAAATTTGGCAGGACGACCGGGCCTGGTGAAAAATTCGATATTCTGAAGTCGCCCAAACAATAAAATGCAAAATGGCTCCATAGCGCCCCCTAAGGTGGAAATTCACACTATTGACTGTCACGCCTGTACGCTTTGTCATATTGACACAAAAATTGACACACATATGTATCTCAATAAGATCTACAAAAAAGTCAGTGCGGCCGTATCTGTCAAAATTACGGTTAAAGGGTTATTTCGCATTTTTTGCCGATCCGCACACATTGGAATTTCGCTAACTCCTCCGAAGGCTTTCGTTCCACCGGCACCACATTTGCTCAGGCCAATCTACACCCCGTGGCCATTAAAAGTTATCAAAATCATGACGCTGCACCCCAAGGTTTAGGTTCTAGGGGGCGCCAAAGATAACACTAAAATCCACATATTTAAAAGTCTTATAACTTTTTATTTTTGTCCTCACTGGCCTCCAAGTTTTCTAGGATGATGCAATGTCCAGCCATCAACACATTTGTGAAGGAATTTTTACTCCCCAAAAGAGCGCCCCCCATGGCAGGAGAAAAAAGTCCATTTTTTCTTGTCCCCTAAGGTGAAAATACACATTGTTGAGTGTCACGCCTATACGCTTTGTCAAAATGACACAAAAATTGACACACACATGTAACTCAATAAGATCTACAAAAAGTCCATGCGCGCGTATCTGTCAAATGTACAGTTAAAGGGTTATTCCGCATTTTTTGCCGATACGCACACATTGGAATTTCGCTAACTCCTCCGAAGGCTTTCGTTCCACCGGCACCACATTTGCTCAGGCCAATCTACACCCCATGGCCATTAAAAGTTATTCAAATCATGATGCTGCACCCCATGGTTTAGGTTCTAGGGGGCGCCAAAAATAACCCAAAAATCCACATTCTTAAATGTTTTATAACTTTTTATTTTTGTCCTCACTGGCCTCCAAGTTTTCTAGGATGATGCAATGTCCAGCCATCAACACATTTGTGAAGGAATTTTTACTCCCCAAAAGAGCGCCCCCCATGGTAGGAGAAAAAAGTCAATTTTTTCTTGTCCCCTTACATAAAAATACACATTGTTGAGTGTCACGCCTGAACGCTTTGTCATATTGACACAAAAATTGACAATCATGTGTATCTCAATTAGATCTACGAAAAAGTCAAAGAGCGCGTATCTGTATAATGTACGGTTAAAGGGCTATTTTGCATTTTTTGCCGATTCGCACACATTGGAATGTGGCTATCTCCTCCTAAGGCTTTCGTCCCACCGATACCAAATTTGCTCAGGGCAATCTACACCCCATGCCCATTCAAAGTTGTAAAAATCATGACGCTGCACCCCACGGTTTACGTTCTAGGGGGCGCCAAAATGACCCAAAAATCCACATTCTTAAAAGTCATTTTGGCCACTGCAGGAGTACAGAGTACTGCAGTTCTAGGGGGCGCCAAAGATGACCCAAAAATCCACATTCTTAAAAGTCTTTTTGGCCACTGCAGGAGTACAGAGTACTGCAGGATACACACACATATACACACACGCCAACAACACACACACACACACACACACACACACACACACACACACACACAGACACACACACACACTCAGAGTCTGTTTTTTAGCACCTGCAAAAACATGCTGTTTACATATTTGACAAGAATGCAGAGGCTTCCTTTTGCCCCTGAAAAAAATCAAATTTCAAACACAACTTGACTGTTCATTTCTCCAAAAGACAACCATGAAGCTCCATTTCTAACCTGAAGCAGATAGTTGGTGCATGTGTACAGTAACATGAGGGGAGTGAGGTGACTATTTCTGAGGAGAACATGAGCAGTGAAGATTCAGCTTGGAGCTAGAACAGGGACGTGCACATGATTATACAGGGGCAGGGGCTCAAGTTTTTTCCAGTCATTTATACAATATGGAAATTAATGTGAAATTAAACCACAAATATGTGTGATGAACTGTTTTTAAAACTTAAACTTCAAATAAAAATTGTAAACTTCAAAACATATGCAAATTTTTAACAAAGAACATAGTGATTTACCTCTATTTACATCAAAATGCAGGCAATGGCCCAGGCGTTCTTTGTAAAATTATTTACAAAACACTGTATAGTCTCACAAATGTCACTTTTTATTTATGCCACTACAAAAAAACATGATGTAAATGATGCATGATGTAAAACATGATGTAAAAAACTTGTGTAGATCCTCCTCTATGTCAGTCCATGTGTAATTTTTCCATAATTCTTTGTTTTTTGCAGCATTTTTGTTAGTGTAACTGCAGATTGTACTGACAGTGTCTATGGCACAAAAAAAAAAAAAAATTAAAATGCCTCAACATGAACCCCTGGTGGTCTCTGAGGGTGAAACCTGCTAACTGCTGCAGCTCTGTCAGCTTCAGTCTCCCATGCAGAGCTCTGAGCGCATGTGTGGCTCTGCACCCTTAGCCGCGTTGCTAACTCCTCAGTAAGGAAAGCCTGCTTCATGTCAGAGTCTCTAAACTCCAGAAGAAGTCGATAAAAGTCCCTTTCTTTCTAAAAAAAAGTCGTTAGGGTGTCTGAAAAGTCATTGAATCTAACAACAAAGTCGCTAGGTTTGCAACTACGTGTCCCAGACTGCATCCCTGCTGAGAGTCCCTCCCTCCCTTCTCATGTTGCAGGAAGAACGTAAGCGCCCGCCCCTTGTCAATCAGTCACCATATAATTTTGGATTGGTTGTTGTGGTGAAGTTTTCCACCAATAGGAGAGATGTTGTGGTGTGTTTTTTTTTTCTTTTGGCAAGCCTTTTCCGCCTGTAAGACCTGTCGCTAATGTCTGCATGCTATGTTTTCCTGTCTCATACAGCGCGATCGAGCGCCGAACGTGATCAAAATAAGCAGAAAAAAAGTATCGCGGACATAATTTATCATAACTCTGGTTTTATTTGGCCTATCAACACAATTTAAAAACTGGTATATAGGTTGAGGTCCTCACTTTTGAGATAAGTTGAAACGGAGAATCAACGAGGCTCCGTCTTGCAGCTACATCCGGTTAAATATGTCATGTGACTTGAACGCACACATAGACACACACACACGCACACACACACACACACACACACACACACACACACACACTCAGAGTCTGGTTTTTAGCACCTGCAAAAACATGCTATTTACATATTTGACAAGAATGCAGAGGCTCCTTTTGCCCCTGAAAAAAATCAAATTTCAAACACAACTTGACTGGTCATTTCTTCAAAAGACAACCATGAAGCTCCATCCAAACCTGAAGCAGGCAGTTGGTGCATGTGTACAGTAACCTGAGGGGAGTGAGGTGAGTGCTTCTGAGGAGAACATGAGCAGTGAAGATTCACCTTGGAGCTAGAACAGAGACATGCACATGATTATACAGGGGCAGGGGCTCAAGTTTTTTCCAGTCGTTTATACAATATGGAAATTAATGTGAAATTAAAAAACAAAGTATTAATAGAAAGGTAATGACTGTCCTGTGTAGGTGACAGTGATATCCAATAGGCTAGGCACTCACGAGGCTGGCTGTGGCAAGTGTAAGTGAAAGCAACACGCACTGGCAGGAAGAACAGCAAACGCCGATGAAGGAAAAGGGTCTTTGCAGTGATGGGCGTTAACAGAGAGGGCGATGGCCAGAGGACACAAATGGGACAGGGAGGCAGCACGTTGGGGGGGGGGGGGGGGGGGACGCGACATGGCTCGGGCCCGCCAGTGCCCCAACGGGGTCCTAGTTTCTTTCTTTCTTCTTTTTCCTCCCCTTTGAACTGGAAAATGGCCCACTTCCCACTGGCGAAAACTCATGAAATTTGGCAGGACGACCGGGCCTGGTGAAAAATTCGATATTCTGAAGTCGCCCAAACAATAAAATGCAAAATGGCTCCATAGCGCCCCCTAAGGTGGAAATTCACACTATTGACTGTCACGCCTGTACGCTTTGTCATATTGACACAAAAATTGACACACATATGTATCTCAATAAGATCTACAAAAAAGTCAGTGCGGGCGTATCTGTCAAAATTACGGTTAAAGGGTTATTTCGCATTTTTTGCCGATCCGCACACATTGGAATTTCGCTAACTCCTCCGAAGGCTTTCGTTCCACCGGCACCACATTTGCTCAGGCCAATCTACACCCCGTGGCCATTAAAAGTTATCAAAATCATGACGCTGCACCCCACGGTTTACGTTCTAGGGGGCGCCAAAGATAACCCAAAAATCCACAGTCTTAAAAGTCTTACAACTTTTTATTTTTGTCCTCACTGGCCTCCAAGTTTTCTAGGATGATGCAATGTCCAGCCATCAACACATTTGTGAAGGAATTTTTACTCCCCAAAAGAGCGCCCCCCCATGGCAGGAGAAAAAAGTCCATTTTTTCTTGACCCCTAAGGTGAAAACACACATTGTTGAGTGTCATGCCTGAACGCTTTGTCATATTGACACAAAATTTGACAATCACGTGTATCTCAATAAGATCTACGAAAAAGTCAAAGAGCGCGTATGTGTATAATGTATGGTAAAAGGGCTATTTTGCATTTTTTGCCGATTTGCACACATTGGAATGTGGCTAACTCCTCCTAAGGCTTTCGTCCCAATGACACCAAATTTGCTCAGGCCAATCTACAACCCATGGCCATTCAAAGTTGTAAAAATCATGACGCTGCACCCCACGGTTTACGTTCTAGCGGGCGCCAAAGATGACCCAAATATACATTACAGCAGACAAAGTAGTTTTGCCCACTGAGTGGCGCCAAAGGGACTTGTCTATGGAGACTGGGAGTCACTATTGGCCGTTTTTGACTACTTTAGATTTTACCTTTATATTTCCTCTTAAAAATTTTTTACCTTGCCTTGCCTGGTATCATTTTTTTCAGCACAACCTCACCTGTGTGACTTTACAGTTATTTTATCATTTTCACATACTGTTTTTACACAATGGACCCAAATTCACACACAAAACATAATATCCGAGTGGAAAAAAGTAACATTTTTACTGTGAAAACCACAAATATGTGTGATGAACTGTTTTTAAAACTTAAACTTCAAATAAAAATTGTAAACTTCAAAACATATGCAAATTTTTAACAAAGAACATGGTGATTTACCTCTATTTACATCAAAATGCAGGCAATGGCCCAGGCGTTCTTTGTAAAATTATTTACAAAACACTGTATAGTCTCACAAATGTCACTTTTTATTTATGCCACTACAAAAAAACATGATGTAAATGATGCATGATGTAAAACATGATGTAAAAAACTTGTGTAGATCCTCCTCTATGTCAGTCCATGTGTAATTTTTCCATAATTCTTTGTTTTGTCCAGCATTTTTGTTAGTGTAACTGCAGATTGTGCTGACAGTGTCTATGGCACAAAAAATTTTTTTTTAAAATGCCTCAACATGAACCCCTGGTGGTCTCTGAGGGTGAAACCTGCTAACTGCTGCAGCTCTGTCAGCTTCAGTCTCCCATGCAGAGCTCGGAGCGCATGTGTGGCTCTGCACCCTTAGCAGTGTTGCTAACTCCTCAGTAAGGAAAGCCTGCTTCATGTCAGAGTCTCTAAACTCCAGAAGAAGTCAATAAAAGTCCCTTTCTTTCTAAAAAAAAGTCGTTAGGGGGTCTGAAAAGTCATTGAATCTAACAACAAAGTCGCTAGGTTTGCAACTACGTGTCCCAGACTGCATCCCTGCTGAGAGTCCCTCCCTCGCTTCTCATGTTGCAGGAAGAACGTAAGCGCCCGCCCCTTGTCAATCAGTCACCATATAATTTTGGATTGGTTGTTGTGGTGAAGTTTTCCACCAATAGGAGAGATGTTGTGGTGTGTTTTTTTTTTCTTTTGGCAAGCCTTTTCCGCCTGTAAGACCTGTCGCTAATGTCTGCATGCTATGTTTTCCTGTCTCATACAGCGCGATCGAGCGAAAAATTCGATATTCTGAAGTCGCCCAAACAATAAAATGCAAAATGGCTCCATAGCGCCCCCTAAGGTGAAAATTCACATGACGGCTGTACGCTTTGTCATATTGACACAAAAATTGACACACATATGTATCTCAATAAGATCTACAAAAAAGTCAGTGCGGGCGTATTTGTCAAATGTACGGTTAAAGGGTTATTTCGCATTTTTTGCCGATCCGCACACATTGGAATTTCGCTAACTCCTCCGAAGGCTTTTGTTCCACCGGCACCACATTTGCTCAGGCCAATCTACACCCCATGGCCATTAAAAGTTATTCAAATCATGACGCTGCACCCCACGGTTTAGGTTCTAGGGGGCGCCAAAAATAACCCTAAAATCCACATATTTAAAAGTCTTATAACTTTTTATTTTTGTCCTCACTGGCCTCCAAGTTTTCTAGGATGATGCAATGTCCAGCCATCAACACATCTGTGAAGGAATTTTTACTCGCCAAAAGAGCGCCCCCCCATGGCAGGAGAAAAAAGTCCATTTTTTCTTGTCCCCTAAGGTGAAAATACACATTGTAGAGTGTCACGCCTGTACGCTTTGGCAAAATGACACAAAAATTGACACACACATGTATCTCAATAAGATCTACAAAAAAGTCAATGCGCGCGTATCTGTCAAATGTACGGTTAAAGGGTTATTCCGCATTTTTTGCCGATACGCACACATTGGAATTTCGCTAACTCCTCCGAAGGCTTTCGTTCCACCGGCACCACATTTGCTCAGGCCAATCTACACCCCATGGCCATTAAAAGTTATTCAAATCATGATGCTGCACCCCATGGTTTAGGTTCTAGGGGGCGCCAAAAATAACCCAAAAATCCACATTCTTAAATGTTTTATAACTTTTTTTTTTTGTCCTCACTGGCCTCCAAGTTTTCTAGGATGATGCAATGTCCAGCCATCAACACATTTGTGAAGGAATTTTTACTCCCCAAAAGAGCGCCCCCCATGGTAGGAGAAAAAAGTCAATTTTTTCTTGTCCCCTTACATGAAAATACACATTGTTGAGTGTCACGCCTGAACGCTATGTCATATTGACACAAAAATTGACAATCATGTGTATCTCAATTAGATCTACGAAAAAGTCAAAAAGCGCGTATCTGTATAATGTACGGTTAAAGGGCTATTTTGCATTTTTTGCCGATTCGCACACATTGGAATGTGGCTATCTCCTCCTAAGGCTTTAGTCCCACCGATACCAAATTTGCTCAGGGCAATCTACACCCCATGCCCATTCAAAGTTGTAAAAATCATGACGCTGCACCCCACGGTTTACGTTCTAGGGGGCGCCAAAGATGACCCAAAAATCCACATTCTTAAAAGTCATTTTGGCCACTGCAGGAGTACAGAGTACTGCAGTTCTAGGGGGCGCCAAAGATGACCCAAAAATCCACATTCTTAAAAGTCTTTTTGGCGACTGCAGGAGTACAGAGTACTGCTGGATACACACACATATACACACACGCCAACATACACACACACACACACACACACACACACACACACACACACACACACACTCAGAGTCTGTTTTTTAGCACCTGCAAAAACATGCTGTTTACATATTTGACAAGAATGCAGAGGCTTCCTTTTGCCCCTGAAAAAAATCTAATTTCAAACACAACTTGACTGTTCATTTCTCCAAAAGACAACCATGAAGCTCCATCCAAACCTGAAGCAGATAGTTGGTGCATGTGTACAGTAACCTGAGGGGAGTGAGGTGACTATTTCTGAGGAGAACATGAGCAGTGAAGATTCACCTTGGAGCTAGAACAGGGACGTGCACATGATTATACAGGGGCAGGGGCTCAAGTTTTTTCCAGTCATTTATACAATATGGAAATTAATGTGAAATTAAACCACAAATATGTGTGATGAACTGTTTTTAAAACTTAAACTTCAAATAAAAATTGTAAACTTCAAAACATATGCAAATTTTTAACAAAGAACATAGTAATTTACCTCTATTTACATCAAAATGCAGGCAATGGCCCAGGCGTTCTTTGTAAATTTATTTACAAAACACTGTATAGTCTCACAAATGTCACTTTTTATTAATGCCACTACAAAAAAACATGATGTAAATGATGCATGATGTAAAACATGATGTAAAAAACTTGTGTAGATCCTCCTCTATGTCAGTCCATGTGTAATTTTTCCATAATTCTTTGTTTTTTGCAGCATTTTTGTTAGTGTAACTGCAGATTGTGCTGACAGTGTCTATGGCAAAAAAAAAAAAAAAACTGAAAATGCCTCAACATGAACCCCTGGTGGTCTCTGAGGGTGAAACCTGCTAACTGCTGCAGCTTTGTCAGCTTTAGTCTCCCATGCAGAGCTCGGAGCGCATGTGTGGCTCTGCACCCTTAGCAGCGTTGCTAACTCCTCAGTAAGGAAAGCCTGCTTCATGTCAGAGTCTCTAAACTCCAGAAGAAGTCGATAAAAGTCCCTTTCTTTCTAAAAAAGTCGTTAGGGGGTCTGAAAAGTCATTGAATCTAACAACAAAGTCGCTAGGTTTGCAACTACGTGTCCCAGACTGCATCCCTGCTGAGAGTTCCTCCCTCCCTTCTCATGTTGCAGGAAGAACGTAAGCGCCCGCCCCTTGTCAATCAGTCACCATATAATTTTGGATTGGTTGTTGTGGTGAAGTTTTCCACCAATAGGAGAGATGTTGTGGTGTGTTTTTTTTTTTTCTTTGGCAAGCCTTTTCCGCCTGTAAGACCTGTCGCTAATGTCTGCATGCTATGTTTTCCTGTCTCATACAGCGCGATCGAGCGCCGAACGTGATCAAAATAAGCAGAAAAAAAGTATCGCGGACATAATTTATCATAACTCTGGTTTTATTTGGCCTATCAACACAATTTGAAAACTGGTGTATAGTTTGAGGTCCTCACTTTTGAGATAAGTTGAAACGGAGAGTCAACGAGGCTCCGTCTTGCTGCTACATCCAGTTAAATATGTCATGTGACTTGAACGCTGGGGAGCGTCAATCGACTGCAGAGCCAGCAGACAAAGTAGTTGTGGCCACTGAAAGGCACATATTTGTCATATGCTATAATCCTAACATATTTTAATGCTTTTTCTATTTAAACCTAATGGATCTAAGGTTTGACCTTCAAAATTTAGGAAGAATATGTTTTTGCAGTAATGACCCCGTTAAACAACCAGAGGTCCTTTCCTAAAGTTTATGGAAAGCTAAATTCCATAAAATGGTCTTGGCGTATTAGCAGTGATATAAAATAGTGGTTTGAATATGAATGAACAACAACAAAAAAAAAACATCAACAGAGCCTTTTTGAGTTGGGATTCTTTCATTATCACACAAAAACAGACATAGACATCTAAAGGGAAAGGGAATGATCAGCCCTCCTAACTCTCAGATGAATCTTCAAAATTCACCTCAGAAATATGCTTATTATTCTTCTCAGAGTACTGCAGGATATACACACACACACACTCAGAGTCTTTTTTTTAGCACCTGCAAAAACATGCTATTTACATATTTGACTAGAATGCAGAGGCCCCTTTTTGCCCCTGAAAAAAATCAAATTTCAAACACAACTTGACTGCTCATTTCTCCAAAAGACAACCATGAAGCTCCATCCAAACCTGAAGCAAGCAGTTGGTGCATGTGTACAGTCACCTGAGGGGAGTGAGGTGACTACTTCTGAGGAGAACATGAGCAGTGAAGATTCACCTTGGAGCTAGAACAGGGACGTGCACATGATTATACAGGGGCAGGGGCTCAAGTTTTTTCCAGTCATTTATACAATATTGAAATTAATGTGAAATTAAAAAACAAGTATTAATAGAAAGGTTATGACTGTCCTGTGTAGATGACAGTGATATCCAATAGGCTAGGCACTCACGAGGCTGGCTGTGGCAAGTGTAAGTGAAAGCAACACGCACTGGCAGGAAGAACAGCAAACGCCGATGAAGGAAAGGGTCTTTGCAGTGATGGGCGTTACCAGAGAGGGCGATGGCCAGAGGACGCGAATGGGACGGGGAGGCAGCGCGTTGGGGGGGGCAGCGCGACACGGCTCGGGCCCGCCAGTGCCCCAACGGGGCCCTAGTTATTTTTCCTCCCCTTTGAACTGGAAAATGGCCCACCTCCCACTGGCGAAAACTCATGAAATTTGGCAGGACGACCGGGCCTGGTGAAAAATTTGATATTCCGAAGTCGCCCAAACAAGAAAATGCAAAATGGCTCCATAGCGCCCCCTAAGGTGAAAATTCACACTATTCACTGTCACGCCGGTACGCTTTGTCAAAATGACACAAAAATTGACACACACATGTATCTCAATAAGATCTACAAAAAAGTCAGTGCGGGCGTATCTGTCAAATGTACGGTTAAAGGGTTATTTCGCATTTTTTGCCGATCCGCACACATTGGAATTTCGCTAACTCCTCCGAAGGCTTTCGTTCCACCGGCACCACATTTGCTCAGGCCAATCTACACCCCATGGCCATTAAAAGTTATTCAAATCATGACGCTGCACCCCACGGTTTAGGTTCTAGGGGGCGCCAAAGATAACCCTAAGATCCACATATTTAAAAGTCTTATAACTTTTTATTTTTGCCCTCACTGGCCTCCAAGTTTTCTAGGATGATGCAATGTCCAGCCATCAACACATTTGTGAAGGAATTTTTACTCCCCAAAAGAGCGCCCCCCCATGGCAGGAGAAAAAAGTCCATTTTTTCTTGTCCCCTAAGGTGAAAATACACATTGTTGAGTGTAACACCTGTACGCTTTGGCAAAATGACACAAAAATTGACACACACATGTATCTCAATAAGATCTACGAAAAAGACAGTGCGCGCGTATCTGTCAAATGTACGGTTAAAGGGTTATTCCGCACTTTTTGCCGATCCGCACACATTGGAATTTCGCTAACTCCTCCGAAGGCTTTCGTTCCACCGGCACCACATTTGCTCAGGCCAATCTACACCCCATGGCCATTAAAAGTTATTCAAATCATGACGCTGCACCCCACGGTTTAGGTTCTAGGGGGAGCCAAAGATAACCGTAAAATCCACATATTTAAAAGTCTTATAACTTTTTATTTTTGTCCCCACTGGCCTCCAAGTTTTCTAGGATGATGCAATGTCCAGCCATCAACACATTTGTGAAGGAATTTTTACTCGGCAAAAGAGCGCCCCCCATGGCAGGAGAAAAAAGTCAATTTTTTCTTGTCCACTAAGGTGAAAATACACATTGTTGAGTGCTACGCCTGTATGTTTTGTCGTATTGACACAAAATTTTACATACACGTGTATTTACATAAGATCTTCGAAAAAGTCAATGGCCACGTATCTGTAAAATGTACGGTTAAAGGGTTATTTCGCATTTTTTGCCGATCCGCACACATTGGAATTTCGCTAACTCCTCCGAAGGCTTTCGTTCCACCGGCACCACATTTGCTCAGGCCAATCTACACCCCATGGCCATTAAAAGTTATTCAAATCATGACGCTGCACCCCACGGTTTAGGTTCTAGGGGGCGCCAAAGATAACCCTAAGATCCACATATTTAAAAGTCTTATAACTTTTTATTTTTGCCCTCACTGGCCTCCAAGTTTTCTAGGATGATGCAATGTCCAGCCATCAACACATTTGTGAAGGAATTTTTACTCCCCAAAAGAGCGCCCCCCCATGGCAGGAGAAAAAAGTCCATTTTTTCTTGTCCCCTAAGGTGAAAATACACATTGTTGAGTGTAACACCTGTACGCTTTGGCAAAATGACACAAAAATTGACACACACATGTATCTCAATAAGATCTACGAAAAAGACAGTGCGCGCGTATCTGTCAAATGTACGGTTAAAGGGTTATTCCGCACTTTTTGCCGATCCGCACACATTGGAATTTCGCTAACTCCTCCGAAGGCTTTCGTTCCACCGGCACCACATTTGCTCAGGCCAATCTACACCCCATGGCCATTAAAAGTTATTCAAATCATGACGCTGCACCCCACGGTTTAGGTTCTAGGGGGAGCCAAAGATAACCGTAAAATCCACATATTTAAAAGTCTTATAACTTTTTATTTTTGTCCCCACTGGCCTCCAAGTTTTCTAGGATGATGCAATGTCCAGCCATCAACACATTTGTGAAGGAATTTTTACTCCCCAAAAGAGCGCCCCCCCATGGCAGGAGAAAAAAGTCAATTTTTTCTTGTCCACTAAGGTGAAAATACACATTGTTGAGTGCTACGCCTGTATGTTTTGTCGTATTGACACAAAATTTTACATACACGTGTATTTACATAAGATCTTCGAAAAAGTCAATGGCCACGTATCTGTAAAATGTACGGTTAAAGGGTTATTTCGCATTTTTTGCAGATTCGCACACATTGGAATTTCGCTAATTCCTCCGAAGGCTTTCGTTCCACCGGCACCACATTTGCTCAGGCCAATCTACACCCCATGGCCATTAAAAGTTATTCAAATCATGACGCTGCACCCCACGGTTTAGGTTCTAGGGGGCGCCAAAGATAACCCTAAAATCCACATATTTAAAAGTCTTATAACTTTTTATTTTTGTCCTCACTGGCCTCCATGTTTTCTAGGATGATGCAATGTCCAGCCATCAACACATTTGTGAAGGAGTTTTTTCTCTTTAAAAGAGCGCCCCCCCATGGCAGGAGAATAAAGTCAAGTTTTTCCTGTTCATCATTCAATGGCTCAAACGCACTGCTCTCTCGGCAAAAGCGAAAGGAGGAGCAACTTGCCATTTGGATATATCTTAGCTGTGTTTGTGCCCTCACTCATGGTCCAGACTTTTTTCAAATAGGACATGGAGTTTTTCTGCAGCGAGCGTTTTGGTAGAAACTGCGCCTCCCGTTCATTATAATGGTAAATGACCACAAACAAGTGCGCACACCATCTTTGGACCTTGAGTGTGACGCGATCGGGTGGGGGAGGCGGTCGCGCTGGGGGCGGCGTGACACGGCTCGGGCCCGCCAGTGCCCCAACGGGGCCCTAGTTAGGGCCCGAGCGTAGCTGCTAAGCAGCTGCGAGAGCCCTCTTGTTCCTGCATGTTTCCTTCTTTTGTTATTATTATTATTATTTTTCCTCCCCTTTAAACTGGAAAATGGCCCACTTCCCACTGGCGAAAACTCATGAAATTTGGCAGGACGACCAGGCCTGGTGAAAAATTTGATATTCTGAAGTCGCCCAAACAATAAAATGCAAAATGGCTCCATAGCGCCCCCTAAGGTGGAAATTCACACTATTGACTGTCACGCCTGTACGCTTTGTCAAAATGACACAAAATTTGACACACATATGTATCTCAATAAGATCTACAAAAAAGTCAGTGCGGGCGTATCTGTCAATTGTACGGTTAAAGGGCTATTTCGCATTTTTTGGCGATCCGTACACATTGGAATTTCGCTAACTCCTCCGAAGGCTTTCGTTCCACCGGCACCACATTTGCTCAGGCCAATCTACACCCCATGGCCATTAAAAGTTATTCAAATCATGACGCTGCACCCCACGGTTTAGGTTCTAGGGGGCGCCAAAGATAACCCTAAAATCCACATATTTAAAAGTCTTATAACTTTTTATTTTTGTCCTCACTGGCCTCCAAGTTTTCTAGGATGATGCAATGTCCAGCCATCAACACATTTGTGAAGGAATTTTTACTCCCCAAAAGAGCGCCCCCCCATGGCAGGAGAAAAAAGTCCATTTTTTCTTGTCCCCTAAGGTGAAAATACACATTGTTGAGTGTCACGCCTCTACACTTTGTCAAAATGACACAAAATTTGGCACACAGGTGTATCTCAATAAGATCTACGAAAAAGTCAATGCGGGCGTATCTGTCAAATGTACGGTTAAAGGGCTATTTCGCATTTTTTGGCGATCCGTACACATTGGAATTTCGCTAACTCCTCCGAAGGCTTTTGTTCCACCGGCACCACATTTGCTCAGGCCAATCTACACCCCATGGCCATTAAAAGTTATTCAAATCATGACGCTGCACCCCACGGTTTAGGTTCTAGGGGGCGCCAAAGATAACCCTAAAATCCACATATTTAAAAGTCTTATAACTTTTTATTTTTGTCCTCACTGGCCTCCAAGTTTTCTAGGATGATGCAATGTCCAGCCATCAACACATTTGTGAAGGAATTTTTACTCCCCAAAAGAGCGCCCCCCCATGGCAGGAGAAAAAAGTCGATTTTTTCTTGTCCCCTAAGGTGGAAATTCACACTATTGACTGTCACGCCTGTACGCTTTATCATATTGACACAAAAATTGACACACATATGTATCTCAATAAGATCTACAAAAAAGTCAATGCGCGCGTATCTGTCAAATGTACGGTTAAAGGGCTATTTTGCATTTTTTGCCGATTCGCACACATTGGAATGTGGCTAACTCCTCCTAAGGCTTTCGTCCCACTGACACCAAATTTGCTCAGGCCAATCTACACCCCATGGCCATTCAAAGTTTTAAAAATCATGACGCTGCACCCCACGGTTTACGTTCTAGGGGGCGCCAAAGATGACCCAAAAATCCACATTCTTAAAGGAATCCACATCCCCCCCCAAGGCAGGAGAAAAAGTCAAGTTAACCCTGCCCATCGCTCAATGGCTCAATCGCATCGCTCTCCAGGCAACACCGTAAGGAGGATTAACCTGCCATTTCGATATATCATAGCTGTGTTTGTGCCCTCACTCATGGTCCAGACTTTTTTCAAATAGGACATGAAGTTTGTCTGCAGCGAGTGTTTTGGTAGAAACTGCGCCTCCCATTCATTATAATGGGAAATGACCACAGACAAGTGCGCACACCATCTTTGGACCTTGAGTGTGACGCGATCGGGAGGGGGAGGCGGTCGCGCTAGGGGCGGCGCGACGCGGCTCGGGCCCGACAGTGCCCCACCGGGGCCCTAGTTATTATTTTTCCTCCCCTTTGAACTGGAAAATGGCCCACTTCCCACTGGCGAAAACTCATGAAATTTGGCAGGACGACCGGGCCTGATGAAAAATTTGATATTCCGAAGTCGCCCAAACAAGAAAATGCAAAATGGCTCCATAGCGCCCCCTAAGGTGAAAATTCACACTATTCACTGTCACGCCGGTACGCTTTGTCAAAATGACACAAAAATTGACACACACATGTATCTCAATAAGATCTACAAAAAAGTCAGTGCGGGCGTATCTGTCAAATGTACGGTTAAAGGGTTATTCCGCATTTTTTGCCGATACGCACACATTGGAATTTCGCTAACTCCTCCTAAGGCTTTCGTTCCACCGGCACCACATTTGCTCAGGCCAATCTACACTCCATGGCCATTAAAAGTTATTCAAATCATGACGCTGCACCCCACGGTTTAGGTTCTAGGGGGCGCCAAAGATAACCCTAAAATCCACATATTTAAAAGTCTTATAACTTTTTATTTTTGCCCTCACTGGCCTCCAAGTTTTCTAGGATGATGCAATGTCCAGCCATCAACACATTTGTGAAGGAATTTTTACTCCCCAAAAGAGCGCCCCCCCATGGCAGGAGAAAAAAGTCCATTTTTTCTTGTCCCCTAAGGTGAAAATACACATTGTTGAGTGTAACACCTGTACGCTTTGGCAAAATGACACAAAAATTGACACACACATGTATCTCAATAAGATCTACGAAAAAGTCAATGCGCGCGTATCTGTCAAATGTACGGTTAAAGGGTTATTCCGCATTTTTTGCCGATCCGCACACATTGGAATTTCGCTAACTCCTCCGAAGGCTTTCGTTCCACCGGCACCACATTTGCTCAGGCCAATCTACACCACATGGCCATTAAAAGTTATTCAAATCATGACGCTGCACCCCACGGTTTAGGTTCTAGGGGGAGCCAAAGATAACCGTAAAATCCACATATTTAAAAGTCTTATAACTTTTTATTTTTGTCCCCACTGGCCTCCAAGTTTTCTAGGATGATGCAATGTCCAGCCATCAACACATTTGTGAAGGAATTTTTACTCGGCAAAAGAGCGCCCCCCCATGGCAGGAGAAAAAAGTCAATTTTTTCTTGTCCACTAAGGTGAAAATACACATTGTTGAGTGCTACGCCTGTATGTTTTGTCATATTGACACAAAATTTTACATACACGTGTATTTACATAAGATCTTCGAAAAAGTCAATGGCCACGTATCTGTAAAATGTACGGTTAAAGGGTTATTTCGCATTTTTTGCAGATTCGCACACATTGGAATTTCGCTAATTCCTCCGAAGGCTTTCGTTCCACCGGCACCACATTTGCTCAGGCCAATCTACACCCCATGGCCATTAAAAGTTATTCAAATCATGACGCTGCACCCCACGGTTTAGGTTCTAGGGGGCGCCAAATATAACCCTAAAATCCACATATTTAAAAGTCTTTTAACTTTTTATTTTTGTACTCACTGGCCTCCATGTTTTCTAGGATGATGCAATGTCCAGCCATCAACACATTTGTGAAGGAGTTTTTTCTCTTTAAAAGAGCGCCCCCCCATGGCAGGAGAATAAAGTCAAGTTTTTCCTGTTCATCATTCAATGGCTCAAACGCACTGCTCTCTCGGCAAAAGCGAAAGGAGGAGCAACTTGCCATTTGGATATATCTTAGCTGTGTTTGTGCCCTCACTCATGGTCCAGACTTTTTTCAAATAGGACATGGAGTTTTTCTGCAGCGAGCGTTTTGGTAGAAACTGCGCCTCCCGTTCATTATAATGGTAAATGACCACAAACAAGTGCGCACACCATCTTTGGACCTTGAGTGTGACGCGATCGGGTGGGGGAGGCGGTCGCGCTGGGGGCGGCGTGACACGGCTCGGGCCCGCCAGTGCCCCAACGGGGCCCTAGTAATTTCTTTGTTTTCTGTAATTTTTCTAGATTTTCAAATAGGTTTTTTTTCACAGAGTTTTATTTGTTTTTCAGGAGTAAAACAAACCTTCCCCATGGACTTAATCCCTTTGATGAAGCAGATGAAGACTATACTCCAGGCGCTGGCCAAACAGATGACCAACCACCACTGCACAGAGCCGCTGGTCTCAATGTCAGGTGTGATATTCAAGGTCTGACGATACCAGAAGTAATTCACTGGACTGGTTTTCTCACACTCAGTAACGTAGCCTTATCGATGGAAAAGAAAAAGACAGTGACAACATGAAATAACCGCTTGAAGATAATATCAAACAAAATTAATAATAAATAAATTCAATAAGAATCTTCTCATGATTTAATATTAAAATCAAAATAACAGTGTTCACCAGGATTAACATCATGGGGCTGTCTCACACAAGAGTTAATTCTGTTATATATATACTTTTATTGCATTAACAAGAAATGGCATTTTCAAGCAAATACACCTTCATAGGAACTTTCTTTTTTTGTAAGGTGGACAAAGCAGTCTTTTCTTATCTTGTCCATCACATGCTCAGGTAGTCATTGAAATGTATCATGTACCGTAAAAAAAAACACCTACCCCCTCACAGCAGTTTTGCGCATCAAAAATACCAGTTTAAAAATCATCAACCTTGTTGCTGATGGTCTTGTTGCTTTTATTTGTCATAAACACACATATGAATTCAAGCCAACTTCATATACATAAAGTTTAATTACGACAGATGCACAATAGCTAGCAGTGTATGGGGTGAATATTAAGGTGGTTGATGTGAAACCATACCATCAAAATCTCCCTGTGTTTAAGTATTAAATAAAAACAGCCCTTAAAATCACTTAACATTATGTTGTGAATATAATGCTTGAAAGGGTTAAACGATTCTGTAATGGCGTGTTTGCTTTTTACAACCTTTCGAAAAACAATCCTTATTTTCCTACCAAAGTTCACCTGAAATGTCATGTAGAGCTTACTTGGAAACCACTCCTTTTGGTGATTGCCTTGCAACTTTATTGAACTATTGATGTTTATTGTAGGTTTTGCTAAGCCAAAGTTTTATAGGTTGGATTGCACATCTGCCCTGTCAAAAGTGCGTTGGTGGCGTTGTAGCAGTAGATATCACTATCACATCAACAATGGCGGGAATAACTGGTCGTGTGGTTACCTGTGTGTTCCTCATTGAGCGGGCACACGCTCCATGGTAGGGGGTTTTGGAAAGAGTGGAAGAAGTACCAGAGCACCCACGCCATGATAGTGTTGTAAAAATTGGAAACCAAAAATGACACCACCATGGACGCAATTCCTACACAGAGAGAATACATATTAGACAACATAATCCAAAAATGAAATAAAATAAATAACAAATGTTGATGTTTTAGTGCCACACACCCACTCCACCCAGCAGTGGTGAGATGGAGTTCCAGACACCGATGCTGCCCTTGCGGAGCCTTTGACCTATTGCAAGCTCCAGGTAGAGCAAAGGGAGGCCTTCAAACACCAGGGCTATCAGGTAGGGGATGAGGAATGCACCTAAAGACATGGAGTTAACATTTACTTTTCCTTCAAGACAAAAGCCAGATTAGAATGACTTTATCAACAAACTATCATCCAGGGAACATACACAATAAAGTTTTTGATCATGATGTGAGCTTTTTGAATGACTGACATTATAGTGAAATTCAAGGCCATGCTTTATAATCGACAAACTAAAAGATCTGCAGAGAGGAGAATGCATTTCAAAAGGAGGTGTTGAGGGATTCTTCTGATATGGAAAAAAAAGGATCTTTTTCATCAGGCTGGTTGGACTTCGCTGTTACGAGGACAGAAATTTTTTTTCTGCCAATACCAAAACTTTTTTGCAACACCTCACTTCTTTAGAGTGGAAAACTCTAGTCAAAGTTGTGCTCCAAACTTTGTACAAAGTCGTTGCAACAGTGCACATTGTGTATTTGCACATCAACCCCTCAATCTACCTTCCTTAGCTTTATTGGATGTGGTGGGATGTACCAAATACTGCCAGAGCTGTCTATTCTTTTGACATCTGTTAACAGGGTACCTGCTTGGCAAATGCCCCCCTCACTGTTTAGTTTTACTATCATATTTCATTTAAGTATTCATTAAATTATTATTTTTTTAAAGCTCCAGTGAAGAACTTTTGGTTTGTGTCACTTTTGACACCCCCTTTGGAAAAGGCAATCATTAATTATCTTGTCCTATGACTGGGTTTGGTGTCTTCGTACTTAAAATCTCATCCTGCTGACTTTTGACGATCAGATCTACCATCAATTGAAATTGACATTTTGAAATTGAATTGAAAATTGGGCTGTTTCTTTTGCCTACCCCCTTACATTGGTTTCAGAGGTTCAAAATTAAAATATGAAATAATCAATATGTCATGATTCATGGTCAGTCTTCTGCTCTAAAGATGAGTGAAGTTGATTTGTTCATCTTTGTGTCTTTCTCTAAATAAATCTGTTAAAACAACCTCTGTTCTAAAGTTGAAGGTAACTAAGCTGAGGTCAAGTAGAGGCTCTTCTGAGTCCCACAGCCCTGTGGGAATCAGGAATCACAGAGTCAATATGTGAGGCTGATAGGCCCTTCTCTGGTTTGGAGCATTGACTGTTGACTTGAATTAACCCCCACCCAGTTAGGAGTCTGTGGCTTTGGATATCTCACGTAAACTATGAGGAAGCAAACACAGAAAGTGCGGTTGTGGAGCAGAAACGATATGTTGATGTTCACTGTTATCAATGAAGTAAAGATAAGACTCACCATTTCCAGCACAGTGACAAAAGCTGGCTTAGTTAATATGTTAATGACTAAACATAGTCCTATTACTCAAGTCTGGAGTCTCCATTGACTCAATAAGATGGCACACAGTAAAATAAATACTAAATTGATAAAACGGTTTAACAGCAGCTTTAACTAAACTATGGTTTAGCGTAAGATGTGGTGAATAAAAGCAGCATGAGTAAAGGTATCATAGAAAAGCATCTCACCTCCTCCATAGATTTGGCACAGGTAAGGAAAACGCCAGACATTTCCAAGTCCCACTGCAAAACCAATACATGTCAACAGGTACTGAATTTTGTTGTCCCACTGGGGTCTCTCCTCCACCCCTGAGTCCTTTGTCTTGGCCATCCCAAACCCGCAATAAGGCTTTTTTGTTGTTGTTGTTTTTTGGCAAAGGATATGGTTGCAATGATCCAAATATCTACTTAAATCAGACTATTTCTCTGTAATCCAAGATTTTCCAACCAATCCAAGCTCAGTGTACGTCCAAATGAGTGCTGTCTACATGTGAGCAGGCGAAATCTTCCACATCTCCTCTTTTATCCCTCTGCTCTATTTTGGTGGGCTGTCCTTAAATATCCAATCAGCTGCAGCTTTTAGTCCGAGGTACTGATTTTATTGTTTTTTCTTTTTCAAAACCAGGCCAACGGGACGAGGGTGAAAACATTAGCAATGATAAGTCAGCAGTTACAATGAGAGAGTGATAAGACACTGGATGAATAACCTGTATATTTGTTATCTTGGTCTAATTAGAGCAGCAGTCAGTCCAGCAACACCTATATAGCAGAGTTGTAATGAACAGAGTGTGTATCAAAGGTGGTGAAAAGACACTAGTATAGAAAAATATACTCAAACATTAACATTCAGGATTGAAAGGGGAAAAAATGATTTCTTGTTTAAGCAAATTAAATAACAGTAAAGGTTTGGACAGGAAACCCTTTCAGAGAAAAGCTTTCAACAAATCCAAGAGGCAATTTCTCTGAATCTTTATCATCAAGCCTGTAGATGTGAGATCTCAACCAGGAACACATATAATTGCTGTCATTTCAATCATAAAATCCAGAAATAGTCATTTTACAGGACGGTGGATTAGGAAAGTTGCCAACTCCTTTTGTTTGCTTTTTTTTTCGACTGTGGCAGCACTGACGTATTACAGCAGCTGTTTTTTTTTTTGTTTTTTTTCAGATAAATGTGCTGAGGCGTCTAAGTGGAAAAATACGCTTCTGTGGAGTCACAAGGTGGTAGTTGTTTTTTAACTGGCACCATTCACACCCTCAGTGTTAACAACCCCCCCCCCCCCCTTGCCACTGGCTCATTACATCCTGCAGGCTAATGCTTTCTCTGTTTTTTGTTTTTTCGTTTTTTTTTTACAGTGAATTTGTAACTGAAGGCTGTGTTCAGGCTGCTTTCAAAACAGATGTAAGAGACTTTAACATGCATATTTAGGGTTGTCTAGGGAGTAGTTTCTAAATAGAAGTTCTCCTTTGCTCACTCCTTTTACTGCTGAAGCTCCATAAGCCATGGTGGTCTTGGAGGACATGTAGCTGCTGCTAAGCATTAAATGTTAATATTTAAAAAAATTCTATAAACAAAACAACAAATCTTCACTTATTATATATAACTGCTCACATATCCTCTAGTCTCTTCTTAACTTTGTCTTGTTCATGTTCTCACAAATGGTGCATTTTGAACAGTCACTCAAGGATACAAAAACACAAATGGTAAATTTTAGTTTGTCTGTGATACTATGGAAAGATGCAAGATAGCCACCTCCAGTGAAAGAGACCCAGTACAACTTTGGTTATATCAAGTTATCAGTGGATTCTGGCAAAACCCCGAGAGGACTATCACTTTTTTTTTTCTTTGGCATTTCTGTGAATAATTTCCAAAAAGTCCCACAGCCAGGAAAGGTTTCAGAGATAAAGAAGAGTATCACTTGTTTTTAGTAAGAGGCGATGCGAGATTTAAAGCTCCTGTGAGGAGTTTTTTAGATATCACACTGAAATTCATATTGATGCCTTTTCATGACACCCAAAAGCAAACGAGACCATCGCTGACAATATAGTTGATTGGTACGTCATAGATTTCAATGCCTGACATCTGGTGTGTGTGTATGTGGGGGCAGCTGAATAAACAGCCGTGTTTTTACAACTTCTATGATTAATATTCTCAACACATAATACATTTGACAGGTGAAAGCCAGCAGAACGAGATTTTGTCAAAAGTCTAATTTTAACTATTTTTTAAAATATTCTGCCAGTGTTTGTGTGACATTTCCTTAGATGCTCCATTCAAAAGACAGGCAGCTTTGAGGAATTTGATTCATCCCAATAAATGAATATTTATATAAATGTACTGGAATCACAAGATAATTACTCTGTCATTATTATTCATGACAGTTACTTTCAGAAGTGAAGTTAATATCCTTTCTCTCTTCTTGTCCTGACACAGTTTCAAACAGTTGTCTCTTTCTGCCATCTGCTGGTGTTGTACGGACATGAAACCCCCATCTACCAAGGAGGAGCTTTGCACCTGCAGTCGTGGGGATGGTAAGGTGGATTTGTCAGTCCATAAGCTCAACAAGCCAACCCACACTTTTTCATGCCTCTTAAATGATGGTTTCTTACCAGCATGGATACAGCAAAGTAAAAATATTCAAGTGTCAGTGTGTGATCACGTCAGTAGTGCTTCCTCTGTGGCATCAGTGACATTATTTTTTTTTTTTTTCTTTTGGTCTTTAGCACCATCAACTGGCTTCAGTGACAAATTGCTGGTCAAACCAAAAGTGGCAATCTTATAGCTATCAAAAATAAAGACTACTCAATGAAATGAATTATCAAGGTCTTGTACTCTTCCAAGTAAATAGCAGACTCTACGGAAGACGGCAGGAAATTTGCAATTTTGTTTTCTTTTTCTGGTACTTATATCTACCTTGTCCACAGTCCCTCTCTTCATACAGGGCAGTGACACTGGTAAGCTGCTGCTACTTCACCTCAGGACGGATTAATGATCCTAAAGTTTATCACATTGTAGACAAAGAGCCTTTTCTAATCTGAGAAATGTTAAGTCTCTTTGTACTTACTAGAATGAAAACTTGCTTGAGTGTTTAAAAAATGGTATCAAATTTACTTACTTTATATTTTTAACCAACTTAACCACAGGTGAGGTATGGCCAGCTTTTTAATTGAGTCATAAATGGTGATTTTGATCCATATGGGTTAATGTAAAAAAAAAATGTCATTAGGGTTTTTAACTGCAGTTAAGCTATTCACCAGGCTTCATGTGGTTCCAGGTCAGTCCTGAAGATGGCGCCATCAACATGGTGTCATGTTGTGTGATGCTCATGAACAGCGTTTCTTAGAGCTTCAGAGAGAAGTATTTGTTTATGTCAATAAATCATGTTGAACCCTATTTATACTATACAGCAGCAAACAGGACCATGAATGACAAGGCCATAGATAGAAGGGGGCGAGATTGACAAAAAAACAAATGTTTCTCACAGGAGCTTTAATAAAACCATACATACACCATACACACAAATTTACTTCAGGTTTATCGTAAAACTGCACAAAATCAGAATGAGAATCTGAATATTTTATTTATCCCCAGGGAGAAATTCGGTCATTACAGCATTGCTGTCACAACGTGCAGAGTTAAACAAAGAAAAAGACCCAAATACAGAACAAAAAATAATTTATTTAAAGAGAACAAAATAAAAAGGCAACAAAAAGAGAAAAATCCAAAAGGCAAAATCCACAAAAATCAATGGTGCAAAATCACAGGGAGCAACAGGGGACACAAGCATACACATCAACATACATACAGACAGTGAACCAACAAGGACAGAGGGGAAGACAGAGACTATACAAACACTGAGAAACGAGCAACAGGTGAGACAAACGAGACACAGCTGAGGCAAACGACCAACAGGTGAGACAAACGAGACACAGTTAAAAACTCATGGGTGATTAACAAAAGAGGGAGTAAAACCAGACTAGAAACACAAGGAATAAACTACTACAAAATAAGACAGAAAACACTTAAAACTGATATAAAGAATAAAACACAGAGAACAGGAGGGAAACAGGTTCAAACACAAACTAAAAACCCACAAGACTGGACTACAGGGGAACAGAAACACCAGGGACAATACACAAAATACACCCAAATAAAATCAGGAGAAAACTAAATAAACAAAACATATCATGACAATTGCACTTGCTCTCTTGAAAGTACATATATTAGTAGAAGGAGAATCGAAATAAGAATTAATAGAAATTGCAATGTGAGTAAGAAGTGAAAATTATTAGAAATAAAGCTACTGTTAATAAAGTGCAGAAATAAGAGACATATGTGCATTAAAAATTTAACTTTGATAGATACCAAGAAAAAAACACTAATGGCTGTCAATTAAAAGTCTCCCACACAGATACACATTATAAAAAAAATAACTCTGCAATGATTATAAACGAACAAAATATCTTATTCTTTTTTAAAAGAATTCTGTCCGTGGTATGAAAATTAAGCAAGAATGACCGGTGAATAGAGCCGAGCACTTGTTCCTTAGAGAAAACTTGATGATTCATATACATGAGGGGTTCTTTCTGGCATTGATTCACATCAGGATGAATTAAAATAGCAGTAGTGGTATGTACTTTTTACAGTGTTTGTCAGCTTGTTAGCTTGTAACAGAGGCGCAGCAGCAGACAACTACAAAATCCACACACAAAAAAAAACTGCTACAGAGTTCAGCTTAGAGCTCAGCCTTGGTGGCAATTAAAGACGCTTCAAATTCCAACTATTGCATGCTATGCCATGATTCCGGCCAAAGTTTGATCATGCTAAACCTAACTTGTTAACATGATTTAAGATTACATTACCTTTGTATATAGCCTATTCTCTTTCAACTTACTCACTTAAATTCTAGGGGAACTGGGCCTTAGAAAAACATATTTTATTTTTTAAGAAATGATGGTTAAACCAGATTATTTAAAGCAACAAGACAAATAAAATGGTCTTTGCTTGAATCAAGAATTTTCAAAGTGATTTAAGAAATTTGTTTCAGTTTCTCCCTGGTTTTCATCTTGTCTTTGCAGCTCACATAAGCCAGCCGATACAATGCATACAAAGGTGCTGCCAAACTGGGGATCCCCGCCAGAAGAAAGATGACTGCATTGATCCATGAAGGGTAAGGTATTGGAGCCAGAGCTGGAAATTTCTTCTGCAAAATGAGAAGGCAGTGTTATCTGTACCACTATTTGTGAAATTGACTAACTGAAATTGACTAACAACTAATACACTCAGTGTCAAACAAGAACATATTTAATCGATAAACTTGTGAACTTACAGACTCTGGATCCCAGACTAAATAGGTGAGCTCTTCTTGGCCTTGTGTAACCAGGTAAAAAACTAAAATTACAACAACTACTAGAGGACTGATGACCCTCCATGACGCCTGCCAGAAGATGCCGGGCCTGTATCCAGTCATGAACTTAATGTCTTCATTGAACCTGCCACACAAAAGAGTTTTATTGAGATTATTGACTTCTATCCTGATAAACAGAAAATGCAGGTTAATAAAATGTAATAAATCACAGGCTTATGATAGGATTCCAACAACATTAGTATCAATTCTCAGCAAGTTTGAACAACAGTAATAAGTTGAAATACTCCATACTAAATACACTAAATAGTCACTGGGAAGGATGCTGTGCAACATCATTACATCCCCCTGTGAAATACTTGATTCTGATTGGCTATTGCAGAGCAGTATTTAACAGCTATGATCTGTTAATTCTCCATTTCAGACCACAATCACGAAGACCAAACCATTGCAAGAGATGTTGCTATGAATTCAGACTCTAGAGGACTAACTATAACCTTGTAATCGCACAAAATAGTATGGTTAATTTGACATTGATTTTTTCTGCAACGCCAAAACCAAGAGAGGACACAAACATTGTGAAGAAGGCTTAGGAAGCAAAAACTCTACGAAATTGAACAAAGTATGGACATTTGGGTTGCTTACAGCCTTATAGCCTTTGCAAGCATGTTGAAAATCATAAGGCTTCTTTTTTTTTTATCTAAATCGCCCAAGAATTACAGATGAGTTAGCTCCTCAAAATAGATAAATAAATAAATAAAATAAACTGCTTAACATTATTAATTGATAGACCAACTCATTTTGGGAGGACAGAGTCAGTCATTACTGTGGACGCAGCTCAAATTGTGATGGTTTTTAATGAGAAATACTTTACAGTTACCACCTTTAAATTAAATAATTGTCAAATCAATGGTTGGTGTGAGTTATTGATTTCTTGATAAATAGCCCCATAACAAGCAGCATCAGGTTGGTCCCGCCAATTACAATATGCTTACCTTTTCTTATACAACACCTCATAAAGTAGATACATTATCTTTGCTTACCTGTCTATTCCATAGATGTAAACAACAGCTATCATCTCAAATAAGCCAATGGTTAGAAGTGGAACAGATCCAGCAAAGCTGTCAAAGAGGGTTACCCAATAAATCCCTGAATGCTGCGCAAAGAGGAGGGACATGGCAAAGGCCACAAAGCAGGTTACTCCTGAAACAAATAAAGAAACAATCAGCTTTTGTATTGATGAAAATCCAATTATAGCTTTTGGGCTGTATATATCTTTAGTGTTTTAAAGAACAGATTACCTGTTACAACTTCTTGAGGCCAGTTTTGGGGTACCAATTTCAGGTCCTTCAGTGGGACCACCACTCCTTCAATGTTGCCAAACAGGCTTGAGATCCCCAAACAAAAAAGCATAATGAAAAAGAGGACGGACCAAGCTGGAGAACCAGGCATCTTGGTGATGGCCTCTGTAAACACAATAAAGGCCAGACCTGTCCCCTCCACTCCCTGCAAAAATGGACAAAATACAGATCAGCAATAATAACTTATGAAACCAATAAACAGCCACCAGTGTTGTCACCTCACTGAGAAGGGTCTTCATGTCACAGGTTGGGATGTCCAGTCCGAGGATAACATCAGGGGAGGAGTTGTTCAGGTGAGCAAAAGCTGCTTCGTAGTTGCTTGGAGTGATGCTGTCTTCAGGAAGCTCAAATGCGTTCAATAATGTCATGATGTTGCTGGAGAGAAAACATGACACTATTTAGAAGCACTCTTTTTACAGCGCAGATAACTAAAGTCAATATTATCGAAATCTTTGATCTGTTGTGTTTTGATGATGAAAAATGGAAGAAGTTTTACTTGCTGATACAGGTGTCGAATTTTTCTGTGGCCCTGAAGCCGATAATGGTGTAGGTGACAGTGGCAGCATAGACTGAGGTGAAGCCGGTTACCCCCGTCAGAAATACAGCATCTTTCACACAGTTGTTGCTTGTAAAAACAAATGCAGAACGTCAAGCCACAGCAGTTTAAGATTTATTTTTTTATTTCATTCAAGTGACTTTGAGTTTAACTGATAATGCTTTATGAGTGCCTCTTACTGGACAGGGTTGTAGCTTGAGAATGAGATGAGACCTCCCCATGCTAAGCTGAAGGCATAAAACACCTGTGCTCCTGCATCCAGCCAAGTTGTGGGTTTTGTTAGTTTATCAAGCTGCAAGAGGAAGGTGCATGTTTTCATGTGTGTGTGATTTTTGAGTAATAGAGCTGTATTCAGATAATGCAAAAAAAAAAAAAACTTTGGAAAACTAGAATATGAATTTGATGACAGTGGCATAAGATTGGCTTTTTTCAATGAAACAAACATACATCTGGTGTAAAGAGATGCTGAAGTCCACTTAAGGAGCCTTTAAGAGTCAGTCCACGAATGAGGAAGATGAACAGCACAATGTAGGGCAGGATGGCTGTGACATATACTGCCTGAGGTCATAAAAATAAAAGGAAAACAATGAAATAACTTTGACACTGATCTTCCTAAAAAGATGGTCATTTCACTGAAACTCGACAAACCTTGCCTGAGGTACTGATCCCTCGGATGTAACAGATACAGATGACAGACCAGGCAGCCAGTAGGCAGACTACCATGGGCCAATGCATCCCACCAGAGTCGTCTATGGAGGTTGAACTATTTAGAGTCACTCTGTAAAAGTAGTAATCCACTGTTGTGCTTTGTTGGCACTCTGATACAAAGCCTGGAGGGGAAAGAAAGAGTCCTCTGGAAGTGTCACAAACATGAATGGAGCTTAGTTTGCTCAATATGCATGAATATTTCTCTTATATTTTCAAGTTCCTACCTGTTGCATTAGCATTGAGGGGACACTGGGACCAAGGCAGCGGGCTTTGAAAAGAATTGAAGAGATACCACATGATCCAGGCTATCAATGTATTGTAGTACAGCCCAATCAATAAGGACACCAGCATAGATGCTATACCTGTAAAAGAGAGAATAACTGATTTATCAGATTTGAAGATGACTGTGATGTGACATAAGCTGATGTCTTTTTAGTTTTTGTTTTGAATGAATTGTATAAGAGCAGTATTTTCTTACCAATACCAGTCAAATAAGGGTTAATTGACCTCCAAACTCCAACACTGCCTTTCCTGAGACGCTGGCCTATCCCAAACTCCAGCAGCAGGAGGGGCATGCCTTCCAGCACCAGCAAAATCAAGTACGGTATCAAAAAAGCACCTGGAATATAAGATAAATAGTCACATCAAACACATATATTGTTTAATTTATGACGATGACCTGCCTTACCCACAGTTAAAATGCTCTGCAAGCCAATTAATGTTTAATCTAGGCAGTAAATCTGCACCACAGGTCCTAACATGTGATCAATACAAACTAATATGAATTAATTCAATGATGTAATGACTCCTCCTTCAATGCCAACTGGCCTTAGCTGGCAGTTTGTACTTGTTAAACCTGAAGCTGAGCCTCTAATACTCTTACGCTTTCCTTTAACTGAATTTGTGATGAACTTCAACAATTTGAAAGTCTCAGGTGCACTGTGTTCAACAAAACAAAAGAAATGAATAAATAAACAAAACTTGAACATTGAGCTTAAAAATAACAGATACGGCAGTAAAATAAATCCATGAACACTATCTCATTCAGGATGACTCAGTTTATATAATTCAAATAAGTATGCGTCAATCAAAGCAACCACTTTTGATAAGAAACATAAATCCACTCACAGAGATTAGGGTGATTTTGAAAGTGGAAGACAGTCAGATAAGTTATCTAACAACAGCCCTTTTTTTAATTCTAATTAAGCAACAAGATTCATGTTGTGAGTAATTAAGACAAAGGGCAGGTATATATGATTTTTTGTTTCCTTTTTGCTGGGGGGGTTGAGGTAAAAAAAATAAAGAGGAGCTCTGTAAAATTTGTATCCACTTTTCAGTTTCCCCACTGAATGATATGAAACAAAAGTCCCCCAAGGTAAGTTAGTCAAAGGTACCAATAAGCATTTCAAAACTTATAAACCCCTGATAAACAACACGTTTTTCCTCTTTTCATCAATAACATAACCACAAATGTTCATTCCATTTTTCTCATCTTACCTCCTCCATGACTTTGACACAGGTAAGGGAATCGCCACACATTGCCAATCCCAATGCAGAAGCCCACACAGGTTAAGATGTATTGGGTTTTATTGTCCCACTTGGGCCTGTCTCCTGCTTCCTCCTTGTCCATTCTCTGAAGATCCTCCAAGGATGGGATCCTGTCATCTAGTCCCGCGTTAGGAAGTACCAGCTTCATGGTTCCCCTGCTGAAACACAGATGTTACACTGTCGTTCTTTGAAGGCAAAGTGACAGCTTACTGTTTGTACCTAGTGATGCCTTGACAAGTTTATGGTCCTTTTCTTTATCTGGTGCCGCGAGGAGATTGGCCATTGCGAGCACTGTATGATTTTTAGGCAGTCATTTCATTGATCAAACATTACACACAATCAACAGTAGCAAGATAGGAAGCATTGTCCATTAACAGGAAAAAGATACAGTGTTTTATTCGGTGTCTACTCTTCCAGGAAGCAACTGACCTTTTGTCCAATTTGAAACCAACTCTCACATGCAGTAGTCATGTTATTGTACGGCCATAAGGCTGATAAAGGAAGCAGATAACCACTATGGTAAAATGAGGCACAGTCATTGATGATGACTTCAGGTGAGTTCTGTTCACATTTGTTGCTTAAACAATCATTTAAATGGCGATAAAGGGAAGATAGTGGTGGGGCAGGGAGTTCACTGCTGTGGTACGTTCTTCCAGAGGAGATTCTTAGAGAGTAACACCTTCAAAAAGATAAAATTTACCGATTTGACATCTGCTGTAAGCTTAAGATAAACATGTTTACATGTTTTTACTCTCTTACTATCTTACCATACAGGCCGGCTCCAAGTGTCTTCCAAAATTTCCAGTGTTACTTTACTCTCACTGTTAATGTCAAGTCATCCGTGGCTTTGTTTTGGCATACAGCACTGAAACACAATGTCAGCTTAACTGATAAGGGCCTTGAGGTGGGTCCTGCTGTACTATCTTATCTTGAAGTCTTACCTTGAGGAGTAAGCTTATGTAAAATCTTTGTATGCTGAATATTACTTGATAATTGAATTATAACTAATGCAAAAACACATAAGTACGAGATAAAGTCACAGAAAATATTCTTGTGTTCCTCACTAGAAACATAATAAGGTTTGGTAGAGGTTGTCTAAAAAGAGAATAAGGGGCCAGATCCAGGTCAAAGGCAAGTTAAGGCATAGAGCTGTAAAGTGGACAACTGCAGGTCAGTGAAAAAGCAGAGCAAGACCTCTGTACCCTGGAGGCTCGGTAGATATGCAAGGGTCCTGAGATGGAAAGGCAAAAAAATCTATCAGCTGCAGCAGGTTGGAAGAACCAGCAGCAGCTATGCAGACCTGTTTGAGTCAGCAGGATTGGATGAGGTTGGATACTGGAGTGGCTCAGGGTTTGACTTGGAGATGATGTAGGTTAGTTTAGGTATGGTTGGCTGTCTTTTGCTGCATTGATGCAATACCAACAAAAATTTGGAGAAGAAAGCTTTTGTTTGAACTTGGTCAAATGAATAAGCTCAGGTCTGCAAATACTCTTCCTCAAATAGTTGCATATGGAAAATATGGCATATGGCATTTTTCTGATGCTACAGGACATATCATGAGAAAACTATGTGCAAAATCGCAGTTTGGAGTATGTCTGCATTCAAATTGTTGTGAACCTCTGACAGACCCAAACGGCAAGCTCAGACACAGTGAGATTTCCCACATCACATATCCAAGCTCCACCCCCTGTGCCCTGGTCTGTAGGCCAGACTCTGAGAGGTAGAAAGTACTATCGCAGAGCAAGCGTGTGCTGTAGCAAATTGCAGTGCTCAAGAAAGCTCATTATGATTTTAGTTTTCACCATGCCCCAAAAGACATAAGTGCCTGAGAGCGGAATAGCTCCTATATTACCTGCCACTTCTTCAAGACTTTCTTGATATAACTAATTTGCAAGGCATCGAACGAGAATTGGACTTTTAAAACATATGTACGCACATGACCATTACATATCATTATCCTAATTGACTATTTTGATACCTAAAATATCAACTCTGAGACGACCCGATAGTAACAAATTGGAAGATGAAATGTCGCCACTTACTGAAGCAGAGGTGGATAAACTTTTGTCGATAATTCGATTTTTGCCAAGTACATGTAAACTGAGACGAGGACTGTAGTCTAGTAAAATTGGACAACTGAGCTTTAGCTGTATCTTGACTTACTGTGCATGTAAAGGTACTGACTATGTTGTGTTTTTTCCTTTGTTGACAGATGTTTTAAAATAACAACAAAAAAGGTAAATAGTGTCCTTTGCACTCAAAATTTATTGATAAAGCAGCAACATTTTGGTATAAAACAGCAGAAATACAAGTAGGCTATTAATAAGAAATAAACACTCAGTTTTTAAAACATGTTCATGGGTATGAAAAACAATCACTTCTGACAACTATCTGATAAAAAGGGAAAAAATGAAAAACATACAAACATTACAAACCCCAAATCTCAAACCTCTGAATCTTAAACAACTCTTGGAGAAAGCTGGTGGGTTTTTCCCTCTGGCAGCTTCTTTTTCACGCATTTATTAAGGACCAGCCTATACAATGCGTATGTAGGCAATGCGAGACTGGGGATCCCTGCCAAAATAAAGATGACCAGATTTACCCATGATGGGTAGGGCACTGATGCCATGGATGGGAACTTGACCTGCAAGTCATAAAACAACATCATTAGATCCTTTTGCACATGAAATGAAATGTAATTGGGGTTTTTTTTGGATAATGATAATTGCAAGTAGAAAATTTGACATTGCGACAGCCCTACAACTTATCACAAGGTTAGCTTACTTACATATTTGGGATCCCAGACTAAGTAGGTGAGTTCATCTTGGCCTAATGTAACTATGTAAAAAACTAAAATAGCAAGAACAACCAAAGGACTGGTTAACCTCCATGAAATCTGGAAGAAGATGGAGGGCTTGTGTCCGACCATAAACTCAATGTCCTTGTTAAGCCTGTAACACAGAAAAGTTTTTGGTTAATTATGGCAGTGTGAATAGCTATAACTTAGCTAGCAAAGGACCCCAAAAAGGAAAACAATAGCAAGGTAGAAGAGGGACAAACCTGTCTATGCCATAGAGGTAAACAACCGCTATCACCTCAAAAAAACCAATGATGAGAAGAGGAATAGATCCGGCAAAGTTGTCGAAGAGGGTTACCCAATAAAACCCTGACCGCTGAGCAAACAGGAAGGAGACTACAAAAGCGATAAAGCATATAATTCCTGAAACACACAAACACAATTCAAGTCAGGTTATAACAAAAAATATTGAACCATTGTACTTTGGATTCCAAAGCTTATGTAGATCTGTTGAACCATAAAAAAAGATTACCTGTTACTGCTTCTTGGGGCCATTTTTTAGGAAATATATTAAGGTCTCTCAGTGGGACCACAACACCTTCAAAGGTCCCAAACTGACTAGAGATTCCCAAGCAGATAAGCATCACAAAAAAGAGGACGGACCAGAAAGGGGAAGCAGGCATCTTAGTGATGGCCTCCGTAAACACAATGAAGGCCAGACCTGTTCCCTCCGCTCCCTGCAGAAACACAAACAAATATTGTAATACAAGTGGGGGGAAAAGATGGTTATTTATCAATAGTCACCTCGCTGAGAAGGGTCTGCAAGTCACAGGTTTTGATGTCCAGACCAAGAACAGTATCAGGATTGGAGCTGTTAAGGTGAGTAAAAGCTTCCTCATAGTTGGTTGTCGTAATGGTGTTTTCAGGAAGGTCAAATGCATTTAATAATGTCATGATGTTGCTGTGGGTAAAAAAACGTTGGTTGTTATTTATGAGAATAACTAAGAGAAATAAGAACATAACATTATGTGTTTATTCTGCCCAAGAAGTCAAGGTTTCAACTATTATATTCAATTGGTATGCTTGGTATATTGGTATGTATCATGCCTTTTTTTGAAACAGCTACAGGCAAAAGAGAGTTGGCAAAGGTGGGGTAGACAAAGAGGGACTCATTTCTAGTGTATAGTATGCATCAAGAAAACAGTGGACTATATGCTGGCTTCTGGTCACCAACTTAACAAATAATAGATAGAATGTTAAGGTGCAGTGGCCAGTAGAATTTTTTACTGATCCTTTTGGCAGGATGAGGGTAAACACCTCAAGGTCTGGGACGGTTTTATGGCTAAGAGTAGTGGATTGCTTCATCTTGGTTAGGATTGCATTGCAGCCCAGTAAAGCACCCAAGGGAAGCTCTGCAAGTTTCTCTTATTTCTGGTTATTGGTACTTGGAAACAGGTGTCCCATTTGTGCTTGGGATATCCCTTTGTCAATGCTAGAATTGCAGTTTGTGTCTTTAAAATCCAAAACAAGACAGTATATACTGAATAAAAATTAACTAAAGCCAGTCCTTATGACCACTCATTTGGTCAATCTGATATGGGCAAATATCACTTATACCATTTTAAGTTCAAGGCAAGTCTTTGGTTCCAAGTCTAAATGAAGTGTCAAGTTTTGGTGAAGCCGGTTTTTGTCCAGTGTAGTTTAAATGGATGAATGTGGCATATAATGTAAAAGTGCTTGGAGTGGTCAGAAGGCATGAAAAAGCATTGATTGTACAGATAAAAATAAGATTAAAATTGATTATGTACTTTGTTAAATGAAGATTGTGTGAATCAAGTCTCAAGTCACAACAGTGTGCAACTTAAGTGGGATCTGCGTTTAAGTCTCAAACTAAAGTCTCCATCTCTGCTTACAGTCATCATTGTGACTACTCACTGGCTCATACAGTTGTCATACTTCTCGGTGGCCCTGAATCCAATGATGGTGTAGGTGGCCATGGCAGCGTAGATCGAAGTGAGGCCGGTTACGACTGTCAACATCACAGCATCATTTATACAGTTGTTGCTTGGGAAAAGAAAAGAAAAGAAAAACAAAAGTAAAGGACCCACCATAATAAAGATTTGCTTCCATATTTTGTGCCAATTAAGTGAGGAAAATACAAAATGATCTTACTGAACAGGATTGTAGCTTGAGAAGGAGATGAGGCCTCCCCACCCCACACCGAGGGCATAAAACACTTGGGCACCTGCATTCAACCAAGTTGTTGGTTTTGTCAGCATGTCAACCTGCAAGAGGGAGTAATATATTCTCATTAATCTCTTTCATTCAGATATAATTGACTTTCTCAGGTTTAGAGTCAATACATACATCCGGTGTAAAGAGGTGCACAAGTCCATTCACGGAACCTTTGAGAGTCAGTCCTCGGATCAGGAAGATGGCCAGCACTATGTAAGGTAAGATGGCTGTGACATACGCTGCCTGAGATCATGACAAGAAATGGAAATTAGGAAATAAATATACAGTATGTTGGGTAAAAGCTACTGCAAGGTTTTGACTAGAACCTGACATACCTTTCCTGAGGTACTGATCCCCCGGATGTAGCAGATACAGAGGACTGACCAGGCAGTGAGCAGGCTTATCACTATCTGCCAGTTGATTCCACCAGAGTCATCGATAGAGGCTGTGGTATCTAGAGTTACTCTGTAAAAGTAGTAATCCATGGTTGAGCTCCCCTGGCACTCAGCCACAAAGCCTGACAGGGGCATAAAATAACAAACGTCATGTTCAGGAATGGCATTTAAAATTGAAGTGCTAAGGATCTTTGAGTGCACTAAAGTACCTGTCCTATTTTCATTGAGAGGACACTGGGACCAAGGCAGCGGGCTTTGGAAGGAATTGAAGAGATACCAAGAGATCCAGGCAATTAATGCGTTGTAGTACAGAACAATCAGCATTGACACCAGCATAGAGCCTATACCTGAGAAGGAAAGAAATACGAACAGATTGACAGCCAGCACACAGGATGTCATCTACTGCTCTGTTTTGCTGTGGTACAGATAGTTCTTTGAGACAAATTGTACTGGAGCTCGATTTTCTTACCGATACCATTCAAATAAGGGTGGATTGCCTTCCAAGCTCCGATACTTCCTGTCCTGAGACGCTGACCGATGGCAAATTCCATCAGTAAGAGAGGAATTCCTCCCACCACCAGCAGGATCAAGAAGAGGATTATAAATGCACCTGGAAGTCAATGTGTGATTTATTACAATTAATTAGTAAAAGGGCAAAGCAAAAGATAGTGAGTTAAATGTTTGACTTTGGCAGCAAAGCAATAATAGTCCTCTCTGGTAATAACTTAATATTTTTAATTATCAAGTTTTTCAAGATCCGTCCTCCCGGGTTGAGAGTGTTTTGTTAAAGAGGAAGGCCAGGAAAGTTTATTGTTTGGCTGGGAATGTTTTCTAGCTGGTCTCTGGCTTTACAGGGGGCTACAGGATTAATTCTTAACCTTAATTATCAGCCTACAGGTTCAGACTCCAATCATCTTAAAAAGGATATCCGTCTATGAAGCCCTCTTTTAATCTATTATATAAATTAATCTATGAAAATAAGAAGTGTCTTACAAAACTGTTGACTAACTTACTCACGTGGTGCCTCATCGAGTGATGAACCACTCCCATCTTAACATCGGAGAGATTCAGCCTCTCTGGATTGGCTTTTTTTTTTTTTTTTTTTTAACAACCAGCAATGTTGTTAACTTGTTACTCCACATGTTTTCAGTGTTAACCCTGTCCTTACTGTTTTGAAATGTGTCTCTTGCATTAGATTTAAAATAAGTAGATATATTTCCTAAAACAATTTAATTTTAGAGTTTCAACATTTGTCATGTTGTCTTTTCACTGTTATTTATCAAGCATAGGGATGATAAAACTTCTGTTTTAATCAATAATTCACATAATTAAAAAAGAATGTACATTTATTATGAGATAATCTGAATTAAATTTAGTATTGTGAATCCCTTGAAAATAAAGTAGCAGATAAGTAAAGGTAATGCATAAAACCCAGCTGTGAATATCATTTATTACACAAACAGGTGTGCTGTTTAAGACCTACAGGGTCAGTTTGCGATGCAACAATTGCGTAAAATGTTTGTTTCCTCCTTGAGTTATATAAATTGACCCCATTTATGAATGTTGCACAACAACTGGTAAAAGGTATTATTAGATGTTACTGTTTTGCATTAGAAAACAGTCCTACTGTCTCATAAAAAATGAGTATTCCAGATCGACTAAACACTGGTACTTTTAAAGGAAACAAAAGTATATTCAAAGAGTGACACTAATTTTTTTGTGGTTAAAAAATGCATTATCAATTACTAAATGCATTATCAACACTATTTAAAAGAATTAGATGATCATCATAGGAAACAATCTTTCAAATAGAGAAAAGCATAAGAAGCTAAACTACCTTTAGAATACTATGATTTGTAACGGAAGAATTGCCTGTCAATAAACAGCTTTATCAAAATCGCTTCCTGTGCCAAAAACAGTGAAAACGTATTTCTTAGTTATTCTTACGCTGATAAAAGGCTTGGAAGTCCATAAACAGCCTAGTCATAAGATGACTTTTTACACACTGCATCCTCGCTTACCTCCTCCATTACTTTGACACAAGTAAGGGAATCTCCACACATTGCCAATTCCAATGCAGAAGCCAATGCAGGATAAAATATATTGAGCTTTGTTGTCCCACTTGGGCCTGTCACCGGCATCTGTTTTTTTTAGATCTTCATAGGACAGTATCCTACTATCCAGTCCTGGGTTAGGAATTAACAGTCTCATGTTACACTGTTGCCCCTGTAAGCCAAAGTGAAGGCTTGGTGTTAGACCTGGCAATTTCAAAACAAGTTTATGATCTGTCCCATTATCTGATGTAGGCTCTACAGATTACCGTGTGCATTCTCTGCACCTATGTTTTTTGTTTTTTAATTCCCATTTAGTCAGTCATTCAAATCAAATATTAATCTTATTAACAATTATATGACAAAAGAACACTATTAACTCAAAACAAGATACTACCAGGTTTAATCTCAGTTACTACTCCAACCTTGTAACTTTCCACAGTTATGTAACCTCTCATATACCTGTTATTTTCAGCTACCTTCCCTTCAAGACAGAGAGCCCCTTCTCCAGGATATGATGATGCTGTTTTTCTGTCGAGAGAGAGAGAGATAGAAAGAGAGAGACAGAGAGAGAGAAATATATATATATATATTTGTATATTGTTGTTCCAATTCATCAATTGCTCCATATTTACGACTGTTTAGAATGTAGTTGTTGATAACAAATTTCTAATGATGATACACCAAGTTATAATTTCTGTGTGTCTTTATAGACTTTCTGTATATAGTTTTGATCTTCCAGAATTTTAGTGGGGCAAACTTTCTGAAACTGTATCAGAGACCTCATTTTAAGAGAATAATTAAAATTAAATAGTTTTTTCCTGTTTAACTTAATGAAAGACTTTGCATCCCTCTTTTCTTCGTTGTCCACATGTAACACCGTGCAATAACAAAACCCAATAAAAGTATGGACTTCCTGATGAGTACACTGCGATTAAATTACATGTAATTTTTCAACAGGCATTTACACCAAGCGCAATCAAATAATCAGATGATAATGTTGTAAAAGAAATCAGAATCATTCAGCGCAGAGGTTATCAGCACACTGATAAGTATACAATGTGCAGCTGCCTCATTGTTTTGTAAATCATTGAAAGATAATGGCCTGACTGTTGATCATGCGCATTAAATGACCAGGAGAAAGTTTAACTAAGCTGGAATAAACTTAACCAGGTCCTTGTTTTGAATTTTCAAAGCTACATTTAACAGTTCAGTTTACAACCTAAACTGCTAAAGCACCTTCAGCACGGTGGTTCAAGACTCTGCCTGCCTCTCATTTACACACTATCTTTCCTGCTCCATCCAGTGCTGTAAGTAGTTCACTGACCTTATCTAATTCACTGACCTCACTTCCCCTCTGTCTACTTTTAGATGGCGTGAGCTCTCCCTCTCTTGGCCACTCAGATTCCTAACACCTTGTTTAAACACACTGTACATACTCAATTCATTTCACACTTTTAGTTTTTCCATTTACAAAGTCAGAGTTAGTGTTCCAATAGTCAATCACAAAATAGATCAAAGTTGCAGGAAAAAATACATCTTCTTTTGTTAATCAAATAATCCTCCTAACAGTGATGACCATCCAGGATTTTGGCTGTACACCTGTGCAGCACAGCCAAGCAGTACATCTCATTGGGGAGCATTCTTCTATTGTACACCAGCGTGAATTATGAAGATAATACAAGAGCCGATCATGAACCTTGTTTACTCACAGGTTTAAGATCACACTAAAGAGATGTTTAGGAGTAAGATTGAGGGTTTGTATCCATGACATCTTTATACTTATTTGTTCTTTTAGGATGATTCTTGTAGGGTCCCGATAACTATTGTTCCAAGGGTCCACAAAAAACAATGAGACAAAAACAGAACATTAAAAAGCCAACAATTTAAACACAACAGGAATCAGTAAGAATAAAAAGACAAATAGAGAGGAACAAGTAAAAGCTAAATAGAAAAGATTTTATTGCAGAGTTGAGATAAAAGTTGTTGGTCAAAACTGTAGAGGAGTCATTTCCTCAAACAAAATGTTGTGATTTCTTTGTTAATTGTATTTCTTATTATAATTACTTCTCTGCAAGTTTATTATTACATGCAAGTCTCTCATCCACTCTTATCCTCCTCACATGCATCGAAAGGGGTCTGGCTGCAGACCTCCACTGTCAGGACCCACTTCCACTGTGAGGACCCACCTTCAGAGGACCCGAGGTGATGTTTTTTCTCACACATTCCAGTTTGTTTCAAGGGCTGATCCCATTTTGTATAGTGTCTTTGTTGAATACGAGTACACAAAAAAAAATCATATTAACATTTTATGCCTAAAATAAAGCCCCAAGAAATAAAATATATTCACACGTGACAAAAAAATACATACCTCCTGGTCTAATCACTTTTAATTTGAAAGGCCCCTCAACTTCCGGTCCTCTCAGTGGAGGTCAGAGTGGTAAGTTTTGTCAGCACCTTTCATTATCTTTCAGAAGTGCATGGTTTAGCCCAATATCATGATCATTCAGCTAACTGTGGAGTCCTGGCTCTTCGATCACTTAAAACTAGTTGATTTTAAGTTTAAGCAGTGTAACTGTTTATCATATTGTTTGGAGAGTTAAGAGTAAAAATCTCTACCGTTGCACTTACCTGATGCAATTAGTTGCCAGACAGGCCCAAACAACCTGATAAGAAAAGCTTCAAAAAGGATACATGCCAAAAAATCATTTTGAATAGGCTTAAAATGAGGCCAACAATAGTGCCAGTTTAAGTATTTGAGGCTTGTATCATACAATAAATCAGGGTAAATGCCAACACAAGTTCAAGAAGACATATGGCCTCATGTATTCCTCAGAATTTCTGATAAAGGGCTGGAAACTGGTTCAGAGATCCAGATTTATGGTGCAAAACACCGGTACATAGATTCCATGGCAGCTGGTTTCTATAGATGCTGGTTTCTTAAGCTCTCTAGCTGTACACAGCTTACCAAAGCCATTGCCAAACTGATGCAGTGTGTTACAGAAGGAAAAGCTCGACCTCAAGAAGCATGTAGGTCATGAGTCTTGAAGATAAAAAGGTTTTAAACTTACTATCTTAGTCATTATCCTAGGAGCAACAGTCTCTGAGGAAATCCAAACTTTCAGATACAAGAAGGATTGAATGACCAACAACAAGACCAGCAAACTGCTCAGACTGAATCTGTCTTGAATGTGTTAGGGAGCCTAAGGGTGGGAGGTTGTATAGAGTGTGCTGCCTTACACCAGCATGCCAAACATCAAAGAACAAAGACAAGCCACATTTCAAAGTTACAGACCATGACCTATTATCTACCTTTATCAGAGGGTCATGTCATAACAATAAATGAGTAATGACCCGATAGATAGGGGAAGTGGGCAGGTTGTTATTGTCATGCATCTGCAAGAGTGACAAGATTTTTTAAGTTCAAAACTCACAGAATAGCAGACCTGCCTGATGAAAAGGTAGAGATAATTCAACTTCCTAGTTGCAGTTAACGTTGTAAATATCTTGTTATGCCTTTTGGTCTTGCTGATTCCCCGACTGTCTACAAGACCCTTGTTAATGATTGATCAATCCATTTTTATTTCAAACATGTAAAATAAAAATCAAGGTACAAACAAGATACAAAGTATGGTGCAACACAGGATTTTCAAAAAGATGATTATAACACGTCTGAAAAGGAGCGGGAAGAAGTACAAACTTATTTGTTCTCATCCCTTCTCCATCATTCACTCTTTAACTCCATCAATTTTGAACTGTCAATTTACCTTTGTTTGTTTCTGCCTTTGTCTGTTTTATCTGTTAAAGCACTTTGTAAACAGCTTTTTTTAAGGTACTATATAAATAAAGTTATTATAATTATTATAAGGTTATTATTGTCTATTAATCCAGTTTATAAACAACATAATTTTTTTTGTGTTTAACGATAACTGTCTTTAATTAGCTCATTTTTAAGGTCAATTCCTAATTTATTCAAATTCTCACCACAACAAAATATGTTTCTAACATCTACACACAAAACAAGCACCAGTACATTTGATACTTTGCAAATAACATTGATATATAACACTGACCTCTGGGGGACACCACAAGTAATGTCCAAACGGGATGAGCAATAATCTATGAACTACACAAACTGTTTCCTGTTTTCTAAATAACTCTTGACCAACACTACACCTCTGCCATGACAATTTGATATGTTGAATGCTTTTTTTAATGTTGATGAACATCCCAAATGCACGTTTTTCTGGTCAATAGAGTTTATGATTTCTTTGACTGAATCTAGTAAAGCCAGTATTGTTGACCTGTTTACTCTGAATCCATAGTGACTTTCAGTGGGTAGGTTGTATTTTTCAATGACTTTGTCCAGATGGAAGTCTGTTGCCTTCTGCCTGTCTTTTGGATAACTTGTACAAAGGATAATGCCACAATTAGTAAAACAACATGAAGTGCCAGGGTGTAGATTTGGACAATTTTTAATGGTAGAAGTAAAACACAAGTTAGGTATGAATGTAAAGAAATACATAATATGAAATATGAAAACCTTATGTGTACAACTGTTGTTCTCAGTTTAAGCACAGATCAAATTTAAGTTACTGTCTGCATGCTTTTGTCAATACTAATTCACAGAATGTGTCAAAGCCCAGCAGTTGTTGTGTCTTTACAGTGTTGTAGCATTCAAAGCAGCTTTATCCTATTATATCCTGCATTTATAATTTCATGCTCACTGTATTTCAGGAACCGCCTACACTGAGCAACACCTGAAAGAACCCTTCCTGCAGCTAGGGGATGCTACCAGGTCAAGTTCTTCAGATAAGGTAAGTTAGACAAACACAGACATCTGACTGAGGATACTGTTTCACAAGATTTCAAGTGCAGGAAACACGAGTGTGTGAAACATGTGCAGCTTACTTTAATATCTTATGTTGTGAATCATTAACAGTTATCAGTCTTCAGATTGGACAAGTATTGTAATTGGTTTGAATGCATGAACTATAACACAAAGGAGAGTTGAATACCACAATAGAGTCACTTTATAAGAAAATCTTTATTCTAGTAAAAGTAGTAATTTAAATTAAAACAGTAACATTTCTTTCATAAAAAACATGCTAAATATTATACAAACCATTCCTTTTTTATGATATCTACTAACATACTTGTGCATGGGAAATAGAAGATACGTGCTTGTAAGTGTCAAAGTACTAATTTAAGGACAAATTCAAACAAGCCTGCTCAAACAGGTGAGAACATTAGCTTATTTTTGTTCTTTGCAGCGACAAAAGATCAGTCTAAATAATGCATAAAAAGGCGTAACCAGACTGGGGATTCCTGCCAAAAGAAAGATGATCACATAGATCCATGAAGGGTAGGGCACTGATGCCAGGGATGGGAAGTCATCCTGTCAAACAAAACACATGATGACAAGTGCATGTATTAAAATGTGCTGGGGTGCTAGAAAATAAGATAACATGAAGTGGGAGTATATTCAGAGATTTATACTCACAGATTTGGGATCCCAGACTAAGTAGGTAAGCGTCTCTTGGCCTTGGGTGACAAGGTAGAAAACTAAAATGACCAAAACCACAAGGGGACTGATGACTCTCCATGAAATCTGCCAGAAGATGGAAGGCTTGTATCCAATCATGAACTTGATGTCATTGTTGAACCTGGGAATTATAATCTTGTATTAAATTGAGCATTCAACCCATTTCTTAACAGTACGCCAATGAAGATAACATATCACTATGAAACTTTGAATGGCAATTAAATTTCCCCCGAGTGAGATATCAATAAAGTAAATTTCATTTTTTAATAGGCTCTAACCTGTCTATGCCATAGATGTAAACAACAGCTATCATCTCAAATAATCCAATGGTCAGAAGTGGGACAGATCCGGCGAAGTTGTCAAAGAGGGTTACCCAGTAAATCCCAGAATGTTGTGCAAACAGGAGGCAGATAATGAATGCCACAATACATGTCACTCCTGAAACACACAGGCATGAAAAATGAAGCTTAGTTCGACAAAAAGAAACCAGATGCAAGTACTAAAGGTGTTTTATTGGGAGCAGAGGGTTCAATTGAAATAGAGATGAAAACCAAGTTACCTGTTAGTGCTTCATGGGGCCACTTTTTAGGGAATATGTTCAGGTCTTTCAGTGGGACCACCACCCCTTCAATGTTGCCAAACAGTGTTGAGAGTCCAAGGCAGAAAAGCATTGTGAAGAAGAGGACAGACCAGATGGGAGAACCAGGCATTTTAGTGATGGCCTCAGTGAACACAATGAATGCCAGACCTGTCCCCTCCACTCCCTGCAAAAACACACATATACACACATGAGTCCAAATGCAGGTAAAAAACTTTAATAATTCTTTTGATTTACTTGCGTCAATGCACAGTCACCTCACTGAGGAGTTTCTTCAAATCACAGGGTCTGATGTCCAATCCAAGGACAATATCAGGGTTCGAGCTGTTGAGACTGTTGACTGCTTGCTCGTAGTTACTTGCAGTGATGCTGTCTTCAGGAAGGTCAAATGTGTTCAGCAGCATCATGATGTTACTAAGAAGGAAAAAAAAATCCACAAACTACTTAATGTGGATATGTTAAAACTACTTTGAAGAAAAGTATGATATATCCATGAGCATGGATAAATATACAGATGATATGAATAGAAGTAATGCAAGGGAACAAAAGGACTTCAAGATCAACCAAATATCTTTGATCTTGTTAAAAGTTGACTTTGTGACACTTAACAAAGTGTTTGCAATAAAAAGAACTTAACTAAAACTTTTGTATGTAGCAACATACTTTCAACTATATTTGCACCCATTGGTGTATTGGTCTATATTGGAGGGGAGTCCATATGTACATAGGGTGGCCTGGCACATTGGTTGCCTATTTAATACCTTAAGAGACTGCTCCACTGCAATAATCTGACCTAAAGTCAGAGGTGTAGTACTTTCTTTCTGTTTAACAAGGCTCTTTCTTAAAATATTACAATGTGCCCTCGTAAGCCAGATCAAAAAAAAAAAAAAAACTCAACTCTGCTGTAGCATGCACACGGGGCTGTGCAGAAACTCTCCTGGTCTGTGAAATATTGATGCATGATCTGATAGACTTTTCAAAAATGACGACATACTTACTCGCTAATACATGTGTCATATCTCTCTGTTGCCCTGAAGCCAATGATGGTGTAGGTGACTGATGCAGCATAGACTGATGTTAAGCCGGTTACAACCGTGAGAATCACAGCGTCTTTCAAGCAGTTGTTGCTTTGAAAGAGACAAAAAAATGAGCCATAAGAATGAGACATTTGTAAAATTGGGTCTTGAAATGGCCGTGGCATTGGAAGCTGCAAGTTAAGAAACTACTGAGTGCTTATAGATGTCTCTTACTGAACAGGGTTGTAGCTTGAGAAAGAGATGAGGCCTCCCCATGCCAAACCAAAAGAATAAAAGACCTGGGCACCTGCATCCAGCCAAGTTGTTGGCTTCATCAGTTCATTCACCTAAAATTAAATAGAGAAAAAAAAATTGTGTTATTTTTCTTTGTTTAACAGCAATATTTGTTAATGATAACACTTTTTATTCATCTGAAAATACATCAGGTGTGAAGAGGAACTCAAGTCCACTCAAGGCGCCTTTGAGAGTCAGTCCTCTAATCAGGAAGATGGCCAGCACTACGTACGGCAGGATGGCTGTGATATACACCGCCTAAGGTTATGACAAAAAAAGATGCATGGTAAATATCATCAGATGAAAGTTTTAAGTGGTGCAGTTGATCCATTGACACAGTTTCAGCAAAGTCATCCATTGATCTCTAAAGAAATATTATGAAGCTAAACAACAAATGTGACTGTCTTGGAAAAAAATCAGTTTACATGAACTTTGATTGACCCAAAAACCAGCAAAGAGGTTGAGCTGTTGGCTTCAAGCTTCCTGGCAAACTGCGACAACATACCTGCCTGTCAGTCAACTTGGCTACACCTTGTTATGCTGTACACTTATTGGCCTTAATGTAGTTCGATTCTATTATAATTCTACTGATGTTCCATTGACTTGGTCTAAGGCACAGAAGTACTTGCGCTGCACCAAAATGCTTTGTGCTGGTTGTACAGTAGGGCCCTGGTGTTCACGCAGTTCTCAATTTAGAATTAGACATCTGGAAAATATTTTGACAATTAACTTATGACACTTATGTTGGCGTGACTAGAGGAACAAACCTTGCCTGAAGTACTGATGCCTCTTATACAGCAGATAGCAACGACTGACCAGGAAGCTAGCAGGCAGACAACGATGGGCCAGTGGATCCCTCCAGAGTCAGCTATAGAAGTAGAGCTGCTCAGAGTCACTCTGTAAAAGAAGTAATCCACAGTGGAGCTCTGCTGACACTCTGGTATAAATCCTGTAGAGCAATAGATATAATCAGATTAAACTGTAATACACGGGGCATGGGGATTTTTTTTGCTATTGTTTGGTTGTGTCAAAACATACCTGTCCCATTGTCATTAAGAGGACACTGGGCCCAAGGCAGCGGGCTTTGAAAAGAATTGAAGAGATACCACATGATCCAGGCTATCAATGTGTTGTAGTACAGCCCAACCAAAAATGACACCAACATGGAGCCTACACCTGAGAGAGGGTTTTAGTAACTGTGATATCTGATCAACATGTAGCTAGATACGTATTCATAATTATGATTTACGTACCAATACCAGTCAGGTAGGGGTTGATAGCCCTCCAAACTCCCACACTGCCTTTTCTAAGACGTTGGCCAATGGCAAACTCCATCAGCAGGAGAGGCATTCCCTCCAACACCAGCAGGATCAGGTATGGAATCAAAAATGCTCCTGTCAGAGGAAAATGAGAAGAGGCTTAGAGGGTGGGAGCTTCCCAAATTCTGAAAGTGCTACATCCTGGGCTGTCTAATGATATCTTAGGCCTACTGATGACTATTGTGATGATTTGCATTTTTAGTCCCTTGTTTAAAATTCTATTATTTGGCATTTCAAAACTGATTTTAATGCAATACTTACAATGTTGAATGGCTTTCAGTTAATATCCAACCATGCAACAAGTGCTTTTAACTTCTGTAAATTTAGTTTCATCCACAGGTGGTGATTTGCACTCTTGAAAATAGTGTTCAGCCTGCTAATGTGTTGCAGTTGCTTAAAGCAATTTAGGTATCCTTTTATCCTTTCTTGTTTACTTCAATGGGGGTAAAAGTGAGCGATGTTTGTTAATGTCAGTGTGTTCTCTAACCAGTGACAAACTCCACATAGGAGCTATAATTCATAAAACAAGGATCTCACACAGTGAAAATACCATTTCATCACAATTGATACTTGAATGTCACTAAGTATTATTTCATCCTCCTTTTTATTGATCATGGTAGATTAAAGAAAGTGTCTGGACTATGTTGGTTTGAACTCTGTGGTTAATAAGTCACAGTAAAACAACATATACCTTTAAAATATACATGCCTTACACATGTCCCATCTTCTGTGACTATTTCTCAGAGAATTCCAAACAAATATCTGAGTTTCCACCTCAGACATCTACATTTTCAGAGTAATGTGCTTACATGTGTTCTCACAATTTACTTCCAACTTTTAGCAGCATAGCACTGATCCAGGGCTGCCTCTCATACATTACGACAAAGGTCAATCTCTGCTTCAGAAGACTTCATACTTTGGTGAATCATTTATACAAACTGGTGGTGATTTCACACCACTGTCATGTGGCCATGAATGTGTGCTGTATTTAACTATGAGCCAGTCGAACAAACATGGTTTTATTCCAAAGAAATGAACTTCTCAGTGAGATTTAACCTCCAGAAACACAAATGAATCCTGCACTGATGAAAAACTATAATTACAGGCAGCATCAAATACCATCGATAACTTAACCACATGACCATTATTCTCATCTTACCTCCTCCATGACTTTGACACAAATATGGGAATCGCCACACATTCCCCAGTCCAATGCAGAAACCCACGCAGGTCAGGATGTACTGAGCTTTGTTGTCCCACTTGGGCCTGTCCCCAACACCCTCCTTCTCCAGTCTCTCCAGATCCTCATAGTTTGGGATCCTGAGATCCAGTCCTGGGTTAGGAAGTACCACTCTCATGGCGAGAGCATGTGCACTGAAGCAGTAAAGTGGTGTTGACTGTAGTTAAAGAAACAGGTAAGTCCACACAAATGAAGGTTTGCATGTGAGCAGCCGGCAATATTGAAGCAAGTTTATGATCTTCAACTATCTGCAGCAGGCCACCGATTAGCCAGATTGCACACTCAGCGCTTTTGTCTCTATATCTCTAATAATCTTTTCCAGTCTGATCCGCATAATATGTTTAAAAAATCATATATCTCAAATATGTAAACTCACTTTTAGGCTTACTTAATTTTTAGTGTGATGACAGGAAATTAAAAGTGGAGAGTTAATTGGTTTCATTTTGGGCTGTCACAATGTACCGATATCGATAACAACTGTCTTTAAAAAAATGAAATAATATATTGATATTGTGCCAAAAATAAGCATAATACTGTGACTCAAGAGAAGCGGTCCGTTATGATGGCTGTTACATGTATTGAAAAGGAGGACATACAAAGGAGTAGCACACTGCTCATAAGCCAGCTAGGCACTTTTAAAAGTAATGTCCAAGAGATCTGTAATTTATGATCTAAAAAAGTAGTTTACTTTAAAACAAAGGCAAAGTTTGGCCATGCAGGATATTAAACACTTTAAAAGCAAGACAGGGATTGATATCAAAATAAAGACATGACAAACACTCATACCATGAGCCGATGTCTTCTTTTGGTCCCATTGCTGATGATAAACCATAAATATGAATATTATCAAAAATGGATGATGCCATGATAGTTCATTTTGTGATCAAGTAAAGTGTATAAAGTAATTTGTTGCTCCAGCCTTGTCTTTTTTTTTTCTTTTTGTTGACTGATCATGGTGTTTTATTGTCAAGCTTTCCATAGATACCACAATGATAACACTGATGCAGTACTTTATAGCCATGATAATCCTGCAGTGAAATTCTGTTACCATGACAGCCCATTAAAAACATTTGCTGTCAGTGTGAGTGTTTTTAATGCAAGGAGAATTATTAAGTCCAAAGACCTTTAAAGATTGTATGTTTTATCCATAGACTGTATATAGAACTGACGCCGTCTGCCTCCTCGCTGGGTGAAGTCATCCTGAGAACAGCACCCTCTGGTGACAGGCTGCAGTATAGCACATAAATCCCGCCTCTGCCAGCCATCCTTATGGGGCCGTGGTCAAGCTTTAGAAATGTATTATACAGAACATAATTTTTTTCCCCTCTGCTTGGGATGTTGACATGTAGTTACAGTAAGACTGGTTTGTGCTCAAGTCCTCTTTTTTTCTGTGCAGCTCCACTTTTAAAAGTTATTTGGGGGTTCATGTTTTCTATGATTGACACCTGATACAGCCTGTAGGCGTATGAAGATTGTGTAGCTCACCCGGGGGATATGCTGTTTGAGCCGAGTGTCATCACCTCGACTCTCCCGCCAAATGCATACAATGCTACTGCACAATGTTGGTTTCAGGAAGTGGAGAAAAAACATGGAAATACCAAGAGCTTTTAGGCTTCAAATCTGTAAACTGGCAGAAGGCAGAACCAGGTTGTCCATAGTATATACAGTCTATGGTTTTGTGTTATAGACACCAGTCACCAAACCTTGAGTCTGAGTTAAGTCTTAAGTCATCAGGGTTTGGGTCCATATCAAGTCCAAGTCACCTCAGAGGATTTTGAGACGAGTCCCCATTGGGCATGTACCCACATTCTGGTCGAGTCCTTATTTTGAATATTAATATTTATTACTAGCTCTTTCACTCAAACATATTGACCCTGTATGAACCTGGGCTGAATACTTGTGAGCTTTCAGAAGTGTAGAAAACCCCTTTCCCCGTATATTCTATATCAAATTCTTTTTGTGGTTTGAGATCAAAATTATCAGTGAAGTTGCAACAATTTGTGCATGTGGGCACCAAACTGATGGCTGTCACCTTATATTTAGCAGAAATGCAAACACATGACAAGTGTTGAGAACTTCACATGGGTGCGAGAAAACAAACAGCACATTTATCAAAATGTTACATTTTTTATTTAGGTACAACATACATATACATATGAAATATGACACAGTAGGAACTAAACATTACAATACGAAGAAAAAAATCAATCTTCTCCTGTTTTGTTGTTTTACAGAAAATACTTGCAAATTTACATCTACTTTACATGTCAGCAGCCACCACTATCATTGTACAATGATACTTTTATAACAAAAATCTCTTCTTTTTCATTAAATATTCATAGTTAAATTACTCAAAACTTGACTTTTAACTCATTTGTACTTTGGCAGAGATAGTGTCCAGTTTGTCCTCTCTGTAGTCGTTTTGCTTGCAGCATTTCTTCTGAATGAATTTGAAGAGAGCGAATCCTGGGATAGCCAAACTGGGAATTCCAGCGAGGATGAAGATAATGACATAGATCCATGAGGGGAACGAGCGTGAAGCAAGAACTGGGAATTCAGCCTGCAGACACAGGTAAGAGAAGTGTTATTACAGTCAATTACTCAAATAAGGAGAAAAAAAAGGTTTTATATTGAGTCACCATTGATGATAGTTAATTAAAATAAAATGAAATAAAAACTCAAAAAATCCATGAATAAAAGCAGAGTTATGAGACTTTGTATCCTTAAAGAACTGGAAAAAGAAGTATTTGTGATATTGTATACTCACTGCTTCCTGGTCCCACACCAGATAGGAGAGGTTCTTGGAGACTTGAGTTACAAAGTAGAAAATCAAGATGACTATCATAATGAGTGGACTGATCACCCTCCATGTCGCCTGCCAGAAGATATTGGGCTTATGGCCGATCATAAACTCAATGTCCTCGTTAAACCTGTTGGGGGCAACATGAGGGAGACATAATGTTAGCTGAGTGCGCATGAAAGCACCCATAAAATATGGCCCTGTACTTTTATTAGATAGTAAATACAGAGCAGTGGCCTTTTTCAAGATCACCTTGTTGATTCTGCTCTGACCCTGAAGGGGAAAAAAACACGTCTCTGTACTCTAGTCTATAACCTTATTTTTCTAAAAAGACTTTAAACTAGACAAAATGGGTTAAAGCTAGAATAACTGCTCAGATGAACATTTTGTTTAAGCGCTTTTCTCGACACTCAAGGTAACTTTACAAAGAAAGTTATGCAAGAAAGTTTATTACTCACATGAAAATTCACAAGGGGGCTATTTTTACTCCTCTAATCAGCAGTGAGTCAGCTGAAAATAACAATTTACCGACAATGTAATCTTGCTACATCACAAGACACACTGTACTTTATTATCTGTCCTACGGTGATACATTATCTCTGTCCAAGGTCGGACAACAATGATCCATTCTCCTCTACACTTGCCAGTGAATGACTGCTACATGTGTGTGGAGGCGTGCCCAAAAGTGCGCAGAAATAGGAAGGATATTGCTGAGCAAAGATGGAAAAAAGTAGATGGAAAAATATTTGACTCAGTAAAATTATGCCACATTTGGATCTCTTCTTAGCTATCTAAAAGAAGTAAGAAAGAACAAAATAAAAAAGTAAGGTTGATATTGTTATTGATATTACTAAACTCCCTTACTCCATACTTTAATTTGGAAAGATAAAAGTGATGTCTGATTTGTGACAGTCAACGGTGATACGACACCAGTTTCATCAAAATACTACTTATTGACTGGTCGATTAATTGGTTTAATAAGTAAAAACCCTTTCACAACCCCATGTCAACAGCGATGAAGTCTGGATAGCAAAAGCAAACCCCACAGTTCCAATTAAATCAATGTAAATATTCAATTTAATTAAAGAATAACAAGTGAGCAGGCTATTTCTGTTACTACAGACGCCCTGCTCATCTTGTCTAATGTGATTAATGCTAATTTTTTAACCTGTATATAATTAATAATTATTGTATAATTATAATAAAATAAAATATGTAATTGCTTAATCAATAAAAATCCTGGAGAGGTCTGGTATTCTCTCAGGGTTCTAATTTCTATAACTAACTTGCATTTTCCCCTTCTTTACAAGCATATTAGAATTTACAATGAGCACTAATCACAAAGCTGTTGGCGGTGCTTTAAGTCATAATCTTTACATGATTACAACAATCTCTTCACAGTAAGACTTACCTATCTACCCCATAGATGTAGATAACAGCGATCATTTCACAAAACCCAATGATCAGAAGGGGGATAGAGCCAGCAAACGTGTCAAAAAGAGCCAGCCAGTAGTTCCCAGAGCGCAGGGCGAATATGAGTCCCAGAGCAAAAGAGATGAGGCAAACCAGGCCTGAAAAAGAAGAAATGAAAGTTTAGATTCTTACTTCTAGATCATTTTTTTGTGAAACTAAATATACATTTTAGAGTAAATGCGAATAAATACCGCAGAAGATTTCTTTGGGCCATGTCCGGGGCAGTACTCTGAGGTCCTGCAGAGGTACTACCACCCCCTCAATATTGCCGAACATTGTGGAGAGGCCGAGGCAGAAGAGCATGACGAAGAAGAGGACAGCCCAGAGAGGGGAGACGGGCATCTTAATAATGGCCTCTGTGAAAACGATGAAGGCCAGGCCTGTTCCCTCAACTCCCTGAATGACATGACATACAAAAATTTCAACCACTCATTTAATCAGTGAGAATACTGTCAGCACAAAAAGAATTAAAGAGTGAGAAAAATATCAAAATTGTTTGTTTTTTTACTAACCTGGCTGAGGAAATCTTTCATAACACAACTGTCAAGTTGCAATCCGCTGATGATATCTGGGTTTGTTGTGTTGAGGTGCTCCAAAGCCATTTCGTAGTTGCTTTCTGTGATGCTGTTTTCAGGGTAGTTGAATTCATTCAGCAGCTTCATGATGTTGCTACAGAAAAATCACAAGATGAAGATAACAGTGGCCTTAGTTTAGGTACTGATTACTTTACTTTACTGATTTTTGGCTTGCTATGTGCAGATTAAAACTCACCCGTCGATGCAGCTGTCATATTTTTCTGTGGCCCTAAAGCCGATGATGGAGTAGATCACGGTTGCAGAGTACACCGAGGTGCAGCCGTTGATAATGGAGATGAGGACAGCATCCTGCTCGCAGTTGTTGCTACAAGAAGAAATGATCATGTGAGAAACACCTTTTTAAACAGAGAGAAGAAGCTCTGTGATCGAGGCTGCTACTTACTGAATGGAGTTGTAACTGGAAAAAGAAATGAGACCTCCAAAAGCCAAGGAGAAGGAATAGAAAACTTGGGCTCCTGCATCCAACCAGGTCTGTGGATTCATTAACTCATCCACCTGAGGGGGGAAAAAAAAGCATTTACTCAGAGTGAAATAAAACTTGCCAAGGATCTATGCTTTTAAGCTTTTGTTAAACATCAACAGTAGTAACAATGGTATGCCCGCACTGCTAACAGGAACCTTTTTTTCTATCACCTGTTTTTTGTTCTTGTTAAGGACAAACAGTAAAACCTCCAAAGCGAGATGTTTGTTGGATATTGTACCAGATGCATATCAAGTCACTGGATGATATATTGATTTATTTTCACAAGATCTGGGTGTACTTAGAGTTGTCATTTGAATCAAACTCATATCTAATAGTGTACAGTATAAGATGTTTCAGTCTCGTCGAGGTCTGTTGTTTTTTTATTCGACATTTGACAGTATATCCTTGAACTTTTGTTATCAGCCCTGACCGCACAATCAAATCACGTCAAGTCAGCTCTGCTTGACTTTGCTCATCCTGACAGCAATCAAATCCATTCTTCAAAACAAGTTACTGTTCCACCAAGGTTTATGGGTCTGCCCAACGTTTCCATTGCACTTTTCAGAGTCAAACTCATTGTGAAACCAAACTTCAAAAAGCTGCAGCCCCCTTTTATTAAAGAACCCCACACATAAACCTTTTTTTCATTGTCAAGCTGTTTTTAACCTGTATGTTTGACTACATTTCCTTGATTTGTAAGTATCCTTTATATTACTCTCAGGGAGACGAATATTTCTTGTTGCTCTTATAATGCACTGTATTTCTTAACATGTTGGTTAAGTGATTAGATCAGTACTTACATCTGGTGTGAAGAGGAACTTCACCCCTTCTAAAGATCCTTTCAAAGTCAGCCCTCTGATGAGGAAGATTGTGAGGACCAGGTAGGGGAGAGTAGAGGTGATGTAGACTGCCTGAGAAATTAAAAAAAGACGACCAAGTAAGCTAGAGACAAGCCTATACATGGAAAAAATTCACATAAACTACTGTACTAGAATATTCAGATGCAGACCTTTCCTGTGGTCTCAATTCCCCTGATGCAGCAAACATAGAGCAGAGTCCAGGCAGCAACCAGGGAGAGCACCATCCACCACTGCAGACCTCCAGCCTCATCGATAGCTGTGGAAGTGTTCAGGGTCTCTCTGTACCAGAAGTAGTCAACAGTGCTGCTCCTCGCACATTCCTCCACCAGACCTGAAAAAGAAGAAAAGAACTTGGGGTTAAGGTCAACTCTACAGCGAACCGTTTTTTGGGGGGAGTTTGATTTTTGTTGTGATACCTGTTCTGTTGGCATTGAGTGGGCAGTGGCTCCAAGGCAGAGGATCCTGAAAGGAATTGAAGAGGTACCACATGATCCAGGCCATGATTGTGTTGTAGTACATGCCCACCAAAAATGAGACCAACAGAGATGCAATACCTGCGATAGGATGAAGCAATCATTAATGTTTTGATGGAAAGAGTACTCTGCAATTTTACAGTGAGTGGCCATGCTGGGTTACAGCCATACTTAAAACTAAGGCATGGTGAAGGTAATATTGCGTGTTTATCATGTTTTCCAAGTTCACCACCTTAGTTTAGCATGTTAGCACATTGATACGATATTTCCTACAGAAGCACTAATACATTGGACTGAAAGTAAAAAGTCGACACCAGACAAAAAGTTGAACCTCTTACCAGAGTGACTGAAAATCACTATGATTTTTTGTGTATGTGTTACTGAGACACATAAAATAAGTCTTTACTTTTATTTTTTAATCATTTATTCTTAACCTACCAACTCCTGTCAGGTATGGATTGATGGATCTCCACACTCCCACGCTGCCTTTCCTCAGGCGCTGACCGATTGCAAACTCCAGATGCAGAAGCGGGATTCCCTCCAGGACCAGCAGGATAAGGAATGGTATCATGAACGCCCCTGAAGGTACAAAATTTACCATAATGAATATAAGTCAAAATATGGTGACTTTTTGCTTATTGACACAGCAGGACATGAAAGGTATCACACTTACGGTAGATTAAAATATAATAAGATTTGGTCTGAGCTTAGAAGACGTTGGGTCTTTATAAATATAACTAAACAATCTTAAGATGATATTTGTTGTGAAATGGCATTCTATAAATATCAATGGTTTGATAGATTGATTAAGCAATAGGTTGAAATACAGCTCAATTGCATACAATACATTTCATGAGGGTATAATAGATAAAATATTACAGGTTAAAATAAAATATGACATATTATAATGCATTACTTTATGATTAAATGCAATTGAAATTAATATTGCAATACAGCATGATACAATTCAATTTAAAGATCAATACAAATGTGTGTTTCTTAACAAACATGCCCTATAATAAATTGCTTTTTAAATGCTTGAAACTAGAATTAACTTTACCTGAAACTTTTAATATGTCTAACTGTCTCTCTGTCCGTCTGTATGTACAATTTTATGTCTGTGATGGGTAAATTTCTTAAAGTAATTTGTAATTTCTTGTTGCACTCAAACACTAAATTAATCTCATAATACTTTCTCAATTTAGAAAAAAAAGCTCCTTTGCATGAAATATCAGTTTTGTTGGATTTATGTCTTCATGTGTTTTAGTGTGTGACTGTTCAAAGCTTTATGAATCACAGATGCTCAGCACAAATGGGATGAATTTTTACTGAAAGAAGTAGACCAAAGTAGCTAAAGTTTCTGTTTCTGACAAAAAAAAAAGATAAAACTTAGACTTTACTTGAACCCTTTTGAGCTCACTGACATTAGTTACTTTCAAGCAGCTTTAACATTTGATGCCTCTGTGAAAGAATTCAGTCAGATAACACTCAGTTTCATCCTGGCTTACCTCCTCCGTGGCTCTGACAAAGATAAGGAAACCTCCAGACATTGCCAAGTCCAACACAGAATCCCACACAAGTGAGCAGATACTGGGCTTTGTTGTCCCACTTGGGCCTGTCTCCAGCTTCCTCAGTTTCCATCTGTTCCAGAGCCTTATGAGAAGGAATCCGGTCATCCAGTCCTGGGTTTGGAAACTTCAGCTTCATTGTGACTTTTTTTGGATCTTAACAGAAATTGGAAAAAAGTAGCAGTCCTGTCCTCTCGTAGCCAGCTGTTGATTCTGTTACAGTTCCTGCAGAAGCTGTGATCTCTCTCATGAGACCTCAGTAGACTGTGTCTCTCTGAATCATTTACCCCCTCTGTGTGTCCTAAGAATGGGTACCAAGGTATTTTACTTTGACCTATAGCACCCAAGGCTCAGTTATCAGTAGCTCATTACAGTCTGTTTTGCATTACGAAATGTCAGCATGTTCCAAAGGAAAGAAGGTGCAGCCTCCTTGATAATAGTTAATACGTTGCTTGTGGTAGTGTCATCAGAAGTTTTCCCTAAAAGATGAGTTTAATATTTATGATGAGTTTGCAACAATAACGGAAAAATGTTATGCGGGCAAATAAGGAAACTTTTCATGTAGCCGACTTTATCAAAATAATTTGAGAGAGAAGTTCTGCTGGATGTTTCAGAATTGATTGATAGACCATAAATTAAGTTTGAAGTTTTGAATTGAAAAAGTGAAAAGTTTTGTGTTACTTGGTTCCAAGTGGGAAGAAAATAAAACATTGCATTATCATAAAACAACCCATTTTCTATCACAGATTATCTCCACTATCAGACCAGGCCTTGTGCAGTCCTTGAGACATCAGATTACTTTATTATGAAAGGACTGTTTAGAGATAATGCTCTACCTGTAAACACATTTGTTCAATGATGGAACATTTGCCAGATTTCATGTTGAACCGTACAGTTAATGCTGTTTTTTTTTATTTATCAACCACACAGATAGAAAACAAAAAATGTTTTCCTCTTTGTTTTATTATCATTTTGCTTTTTGAGGTGTTATCGTTAAGCAGTACAGAATCTGTTAAGACAGAACTATCAGTGTTCATCTGTACAATTATTAACTAAAAAAGGCAGGTTTTGGCATCCTCACAAAAGTATTTTATGACACAAATCATATCTAACTGATACAAGTCCTATCTAGGACTGTTTTAATGATGTATTTAAAAGTTTTATGTAAGAACATTTTGTGCCTATAATCTGATGGAATCTAACCAGATCTGATTTTATCTGATCTGATTTGAGCCAATATTTGTCACATTGCAGCAGAAGGCTTACTTTAAAGTGTTGCATTTGTGATAAATGTTGATTCCCACGCTTGTACGTTAATTGAAAGGGTACTTTTTTATGGACCTACAAAAAACCTCTTCCATTGTGGACATTATTTAATCTGGGGGCTCAAAATCACAACTAAGAAAAAAAATCACTCTTGTTACTGATGGTTTTGTTTGATTTTGAAGGTCATGTAGAAGAATCATTGTCCGTTTCAAAACTCCGTACAGAGCCTTTAATATTTTTGTTTCTTAAACTATGGTGTACGCTCAGTCATAACTAGTTTCCAGGCTTGCCCCAAGTTGTCAAGAGGTGACTGTGTAGTTCCTTTTAAAGAAGAGTTCCTTTAGTTAAGCCACTTTCTCTGTTCATGCTTCCTACACCTGGAATACACTATACCAAACACAATATGTGAACTCCTGACTCTGACCTCTTTTACAAAACATCTTAAATCTTGGCTATTGGAACAACAACACTGTTGCCACAACCATGCCTAAACTTTAAATCAGCCCTTTGACATCTGATTTTAGCAGTTCACAATGTTTCACGATCCACTATACTTCTCATTGTTCTTGCTTTTCTTTTTTATATTCTGTCCTACTGTGTTTTCAAGGACACATCTCTCGCCCCGTAATTACTCCTCCTGCTCATACTGGCTACTTGTTGTTACTGTTGTTCTATTGGTTTTATCATCTCTGTTGCTGACATCTACCTGCCAAAGGGACTAAAGATGGAAATTAGCCTTTGGCTATAATCTTGCATACTTACATATGTTCATTAATATATATTGTCCCTGTTTCAAATAAAATAGATCCTAAAATTATTGTTTTGTTGCTAGATTTCAACAGTAGGAAATAAAAGATAATATATGAATTTAATTACAGGCTCAAGTCCCAATAGCATGACATACCCCACAACATTAAGGGAAACACACAATATATTGGAAAAAAAAAATAAGTTGTTGAATTAAAGTCATTTTTTATTGCATTCCCTCAGTTTTAGTAAGTAAGTTTCATGTATTAACAACTTTGCCTGCCATCATATAATAAAGGTCAGCCACAGTTATATTCAATGGAAAAGAGCAGAATCCTTGACACAAAGAAGATCAAGCTACTTGTATACACTCAGACACACATATATATGCAAAATCAAGAGCATTATCCATCAGTGATGACACCTTTTCCAACATACTGTTATCCCATCACAGCCTTTATTACACATTAATATGTATAAGATTATTTTGAACAGTGAAAAAACACAACACATATAAGGCCACCATAGTTCAGAAAAAGCCTGATAAAATCTGAATAACTTGTGTCGTGCAACAAACTGACCATTTTCTGGTACAATGGATTTTCATGGACCAAATTTCATGGCTTGAAAAAAATCAGATTATTAACTGCTTTAATAGAGAGTAGGATCTGGTTAGGAGACTTATATAATTTACATGGCATCCATTTATTTAGCTTCTCATTTAATAAAGAACAACTCAAGAAAAATGCCAGTTTATCACGGTTTAATTTTGATACAGTACAATAAGCAAACACATAAACAAAATATCTACAATATATATTGTAATATATTTTTAATATAAGTTAATTGAATAATAAATAACATATATTGCACTGTCCCTTGTGATTTTTGAGTTTACACCAGATGTAGATTCAGGGAGATGACAGTACTTCCCTGAAAAAGATGAGTTTTATTTCTGACAACATTAACAGAAAGAAACATGAGTTTGTCTTTGTAATGAACTCAAAATTAAAACAAATGTTTTTCCACATGGGTGCGGATACATCGTCTAGTTCATGTTAAAGCCGGTTTTCTTGCAGCAGCATCTCTGAAACAGTTTGTACAAAGCCACCCCCGGGATCATAAGACTGGGAACTCCGGCCAGGATGAAGATGATGACGTAGACCCAGCTGGGATATGTCAATGATACCAGTGCTGGGAAGTTAGCCTGTTCAATAAATCAAGGAGTTGAATTCAGAATCCATGAAAACAAACAGTGCTGATCATTTGGAGCATTTTAGCGGACCACTGATGGGAAACATACCGAGCTTGGATTCCAGGTGATGTAAGTCAGTTCAGCGCTGACTTGTGTGACAAAGTAAAACACAAAGATGACCAAGACGATCAAAGGGCTGATGACTCTCCATGTGGCCTGCCAGAAGATGTTGGGTTTGTGTCCGATCATAAACTTTATATCCTCGTTAAACCTGACAAAGGAAAAGATCTGGCTCAGGACGATGCAGTTATGGTGTAATTTTTGACTCAATCAACCTGGACTTGGCACTTGATGTAATACATTTTGAAACAGCAGTCTTCTTATAATAATAATAATAATGCATCAGATTTCATATAGCGCTTTATCAGAGACCCTCAAAGCGCTTTACATTGGATACATCATTCATTCGCTCACACAGTCACACTTTGGTGGTGGTGGAAACGTGGCTGCCATTCTGCGCCTACGGCCTCTCCGACCACCACCACACAACACTCACAATCATACACCAGTGGAGGACACACACTGGGAGCAAGGTGGGTTAAGTGTCTTGCCCAAGGACACAACGGACAGACTTGGATTAGGGGGGAATCGAACCGCCAACCTTCTGGTCATTGGACGACCGCTCTACCTCCTGAGCTACTGCCGCCCCAATACAGCTGCTTTGGTTTCTTACCTGTCCATTCCATACAGGTAGGCCACACCAGTCATCTCGCAGAAGGCGATGATGAGCAAAGGGATGGAGCCTGCAAAGCCGTCGAAGAGCGCCAGCCAGTAATTGCCAGACCGCAGAGCGAAAATAAGGGCAATCAAGAACGATACGAGGCAAACAATCCCTGAAATGACATTGAACACATATGACCTGTTTACAACTGTTGCATGGTATGAATGAATGTTTCTTCAGCACATGGATCTTGCTTGTCTCTTGAATAAATCACCTGTAACCACTTCCTTCGGACACTTCTTTGGAAAGATCTTAAGGTCCTGCAGAGGAACTACAACCCCCTCTATGGCTCCAAACATGGTAGAGAGGCCAAGGCAGAAGAGCATGATGAAAAAGAGGACAGACCACAGAGGGGAGAAGGGCATCTTTGTGATGGCCTCAGTGAACACGATGAAGGCCAGACCCGTTCCCTCCACTCCCTACAACCAAAGTGAACAATCAGCTCACAGGACTTTTTAAAAAACTGAGACAGGGATTGAATTACTTTGATTACTCATGAATTTATCATACATCACTGAGGAAGGTCTGCAGGCTGCAGTTGTTGAGGCCCAGCCCTTCAATGATCCCTGACCCTGAGACTGTGCTGTTGAGATTTTGCAGCATTTCATTGTAGTTGCTTTCAGTGATGGACCCTTCAGCAAGGTCAAATGCATTTAGCAGCTCCATGATGTTTCTGAAAGACAACAGAACACAATGCAATAGAACTATTGGGAGATAACTAATCTCTGTTTTTAGATTCTGCCAAAAAAGAAACATCTGTACTCAGGGGTATTTTTTTTAAGCTACAGTCTGTTTGCGAGTGGTGCTGACCAATCAAGCATCAGCAGATTTAGTGGGACAAACAGTCCATGCAGAGAGCAGAAAGCTGTCAAAACACAATCACTATCATGACTTTCGCACTCCCAGTGATGGTAATCTGACCACTTTTTTCCATATAAAGTGCAAGTGCCAGTAACAGTCTGTCTAGATCAAACATTTCAATTCTGCTATTTTTTACACATAACCCTCCATCCAAACCTGTAATTTCATCAGCTGCATCAACTTTATGGGCCTCAGAGCTCGTCATTATAGCCAGCACCAGTGTCTCTACCCCACTTGGTGATAGATTCAGCTGCAGCTATGAGAAGATACCCACAATCCTATTTTTTTCTTCTTCTTTTAATTATCACTTTCACCAACTTAATATCTCTGTAAGTCCAGTTGATCATGGTTTCTTGGTTTAACACTGCCAGACTCAAGCCTCTGTGTTGTTTACTATCTAGGACTGAACTGAGTCTTACCAGAAACAGATAAATGAGTTCTGGAAACCCCCCTGAAATGTCAGCATTTATGTTGCAAGAAATAAAACCCACACAAGTCTTAGATGTTATCTGATGTCAACATCCTGCCACAAGTGGAACTACTGAGAAGTTGACATATCACCTTTTGGTGTCAGCTGATGATAAATACTGATGAGTTGTGGGAATGGGAGGACATGCTTTTGTGTGCTTTCACTTTATTGCTCAATAAAGTAAATTGATTTAATATTGCACACACATACCCGTTCAGGCAGGCATCAAACTGTTCTGTTGCTCGGAAGCCAATAATGGAGTATATGACTGTTGCAGCAAAGATGGATGTAAAGCCGTTCACCAGGGCGATGATGACTGCATCTTGCTCACAGTTGTTGCTAGATAGTAAACAAACAAAAAAAGAAGATAATCACTTTTAGATGTATGATAGGCACAAAATTGCTTAGTATATGTACATTGAGGATAAAATCAAACTTGGAAGTACTGATACTTGCTCATTTGCTTATTTTTTTACCACTTTACACCAGTCCACTCAGCATGGGTGTAATTTTTATGAGACATTTACAGGAATCCACAGACGTGCTTTCCATAATTCCTGTACATGTGCTTGATTCTCCTTTAAACCTTATCGTCTAATTTCAGATTGATAACTGTTCTACTGTCTACCTTTATTCTGTTAATGTCCACTGATAAGATTACAATATGAGTAATGTACACTCAATATTTATGATAGTGTGGACTTACTGAATAGGGTTGTAACTGGAGAAAGAGATAAGGCCTCCGAAGGCAAGCGAGAAGGAGTAGAAAACCTGAGCTCCTGCATCCAGCCATGTAGATGGGTTCACCAACTCATTGAGCTAAAACGGATAACGTTAAGAGATTATTATTTTCTAAAGCTAACGACATAATTACAAGGTGAAAATACTATTATAATCATAGCTTTACATACATCTGGTGTGAAGAGGAACTTGATACCATCTACCGATCCTTTCAAAGTTAGTCCTCTGATAAGGAAGATTGTGAGGACCACATACGGCAGAGTGGAAGTGATGTAAACAGCCTGATAGACAGAAAAGACAAATCTTAAAGGGGCTGTTTGTACCCTTGAAGAAAAGTATCAAAAGTTTTGAATAACAGATACTTCAAGAAAAAGTCTTGCAAGAAGGGAAGAAGGTTGTTCGTTTGATTTAAGTAGATTATAAATGATTCTATTGCTTATCCTTAACTTAAAAAACTGAAATGAGAAACAACTGTGTTAGCTGTGATTGTTTTGTGGAATTTCCCCCAATCACATTTTAATGACCCATTTTCTCCATCCTGTTGCAAACCAATAACACTGACAGATCAGTTCCACGGATATCCTACCTTGCCTGTGGTCTCAATTCCTCTAATGCAGCAGATATAGAGCACACTCCAGGCAGTAACCAAACAAATCACTATCCACCACTGCAGACCACCAGACTCATCGATAGCCTCTGACGTGTTCAGAGTCTCTCTGTACCAGAAGTAGTCCACTGGAGTGCTGCGTTCACATTCAGACACTAGACCTATACGGAAAAGCAGGACAACCACCCTGTTCACAATTTGATTACAATAAGACTAGTGTATCAAATTAGACATAAGTCCTTCAAAAGAGGGGCATGCCTGTGAGGTTTTTATTGAGAGGACACTGGCTCCATGGCAGGGGGTCCTGGAAAGAGTGGAAGAAGTACCACATCACCCAGGCAATGATGGTGTTGTAGTACATGCCCACCAAAAATGAAACAGTCATGGATGCAATACCTGTGACAGAAAGGTAAAAATATATGAATCTTACATGATTCAACCTGCAGAACTTCTGTACAGTGAGTCCATAACAAATTAGTTCATGGATGAAACGTGCCTAAAACTGATCAAATATCTCCTGGACCAGACAAAACTTAAATAAAAAAAAGATCAATAAAATATCCAGGTATGAACTGACCAACTCCAGCCAAATAGGGGTTGATTGCAGCCCATGCTCCCACACTGCCCTTTCTCAGGCGCTGGCCAATGGCGAACTCCAGGTGCAGCAGTGGGACGCCCTCAAAGACAAGTAGGATGATAAAGGGGATGATAAAAGCACCTGGGGGGACACACCAACATAAGCTCAGATAACTGCAGAGATAGTGGAGATGTGTTTGTTTGCACAGATACACTGAATTGACTGCTACCATGTCTGGTCACCAAACAGCCTTTAATGTCATCCACAAAGTATAAAACACTGTCATCTTATATACCTATCTTGATTAGTTCATTTTAGTTTTTCGAAGATCAGATATCACACTATCATATGAACAATTAAAAGGAAGTAATCACTTTTATGGGTTTGTTATCTTGCATGATGATGGTCAGGTTCAGGGCTAAATGTGTGTATGGCAGACGTCAGCAGATAGCACAGATTTAAATCAGCTGATATGGAAAAACTGACTCAAACAAGTAGTTGGATTCCTCTCTGAGTCAGGTTATCTTGGGAAAGTGTTGTGTCATTCCAGCTTGTTGTTAAGGATGAATTCAGCCACAGATGTGACTGAAAGCTCTGGCTAAATGTTAACTGTTTGGGATCAATCATCAGACGATCCTGAATGCTTGTGTTTCACTTTGACATCCATGGCACTGAGATTGTTGCCCTCTTGGGATGTTTGTTTTAATCATATCTCAACAGTGCTTGAGGGCTCACAGCAAGTTAAAGATACAAAGTCTCTTCACTCCACTGACCAAATGCATAATGCACTTTACTTGCTCGCAGTTGAGTAATCTTTTACTAGTTCTTTCTGTAAATACAGCATTCCTGGCCTGCATGTTCTGTTGGGTGGGAACTTTCCTTCTTCTTTTCTGTCCTTTATTTTAGCAAATGCATTCTGTTGCTTTTCACATCTCACACAAGACAGATTTAGTGAAAGGGACAACATATGTAGCGATCTGTGATTTCTCCAATGATCAAATTTTCATTTGTTTGGGGTTTTTTTTTCTGATTTATGTTCCTTGAAGGTGCAAGTCAATCCATCTGATAATCACCTGACTCTCTGTAGCCCCACCAGTAACCCATTTAGCATTTTTTGGTCTAAAAGAGGTCTAATAAATGTCTTAATGTAGCCTAGATGACTGGTCTAAAAACAGGCTAACACAAATCTAAAAATGAATGTTTTTTTAGACGTCTAAATTTAGACCAAGTTTAGACCAAGTCTAAATCTGGGCTATATCTATACTACACTGTATATTGCTCAATGGCTATCATAATTATTTTGTTTAGTACTTGGAGATCAGTTATGCAACTCACAGGGTCTAAAAAAGGAAATCTAATAGTTATCGGTTGCTCAGTGGGAAGGTTAAAATATAAGATTTTGTTCATACAGAAAATAGGCTGCAGGAGGCACAATAACGTCATGCTACCATTGTCAATTTTAGTAGCTAGCATGTTGACGTACACATGTAGCATAAGGTAGGCTTCTAGGTCTCAAGTAGCTGTAGCCTCACAGAAATCTTAGTTTATCAAAGTTGTTTCGGTTTTTTTTTTATGAGTCAAGGAGGTCTGTTTTTTCTGTTTCAAATGTCCCAAGCAGAGAATAATACAATGTTATTTCTACTTGTTCTGAGCTGGCATGTGTGCTGCCCAAGTGGATTATTTCCATGTTTTGCCCTTGACAACTCTTCATATCTATTTGATAAGAAATCATTGCACCTCCCAGGCAACACCTTGGAAAAGTATTTGTTTATGTTTATGTGTACTGCTGTCCTTGAAAGCCAACTCCCAAATTTAGGAGAAAAAAAAACACATGAAACCACCTTAGTCAGTTCAAGAAAGTCCATCAGCTCTCCTGTAGCTGACCTTTTCAGTCCTCTGATAATGCTCTGTAAGGCCGCCTTACGGTCTAGTCGTGACAGTCATTAATCTGCTGCCAATTAAAAACTGAATAAAAAGAGATAAATAAATGAAACTGGTTTACCAGCTGATGCAGTTTAACACACCAGTAGTTATTTGCTGTAAATGACTCTTCTAGTTGTAACCTGTTATGGTCCATTTAACTACACAGGTTAATATTCAACCTGAATCGCTGTAAGTGCACATGATATGCTTTCAGTGGTGCATCATAGTTTTATTGGGCTGCTTACAGACTTTATTTGCACTAATTTGAGACAGTTTTTATCCTCTGCATTACACTTCCAGTCCCCATAAAACATCACACACCTCACCTACGAAGCATTGATAAATAACTGCTGATAAACAATATGCTTTATTTTGTTTTCTATTTTATTAACTTTTTTTGTGATTTTCAAAACAATTGACATTTCTGCAAAACATAAAATGCTACTCCCAAATAGTGCAATTCAAATATAATAATGATATCATAATCCACAATCAAGATTTTAATCAATTTCACTGTATACTTTTGATAAAAACTTAAATTTTTAATATTATACACTCGCACCACATCAGGGCCAATAGCTCATGAAACCCACTTCTGAGTATTACAGCGTTTTCAGATACGACATTTTCAAATTTCCATTTATCCTCTCTATAGAGCTGGTTGTGATCTATTGGTTTAATATTTAAGTGACAGAGAAGATGAGCTTACCTCCCCCATGGCTTTGACAAAGGTATGGGAATCTCCAGACGTTGCCCAGTCCCACACAGAAACCCACACAGGTGAGCAGATACTGGGCTTTGTTGTCCCATTTGGGTCTGTCAGCAGCGGTCTCCTTTTCCAGCCTCTCCAGGTCCTCATGAGAGGGAATCCTCTCATCCAGCCCTGGGTTGGGAAGAACCAGTCTCATGCTGTTTGTATTGTAAGACCAGCTGACAGATCTGAGATGTCCAGCAGTCTTCACTTACTGGGAGATAACTGGGAGGTTTCAGAGCTGCTGCCTGTTAGAAAGTGAAATGACTGATAGCGTCTCTGTGTGCGAAAGTGTGTAGGTGTACGTGACTGTCATGCACATCCTTCATTATCTCTTCAGCTTGTCTACTATTCTGATGCAAGAAGATGACAAATTTGTAAGTGCTGGAAATTCTCACTCTCAGTGGCTGTGGAACAATTTATTCATGTTAAGGCTTCATATATAATTATTAACCACATACCAGGCTGTTTATTTAAAAGCCAGCAAAACTTATTTTAAATGTTAAACTGCATGTTTAGGACCCACTTGATGAATACAGTCAATAGCAGAGTTGAAGTATATGGATAAAGTATATGGACTTTTTGACTGGGATGGCCAAGCTGTGGTTGAACTCATGTAGATGAGGTGGTAATACGACAGGCTCCTGAATATACTAAACTTGGTTTTAATTTTGTTGCTTCACTTTCTAAAACTACATCATGTCCCTTGAAAAATGCTGTAAAAATGTAATTCTTTAAGATTATCATTATTAACATGCCTGACAATGAGACATTGCAGAAGTGGTGGAGCCAAACTTTTTTTCACTGGGGTGGTCAAGCATGGTAGATGTTATTCGCTTAACATGAACCAGGATTATCTCCGCTTATCATATTTAGTTTCTTCTCGTATAAAAGAGTTTAAAAATGTTATATTCTTGTTCACAACTTTAAGGCTAACTCAGTGGATTTAAACCTGCTGAACTTTACTTTTAAAGAACTAAAATCAAAGATGTTAGCAAAACAAGCAGCCCACTAACCACAAACCAGGAAGTTGAATTGAATTCAAGGGCTACCCTGGATGATGTAAACGGTCACTGCGGTGTCCAATCAGATTTCTATTCTCTTGTATTGTATTCTATTCTAGAGACCGGCTTTGGCTCAGTGGTAGAGTCAGTCATTGCCCAATCAGAGGGTCAGAGGTTTGATCCCTAATCCTGCTGTCCATATGTCAAAGTGTTTTTTGGCAAAATACTTGATCCCACCCGCCCCTGCTGGCTACGCCCAGTGGTGTGTAAATAGGATTAGTCAAAAATTGATGGGTTCTCTACTATCAGTTGGTGAATCTGACGTGAATGGATGAATGTGATGTAATATTAAAATGGCTTTGAGTGATCAGAAGATGGGAGGAAGTTCTACCCTGTTTTAAACAAGAATGAAATATGCCATTCATTCATTTAAATTAAAAAAATAAAGCTGCAGAAAAGAACATTTTCACAAAAATACCCAATAAGTGTCATAACAGAGAAGCTTAATCTGAATCTGACTTGCTAGAAATGGTTGAACTCCTGATTGTCTCTATTCTTCTCTGTACTGTTCCCTAATTTAAAGTCACATATAAGATTAGAACCAAGTTTTCACTCATTTAAAAATATAAAACTGTTACTCTGACAGTGGCAATTGAAGGACTTTCTAAGGCAGTCCTTGTACCGGTTGCCATAACTTTCAAAGTGGTGCTGGTAGAAAGCCAGAAGAGGAATAAGTACAGTAGACCTCACTTAAGGAAAATGAATCTCTGCACAAGTTAGATGAAGAGAAAAGCAGCAGGGGAATAGACTGAGCAATAATCTTACACTACATTCAAACTTACATTAACACAGATGCAGAAAAAAAAAATCATTTTTCCTAAAATGTTGGGTTATAAGAAGAAGGCATTCAAGTACAATCATGGCTGATGCAAGGTAATCACAATTTATCTTTTAAAGACCCACAGGGCATGGCTGCCAAAGGAGTGGAGCAATTAACCAAAGTGCAACCAAGGATTTGACCAAAGAAATACTTATCTGTTTCTGAAATATTCCACTAAAAAAGATCTGACTCTCAAATCAGTGTGCAAGAATTACACTTAAAGTCTTCTCAGAGGACAGACTTTTTTAAGGTATAAAATATTTCTGTGAAAAAAAGATAGAAATTATAAATATGCTTCCACATATTCCCACTTTACTTTCAGACTCTTTATATTTTCTTTGTGGAATAAAATATTTGGATTATAATACATAGTACCTACAGTAACCTGTGTTCAGCAGTAAACCAACAGCATGCCTATGCCAAAACATGGCTTGCTTGCCTGGCACTTTTGCCTGATTGAAGATTTGCTAGAACAGCACTCATCTTTAGTTTCTATAAACCGTCTATAGAAACATTTTGGGTCATTTATTCTGATTTTTGTTCTTATTGCACTGAGTTTTCTGCTCAAATTTAACACAGTACTGTATTTCATCTTCCTACTGTTACACAGCTGAGCACTAAGACTTCCTCAGGGTAAAGTACATTACACTAAAGTGACTGCGAGGGCATGGAAGACTCATAAAAACTGCAGAAAAGAAGCACGCCTTGCCCTTTGACCTGTTATGTCAGGCTGACGCAGGAGTTTGAGTCAGAATCAAGCAGAAACATAAAAAAATGAACAAAACTGAAGTTACCTGTGCTGTTTGGTGTTTTTGTTCTCGAGGGAGGTGATTATGTTGTCTCCTGCTCTCTTATCTGTCCATGTGTATCAGAAAGCAAGTGTCTTTTTCAGATAACCATTAGCAATAACTCAATAATATAATATTATAATTCAATAAACGTGTTTCTGCTTTTCATTGACGTCTATCAACATACTCTCTGGAGAGTTGGAATTAAGATCTAATAAAGCATAAAGAATATGATAATTCTGTCATACATGTCAGTCAGCTTGTTGCCGATATGAAACATATCAAGCCATTCATGCAGAAGATTTATAGTTAGGGATTACCGGTCTATGTTTAGACATAATTCCTTACCACGTTGGAGGACATGACCAAGCAAGAGATAAGGGGGCATAAAATAAGCAGGTGTCAGGGAGTGTGAAGAAATCTTTGTACTTTAGCCCTTCCTTTACAACCCATCATTAACATAAGATACACTCTACTACCATCACCTGCACCTTACACGTGTAGGTGATTTTTTTTTTTTTTTTGCACTTGGTGCCGAAGACTTAAAAGAAGTGGCTTTCTGCCCTCAAGTGGTGACAAAGAGATGCTTTCAATTGTTTTCCCTGACATGAATTTGAGGACATGTTACATAATAGGTTTATGGATCTTGTTGACGTAAGCAGATAATGTTAACAGCCACATCGGCACAGGATTTATAATGTAGCGTGTGGACTGATTTTATAAGGCAATGTAGGATTTCCCTCTTGGACACACACACACACACACACACACACACACACACACACACACACACACACACACACACACACACACACACACACACACACACACACACACACAGGGGTGCTGCCAAGGTTTTGGAGCCTGATCAAAATAAAAAGAAAGAAAGAAAGAAAAGGGCCACCCCCACCACTTTACCTCTGCAAAAGTTTTCCTATTTTTATCTGTCAGAGGCCCCTTGGAATTATCCCAACTTTTCTCCCCAAATGCACCACCGGCTGCACCATCAAGGGCTGTTAGGGTATATAGTTATGCATAAAAGTCATGTGGACAGCCTTCCCCGTGATTAATGTGCAAGGCTAAGTTTCAGTTTTACACCTCAAAGTAAGGGGAAAGTTCAATACCCATCACTCATCTTGGATTTCCGTTTACTGTAAAGTAAATTGGGGTCATTGAGCTCTGCAACACTGCTTGGAATACGAAAACATTGTATAATCAATCAAATCTTTACTAATGAAGATTTATATTGTGATCCAGTGATTGATTTGTATCTTGTGATCAGATCAGGTGAGTCCCTTTTTGACTTAGTGGCCAACTGGGATACTGACTTTCACTGAAGTGGCAATCAACATACAAGCATGAACAAGTGAATTACATTTGTTTGCCCTTTCTGAAAATACAGTTTATTGGAATAGGTATCATATCATATCATATCATATACTATCAAATCATATTATATCATGTCATGTCATATCATATCATATTGAATTTCTCTTCAAGGGTCAATGAAGTTCTTATCTGAATTCACTTCTATCATCTGCGCTGCTAAACACCATTAAAAAACTACGCACTGCACCTTTAACTACTTGCATTTGGCTGTACTTCTGAATATAGTTATTACTGTTAAGAACAAGCAGCAAAAAGGCAACAAAGACGATCCTTTCAGCTAACATCTCAGCCAGATAAAAGACCAAATTCAAAAGTACAAAAACAAAAGCGTTACATTTCAATTCAAAGAAAACCACTACAACCTCGAACACAGCCTTGATTTTGACTCTTGTCCTCCATATGACAAAACCAGGTAGCCTATCATGGTATGGGTTTTAAGGGGTGGTGGATAAGAGTTCAAGGGGGGCATGGCCACCTCTGAACTCGCTTTGGCTCCGCCCCTGTGTGACCTCAAAGCAAGCAGAGAGGCATACCATTCCCGTCACCGTATAACTGGGTTAACACCATACTATTCTCCAAAAAACAGATAATTAGACAGCCAGATATCTAGTGAGTTGACTATAATATAAAAACTTTGTGTTTTTAGCAGCTGTTGCACTGACTGGCTAGATTAACCTGCATTTAAACTTAAAGGCCACAAGAGGGAGGCATTGGTCAAAGTGTCCCATTGCTTGCAGCAAAACTCCTCGCAGCAGACTTTTATCCCTGTAATGCTTAGTGTGTACATGTGTCTGTTGTACTTGGCAGTGATTTAACACCAGAGGCTTTTTATGTCATCTTTGCGTTGGAAGGATAGAAAAGACAAATTTATTTATATGATTTTTTTTAAATAAATAAACAACATAGGCCTTTAGGCTACAGTTTATTTGACTAATTTGACATTGTATGGTGACTTTATTTTATGTTAAATTACGCCTTGGATAAATCTATCTTTTTTGCACTTTCCACGTTTGTTAGTTCTGCACTTTTTATAGGATCAGAGTGAGTACTTTTCATTTAGGAAGCCACTACTAAGCCGGGGACACTGACAGGAGGGGGAGGTGAGGCAGAGGGGAAAATAGATTTGGGAGAGAGAGAGGGAAAGAGGGAGGGGGGAGGATTTACTGGGACTCAGACAGACAGCAGACCGGCTGTCCCAAGCTGCTGCGCTGATCCTTCACTCTCCGGCAGTGAGCTGAGGTCCTCCACCACCAGCAGCAGCCGCCTCCTCTTTCTCACTGGCCACCTGCCCCTCCGAGAATAACACAGCGGCATCAAACAGCTCAGGGTGAGTCCAGCCAGAGCAACGAGGCGAGAGGAGGAACTGACCGGCTTCTTGAGGCATCTTTCCGGCTTCTAACAACCCCCCTCACCCACCTCTCTCCCCCTGTCCTGTGGGAGGACAGGCTGCGCGCAGCTAGGGCGCACTTGGCGACTCGGGTTTGTTGTCGTTACCAGGAGAGGAGCCCACAGCGACCACAAGCTCAGCTGGTCCGGCTCTCATTAAACCGGGCTGCCCCTCTCTGAGGAGCCACTTGTATGGATGCACCATGGCCACGTTCGTCAGCAGGGTTCAGTTTTTAGATGATACCGATCCATTCAATAGCACCAATTTCCCAGAACCGACCAGACCACCGCTTTACACCTTCAGGGAGGATATCCCACTCATCAACCAGCTAGCAGGCATCCACAGGCTGCTCAAAGCCCCACACAAGGTAGGATTACCAGCCTGGTAAACAACGATAACCTAGAATTAACTCATGTTAGTGATTATATGTCCTGGGTAGGAAATGAAGGGATTTGTTGGTGTTCTGCTATTATTCTGTATTACATCACTTGAAACTCAAAGATAACTACACTCCCATAATGCTTACATTGCGTCATAGATAGTTTTTACTCTGAAGTGTATTTAAAGTTTGACATCAGAGCAATACGAGGCTGTTTGGCAACGTTTAGGGCTGCTGTTTTCCACTTTAAGCCTACTGCAAATAAACTTCCATACCCACCATCCAGAGGCTATTTTGAGAGCCCAACTGATTGGCTCTCCAGACCCAGGACTGAAACAAGGTTGCAAATGTTTGCCTCAGAGCCCACAGCAACAATAAACATCAGCTTTACTTGTTTTTCTTTATCTAAATATTCAGATTTAATCCAGTGCTGGTACAGTTATGTTCCACTACAGCACCACTATGACAACCTCTAACCTTTCAGTAGAAGGATCTAGAGATGAGAAAGTATTCCCCTCTCAAAATGAACAAACTTTTCTCATTGCTTAATATATTTTGCACTTTGCTTAGCATGACACAGTGACAGGTGTGCAAAGGCATCAGTGAAACTTGATCCTGGTTGCTTCATTCATCTGGAAGTGACAGTCAACAGCTCTGGTGACCACAGAGAGCCTGAATCATGGCAGATCAGATTTGGAGAATCAGATTACGATGGGTGTGAGGCAGAGAGAAAGTGTTGGTGTGCCAGTTTTGGTGAATTTAAGCAACACATTCCTAACTGACAAGGTTGAGTCACACAAACACACCCATAGAGGCTAAAGAAGTCAAACAACCTTGCGTTATTTTTACGTTTACAGGCAGAATTTTTAGAAGAATAAGACTTAATTGTGCTGAAACTTCAAGTGAGACACAGTGAGAAAGAGAGAGTCTCGATGCTGGCACACTACCCTGACAGCAAACCGGCGCTAAACAGCAGAGTGGTTTACCAGACCAAGTAGATCTTCATCTGCCCCATCTTTAAAAGCCACAAAACAAATGAAAAATGGCCCGCAGAACAGAAAAGCTTATGATTACAACCTTTACAAGGACAGATGGCATGTCCTGGGTTCGTGTTCGCAATTTTCTTTCGCATCATTTGGGAAAGCTGTGTGCCGAGGCAACTGGATATTGAGTTAAGATTACAGGGGTGAAGCTAAACTGTTGCAAATATACTCTTCAGATCAGCGAGATGCAAAAGTCTCCCTTTCAGCGGGCTCAGTCTTATTATATAATTTGAAAATATCAAAGCTAGCAAGAGACTGACAATTTCTTCAGCCTTTTTTTCAATCTTTCTTTGTTAAGCAGTTTCTTTCTGTGTTATTCTGTGAGAAAAGTCTACTGTATTATTATGTTGTGATGCTAGAGCTCTGTGTACGACTGGCGCGGATCGCATTTAAAGTATAGGTCACTTGTCCCAGAATTCCTGTGGCCAGGCCCTGGATCCTTGCAACACTTTGTTCTCCTCAACCCTGGCTGCTGCGGTTTTCCTGACCTCTTCCTCCATCTCCTCTTCCACCTCTGTGACCATGCAGCAGCTCACAAACACACACACACACACACATACATATACACACAAGGCTGGGCTGACTTGCCAGGGCTAAATCAGTGCATCATGGTTTGTGTGCATGTGATGTGTCATCTTACCCAATCGGTTAAGGAAAGTGCCCCTTTGTTGATAACTTTTCCCCTCTAGTTTAAAAAAAAAACACAATTGCACATAAAGAGTTTAATCAAGGCTTAACAATTTGATTTTTAAAGATAAATAAGGTATTAAGACAAGTTAATACTCTGTTAAAACATAAGATGTGGAGGTAAGCGCAGAGACTTAACCATCAGTCATGCAGCTACAGAAAAAATACTCCTCTCAAAGCCCAGACTTTACAGCTCAACTTGTATTTCATTACCAAAGGGGTCCCATGAAAGCAACCCTGGGAGGTTTAATAGCTGTGTAGAACACACCCTCCTCCTCACCCTTCAAAGAGCCTGATCTTTTGTGGCTCTAAATTTGACACAAAAAAAGTTCCTAAAAACTCGTCTGAGTTACGTAAGAGCATTGTTAACTGTCAACCCAGCGTGAGTACCAGCAGACTTTGTGTTGTTTTAACATGGAAGTGATTACTCCCAAACCCCTACTTACTTTTTTTTTTCCCCCCCAGTTTCGCTCTTCTGGGAGAATTTGATTAAATGAGTGTAAAGTAAACTAGCCACTAAGTGTTTCCCTGGCCCGTCCTGGAGCCTTGAGTGTGAAGATTTTGCGGTTGGTTCTGGAGCCACCTCTCCGCTGGCTGCATCTAAAATGATGTGTTTTTATTTGAATGTTATTACTGCTTTTGCCCAAACAAAGTGTGTTTGGAGAGGGACTCCCATTGGAGGGTGAGCAGATAACAAATTGTGTGCGGAGCAGTCCAAGACTCAGTTCTGGCTTTATAAGCAGTAAGTCAAATGAAGTTATGTGTGCAGATACAAAGGGAAGCAGGGAACTCCAGCTGTAATTCCAAAGAAGTTGGAGCTCTGTGAAAAATGTTGATAAGATCATTTAAACTGCATATTTAATTTGAAAAGTCAAAGGGAACATCTCAAATGTTGAAATTGAATTTGTCACTATTTTATGACACTCACCGATACTCCTTTTAAATTTGATGTTAAAGAAAAGTTGGGGAATGAACTACAAAACAAAAAAGGTGTAGAATATCTCCCATCTAATTTGCAACAGATTAGGAACATGACAGGGTGTTTAAGCTAGGGTGACCATACGTCCTCTTTTACCCGGACATGTCCTCTTTTTGGGGGGCTGTCCGGCCTCGTCTGGGGAGTTTATAAAATCCTTCAAATGTCCGGGGTTTTGTATGGAAGTTTTGAGTTTGTGTTGCATGGACTAACTGAGTTAGAAGCACATAAAAAACCTCAACCCAACCCGAAAAACTCTCAAAATTGACTTTGTGCAACTCCATGACTCCACCCTGTGTAGTAGTGTCCTCTTTTTGGGAAATCAGAATATGGTCACCCTAGTTTAAGGGTTATTCCTGAAGTAAAAATTAGAAGAGGCTCATCACTGCGTTAGACTCTGTGAGAACAAATAGTTTAACTGTTTTAGAATGATGGTCCCCGGGGTAAAACTGCAACGATAAGGGGTTTTCATTATCTACAGTACATGATATCATCAAAAATCCAGAGAAACAGGAGATATCTCTGCACAAAAACAACAAGACTCTAGGCCAGTGCTGGATAGCCGTGACCTTTGGCCCCTCTGCATTTAAAACAGACTCTGTAGTGGAAATCACTGCATAGACCTAAAAATAACTTTCAAAAACTGCAGTTTGTGAACACAGCTGGATCACTTCTCTGGGCCAGAGAGCTAATATTTCTTCTGGATATCATGGATGCTGTGTCCTCTGCTCTTAAGAGGAGAGTGACTACCTGGGTTGATATCAGTGCATAGGTCAAAAGCTAGTATCTGTGATAGTATGGGGATGTAAAAGTGCTCATGGAACAGGTCTGCTTACACATCTAGGAAAGAACCATGGATGCTGAACAATAAATATGAGTTTTAGAGCAAAAGATGCTACCATCTGCCCCTTCAAGGGAAACCCTTGCATATTTCAAGAAGATACTACCAAAGTAAATTCTGAAGAAGAAAACCCCTGGAGTGCTTAACTGACTGGCCTGCAATTACAACTTGTTGCCCATTGAAAACATTTGCTGCAAAATTTGTCCAAAATAGACCCCAAACTGTTTGGCAGCAAAAATCTTTTATCAGGTAAGAGTGGAACATATTCACTTTCAAAATGACAGAAACTAGGGTTCCCAAACACGTCCCTGTCCCTGCATTTTCAATGTGTTACCTGTAATTGTGTATATTTTATTATCATTAAACCATAAGATTGTTTTCAGTTTCAACATTTGATAAGTTGACTTTGCTTTACAGAGGGGGTACTATACATTTTTTCAGACTGTACTTCCTCTCTGATTTCTCTTTAATAGCTTTACATGATTTCTACTGTGTGTTTGGAGATGTTTTAAACCAGAAATCTTTAAAGACATGAATACAGCGCTCAAAGATGCTAAATAGTGCCTCTGGTTTAGACTCTGAAAATGTTTTTGTCTTATTCCAACATGAAATTGGGGCACTGAAACTGGGCCTGATCCCCCTCGCCCCCCACCCTCACGTTACCCCCGTTTCGCTGTGATTATAATTAAATAAATCGCACTTGTGTTATTTGCATGGCAAGTGTGAATGACAGAAGGTTCAAAAGATGATTAAATCGGGCAAGACTACACAAAATGCTTAAAGTGTGGATGTGTTTGTAGACAGTTTCTGTATGTCATTAATTTTTTGTTTGGATTGAGTTGATCTGAATTTTTGGTAACTAAATATTTCCTGCGCTGTACCATGCAGTTTCTTCTTCTTGTTGTGACTAAAACTAGTTTAGATGCAAATATTCCTGTGCTCTTTTGCATGAAATGTGTATTTGTGTATACAGAGTGGCTTTGAGAAATGCACACGTTGCAGGGGTGAAAGTAGGATAAGATTCTTGCAGGTACTGTACCTGTAGGCTTTGTACAAGAGGAGCACACCAGAGTTTAACCAGCTGCTGACTCTGATGCCACAGTATCATCATCTCTCTTTCTCTTAGACTTCAAATCAAATTTTCTCTGCATTTTGTTTTATTTCTGCATTAAGATTGAAGCAGCTGTCTCTTTAAAAGTCCCCTCCTTCCGCAAAAAGCGGGAGGTGGTCCCCAGCGCCTAGGCAACCAGCGTCCAATCAAAAGTGCGCCCTGAGCAACAATTCTGGAGTTTGTTTGAGGAAGCAAATACGCTCACTCGCGAGCAGCATGGTCCTATTGGATTATTACGGTTACAATATAGAGTGAGGCAACACGGTAAGCAAATGTAGCTTACAGACATTGCAGGGGTGAAAGTTTGTGTATCTCCGGCTGTAAATTTCTGTTTATGTCTTCCTGGTAGCGCGATATTTTTTTCGTAGGATGGTAGTAGAAAGTCCCGCCCTCCTTTGCCTCTGATTGGCTCGCATAAGGAATAACCAATCGGAGCCCAGCACTTCTAGCCAATCAGAGGCGAAGGAGGGCGGGACTTTCCCCTACCATCCTGCAAAAAAATCTTGCTTCCAGGTACGCGTACCGCTGCATACCGGCTTACTTTCACCCCTGACTGGTTTGAAGACGAATTTCTCTGATGAATTTGTAATTATTGGTGATTTTGAGGAAATAAACAACAAAAAACTTGAGAACAGGAAGACTTTATGATGCATCACAGGGGATTCTTGTCCCTAAAGGCCACCAGTCCTACACTGAAGGGTGAGCAAGGGAGCATGTCAGTCTAGCATCTGACAGCTAGATAGGGGAGAGTGGGCTAAGATGAGACATTTTTTCACATTTCGGATATATCATAGTTTTGTCTCTAACTAGTGTATCTGCATATATTTCAAGATGTTGTGCATTCCTGCAAACCAATAGAATGAGTGCAAACATAACTGTCTTGATAATATATATATAAATGGTCTACTATGGTCAACTTACCCCGTGTATGGGGTAACCCCTTCACCCATGTGCTTCTAACCTTCACATACCCCATGAATTAATGCCCATCTCCTGAATATTTGGTCCTATGATCAATTTCTTTTACCATTTCCAAGCAACAAGGGGGTGGCTCAACTTACCCTTTGGCTCAACTTACTCGCCCTTCCCTATAGCTAAATATTACCATTTTGACAGGTTGGTAAATTAGCCCTCAGGAGTTGGCACTGATCTGTGTGTAGTCCACCTAAAGCCCATCTATCATAGTCCTCAGATGTTTTGTCTTGTTGAAGCTCTTTTACAGTTTTCTATCTAGAGTATGTATGAAACTGGCAGCTTTTTTGTGAGCCTGACCACAATTTTGACAAGAACTGTGGCCAGTTGCTGAGTTTTTTTGCTTTGTGGATTAGCATGACTGGATTAAAGTTGGTGTGAGCTGATAATAGAAAATCCAAGCAGACCCTAAAGTCACCCAAAGTTTTTTAAACTCCATGAGTCCTTGATGTAGGATTAGGATTGGTGAAGGAATTTATCATGAGTTAGCGTATTTCCGTAAAGTTCAATGCAACAAGGTTAAGAGCTTATCCTAAGCAAAACTTTGGCCTTGGCATAGCCCCCTTTAACTCTCAGCCCCTGTAGACACACCCACTCTAGAGCGCCTGCTGCCTCAGAGCAGAGTAAATATAGAAAGGTTATATTTATGCTCTGAGTCCATCCGACAGTCCGTCTCTGTGTTTCTGAGTGAGCTGGATGGACAGACAGAGAGCAGCAGCAGGTCTTGTGATCTGCCGGTCAGAGAGTGTCGTCGTGCAGCTGGATCAGACGGCCAAGGGGGCATTTGGCTGGACACCAGAGGCCAGGCCAGGTTAGGCCTACCACTACCACAGAGGTGCTAAATGCTACCTCAACTCGTGACTCTGATCTGACACACACTCATACATGAGCAGCTTTGACAATAAGCTGCAAAGCACACGGCTGATGTATTCGATGATGTATGTTACTTTTTATGAGTTGTAGCTGTTTGCACCTGCTATCAGCTTGTGACTGTATCCATAAACATCAATGCCAGAGCTGTGCAGATATTTTACTGTGCACCTGGTCTCACGCTCAGCAGGGTTTCTCATTACACAGCATTGTGGGTTAACTCTGACATGGGCTGCTCTGTGGTGTCACCTTAGATCATGCATTTGCAGAAGGCTTGAGTGCAAGACTGGTCAGATTTTAAGATGTGAAAATCAAAACCAAGCTCCCATCTGTTGTATGTGACATTGTACAGATGTTAATCATATTTGCAGCAATGAGGAGAATGATGCCTTATTGGATTTAGATCGACTTCAGCTGGCAATAGTCATGTCAGGTATTTAACCAAATTTAAGTGTAATTTTCCTTGCAGCACATGCATCTCTATACATTTTAACTGTTTTTCTGTTTTGGTTCCATGTTCTGCAGCTGTAACGTCTGATTCTCTGCAAATATACTCCCTTAACAGTGTTGTAATGTTGAAAGCAGAACCATGCCTCGTGTGGCTCGCCCACTTTTCATGGATCACTGTGTGGACTGGTTTTCAGATCTTTTCCCTGTTAGCTAAATAAATTTTACGGGCTCAAACTGTTTTAAAAAAAGGGTGTGAAACACATGCAGGGATTTAGTGAAGGAGTTTTAAGAAGTAGTGGGCCTGGAGACTAATGTCATTACTTTGGGTGATTCCTGTATATATATCACAGTCAGGGGGAGGGGGATTTTATATCATATGCATCATATTTTCCATCTCTTCCAAATGCCAGTTTAGGCTGGTAGCAGTTTTTGATTTAGTAGTCGGCCTTTAGTTTTCTTTACAGCAGTTGGATCCAATTGTAGTTCAGGGCCATTTCATTTGTTGAGTCTCTCGCTTGCATTAAAAGTATGTTTTCCACTCTGTTCCACAGCTTGATGACTGCACACTACAGCTCTCCCACAATGGCACCTATCTGGACCTGGAGTCCTCTCTGGCTGAGCAAAGGGACGAGCTGGAGGGCTTTCAGCAAGATGACACAGGGTGAGTTTGATCACTTTTCCTCTTTTTCAGACTAAGAGAGGAATCCCTTTGTCATTTCCCTCCAAATACTCTTGCGCACATATTTTTCGAGTTTCTCCATTCTTGTAAATGGGAATAATCACAAACTGCTGAATATAGAGTCCTTGGAAGTGCTACTTCATGGAAAGTATGAAGCTCAGTGGAAAGAGGGACAGATGTACTCACCCTCTTAGAGCGAGCCTCAGTCTGTGTTTTTACAATAACAGATTTCATAAGCTTTATTGTGTCAAAATGTTATAGTACAAATACAAATACAACACGAAGCGTCTAACTTAATAAGAAACAGCATGATTATTTGTGTTCTGAGTTTTTTCAGGTTCCTAAATCTCTCAGCAGCAGTGTTTGTGTCTCTCTTAGTGTAAGCAGGAGTGAAACCTGCTAGAATCTGGATTTCCCTGCACGAAACAGAAAAATATAAGTGAACAAGTGTTGGACAATTGAATGCAAAAACATAAACAAAAAGAATAAGAAAAGTGAATAAAAATAATTGGCGTGCGAAACATCAGTCAGTCTTAACTTCTGCTTGAACAACGTTGAATGTTTTTCATTTTCAAGTGGGACTAAGTGTTGTCTGGTTCTGGATTTGTGCATTTCTTTTACCTAATTGGCAGCCTGAACTCTTGAGAAATAAAGCCAATGGTGAAGGGCTAAAAGGTCATCTTTAAAAGAAAAATAAAGCCCTATACAGCCTGGTTCAAGTGGTTATTTTGGACAGAATAGCTCTTTTCTCTATAAACACACAATATAGGAGGGTGAACAGTTTCTGTAAGATTTTTAGGTCAAAATTTTGCATGACGGGTACGGCTGACTTGATGACAGGCGTGCATGCAGTAAGCTGGCTGTTTTTAAGCAGGTCAAGGTCAACTCCCACCCTGTCTCTTTGTCTCTTACTGACTGACAGTTGGATGAGTTGGCATTTCCAACATGGCGGCCACTATTGATGGTCTTCAGAACTTCACCCCCCCACAAAAAAAATAAATAAATAAATAAAAAGAATAAAATAAAATCAATAAATAAAATAGTTAATAAATAAACAACACAACCCCCTTCAATATAAAACAAAACAATATGTTACTTTAGCCTGTCCTGTAATTGTGTACTATAAGTCAAACTGACTTTGGATCTGCAGTAATAATAATGCAATCAAATTTTATTAGTCGCACCTGGCCACAAAGTCTGCCATTGATTAGCGGCAAAACCAGGAGTTAAAGATATGATATGATTCTACAAAGGGATTCCTTCAAACAGTACAAGTCTCTCTCATCCATACAGTAAGTTACTTAAGATGAAAAACCCTGAAATGTATCAAATTTATTGGATGTAAACAGCCAGTAAATTATTGTTGGCACTGTTGTTGAGTGAATTGTGTCAGCACGTTGGTCACCACATGAGTTGTGCTTTTGGTTTTTGGCTGGAACTTCTAAGATCCGTGGTAAAGCATTGTCTCATTGAACTTTGAGAAACACACTGAGCAGGCTGCAGCTCACTGGCTGCATGCTTTTGTGTTTGTGTGTGTGTGTGTGTTTCTGGAGAGCTGTGGTATGTTGATGTGTTTGGAGACCGGGGGCTGCCGCATGAGAAGTGATGGCAGAGCCACAGAGCTGTGGTTTTTTTTGAGACTGTTTGCTTCTGTTCTTGTTTCCATGTGTACATCTATTTGTTTGTCTATGTAAGTGCCTTTATTGTGCGCCTTAAAAGCTATGTGACACATGACGGACAGGCGAATAGAGGTGTATTTGTGTTTTTCAGAAGTGTTTGACATGTCGGGGAACTGGTTATATTAGACAGACCCGTGTGTCATCCTCTTAAACAAAGCTTTCATTGGAGGTTGCACCATGCTGAGAGGGAATTGTTAAGTTCAGGTTGAGTTTGAGGCCAAACATAGCATGGGTTAAGGATGGATGCTTTTGCCCTACCTTCCTCTTGTATGGGAAACACTATGTATAGTTGCTTGTTTTATACTTATATTCATTATCCTGTCTTCCATCAATTATTTGTGGTTTCTAAAAACTGTGCTGGCCCCATTATAATAAATTATGTGTTAAGCAGATCTCAAGGCTTCCACTTTCTTACTTTTTTCTTACAAGATCTCCCTCAAAACACTAAACTTTCACTTTCACTAAAAGATGTTTTGAATATGGATTGGTGTGGAAAGATTCTCACCAAGAATCGATGTTCCCAGGCATCAAAAATATGTTTTGGTAGGACGCTGCTGACCACAGATGACAGTAAACAAAGTCCTCTGGTGACAGCTTGGAGATGCTTTCACTAAGAGAAAGTGATGAGAAAAATTGGGGGGGAAATTTCTGCATGTTAGGATGCTGTTCATTTGATATTTTGCCTTTTTCCCAAAAAACTGCACATCTTAGGGTTGCATGCTGAGTCTGATCTTCTTTATTTGCAATGAATGACTGTCCTTTCCCTGATTTTCTGATTTGACTTTTATCCTTGCATAGTATTTTATCAGAGTGGTAAAGTAAGAAAAATTAAATTGGCAGAAAAAAACTCATTTCTGTCAGCATCTCAACAGATCATGTTAACATTTTGCTCTATTTCCGAGCAAAGCTGATAACGCAGCTTAAAAGCGGGATAAGAGGCCAGCTGGTCTCCTGTTTGGGTGTGTGTTATTTCAGCGGTGTGTTTTTTATCAGAGCGGCGCTTTCTCTGCATGGATTGCATGTTATCAGCGTGTTAATGATGGAGGTCTGTGATTGGCCCCTACAGATTCAAGGATAAGAGTGAAGGTTAGGGAGAGAGAGTTTGAATTGCTCTCAAAATACCGTCATATTTCACCTTCATGTTTGAGCGCACTCTTCTTCTTTTCCCACTGGAAATATTCCATGTATGAATGTGTGATCACACTGGTATGTGGATGTGTGTTTAAAAATGTGTGTTGTGTCTGCTTCTGCATTTCTGCCGTCTGTCCTCAAGGCTAAGATGTGTATCAGTATGTGGGCCCGAATCCAATGCAGGCCACTGTTAGTCTGTGTATTTCCCGTCAAGAGTACTGACTCAGCTTTGGAGAAGATCTGGTCTTGATACAAGTGGTAAAAATGGTTTGGATGCTGTTTAAAATGAGGCGTAGCTAATCAGATACCAAAAATTCTGTAGCCTCCAAAAAACACTTTTCTTTTTTTCTCTAACATAGCAGCTTGCACGACACTTACATGAGTAAAATGACCATTTGAAGGGTAACCTAATAGAGCAGTTTCAAAGCCAGCAAAATGTTTGCAACTAGTGTTTGCAGAGTGAACTTCATTTACAAGAACATTAAGTGGCACAGTTTGTAGAAATGGGTATGTTTTGCAATATCTACTGGCCAGTATGAAATGCCCTTTGTCTCACCCTCTTATTGATGAAGTAACGGTGGCCTTCAAGGACAAGAAGCCCCTGTAATGCAATCTGCGTATGATCCTCAATTCATCAAGGTTCCATCATCAAAAACATTTTTCAGCACAAAGTCTTGTGCGCACAACCTCCTCTCTTCTTCCAAATGGTGCGCAAAATGCATGTGATGTTGGTTTGTTTGTTCTGTGCTACGGTAGAACCATGGGGGTGCAAGATGGCGGCCTTCATGGAGGGGGACCCATTCCTCTGTGACAGATGATGCATGCAAAGTTAACAAAACAAAATAATACTTTAAACTCAGTTGACAATAAACATGTTACTTTCCATTTCTACTAAGTCTGTTTTGCCAAATGTTGCTCATCACTGCACACAGTGACTTCAAAACAACCAAGGCTTTACAAACTAAGAAGGTACAGCAAGAAAACAACAATAAACAATACGTCATATGAAAACTGTACAATTAGAAGAGATAGAAAATGGTCTGATTGTGAAAGGAAGACCAGAGACAACAAACAGCAGTGACTTACTGTGAATATCCAAGAGTGTGGGCACGTCCTATTTAAAGAGGTAAGCTGAACCGCAGGTTAAGGGTAAGCTACTGTAGAGGCTGGTCCATCCAGGAGCAGCTGATTGGTCAATGCCAGTGCCTCAGCTGGGTATGAACATCTGAAAGCAGCTAATCAAGATGGTGCCAGTGAGTTCAAAGATTTTAAAGCCAACATTCAAATGTTTAGATTATTCTGCTAATAATAGGGCTGTAATCAACCAAAGAAATTCTTGGTCGACTAAAATACTGTAATTTTTGACCAAAAATCGGTTCGAGTTAGGGTTCTGGTGGCGCGGCGAATATGTACTGATACTGATATCAGCACAAAAAAGCAATTAAACACAAATATGATTATATGCAGCAACTCTGAGGTTGATTAACATGGACGCTCTTCAGTCTTCCTGTGTCCAGCTGGTCTCCAGTGGGTTGGGCAAATCCAAAATGCTCTGAAAACACCCCCATTAGCACTCTGTGCGTTCCTCCTGATGAAATTAACCATAAACTGTAAATCAATGTGCTAAAAAAAACAGCCGATCAATCAGAATTTTTGTTGACTCAGCATGTATCAACCAATAAGTAGACCAGTCGACTAGGAAGAATGATGAAGGATGTCCATCATAGCGAGTCTTTCCTTCAGATCTTACCTAAATATTTAATTTCTCTGTCAAAAGTGTCCAAAATTTCTCTTACATTAATATAAATATTAAAGCATTCGGCTATTGGGTTTAGCAGGACTGCATCTCAAAACTATCACCCTTGTTGCTTCATTTCTTTATCAGACTTGACTCAAGGATGTACACGAAAAAAGTTTGTTTGGTTTGGCAGTAAGAAAAAGTCTTGCACAAATACAGGGCTCAGTTTCTGTCATTGAGATCTCTTTTAATAAATAATAAATCTGCTCACTCCTGTCTTTGTCAGGTCCCGGGGAAAGAAGCACAGTGTTGTTCTACGGACCCAGCTGACCGTCCGTGTACACGCCTGCATCGGTGAGTGCTGTGTGACATGTTTATATATGTGTTTAACAGGAGTTTCTCCCTCGACGGTCACACATCCACAGTCAAAACACATCAGTAAGCCCAGGAACATACTGTACTACACATTCAGATGACTGTCCTGGGGTTTACTCGAGGTGCATGCAGGGGTCAGCGTGAGACCTCCTACTCAGAGGCAGGTCTGACTGGTATGCAAAATTTCAAATTCAGCGTAGTATTGTGATGATGTCAGTGACTGTGTTTAATATGTGCACGGGGAGCCGTGCCATAATCTGGAAAGGGGAAAGTTTTTAAAGTTTTTTTTTCATGCACATATGTGACTCAGTGATGTTACCGTTGAGCTGTACAGCTCAGCTTTTCCTCTCTCAGGCTGCTGAACTATTCACAGTCTGATACCCGAGAATCCTCTAAGTTTGTGATTGTGAGGGAGAAGCAAAGGGAGAGAGGTGTAATTATCATTCAAAGTAAGAGAAAATGTAGGGGTAGAAAAGTGGAGAAAGAGGAAGTAAATACAAGAATTAGTTCTATGCAGTGGAGAAACAGCTGATCGGTTTGAAGAATTGCACAAATAACAATATTTTTTTAAAGGTATAATAGATCCAGTCGTCTCATTTGATGGATGAATTTTGGAGCTACTTCAACTGTATTAGACCTTAAACCTGTTAATCATGTCCTGGAAATAAGGGCAAAATATAAACTACATAACAGTTTTCAGCCATGGTCCAGAGATGTTGAAATTTAATTAGCTGGCCTAACTAACCAACCTCTGATTTTCATAAAAGTCAGTCATGTGTTCACGTGAAACACAGGATAAACTCTATGGAGCCGCAACTCACCCTCCAGTCACCTCGCTCCTGCTCTCCTCCATGACTCGTTCACATGGTCAACATTCTCCATGCCAGTGATAGCGGTGCTAATTCTGGATCCTTGAATCAGTGCCTCCGATTGGCTTAGAGTGCTGGTGAGGTCAAAGGTCATGACAGTGGTGTTAAGGGAGAAAACGTGCACGTATCTCACCAAATGTATTTCTTACATTTCCAAACTGCACATATGACGTATGAAAACAGTGAAAAACAGTAAACTATGATCATTAAGAGTGCAATATATAAACAGCAAACCTAAACAAACATTGTAACAAACTTCTCAGTGGATCTAGTATTAAAGTCCCACTCTGATAGTTTTGTTTTTTTACTATTTAAAGTATTATCAGTGGTCTTTAAGTAGCGATTATGAGGTTTTTAGCCAAAATCGCACAAACTCTCACAAGGAATCTTTCCATTGCACAGAGTTTCGAATATAACTCAAGACTTAATTTCAAAGCTTAATTTTGCAAACATCATGTTCCACACTTTTTTATTCCCTAGAGAAATACTGCTTTATTTCCACATGATTTGCATTCCCTCTTGAAAGACGTGAGTGAAACTCAAATTTTTGCCCGATGCCACAGCTTGATGACAGAGTTCGCTCAAATTATTGACCTCAATCCAGATTTTGTTCAACATGTCACAGATGCCAGGGCAGCCACCAGACCCGGGTTGATACTCTGGAACTGCACTCTGTAATTCTGCTGCATTAAACAGATGTATAATCAGATAACACAAGCGAGTCAGCGTGATCCATTCACTTTAGAGATCTACTGACCATTTTCCACCCCCCTCAGAGACGCTTCAATGAGCGGGTTCAGCTTTTCACTTATCAACCCCTCTAACACCCTCTAATCTTCAGAGGACTTGACCTCCAAATCGCCTAGATGGTGGACATCAAACTGTCCACTCAGTGAGACATCTGCCTCAATGAAGGATCTACTGTGTCTGCAAAATCAAGTGTCTTTAACTCACAGTTGGATGGTTGCTGTTGCAAGAGAACGTGTTTTAATCAAATGGTGCTAAATGCACGACTGTAACTTTACTTGTGTGACTGAAACGCAGGAAAGGATCAATTGCTTACAGATTACTAATCTTGCTGTGTTCTTCAGCTTCCACTTTTGATTGAAAGGATTAGGATTTGCTTGTGTTCGGGTCAAAGGTCAGGGAGATCTTAGGGTCTGCAGCCTTCTTCAGTTGTTCACTGATCGTCTTCTTCAGGGGTTTGAAACTGAGCATAACTGAGAGAAAGACAGCCCTCCTCGGCATTTCTTGGCACCGATGCCAACGGAAAGATCAAATTACATCCAGCCTGGCCAGTTTGGGATTAAGGATGCTCTGTGGTGCATGTGCATGAGTGAGGGGGTGATAATGTGGGCGAGTTAATGAGTTTTTCTGATGTATATGAAAATGAGAACACATTGGCGTGGTCAGCAAAGCATTGAGTTTGAGTGCTGGTGTAAGCACAACTCTTCAAGTAATGTGTGTGTGTGTGTGTGCAGGCCTTCATGGCACTTTAACGATCCAGCTCCTCCCAGCACTCACTGCACGGCTCCCCAAAGGAGACTGAGGTCAATTTGACTGGAATTTATCTTTTTGTTTACATGGGGCACATGCCCTGAGTGCTCCCAGATTTAGCTTATGTCCTGAATCCCGTTTATTTACGGTCCTCTTTTATCTCTCTGTCTTTCGCTCCTTTGTTTCCTAATATCTGCTCACATGCCCTTTGTCCTCAACCTGCCCCTCATCTCTCTGTTGATCCTGCGGTCTGCAGTCCCACCATAGTGCCAATCAGAACCCCTTGTTGAAGGGTTAATTTTAGCCATCCCTGCTGCAGCAGAGCTGTTGTAGCTGGCGGGCGAGGAGAGGTGGCTCAGAGGTGGGGGTGAAGTGAAGGTGTTATCTTTAGAAAGTGTTGACAGTACAGAAACATGTGAGGAAGACGGCACAGTGCTGAACCCCGACTCTCTAAATGTGTGAGTTACAGGAAGCAAGTGAGACAAAAAAAAGGTGGATTGAGGAAGTCACAAGAGAAATGTAGATAACAAGATTCAAATGGAGAAAAATGTGTCATATGAACGGCAATTCAACCAGACAGCTGTAACCCTGAAAACTACACTAAGCTCAAGTTAGCGCAGTTAAATAGGAAGTGGAGAGTTATCAACAGTTACCTTTTGAAATGTGACTTATTTCAGTGTTAATATCTGTCAACCCTGAAAATATGAACTGAACTGAACAATTGATGTTTTTTTATCACAAACAAAAACAAACAAACCCATCAGAGTAAAGACTGATGACTTTTATATTGTAACTTTTATTGCCTAAAAATGTTATGAGAGGGTAAGCTGAAGAATCAGCACTATTTTTACTTTAACACGTAAAATATTAACATTTAATGATACATTTTACCTCTAAAAGTCAGAAGTATTATATGTTTGTCAGATGACACGACTTAAGCACAGGGACTGCTTTGTCCACAAGGGGGCACTAAAGATGACACAAGCTAGAAGTTCCTTACAAGAACTTTAATGTTGCTGTACTGGCATCTGGGTGGCGTCTTTCAAGTATATTAAAGTATTTATACAAGTTATGCAGTTATCACCCAGAACTTATGCTTTTATGTAAAGCAGACCCTGGAGATGTAAAAAATTTAATAGAAAGAAAAATGCAAAACAAAATGCTGAAATGGAGGCCTGGGGGAAATCCTCCCCCTCATGAAAAATGTAGTCAGTGTAGTAGGTAGATAAACCGTTTTAACCCCCAGTCTTAATTACTAAATAAGAAGTTATTTATAAGGACGATTTTTTCAGGATATTGACAAGCGATCATTAGTTTTGGCTGCATGTCATAGCCTCTCAAAACATCTACTACCTCACTTGTTTTTCAGGGTGAGTCCTCAGAAGATGAGCTGCATATTGAAATCTTTTACTTCCCTTCAATGTTGTAACAAGATGACTGGACAGGCTTGTGATTGCTCATGATTGAGGATGTTCCTCACGGGTAATTTCCTTGCTGATTAAATGGAAATTGGATTCAGATTAGTCAGCCTCTCTGAAGATAAGAAAACAGTGATAAAGCAGTCAGAGCTGAGCACAATTGGTCTCACATAATTAACACCACATCAAGGAGTCTGCAGGTGAAAAATGGGAAATTGTTTTGCTGAGTATGACTAAGGTTAGCAGAGCTAGCACCACCACCACATGCTTGCACTGGCTATTGCTCTGAGGGATTATTTACACAGCTGACATAGAACTCCACTTTTCTAAACCAAACTGTGTTTCACTACAGGATCGACCGGCCTCAGATTTATATTACTATAATCATTTGTTAAATTTTTGTGATCTTTACCTACATTGGTATACGTATCCAGCAGCAATGGCTTAACACATCAATATTATTTTGCACTCTGTGAAACTACACATAATGTACCTGGATATTCTTCTAATTTCAGAGCTTAGGTTTCCCATGCGGCCCCTTTTTTTTTTTTCCAGCCTCTCCTGAAGTGAAAGGCTATGCAGTAATTAAATACAGTTTAAGTGATCAAATATGGAGAGGGTATGCTGCCTGACAGGTAAAGCTCCCTGTAATGACTGCAACAGCAGGTGAAACAATAGAGTCGGAGTGCAGAACAAAAGACCTCGCATGTGTTCTGGAGCCTGTTCAATCCCTTGGCACTTAGCTCTGGAATTTCGCCCCTTTTCCAAATAATTTGGCTTATATACTGTTGGATTTTTCTGCTTCAATTATCCATTTCTAATCACCCCCTGCAGAACAGTCAAGGAGAGGTGGGGGCTGGAGATTTAGATGGAGTAAAAAAAGTGAGTTGCTTTGATTCCCTCAACGTGTTCTGTTACATAACAGAGCTGAAGATTGTGTTGCATCCGCCTGCCTGTTAAGCCCAAATCTTCCCTTTCAGCGCTGGATAAACTACTCACTCAAACACCTCAGGTTGTTTGTATGTTTTGTCCAACTTTTGATGAATCCACAAGTGATAACTGACGAACATAGAAGATAAGGGTTTATGGACAGTGTATTTCATCACTGTTAAAAGTTAAAGCATCAGGACGAGTTACAAACATTCAAATCCCTGTAAATATGAGCGTACCGACATGGTGCTTGGTAGTGATAAAGCAGTACTCACTATATAGTGTTGCTTTAACCATGGGGGTGCAGAGGTACTGACAGTCGTCTGGCCTCGAGATGCCGCAGAAAGAGTTGACTACAGCTGGTCCTAACAGCAATTTACTGTGCCAGTGCCCCCCCGCTGTGGGAGATAAGGCCTGGTAATGGCATGGTGTGACAGGGAGATAATGCTCGGTAATGGGGAAGCTGAAATGGGGCAGGGGTATGTGACATCTGTGGCTGCACGGTCGTAAAACTCCAGACACACCATATTACATTTTAACTACTTTTCAATCTGGCAGGATTTCCCCTTCATCCTTTTTAAGTGGACTTGGCTCTACTTTTGTCCTCATCTCTCCCAGCATGTTGTATACCAACAACATATACTCTTGTTATTTGACCCCTTATGTTTCTTTCTTTTCCTGGCTTTCTCCTGCCCATAAATCTATTTTTTCTCTCTCCAGCTTTATGACATGTTGTTTTTATAGACACCTGTAGCTATAGCTCTGCAAGCTGTGCCTCATATCCTCTCTGTCTTGAAGTGTGCAAAATAGGAAATTTGCAGTGCTTATGTTTGCATTTTTATTGGCCCATCTAGACCTGCCACTCATTCGTATAGACCATGGGCCTTCCTAAAGTCAGCAGTGGTGTATTTAGGATACATTTTTCTCTTTTCATCTGGGGTTTACAAAAGAGGAAGAAGGAACGAGAGGATCATTCAAATAGTTTCCTCTCTACCCTCACCAGCAGCTGAGACCCCGATGAGCCGACAGAGAACATTGCACCCACATGAGTCATGCCTAAGTTACTGCTGTGAGAGATGGAGAGATGGCCTGATGAGGCTTCAGGGAATGAGGTGTAGAGCAGTGGAAGTGGTGAAATAACTTAACAGCAGTAGCTGCTGCAAAAGCCAGAAATTTGCATCCATCCTGCAGCTGTTCTCCGTTTCTGTGCTGCAGTAGCACACTCCTGAGTGTATCTAAACCTAAAAAAAAGTTGCTGAGTTTCTCTTTTCTAAAAGTCAATCCTGTCTAGGGTGACCAAATTCTGACTTCCCAAAAAGAGGACACGACTACGCAGGGGTGGAGTCACAGAGTCACACAAAGTTAATTTGGAGAGTTTTTCGGGTAGGATCGAGTGGCTTTTACGCACTTCTAACTCAGTAAGTCCAAGTGACACAAACTCGAAACTTATGTACAAAACCGCATTTAAAGGATTTTATACACTTCCCCGGACAAGCCTGGACAACCCCCCCAAAAAAACGACATGTCCGGGTAAAAGAGGACGTATGGTCACCCTAATCCTGTCAGGCCATGTTCTCAGTCACGCTGGGTAGTACCTATTTGGAATCACTTACCAAATGTATTATTGATTTTTCTTTGGGTAAAAGATAATAAGAAAAACTTGTTTCACATTAGACTAGTGATTCCCAGATTTGGGGCCTTTCGGGGGCCTGGAGTCATGATTGGGGCGACATTGCAATGCTTAATGAGTCAATGCACAGTGTTCTGCACTGCTGGCAAAGCATAGTCGATTTTGTTAAAAGGACTCCCAGACAAAGGCAAGGCTGACATTGAAGCGACTCCAAATGTCACAACTACTAAAAAAGATGAGACTGTATCATCTCCACCAAATCAAAAAATCAGAAAGTGTTATGGTGTCACTTTTAATTGCTTCTTTTGCAGAAATGGCTTGTTGATTTTTTACAAGGTAATAAACTGAAGTTGATATTCCGTTGCTGTGCTCTAAAGACACAGAAACGTGTTAGTAAAGCACATGTCTGATAGGGTGTTTTAGTGCATGATGCATAGCTGATGGGTGCATATGGTTCAGGAAAGGGTGACTTGAAAAGTATTCAAAAAGGGGTTAGGAACCACTACATCAAATCAGTGTTCTCCAACAATAACTGAATTTAATCCAACCACCATTGGTCATTCAACTTGAAAGTGAATCAGATACATTAGTAAGTTAACTAACAAAAGCGTCAAGTAGTTCACAGATCTCTCTTTTGTGTTTCAGCACTCATGTATTCTTGAAGTGAAATTTCTGTATGGAACTGTTAGCCTTTACCATGGTTACTGGGGAACCAAGCATCACATCTGTTTACTTCTTCGGTTTCTAAGAGGCTGGAGACGGTGGGTGTGGAAAGTGCAGGACCTTCACACAAGAGTCTGGGTTTTTAGTTCCATGACCTGGTCTGTGGTTAGGCATTGGGAACAAAAACACTTTGGCCAGGGAAAGATCCATGGCTTTGGTTCGAGTTTAATAACAATTCAGAAGACTCGAGTCACTGCAGCATTTTTCTAACACGCAAAAAACAAACATCTTGAATAATGCCATGGACCCCATGTGTGTGCACATGTATACCAAGACTTTTGAGGAAAACGAACCTAATTTGTCTTCTGTAAACATTTCAACTGTTCAGTATCAACATTTTAGTGAATTCTTAGATTTAAGTGATCAGTATTTCTTCGTCATGATGAAGGATGTTAAATTCTGTTTCCTTGTGTTTTTTGCTGTTGGAAATAAGTTGTATATGGACGTCTTTTCTCGAGACAGGGCTGTATCAGGACACATCCAGATAAAAATCACAACTGAGACTTCAGCACTGCTGAATCAGTACAAGTACAAACACAGAGCGGGATTATTTATGGATTTTAATCCAGCTGCAGCAGTGCTTCTCTTGGTTGCTGTGGTAAAAGTGGGACTTGTCTGTTATAGTGTTGTGCTGCTGTGGATGTGGCAGGGTTTTCCCTGGACTCCAGATATGCTGACAGCCCAACTGTTGCACTTTGGCACAACGTTCTGCTGTGTGGGGTTTGCTTTCCCAGCCCTCTGTGTGCGTACTGTAAGAAACTTAGAAATATATCACAACATATTTGTGTGTGTGTGTGTGTGTTGGCTGTGAGTGTGTCTGAGTGTTACGTCTGGATTTGTTCATATACGCAGCTGAGTGTGCCTCCACAAACCTCAGGCCGGTCTGTTTTAATCATTTTGAAGCTATTACATAATGCAATAAAACATTACAATTACCACAAGCCCAACATCCAGAACACACACTGGAGAATCTGCGGGCTTGGCATCTCATCCAGCTGTGGGGTTTGAGAGATGATGGGTTTAGGGGATGTGCCGAGAGAGACGGGGAGTGGAATGATTTCCAGGGAAATGGTAGATCACTTAGGGAAGGAAACACAGGGGAAAAACAAAGCAAAGAGGAAATGCACCTGCCAGACAGAGCAGCAGCAGCAGCAGCAGCAGCAGCACTTGGCCAGCAGCTCCAAAAGTTATGTCATTGTGGTTCACTCACTCACAGGTGAGGAGAGCAAAGAAAGAAGGACGGTTCAGATTAAGTTTTTTATTTATTTATTTATTTGGTGCTATCATTTTCCTTCAAATTCAAATTACAATATTTTTCCTGCCAGATACATTAATATGCTACTGATCAGTTCCCTACTTTAAGCTCCTGTGTGGACTGGAACAGACTGGAATTAAGCCTCTTTCTTTTCTCGCTAATGAGACCATGACCTTGAGCAACTACAACGACTATTTTAACAACATAGTTTTTCCTTAGTATAACCACTGCAACAACGTAGGTGTCAGGCTAGAGGCTTGCAGAAACAGTCTTTAACTATTTAACTATTTTCACAGCAAATATGCACAGTGAGCAATATGTTTGATTGATTATGAAAAAGAATACATAGTGAGATTTTTTGGTTAAAAACACTACTTATACATGCACAGAACTAGACAAGCAAAGAGTTATGATTTTTCAGTCTGTCCACAGGGGGCGCTACCCACTGAGTATTTTTCGGTCTAAAAGAGGTCTAAATGTAATCTAGACCAGTGGTCCCCAACCTTTTTTTGTACCAGGGACTAGTTTCATGCAGGAAACTTTTTCCAAGGACCGGGTAGGGGCGTGGAGGTTCCAATAACAAAAACCTTAATCAGTACATAGTTTATAATCTGGATATAACAATTACATTTTGTATTAGGCACTTTTCATTACACTTTAACATCAGCTCACTATAATGCAGAATCAACCCTTTCTCTCTCCAGTGAACTCTGTTTCTGGCTCGTTTTTGCTTTAGCTTGTGTTGCTGATGCAGGAAAATGACGCACCAAAGAGTCAAGTGCGAAAGTGAGGCGATGGCGGAAGTAATGGTCTTTTGAAGCAAGATACTGAGAGGATAGATGAAAAGGTTAAAAAAAAATCATTATTTTTTTTGCGGCCCAGTACTAATTGATCTAGTCTGGGGCCTGGTGGTTGGGGACCTCTGGTCTAGATGACTGGTCTAAAATCAGGCTACTGCATGTCTAAAAATTAAAGTTTTTTAGGGGTCTAAGTTTAGACCAAGTTCAGACTAGCCAGCTAACAGAGGTCTAACTGCATATTGTTCAACGGCTGTCATAATTATTTTGGGTAAGTACTTGGGGATCAGTTATGCAACTCATCAAATAATGGGTTAAAATGCAACGTCTTAATTCCATCTAAATATATACAGAATCTAGACTATTTAGGTTGATCTAAAAAAAAAAAATAGATGTCAAATAGCCGTCTTTTGCTCAGTGGGTAAAGTAGACACAGATACAAAGTTCCTCACCAGAGTACCAAATGCAGATAAAATACTTAGTCGCTTAATTTGTGCTTACAGCTCACTCCTATTGCACCACAGGAGTGCTGAAACATATGGCTGCAAGAACAGAGAGGCCCCTTTATGTCTTTTCAGTCTGTTTACATCAAACATGGTTGTGTCCTCTGTCTGTGTCCACTGTCCTCTGTTGTTCTCTTCTGTTGTAGTTGTCCGCCACTGTGCCTGGGAAAGATAACATCATAACTAGTTCATGTTTATAGTTTCTAAACAGTTATGACAGTCTTTTCTCTAAAAGTTCCACATTTTTCCAAAGCATTTTTCCTTGATATGATTCACTGGTTCAGCTCGAACTTGCTCAGTACTGCCCCTGTGATTTCCAATGGTACTACAATATTTTGGCCTGTTTATATGCTTCCAGAAAATGAGAAGTAAGTGCAGACAGAAAACTTTGTATCTGAAGTAGAGCATCAGCTGCTTTGGCTGCTTGATTTAGTGAATCACGATACTTTTTATTGAGCTTTATTACGATAAATTCAATTCATAAAAAAATATTAAAGTCAACAAAAATTGGTGTTTTCATTTCTGTGGATTATTTCCTCATTCGATTCAAGGCAGGATTATATCATTTATACGACAAACACTGTAAACCAAGACCAGCAGACACATAATCTCAAAAAGATGATCTAGCATATTCTCTCCTGTGCTTGTAAATATACTGAATTACACCATCACTGTAGCCTTTGTCATATGTCATCATGCTGACTACATTGAACTCACGCACACACAAGTAAGGGAGGAGGAGTATAATAACAGGCAAGTGTGGTATGAGTCACAGCAAGACTTCACTCAGATAATCCTCTCAGCAAGCAGCACATATCCTCCAATATCCTCTCTGTGGACTCACTCAGGCTGCCGCTAGTTTCCCCTGTTTCTACTCTGTTTGCCTTTCTCACTCTCTCCACGCCTGTTTCTCTCTCTCTCATTCATCAGGCTTAGATTTTTCTGTATGCTCAATCCATTATTTGGATAGCTGTTAATGAAATAAAGTGCAAGGCAATGAAGGAGCAATTTTAGACATTTGAGCAACACTTTAAAATGACGATTTGTCTTTTCTGGATCATTACAATTCACCATTATAATAAAACTCTTTAAACCGGCGCAGAAAACTTTGGTTTCATTTAATATCCCTGATGTTTAATCGAACATTTGCTCAGTGTGTCCACTCAATTAAGAAAGACATGACACAGCAAGCGTGAGAAGTGAGGGATGAAGAGACAGACAGAGAGAGAAAGGGGGACAAAGAGTGAGGGGAGTGCGAGGGGGAACACTGGGCGCTTGTTTCACACGTGCACACTTGTATGTCGGGATTGACGACAACAACTTTTCCCACAATCAGCTTTTCTGTCTGGCTGCATGCAGCAGGAAATCAGGTCACACTTTAACTCAATGCACTATCACAGATGAAACACCACGACACAGCAACTCCATGACATAATACCATTTGCACGCAACAGGATGGAAGTTTAATGAAGAGGATTTAAAAGTGCTCAAGAGCTGCAGAAAAAAATACACAAAGATTGACAATCTTAAAATATCCCCCTCCCTTTTTTTAGCAGTCCTGAAAGCAAGATGAAAGAAAGAGTCACCCCTCTTCCCTCTGAGCTGTAAACTAGAAAGGAGCCGGTGCCTCAAAATCATACATGCACCACTGCATCTGCAAACAGACTCTATAGCTGCAGGACGGATAGACACAAGCAGGAAGTTTTAGATTGAACAAAGTAGGAAGTCTGCTGATGAACACAGAGGAGCAGAGTTCATGAAAATGTTTGTGTGTTGTCTGTCAGCATTTGTACTAGGAATGCCAACAAGTGACTAAATAACTGACAAGTAATAATCTGTTGGTTCTCGTCACTGTTGAGTACCAAATGCTGCATAAAGAAGTGTTGACATGAACATTAACATGGCTGTCTTTGTTTAGGACATTGACTGAGTTTTACTGTCATTTTAACGTGGAAGTGAATGCTTTAGCTTTTGCAACCCCAACCTCAAGTGGACACTCCTGGAACTGCAGTTTTTTCGCACTTCCACGGTGTCTTCATTTTTCTTGAAACTTGAAACACGTGCTTAAAAAATTTACAGCTCTGTTGAGAATGTGGGGCTGTCAGCCAGCAGCTGATAAGCAAAGCAATCTGCAAAAAAGGGATAGGTTCATATTTTTGCATTGGCAGGTAAATATCACAGCTGAGTGAACACCATTAATATATTGAGCATTATTTTATCTGTGTTTATGACTTAAAATTACCTTTTTTTGTGGCAGCATTTTAACCTTAAAAGAGATCCAGCTCTAAGGCTGTTTAGGAGCTAGCTCTGTGGGTTTGTTGTTGCTGTACCAAATAATCTGCATCACTAAAAAGGGCTGGATTCCCCTCACTTGGAGCATGCATGCTGAGGTAGCACAGCGAAAGAGAAAAATCCAAACCCTGCCCTTTATGATAAGATTGACTATAGACAACTCGGGCAAGATTTGAAGTAGGGCTGGGGGATAAACCGCAAATTTACCGATACCACAATTTACGACAATAACCGACGTCATTTTGGTCCAGATTTTTTAATACATTTGAAATTAATGTCAACTGTAAATTCAAACAGATATAACAGGTTTACTGTTGGCAAATTTAACATGATTGCTAACAGATTTACTGTTAGCAGGGTTCATTTTGGGTTAAGTTTGCCTCCCTCTGGTAAACACCGTGCAGTATATTCAAACTCTAACCTGAACACATAATATCGCGTCACTGTCCTGGTGTATAAGTGCTTTAACTAAGGTAGTCTGTGTGTGTTTGTGTTTGTGTGTGTGCCTGGATATGAAGCAACACTGTGGCAGCCTGTTTGGCTCAGGCCTGTCATCATGGTGCTATCACAGGGTACATGCTGGTAGATTTGTGTTTGTGTTTGTGTTGTGGCTGACTATTCCTGTTTGTTTGTGTGTGTAAGTTTTCTTCTTGTGGACATCTGCTTCTGAGCTTTCACAGCTGATGGCCTGCATGATGGTTCAAGGTCACAGTCCGGGGATGTCGTGTGTGTGTTTGTGTTTTTGTGAGAGGGTCTACACAGGTATGTTATGTGTATCAGTGTGTAAACCATCAATCATTGCAGCATTTTGCATCCACGGGATTGAATTTATGACTTTCGTTTAAACATTTGTTTCCCTTCACTTCCCGATGTTTCTTTTCTCAGCGTGTTTGGATTCAGACCTGAACTGTTTGTACTGTATGCTTGACTGTATGTGCACACGCTCGCTCGCTTAAATGTGTCTCTGCTGAGCCTGCTGTAATCTCAGTACAGGTCTGCCCTCATTATTCAAATCTCATGAAGCTCATGGTGGAGGTCTACTTCCCTCTATACCCCCCTCTCTCACAAATGCAAACACATGCAGACACACACATACACACACAGGCTGAACTCACGGGGCCTCTGCTGTCATTTGTGCCATCAGCAGCCTTCAGTGTTCATACTGTAGGGCCAAGACCAACAGACAAAAAATAGACCGTCACAAAATAACTGAGTTGTCCTCTGCAGTTTGGCCTTTGCTGCTTGCCAACTTTTCCTTTTCCTTTCACTCAACACGAGACTGAAATCATGCATCATTGTCCGAGCTGTGCTCCACTATGACAGATTGATGGAGTATTTATCCTTCTAACTACAGATTAATAGACAAACTGCTCCACACGTGTGCACGAAAAACAGAAATATCAGCCAAATATTCCTTGCACATGTGCACTTCCCAGAATTGTAATAACCTCTTTAAGAAATGTTGTTAAAGCACCATTTCATTTAGCATTGAATGAGTGAAACGAAATGTTATGAATATAACTTCTGTTCCCTGAAGGAGAGGAACGAGGTACAACACATATAGTATGGGATATCACGCCCCTGCGTGACCTGACTGAAGACACCTTTATTCACGCCTTTAAGGCAGATGATCTGTGGTGACGTCTGGGAGGCTCCGCCTGCACATATATACGTGTAACACCACAGTCATCCTTCAGTTCGATAGCCGCTCTTCACCGAGCTCTGCCGCGCAGCGGGGCAACCCCGTGTTGTACCTCGTTCCTCTCCTTCAGGGAACAGAAGTTATATTCATAACATTTCGTTCCCTTTCAGTCGATTCACTCGGTACAACACATATAGTATGGGACATATATACACGCCCCGCAGAGCAGCCACCGAACCGAAGTCAAACCTCCAAAACTTTTAGTGCATTGTAGACCCAGCAGAAAGGACAGCGTGAGCCACCGAAGGTGCTGTCACATCCAAACGGTAAAACCGAACAAAAGTGTGCGGTGATGACCAACTGGCTGCAGTGCAGATATCACTCACAGAAACCCCTTTAAACAAGGCCCAAGAGGCCGCCATTCCCCTGGTTGAATGTGCCCTCACACCTTGGGGCAACGGGAGACCCCTGCTGCCGTATGCTAAGGAGATAGCCTCCACAATCCAGTGGGAAAGCCGCTGCTTAGACAGCGCCTTGCCCTTGGCTGGATTAGCAAAACAGACAAACAACTGGTCACATAAACGCACACTCTGAGTGCGGTCTATGTAAGTGCGTAGTGCACGCACAGGGCACAAGGAATGCAACCTCCTCTGCTCCTCAGATGCAAATGGAGGGGGGCAGAAGCTCAGCAGTTCAAAACTCATAGAGCTATAGGCTGTGGGGATAATCTTAGGTAAATACGCCGCGTTTGGACGCAATGTAGCCTTAGATCCATCCGGAGTGAACTGGGTACAAGAGGGATGCACAGACAAAGCATGAAGGTCGCCCACTCGCTTTGCAGACGTCAAAGCAAGTAGCAGTGCAGTCTTGTATGAAAGAAATTTCATGTCTGCTGACTCAATAGGCTCAAATGGGGGTCCACCAAGAGCCTCAAGCACCAACCCTAAATCCCATGAGGGAACACTGGGTTTAAGAACAGGTCTTAGCCTGCGGACTCCCTTTAGGAAGCGCATAGCAAGAGGGTGAGCGCCTGGCGTCACACCATCAAAGCCAACATGGCATGCAGATATAGCCGCCAAATAGACCTTAATTGTTGAGAAAGAGAGACCCTTATCCAGCAGGTCCTGAAGGAATGTTAAAACATCCACAATAGAACTCTGAAATGGGAGTACATTTCGGTCCTGACACCACTGCTCAAACGCCCGCCATTTATAGGCATATAGGCCCCTAGTAGATGATGCCCTTGCACTCTGGATTGTTGCCACCACATTTGGGGGCAGACCCTGAGCCATTAAGTTGGACCTTTCAACAGGTAAGCATGTAGTTTCCACAGTTCTGGGCGCGGGTGAATCACCTCTCCTCCCGCCTGGGAGAGGAGGTCCCTGCAAAAAGGGAGCTGCCAGGGCCTCGCTACCAGCAGACTGATTATCTCTGCGTACCACGACTTCGCCGGCCAGCGAGGAGCCACCAGGATCAGGGAGAGCCCCTGCTGGCGCACCCTCTCCAGAATGGGCAGAATCATTTCCACTGGGGGAAAAGCATATAGCAGCGTGTTGGGCCATGGGTGAGCTAGCGCATCCATCCCCAGGGGAGCATTGCAGTCTGTTATGGAAAAGAACAGGGGGCAATGAGTATTTGCTCTGGAGGCAAAAAGATCTACTTCTGCCTTGCCGAAGCGGTCCCATATCTGAGCCACCACTAGTGGGTGCAATCTCCACTCTCTCACAAGAGGACCCCCCTGGAGAGAAGGTCTGGTCCAAGGTTTAAGTGACCCGGAATATGTGTGGCTCTGAGGGACAGAAAATGAACACTGCACCATAGCAACAGATAGTGAGACAGTTTTAACAGGGGAAGAGAGCGTGTCCCTCCCTGCTTGTTTATGTAAGAAACCACGGTTGTGTTGTCCGTCCTGATCAGAACATGATGGCCTGTCAGAACGGGACGAAAGTGCTTCAGAGCTAAAAGGGTAGCTAGTAGCTCCAGGTAATTGATGTGGAGTTTGCATTGTGCTGGCGTCCACACACCTCTCACTGCTGCGCCCTCGCACAGAGCCCCCCAACCCCTCAGGGATGCGTCTGTGGACACCACCTTGCGAAAAGACACCCTCCCTATCGGAGATCCCTGTTGTAGAAAACCGGGTTCTCTCCACGGGAGAAGAGCCGACATGCAAGACTGAGTTATCGTCAGCCTCCTCTGGAGGTGACGCTGCGCGCACAGCCGGTGAGACTGAGTCCAGCGTTGAAACGCTCTCATTTTTAACAGTCCGAGCGGCACTACAGCGATCATAGATGCCATCATGCCTGTCAGCTGTAAAATCGTCCGGAAACACAGTTTGCGTCCCAACTGAAATTGTGCAAGGCAGCGGTGAAACGCAGCCACCCTGCGTTCTGACAGACGTGCTCGGCTTGAAACGGAGCATATTTCCAGCCCGAGAAATGATACCTGTTGACTCGGAGTCAGTGAACTTTTCTGTAAATTTACTGAAAAGCCCAGTGTTTGGATGTGCGATAGGGTCAATGACAGCTGAGCCGCTGCTCGCTCTCTGGAGCTCGCGATTAGCACCCAATCGTCCAGATAGGCTAAGATGCGAACACCTTTCTCCCGTAGCGGAGCTAATGCCGCCTCGACACATTTGGTGAATGTTCGGGGAGCGAGTGATAAGCCGAACGGCAGCACCAGGTATTCGTAGGCTATGCCCTCGAATGCAAACCTTAGAAACTGCCTGTGGTCCGGATGAATTGCTACGTGAAAGTAAGCATCTGTCAGATCGATAGTTGTAAACCAATCTCCCGGTCTGATCGCGCCCAGTAGCTGTCTGAGTGTTAGCATCTTGAACCTGTAGGTTCGTAGGTATTTGTTTAACACTCGCAAGTCTAGGATAGGACGGAGCCCTCCTCCTTTTTTCGGAACAACGAAATAGCGGCTGTACCAACCTTTGTTCGTTTCCGAAGCGGGAACAACTCGTATCGCTCTCTTGTTCAACAAGTTGTTTATTTCTTCCCTCAGCACTGCTGCTGCTTCCTCTGCTACAACTGTGTGTATTACAGAGTGAAAGCGAGGCGGCCGGACCCTGAACTGTAAGCGGTAGCCGATGGCAACAGTTCTCTCTACCCACGGTGAGACTGCGCATGCGCGCCACCGAGAGAGACGAACGGTCAGTCGACTGACCTCCAGTACTGTGGGGGAGGGGTTGTCGCCCCCTAGCGTGCCGGCTGGGAACGGCAACACTTTCTCGCCCAGACTTGATTGATTCATGATGTTTTGAGAACAAAACGAAACCTTTATTTGATTCAAAGAACGTACATTTGTGACATTCACACAGTGAACAACAGGCGCCATTATTGGGGCATGTGTATGTGAGGGGGGGTTGTGCTTGGGAGACTGTGTTAAGGGAGTGCAGCGCCTCTCGGGACCGGACCCCTGAACGAACTTTAAACGCGGCCTCTTTGGCGGCAGAAAATGAAGGGCGGCAGTGTCTCCGTGCTGCTGGCCCTCTCGAGTCGATCCCGAAGCTAGGATGACTGCTGCTTCTTCTTCCTGGGCGCCGAGTCCCTCCGGAAGCTCGGTGGCGGACCCTTGTTCCAAGCCGAAGGGCGTGGGTTCTGACCGGGTACATGTCGCTTCACCGGCTGGGGCCCCAAGCTGGCGGGCGCTGCAGTCCTCTTAGGGGGAGGCGCTGGTGCCGGTTTGTGCGGATAACCCTGTTGTTTGGGCCTCGCATCACGCCTGGGGATGATGCTTCTCAAAGCTTCGGTTTGTTTTTTCCTCAGCTCAAACTTAGCTTGAATGTCGTCGAGGGACTGCCCAAACAAACCGCTGGCCGACACAGGCTCGTCCAGATAAACCGCTCTGTCCCTCTCCGGAACGTCGGAGAGAGTCAGCCACAGGTGCCTCTGCGCCACCACCGTGGAAGCCATGCCTCTACCGAGAGACAGCGCTGCACAGCGGGACACACGGAGGATGTAATCTGTGGCGACCCTCGCTTCATTGAGGAGAGGAGTAAGCGGACTGTCAGGAGGCATACGCGAGCCGAGTTCTGCCAGACACATAGCTTGATATGTCTGAAGCATAGTGACGGAGCTCAGTGCACGAGCCGTATTTGCCTGTGTCCTGTAAATTTTATCCAGCTGTGACGCTGAAAATCTACAGTGCTTGGATGGGAGCGTGATGGGGCCACCGACACCGTGATTCTGGGCCGGGGCCAGATAAGCTGCCAGGGACGCCTCCATAGGCGGAGGGTTCACCAATCCAGCTTTTTCAGCTCCATCTAGATCCAGAAACTGTCCACAACCGGGCACTGTGGCGCGGGTGGACAGCGGCTTGTTCCATGTCGAGGTTAGTTCCGCGACAAAATCCGGGAACATGGGCAAACTGTTCTTAACAGTCGTCGGTTCGGGTGGGAGAAAAAACCCTGTGAACCGCGACGGTTTTTGAGCTGGTGGAGGAGAGGGCCATTCTACCTCCAGTTTCTCAGCTGCACGGCGGTACAGTGAGAGGAAGGATGTGTCGTCCAGATCAACCGGCGCAGCAGCGGCGGCATACTGACCTGAAGACAACGGCTCCAGCTCATCTTCCGAAAAACCCTGCACGTCCAGGCCGATGTCCAGCACGTCATCGTCCTCCTGGTAACAAGCTAGCCCGGATAGCGGCTGGCCAGCGCCCTCGGAGGGGCCCGGCTCAAACCCAGCTGACCCGTCAGCACACTCCACATGGTCTGCCCAGCTTCCAACTGAGCCTTCGACCAGAAAGTCCTCACCACCGGACTCGGACGAAGCCGGGTCTCTGGACTCGGAAAGGAGGGGGTCGTGCAGCGCAACAGCGGTTTTTCCAAGAATTTTCTCCACAAACTTGACCCGCCTTCCCAGGGTTGAGCTCCGAAGCCGGTGACAGGACTCACACGACTCGGGTTCAGTCAACGCCCTCCTGGCGTGGACAATCCCCAGGCAAACGGGACAAGCCTCGTGAAGATCCTTCTCGTGAAGGGAGAAGCCGCACCCCTGAGGACAGGGGCGAACAGAAGACTTCGCCTTCACCTTCATGGGCTTAGAGCTCATAACGAGACTCAAAAGCTGAACGAAATTAGCGCTCCGCGGGTAGCCGTAGGCTAACACCAACAGGGGCAGTTGAGCTAAAGTCGATCAAGCAGTAGCCAGAGACAAGACCAGGCTAATTTAGCAGCAGCTAGTTAGCCCGACTCGGTGTAGGTGTTCTCAGCGAGGTGAAGAGCGTAAGAACTGAAGGATGACTGTGGTGTTACACGTATATATGTGCAGGCGGAGCCTCCCAGACGTCACCACAGATCATCTGCCTTAAAGGCGTGAATAAAGGTGTCTTCAGTCAGGTCACGCAGGGGCGTGATATCCCATACTATATGTGTTGTACCGAGTGAATCGACTGAAAGGGAACTAAACCTGTCATGGGTGTAAAAGTCCTCACTTTGAATGATTCATGGACGTAAAAGAAACGCCTTGTGAAAAAAGTTCCTAGCATGTGTGAAAATGGGACTCAAAGGAATTTTCTTATTCAGTTGTTTAACATTTTCCTAAACTGAAGGACTGCAGGTGAGCACATGTAGTGCACTTTGTGACCTGAACAACCGTTGAACCCAGTATCTAGGTCTGCTCCAGTGCCTGACACCCAGCCCACCTATATTTAGCGTGGTACCAGCATAGAGAGGGAAGGACTTCCTAGGATTAAATCCTGCTCCCCAGCGTGCCATTACACCACATGCCCCTCTCACTTCTTTATTTTAGATCCCACCAAAGACCTAGTTTGAAGCCAACTGGCTGATTGGCCCAGACAGCCGCGTGGATGCTTTTTTAGAAGGGTGAGAAGAAATCCTCCAGAAATACGAGTCAGTGGTTATAACTGGACCAAAACAGGACCATCAGCTGTGTCCTGCTTCTCCCTCGACTCGGTGTGTAAATATCCTGTGACCCCACATTGATGTGTCATAGTGAAAGAAACAAACGTACAGAGAGCAGAACCGATTCAGGAATTGTGTTGTTGGGAGTTTGTCTCTTTGCATTGCCGAACTTTGAGCAGCGATGAATTAGTATGTGGCTCAATCTTTGATGCTCTCTCTAATGCTAAACATTTGAGCTTATAGGCTGTAAAAAGGATCAGAAATCAAGCTTTAGACGGATTTAGAGTTCACCATAAGGGTCTATAAGTGTGTTGCATTATTCTCCATTCATTAGAAAACGCAGATTAAACTCTTTACTCTTTGGGGTCATTACCATTTGCTCATTAAGTCTACATATGTTTTGTTTACATCAGTCGGGCCCCTTGGAGTTCCAGTGGGGCATACTGAGGGAGTATGAGGTACTGAGGCCCTGTATAGTAAGTGTGAACGTGTCTGTATCTTTGGCATTGACTCACTTCCCAGTGGGTGTTGGCCTCCACCAGTGTTGACCCTTGTCACCACTTCTCTGCCTGATTCTGATGAATAGGATCTCTAGGAACAGCTGGGGGAAGAGGCTGTCCAGTTCAGACATGACCTCCTTTTGTTAGCTTCCTTCTTCTACTGTGATACCCAGCAGGCACTGGGGCGATGTTGAGTGACTGCAGCTATAGTCAGCACCTACAACTCTGGTTCTCTGCTGGAAGTTGGGAGTGCACATTCTGCCAAACTTGAGTAACATTGCCAATTATTTTTGACGTCGATTATTGATGTAAATTTCTGTATCGGTAAATTTGCGGTTTATCGCCCAGCCCTATACCTTAGTATAGGCGCTGTATTTTGTCACATTCCCCATTCAAACACACCATGCAACAGTTTTTACATTTTGTACCCTCTAACTAACTACACAGATTGAATGCTGGTCCTCTGGTCTGCCATATGACTCTCAGGCAGCTTTACAAGCTTACCAACCACCTCCTCTTTGTTTGCAAGTGTGATCTTGGCAAATAATGTCATCTTTGTGCAGATGTGCTCAGTTGCGTGCGTCTCTTGTTTGGTCTTGGGCTAAGTGCCGAAATGTTTCAACTATGAATCCAGTGCAACTGGGATTTGCATGCCCAGTACAAATGGGTTTATCTGGTCCGTATCAAATAACAACTTGCTTATTTTAAGTCGAAGATGGCGAGAAGAAGCAGGCTGTGGCTGTGACTCATATTTAAAGGAGTGGCTGTCAATACTGTGACTTCTACAAATCATTACTAATTGTATTTCTCAATGAGATATGGATACATGTTATTTCTTATCGCAGCAAAAATTGAGAAAATTGAGAGAACACAGAGATTTAGTACAGGATACAACAGACTGAGAGATGAATACAGAATGGTCTCATGTGCTGACAACAGACAACACAGGCCATTCTTATAAGACCAGGATATAATAGCACTAACAAAAAAGCAAAAGCAGGGACACCCTGGCCTTGTGGTCTCAGCCTGCACCCCACATACAGAGATTATCCCTAAAGCAGTCTGACCTGTGGCTCCGTTACTGTATGTCACTCCCCGCCCTCTGTCCCCATTTCCTACTCTGTCCACTATCCTGTCCACTCTCACTAAAGGCAATAAAGGCACCAAAATATACCTCAAACCAAGGCAGAAGAATATGTTATATATGGTATATATATTTCCGTTCATATTGTCCTCCTCTACTTAAAGCTAACTTTACAGTCTTCACAAAACCTTGAGGCATTTACAGTATCTGGCTCTGTAGCTGTTAAATGCTCCAGAATTCTCCTCTGTGACCACTAACTAGCTTCTAACTTTGTCTGCTCATTGTTCAGTGTGGGGCAGGTAGCTTAAAGTGAGTTTTTATGGAGTTTTATGAAGCTGCTGCTATGGCTGAGAACTTCACAATAATAGTCCGAGTGTCAACCTATATGGCCAAAGATTGGGGCCAAAAATTCTCAGACACTGAGTGAAAAGACAGAGAAGTCACCAATAAAGGTTTGGATGCTTTCTCATTACTTGATGCTCCTTTTTGTGTCAGAGGATTTGATGTTATTATCATGGTTTGTCTTCCTTCATGGTTTCAGTCTCCTCCACACATCTCTCTTTGTTCCTGCATCTCTCCTTTAGGAAACATCTGCTGAGCTTGCTTCCTTTTGTTAAATCTGGGGGATTAAACAAAGCACTAGTAGATTGTCGTTGCCCTTTGCTTCGACCAAGCGAAGCAGAATTAGACTTTGGACATTTGCGGACTCTTAAATTTTTTGCGTTTGATGTGTTTCGGCGATACAACAAAATAGTGTGCGGTTTGGACTATAATTATTGTGGATTAGGCCGAGCGTAGCCTGAGCTGGCCTGTGTGGTATTCTGTTTGGAGACGTGTAGATGGTGCAGTAAATGTTGAGGGATTAGTCAAAGCTGAAGGGTCACAGCACTAATCTCATTACGGCAAGAGGAGAGGGAGGGATCTGACCACTCGTGGACGACTGAGCAGACAGCCTCGGCACTGGGGGAATCCCTATTTCACTGCAGAGGATATCCCCTCTCACAGACATACATTAATGTGCTTTCACTGAATTTTTTACTGACTATTCACTCTTATAATTTCATGCCGAGGTATCAATGAAGTTTTCCTGGAGGGATTAAGAGGACAAAACAAAAGAAGGGCAAACAAAAAAAACTTTAATATATTTTCCCAAGCGTGAGTCCTCACTTGTGGCGTTTCAAATTCGATAAAAGTATGTGTGAGTGCTGTCCATGTCACTCCTTAAAAAGATCTATTTATAGAGCTGAATGGACAGTCTGGGACTGACTCTGACGCTATGGTGTGAAGACAGTTGGTGTATGGTTCAAAGATGATTTTATTCTTTCATTAGATAAAAACGGAAATTAAAACAGAGGTAACTGCATCTGCAACATGTTTATAAGACTGGTTCCTCAGTTGTAGTTGTCTTGCTTGGCTAACAAAATTAAATTTAAAATGGAATACACATCTAAAAGCTTCGTCCAGACGGAGATGTTGCAGTGAGGTAATGGTGATCCAGCAGAGACAAATCACAAGGAGTTCTCCAAAACAAAACAGTAAAACTCAAAAGGAGCCTATAAATGAAATGTTCTTTTTCTGTCTTTCCTTCATCTGTCTGTCTGCGCGCAGCAAACACAGGCTTACACATGGGAGCGCGCACACCGTCACATACATGCAAGCACACACACACACCAGCACACACGCAAGCCACAATGACACATCCCAGTGAGTGTTTCAGCTTTTCTTGTGACAATAATAAAACCTAGGGCCAGGAAAAAAAGGAGAATGACAAGAAAAGACACGTGGACAGAAAATCCTTCACTCACAAACCACCATTTTGCTATTTTCTCTTCAGACCACCATAGGACATCTCAGTAAGATGTGTTATCTCCCTGGTCTGTGTTTTTCTTTTATTTTAGTCCCCCTTAGAGGGATGCAGCTACTGAAGAAGAGTTGATAGTATTGTTGACTGTAGACTCAGAGGTTGAAGGTGAGAGTGATTCATTTGAATCACTTCCTGCTCCTTCACCTGGTACTCTTTGTGTTCAGACGACTGGAGCCCTCTAGGCCAATGAAAAAACAGATTATTTAGCCCATCGAACTGTGTTAACTCAGGAGTAGAGGGGTAATTATGTTAAGAAGTCTTTGTCAGGTAATTACAAGAGGATTGCAAGCTATTATCATGACATGACAATGTCGTGCGCTCCTGAGAGATTGATAACATAGCTGTGCAGTGAAAAAAAGGCATCCTAATTTCTAAAGTGTACATGAAATCAATTGTTTTTCTTTTGTCTTTTATTTCTGTTAAGCATTTTATCTCCCCCCAAAAATACATATGAATAAAAAACAACCATCAACATGAAATATTTAATTATATGTTTTTTAATTAATTAGTATTTTTATGTTTTTAAGCTTTGGTACATCAAAAATGTTGGTGATTTATCCTGGGCTTACAAGCACTTTCAAATGTTATATCTAATAAAACACTTTCTCTTCTTCTTAATTCCACATAAACCTCTCCTTAGCTTCTCTATACATTAAATGCACATTAACTGTTTTTTATGGGAACGGTGAAAAGAAAAACAAACATTTCTGTGTGTCAGTGTGAGGTAAAGGAGAGATGTGTTTCAGGTCCCTCTATGAGGCTGAAAGTCTTGGACGCAGGCACATCTGGATGCAAATGCTTTGACAAATTCTTAATTCTGGATAATTCTGATGAAGGGCTACTGCTTAAAATCTTGTGTGTACGTCATGGACTACATATCTTGTATTATGTTGTATGAGTATGACTGTTTTTACGTAGGTCTCAAACTGTGTTCACTGCTGCTGTCTTGGCCAGGACACTCTTGACAAATAGGTTTGTAATCTTAATGAGGTTTTCTCTTGTTGAAATAAAAATAATAATACTAAAGGAAAGTTGCTAAGATTTGATACATTTACCTCACCCAACGTTCAGATTTACCTCCCCCATGGCATCTGAATGAAATAGTGAATACTAAACAAACAGCTCATGGGAAAAAAATGAAAGTTAAGCAAGAAAATTTGACAATTTGACCACATGATATAAAGTATGGTACAGTTTAATTAAAACAAACAGAACAAAAAAAAACTCTTATTTAGAAGTCTTTTTTTGTTTACTTTACTGTGGCCTTTTAACCCAGTCTAAAGTTAGTCATGACTCACCCTCAAATGACTCATTTGTGTAACATGCCATCAGCAGGACAGTTTCACACAGTTCAATTTAAACTGATTTCTATTTACTGTTTTCTTGCAGTCTCAAATGATACATGAAATGTTCCATAGCACATACCTTCACACAAATAACACTTTATCAACTGTAAAAGTACTAAATTACACAAAACTTGCTTCTTAATCACAGTAAACTGAGTGAATGTTATTTGTTTTTTCCCCAGTCCTGCTCTGAGCTTTTGTCTATTATCTGTCTTGGAATTCAGCCCTGGCACAAAGTGTCCTGAAAGCATATTCCATTCTGTACATCATCATCATCAACATATGTCCAGCTAACACCATAAGTATGTTGTGTATTTTAAATCCAACAATAGCCTGCAACAAAACATCTTTGTCCTGTGAAGTAGTGCTGCTGCCCCCAGTTTTAAACTATAAAGAAAGTCACGGTTAAACCTGGTTTGTTTGTCCTAAGAGTTGTAACCTTATGTTAGTTTAAAGGGATTTAATTTTAAAACTTATTTTTTGTTTAACAAGAATAAGAGGATGGTTGTGATTTAGTGTGTTTTTCTTGATAATAAAAACTGCAGTGTAATCGTTGTAAAGAGACGCCACACTCCAGCTGCCTCTCCACACCTTTTCACACCTGTCTGCATCACTAGTGTTACACCAGAATAAATATGTCCAAGTTTAAAGCTTATCTGTGCTGCTGACATGCTTCTGATGGGCGGCAGACTTTCTGGTAAAGGTTACACCGATAAAGAGCATGAACATCACACGTGACTGACCAGATGGACTGTTCCCTGTATCATTAAGTGATTTCCAGGGAACCCTCGAGAGCGAGAACAAGGTGATCAGATCAAACAGGCAGTCTGAAAAGAGGAGTTAACAGTTTGGTGTTCCAGATTTGCACCTGCAAATTATTCATACCCTCCTCCATTTTGGAAGTGTGGTCAAACATATGAGACCAGTTCCATATTGATGTCAGAGTTTTGTGCAAGTTGAGTTCATTCCTTTTCTAGTGTGTCATAAAGTATTTTCTCAGACCCTCGCTTGTATATCGGTTGATTACCCATAAGACACTCTTCTTTAAATCAGAAACCGGACTTCATTCGGTCATCACCCCCATCCCATTCCTTCCCCTTTCCTTTCATTTACTGCTCTGTCCTTTTTTGTCCTTTTATTTGTTTTCCTTCTTTTCCCTTCACATCACATCGTCAGTATCTGTCACGTGAATGCATGTGTTTTCCCTCTTTTCCCCCCTCACCATATTCTTTGCCTTTTTTGGTGAGTTTGAAGTCCCTTTCCCCCTCAACATCACAGTGCCAGTTGCCTGCTGGCACTTATGATTTGGATTATTCGATTATCTTAGCTGTAGACTATCACAGATGTTTTCATGAATACTGCTTCTGATCTCTCAGAGAGGGTCCAGCAGATGGAGAGACAGTAATTCTTCATCTCTGGGTGGGATGATAATGATTCCGACCCCAGGCTGTGGTTGGGTTAGCCTTGTCTTCAGCTTAGATTCAGTAACTAGAGAGGTCCATATGATACAGCGGGGTCTTACTTTCTATACACTTTAACAACCTAGTCTGCTGATGGACTAAAGGATTTGCAGACAACACGCAAACAAAGGATTTACTTAGGCAGGTCTCGAACCCCCCTGCTGACACACAGTTAAAAGCACAACTGTTCAAATGCATAAAACAGACACTTATCTTAACAAACCCAGAGCTTAATGAAGGGCATTTAGGAAAAATCTCTTATTTGTTTACTAAAAAGTGTTATGTGTGCCTTTACTAATATTGTTTGAGTAAAACAAAAAGCAGGGGATAAAACAGGAGGACTGTTACATTTGTGATACAGTCAATAAACAGTCAAAAAAGAGGAAGTAGAAGCTAGACATTTTTGTCTTTGGACAAAATACAAATTAGAAATTGAATATCAAAATAAAAATAATAACTGCTCTTGTAATAGATTGTGTAAGAATTAACATAGGACTTACTAAAAACATGATTGATCACTCTGCTAAGTAAGACTGACAAAAGCGCAGCAAAGTAGATTACAGTCCCTCGATTTCAGTATCCCTCCAACTATGTAAATCAGGGTCCAATAATCAACATATCTGGCAAATGAAAAAAAAAACATTTGAAGTTTGAAATTTTGCCTAGATTTTCTAAATTTCAGCCATTAACTACTAGAAATAGTAATCATGATATTACATGTCAGGTTAGCACTGGCATAGAACTGCAGGGTCACTTAAACCCACAATCTTTGACTGCCAATCGAGATTGTCAAATTTTTGGTTGTGGGAGTTTAGTGTAGGCAGTTTGTTTTATTTTCGGTGGTGGGCATTGAGCATGAGGAGTTTATTATATCATAATGTGGCTCAAGATAATACTAAGGAGCAGGGGATCTTGAGCGTTTCAGCCTGCAAACCCCCAAAATAGCAGGGCCCAAGACTTGCGACCCCCACTGTCCCCGAAGATGAGTAAATGTCACTCACTGCCAGGCAAGCTGTGATGAGCCAATCCAAAAATAGACTTCAGGACACAAAATAAAAAGAAAGTAAATAAACAATAATAGTAATTTTAAAAAAGGTAAACGACCATGGTAGGATTTTGAAGTGATTTAGAAGGCTAAAAGCAGAACACGAGGACAAAGACTAGACTCTATAGGAAGCTCATGCAAAGATAATTTCATATGGGCTTCAAACCAAATTCTAATTAAAATAAAAAAAAAATGGATAAACATTTGTTTTTTTCTGCTGTAGAGCCATCACTTTCATAAGAGATTTTAATAATTTCAAATGGAAGGGTCTTTCCCCCTTTCCCCCAAATCAGAGTCCCAAATATAAAGTGCAGATTCTCACATGATCATGTCAAAAGGTTCTGCATTTTCTAAAGAATTAATTTTTATTCGTAGAGTAAGGTTATTTGGGCTGTTAAATAAACACTCAGCTTTAATTTTTACTACATGGAGCCAGGGGCTTTAAAAAAAGGAATGCTGTAAGTAACACTAAAAACTACAAGAACAGTTAATCCACTAACAAAAACAAGTGAAATGAGATGTAATACCAGGTACCGTTGTTGTTGTTGTGTTGGTGTTGAGTGATAGATGTTATAATGCTTCATATCAGTGTGGCGGTATCAGAGTACATATCTGTTTGTTCTGAGTGCTTTCCATGTCGTGACCTGAATACCTCACTGTTGAATCCCTGCCAGCTGCTCATTAACATTCCAATACAGCTCTAATCACCGCTGCAGCCTGCACGTGTGTATGTGTGTGTGTTTGTGTGTGTGTTTGTGTGTGCAAGAAGAGATCGTGCAGGTGTGGCAAAAAGGACACGGTGAAAGTGTGACAAAGTGTCTACCTCAGGTGATCACAGTCAAGCCGCAGGGGCGGGCTGGATCCACCCATCAATTCATCCTTGTAGTTCCTCCAACTATTGTGCAACTTTTGAACAGCTGAGACTCATTTTACAAACTATTTTTATTGATCAAGACACTGAAACACATGAAGCTTGTTGGGGGATGAAAGGTGCAACACAGAGCGAGCATGGTACACTGATTTTGTCTAGTAATCTTGAATCAAAAACTCATGCTTTCTTTTTTGGAGCACATTTATCTAAGTCACTCTAATTACCTGTCTGTTTGTTGAGTTTAAGACGAGTAACCACTTATTTGTCTCTCTATTCTCCAGAAAGACTCTACAACTCCAACGGACGGGACTTGAGGCGGGCACTTTTCTCTCTAAAGCAAATCTTTCAGGTAACAAACACACATATTTCATCTACAATTATACTGTCAGTTTGTTGTTGCAGAGCACAGTTGGTTATTGTGGCCACCGCGTGCTTCCATGATGACAGGGATCTCCATCAACGTGGCATTTCTCTCCCTGTGTGTGTATCTGAGTGGGTGTGTGTAGGACTCTGCGTGTGTGTGTGTGTGTTTGGGGTGCGTGTGGGAGTTTGCAGTTGTGTTTGTGTATTTATTTTAGGATGAGAGGAGTTAGCCACCAAAAATAAGAAGAGCTTGACTCAGACCTTCACACAAGAATCCACAAGAATAATGACACAATCATGCAATCAAAACTGCAATGCTAATTACAGCTGCTTAAAGAAATTCTTAGTGAAATGACTGGATTTTTGCTCTTTTGAAAAAATGTAAAAAAAAAAGGCAAAAATCAGTTTCATCCACTCATAATGAAAGATCTCTATGCATTGAAATTTGAAAGTGCACTTGAATGCATCGTGCATTTTAAGGGTCTCTAGGAAGTTATCTTTTTTTTCTGATTGCTTTAAGTGCTTTATAGTTGTCATACAATGATTTTTAAAAGCGACTGACATCAAAACAGAAAGCTTTCACTATGTGGAGTGTGTATATCAGCTGGATTTACCAATGACAGTTTGAAAGTTGAGGCCATTGAAGCCGAGTTCCTGATCCTGACCATTACTGACACCATGTGGTGATAAAGAGAATCAAACTTAAAGCCGTCGAAATGAACCAGATAACAAGCCTGAGAAGGATTTAATGCATAACTCAGTGTGCTGAGAGTATAAGGAGTGCCGTAACATCTTCTTTCTCTGCCTCTATCTGTCTACTTTTCATTCTAGGATGACAAAGACCTGGTCCACGAGTTTGTGATGGCTGAAGGTCTGACGTGTCTCATTAAGGTGGGAGCAGAAGCTGATCAGAACTACCAGAACTACATATTAAGAGGTATGTCAGTGTCTCTCATTGCCAGAGTTGGACACACTTCTTAGTCAAAGAAAAAGGAGAATAAAACATGATCGGATTGTCGAATATAAAAATGGAACCAAGGGTTTGTACACACACACACACACACACACACACACGCACTGGGTGCCGATCTCAGGTCCAGATGTAAGACACTTACCTGCACCCAACAGTAGGAAATGGATCAGTTAATTTTGACGGATGCTTTACACAGTAGGCTCTGCTATCAGCTTGTGAATGGCGTGTAAATGAGTGAATGTGATATGTAATGTAAAGGTGGTCTGAGAGCACATCATGCACAGTACACTAAACTTTATTTTAAAAATAGATTATATAACAGCAGTTAGACTTATGTGAAAAAAAAAACAATTTAATATATTTTACTGTAATTTTGTATTTTACTGTATTTTGTAAAGCATTGTTTTGGTATAAGGAACAATGTATGATATGCAAGACAACAAAAGAATGATGAATTATTAAGTCTGTTGTTATCAGTAAGAACAAAATGTGTTTGAGTATTTTGTGACATTACCCTAACTTTTTGTTTCTTCCTCCTCCCCCTCTCTCTCAGCTCTGGGGCAAATCATGCTGTATGTAGACGGGATGAACGGCGTCATTGGACATGTGGAGACAATCGAGTGGCTCTACACTCTTGTCGGCTCAAAGGTATCACTGACACACCAGCATAACAAACAAAAATCCTTTTAACACTCACACACACATACTCCTCTACACTGCAAACAAGCAGACACCAGCTCGGAGTTAGTTAATGAGACTTACTTTTTCCTTTTTTAGTCATAAAAATAGACAAACACATCTGTCTCTGGTTGTATTTTTGTGTCCTGACTCCTCGAGGTTGGGTCATTTGTGGGTTTGATGGTATTTTTACAATGCTACTTTTTATTTCGTACTTCTGATGCAGTCCCTACTTCTTAATGCTTTGTCAAAAAAAAATGAACTGTGGAAAATGTGGCATGAGTCCGAGGCTGTCTCAGCTACAAAACAAGATTAAAACACAAAGTTTGTATGCATTATATCAAACAAATAATATCATGTGAATACTGGCTTTTAAGGAATGTTCTCGAGTTAAAGAAAATGTACGAATACCTATGATTTGAGTAGTTTCTTGTCTCTCTGTGGGCTTGTAACTTCCCTTGTACACCTCTTTTTAGTTCCGCCTGGTGGTAAAAACGGCTCTGAAGCTGTTACTGGTTTTTGTGGAGTACTCTGAGTCCAACGCTCCTCTGCTGATAGAGGCCATCACCTCTGTGGACACCAAAACAGGTATCAATAAACGCCATGTTCACTTGTTCGTTATTCTGTTAATCTGTCATTTATATCAGAGTTTACTTGTTGTTCGCCTTGACTGATATAAAATGTGTTTTTTTATATAATGCACTAATTGTTAGTCTGCAAGCCGTGGTCCAACGCTATGGAGATTTTACATGAGAAGGATGGAGTGGACACAGAGCTGCTGGTCTATGCCATGACCCTCATTAATAAGGTACAGTGTGTGTTGTGTCTCTCTGTAACTGTTTTATTGTTATGTCATGACAAATCAGACAGCAAAATTACTTCAAAACAACAACTTGAAATAGATAGTATCTTCAGACAGTGTCTAAAATTTGACCTGCATCAGAGGCCATTAAACAACGATATCAGAGCTGTATGATCAGAGTATTGTAGGATATACTGATGTACTGTTATGTGATACGTTGAATTTAAGATTTTGCGTCAACCCTTTATGTTTTACAGACACTTGCGGCCCTGCCTGATCAGGACTCATTCTATGATATGGTGGACGGTCTGGAGGAGCAGGGCATGGAGACGGTGACACAAAGACACTTGGGGAGGAAAGGCACCGACCTGGACTTGGTAGAGCAGCTCAACATCTATGAGGTTTGTGACATTAAAACTCATGATTTCATGGAGAAATGTTTAAAGGTGATATTTGTTTTTAATTCATAATGTTGATCATATCAAACAAACATGACTGTGTGCAGTATTTATAGTATGATATCCTGATACTCAAGTCTCAATGTGAAACACCTCATTGCCACTAGAACCTTACACCCCATCAAATGTACCCCCTAGATGACTCTACGGCACGAGGACGGCGACGGTGACAGCCAGCCTCCACCGACAGGACGCCGGGATCGACGTAGGGTCAGCTTGGGCTGCGGGGACAAAAAACGTGGCTTGGAGAGGAGGCGGAGTCGCAGAGCTTCACTCGGAAGATCCGGTCAGGCCTCTCCCTGCAGCCCCGCATCTCCTCAGAGATCCAACTTCCAGCCTTTCAGTGGACAGAGGGCGGAGGACGTGAGTGAAAGGTGAGAGAAGAAAAGAGATCAGATGATCAGTCGTGAACTTAAGAAAATTTTACCTGAACTTTTTGTATGCTTTGTTCAAACTTTGTTTCAAGAGATAAAATATGACTATCTTGTACCAACACCTTCTGCTCCAGAGCTCTGTCAGGTTCCCTTCCATCCATGTAAGTTCAAAGGTCACTGAGAAAACTACTTTTGCTTTTCAGCGACTGCCCCCCTCACCGTCTTGCAGTAACTAATGTGTTTCCTGTCACATAAAGCACTATGGGTGGGTTTTAAACACTAGTGTAAATAAGCACCAGCCTTCAGGGTGTGCTTAAATGCTAATACAAGCGAAAGCATTTTAAAACCGCCACATGCTTGTTGTTTTGTTGATCTACGTGTGTGTGCACACAAAAAAACTGGAGCTCGGAGTTCCTGTTATCCTCAGGTAAAGCCCTCGTCTTTTACTCAGTGATCATGCAGCCGCCCGTCATCTCTTTATCCTATCAAGTGTGAACATGACTAAAGCAGATTATCCCACGCCTCAGCTTTTCTTTATTTAAAGGGTTCAAACCGGCACATATTTATGAGGTCATGATGTACAGAGTTTGGTGAGTGTGCTTTATGAATGAAACGCTAAATGTGGATGATGTGCAGGTCCTGTTTCATATTACTCACACACACACACACACACACACACACTCACACACACACACAGATGATAAACAAAGACAACTTTTATTGGTTGGCTCATTCGTCACACACACGTGGCTCTGGTCTTGTGGAACAACACCTGGCAGCGCACGCTGACTCCACTGCAACAAGGCTCATCTGGTTTCACTCCATGAAAAAAAAACGAGTTTCGTGGTGAAACTGATCTCAAGTCAGTTCAGCCATAATCTCCTCTTAGCTCTCCGACCCCTCTCCCCTGTTATCATTTTGTCTTCCTCTTTGCATGAAAACTCACCTGGAGGCATGATCATGAGAAACACCTATCCTTCTTTCTCTTTCCTCATCTCTTCCTCTTAATCCTTTCATATTTCATCACTTCATCTCAGTCTGATAAATGTCATCTCCTCTTTTGAGTTTTTTCATTCTTTCCTTTTCAAACATCTAATCTCATCAGTCTCATCTCTCTTTTCCTCTGCTGTATGTCTTTCATGTCTGTGTTGATTTCCATTTGCATGATTTTTTTTTCTATGTGCCTTCATCTTTCTCTCATTCCCTCCCCTTAAAATTTTCCATCCATCCATCCTCATCCCTCTGCCTTCACAGAGAGGAGGAATATGAGGATGAGATAGAGGGGGAGGAAGAGGAGGAGGAGGAGCAGACTCCAGTGACTGAGTCTGATTCGGATGATCAGCAGGGGGCTGAAACTGTGTCTAAAGAGACCACCCCCAGGTATTTTAGGACACAGTGGTTATGTGGAAATTACATAATGTCCTGTGGTTTTATATATATCTTCAGGGTCTATTTACAAACCCACAAAGATATTGGATGTGTCTTCTTTCACTTTATTTCCTGGTGTACCTGGCGGGTTCCATCTTTTGTGGTCTGTTGTCCTGGTAGTAATTCGTACCATGAAACAATGCTCTGTTGTTGCAGAGAAGTTCATCTTCTCTGATATATTTGTGCAGCCTTGTTTATTCCTCTCAATCCATTCCTCTGTTCCTAGCTCGGCTAGACATCCTCCATCCATAATTCATCGAACAACTGTCCAGTCCATCACTATCACATCCAGAAAGGAGAGTATAAAAGAGGAGGAGCAGAGGAATCGGACTGAACCCCACCAAACACCCACCCTGCTCTCGCCCCCTACCCCTACCCCTACCTCCTCTCCTCTCAGCCCTCCGGCCCAGCCCTCCCTGCTGGCCTCCCTGCTGGCCAGGAAGAGGTCTATTGTCACTGTCCCAGCTACTAAAGAAGTCAGCCCGCCGTCCCGCGGCAGCAGCCGCCCCTCCTCTGACCGCCTGCCCTACCTGCCGCACTCGCCTTTCCACCTTTTCTCCTATGACCTAGACGAGGAGCCGTCACCCCCGGCTCCTGCCAAACCCAGCGAGGAGTCACCCAAACCAACATCTCCCAGGTCAGGCTGGACAGCAGGGCTTAAGCACCTGAGAGTTCAGAAGCACAGAGGCTCTGCTCACGTCTCTTGGATGTTGCACTTTTCCTCTTTTAGTTTCACTTCTCTTTCTGGCTTTTTTCTGGCAGCAGCTGAGATCTCTTCACACATCACCTTTTTTATCCATCACCCCTCTCTTCACTTGTTTCCTTTCACTCCTTTGCCTGCTTCCCACCTCTTAGTGTGTCAGTGCTCTTATTATTATAACCAGTTCTTCCTTCACATCCCTTCTTCTTCTTCTTCATGCTGTCTGGATAGTCCAGGACTGCAAACCCCACTTTGTTTCCAAGCTTTTCCTCTTCTTCTGCGACAGCATGAACACAGTCATGCTTTCACTGACACCCTTTAAATTTCACACCTGTAGTCTCACTTCCTGCTTGTTAGCTAGATCCCTTTCATGGAACTTATTCACTGTTACTTTCTACTTCACTGAATACTTGCTATGATGAGCTAAATTGTACGGTTTGTTTAATGCTGCTTTTTCTTCTTTCAGTGCATATCAAAAATTCCTTCAGTTTAGCATCTATGAGACCTTTTAAAAGACACATTTTTAGATATTTTACTTATATTTAGACACTTTAATTTGCAGCTTTATTCACATGGACAGTGCCCAGCATAAGTCAGTACACCCCCTATTAAAAGAAATGTATTACTCAATATCTTGACGAGCAAAAGTACAATTTCCAAAGTTTTGACATTTTATTTACCATAAGTTGAAAATAAGGGTGATATAATAACTGAGATTTAGCTTTGCCCCCAGAACTTTGACTGGGGTGTACTCATTTTTGCATCCTGCTTTTAAATTTAAAAAAATACTTTTTTGTATGCAACTTAAAAAATCTTGTTTGCAATCAACGGCCTACATTTGATATATTTTACTTATGTTATATTTAGCTACGCCAATCACAGCTTTATTCACCTGTACAGCTCTGGAAAAAATGGGAAATCATTGCAAATTGTTCTCAAATAAGTGTCCTAATGCGCTAAATATAGATTCCTTAACTATTCCTGTGATAATGTGTAAGCACCCTTACATTTGATTATGAGTGGAAGCTTGTTTTTCACTTTGTATTATACATAGTCTGACAGAAACCGCATCCTTGGTATTGAACCAAATTGTCAGTATCTGCAAAGACCCAAGACCTGAGGGTGTTTTATAAGGTCAGTGGGGGGTCAAAAGAAATAAGAAAAATAATAATCATTCACATTATTGATAACTTGCAAATAGTAAAACTGGAGAGAAACATGTGTTTTCAGTGGTCTCTTAATTTTTTTTCAGAGCTGTAATTTAGTTCCACGTGTTAAACCTGTAATAAACAAGAATCAGATGCTAATATGGTAAAATTACCACATCACACCTCTCCTCTGACTGCAGTCTCAGTCTAAGCATTGGTGTGACGATGAGTCAGATTCATTAAATATTGCCCAGCAGTCTTTTCAGCTTCACACTGGAGAAACACCTTGACTGGAATTTTCCAGAAACACAAGCGTATAAACTCTACAGGAGCCACTAATAGGGGTCACCTGCGTGTTGCACCAATAGCGTTCCTGTTATGTAACAAGGTGTCACTTTGATTCCTCGCCACTGGTGCTGAACTGAGGAGTTAGTAAGGTATCGTGTATCTGGCTGACTAAGGGGCTCACTTGCTGTCACCCACTTCTCCCCCCCTCTCTCGCTCAGGAATGGAGGTGTCACATCTTTCTCCTCCCTCAGCAGTCCAACTTCACCCACCAGCCCCAGGTGAGAGGAGTGTGCAGTAACATGTGCGCACTCACACATCCTTAAGAAATACACACACGTACTGTTAACACATTCACATGAACAAACATGCACATACTCACATGTGTGACAAGTGTGCGGCCCTGTGGTACACCGATGCTGCTGACATGCTGCAGCAAATGTGATCGCAGCTCTCGGGTTCCTTGGTTACTGAGCTGTGACTATTTCCTGCCTGGAAAACACAGTCATTAAAAGAAAATTTATGACCTGCTATGCGCACGCACATGCTTAGAGAAGCTGTGTTAATGCAAGGATAAGTTGCTGTGTAATGTTTGTTATTTTAGCTGTTTAGTTTGTGTTGAAAGCTCAAGATAAAAAACAGGAATGCATCACTCCAGAGTCTCATCTCAGTCATTTGGTCGTAGTAGGAGGATAGTCAATAAATTAAAGAGACAAAAAAAAATCCCATGATGATGCCTTTCTTTCCTATTTGCAATGTATAAACATACTTCCTCTGTTCCTTCTCTATTTATTTTACCCCAGACCGGCTTTGGGTGGACTTCTGTCGTCTTCATACCGACAACACCAGGAATCTCTGGCAGCTGAGCGAGAGCGCCGCCGCTTGGAGAGAGAGGAAAGGCTGCAGAGGATAGAGAGAGAGGAGAGGAACAAGCACAGGTGAAGCAGAACTACAGATATAATATGAGAAAAAAAATTTAATTAGTTAAAGGGATATTCTGGCGTAAAATTAATTTAGGGTCAAATACACTGTACCACTAAGTGATACACCCCCTTGAGAGATGAATGTTGCCGACCGCTTGCTTCTCTAGTTATACCAACTTTAGTAAAGACCGCATGATAGCAATACACATCGGTCTCAGGAGCCACATACAAACTTCAACCAAAACGCCACTCTATAGCCACAAATAATGCTCAGAACAGCACCTAACTTCATCAACAGTATAGATAGGGTCCCAACATCTTTTTAGCTTTGCCCAATTTCTTTAGCACAGAGACTAAACACAACTCACCCACTCTCTTCGGGGGGGCGCAGCTCAAGGAAGAACATTTATAATCATTTCATCATGGAAATGCAATCAGACCGAGACACTAGGGCAGAAGAACTACTGTGTCTGCAGTAAAAAAAGATTAATTTGATGATTATTACTTCAAGGAAATGATAAAGTAAACATCATTATCCTAAATTAACTTTACGCTGGATTATCCCTTTAAAGGCAAAGCTTTCACGAGTATACAGGAAGCACATGATGGAATTATAAGTGGCAGATATATTCAGAAAAAACAGACTTTTTTATACGTCTCAAGTGTCTCGTGTGAAAGTTAATACTTCACATTCTTAATTGTGGTCTAATCACTGCAGTAAACTGTGTGACAAGCATTTAAAAACATAGATTCAATTGCTTCATTGTGCATATGCATGGTGTAGAAAACAGAATGTATCCACACAGGCAGGTTTACAGAAGTTAAACCTGATTGTTGTGATTTAAGACTATCTGTTTGTGTGACTCCCACAGCCGCGACTTTGTGGACAAAATGGAAGAAGCCAGGCATGCGCGGGAGGAGAGGTAAGCGTGTGCACTGAATCAAAACAACTCACACTCAGAGAACAGCTGAACCTGGAAGGGATAGGTTTCAGCTCTGTGGTTTGGGAAGTTCAGTAACAGCGTAATTGTTTTCAGGTTAAAAAAGTTGCCCCAGAGGCTGCAGGGAGACTGAAACACTTTTCTCTGCTCTCTTTGCCTGTTTTCACATTTCTTATGGTGCTGTTTAATTGTTAGGCTGCATGCGGAGAGATTCAAATCTGATTCTTTATGACTTTCACACTAAATACTCACTTTGAACTTGAGCACAGGCATGCAATTGAGAATTTTCCTGAAACGTTTAAATGTGTATTAACAGACAAAACTGAATCTCAGGACAACACGAAACTCTTGAAGAGGGTATTTGAGGTCACGATCAGATTTTGGATGACTTATTGAATACAGTGATTTGGACAGATATGCATCGGCTGATGGTGATCTATTTAATCAAAACACAAGATTCCATATAAAGGGTTAACCTCTTTTGTTTATCTTACATCTTCTGTCCTTTTCTCCCCTTTCTCCTCATCTACTTTTAAAAGTCTCTATACCAGATATCAATACATCTTCTGTAAGATCCAAACCTGTTCCCCCTTAACCTAAAGTGTTTTTTTAAACAATAAGACAGTGTCTGAAAGTCAACGAGAACAGACATAGACTTAAAATACTCTGAGTCAACAACAGATGGAAGAAACAAGCACAGAACAGACAGAAAGAGGGAGGTAAGCTGCTGAGTGAGAAGACTGGGGATGCATCCAAAGGAGATGTTGATATATTTACGGAGGATTTGGACGCTACAGTTATCAGGCCAACAGGATTTCTTACCCCAGTTCACCTCCCTTTGGGATTCAGCCTTGTAACACCTGGGCGAGAACACTTGTGTAAAATGAGATGATGTTAATGACAGATGACTGAGTCTAAAACAGATTTTTGATGGCATGAATACAAGTGTACAATCCCCAAAACATAAAGCAAATGTTTAAGTTTTTTTCAGCCTTTTAAACAGAATTCTCCCATAACTTTAATTTATCATCAAATACCTGCAAAACTAATGATGACCTCTATGAACTTTGTGTCTCAAACTACCATCTACCAAAGAGTCTGGTCCAAAAGTTTCTCAGAAGTAGGAGGGGACTGATTTGTTAAACGTGAAGTGCACAGGTGTCCTCTAAAGAGCTGAGTCTTTAGCTTTTTTCTTAAAGGAAAAGAAAGAGACTCTGTAGATCTAACTGAGTTTGATCATTGGGGACAACAGAGGAGAAGAGGCTGGCTAGGGCCTTGTGTTTGGTACACCATGTGCCTTTCATTGGCAGAGTATAGCTGGCTGGAGGGAGTGTAGACCTGCATGAGAGACTACAGGAAGACAGGAGCGGTTTGTGTTGTAGTTTTGTAGGCAATGAGTAAGGCTTTATATTTGATGGGGGCTGCTACTGGAAGCCAGTCGACAGAGATGAAAAGAGGAGTGGCATGCTGTTTCAGGGTTGGTTGAAAACCAGACAGGCTGCTGCATGGTGGACCATTTGCAGAAGTTTAACTGTACATGCAGGAAGGCCCATCAGAAAGAAGTTGTAGTAGTCAGTTCCTGATATTAGAAGAGCCTGTACCAGCTGTGTTGTGTTGTGCACTGTCAGGTATGGTCTTATCCTCCTGATGTCATGGAGGATATCAGTTGGACAGAATAATAGAGGCCACATGAACTATAAGAGTTACTTGGTGATCAGTCATGACACCAAGATTCAGGCAAGATTTTGTGGACACTAGGGATGGGCGAAATGGGCAAAAAAATGTATCACGATAAGATTTACCATTCTGGCAATAACAATAAAAGTCCCGATATAAAATATAATGATTCCAATCTATATTTTTGACTCATTTTGTCTTGAGAACACCAGTTGGAGTACAGGTCAAAGGTTACTTTGACCTTATACCACATAAGATACTTAACCACAAGTTTAAGTGGTAGGTTATGGCGAAAACTAATGACATCAAACAAGTCTCAAATGTGAAAACACTTTTAACATTTGTTAAAAACTCCTATTGCACAGAGTGAACAGCAGCAGATCTACCATCCAGTGTCAGGCATACCTGATTACACTCATCTAAACCCCAATCTTGAAGGAAATCCCTCATGTGAAACCTCGTTCAGTAACAAGCTGCTCAAAAACGTCTTCTTCATTACCTTCGGCCATGTTTGTTTGTTATTCTGATCTGTGTGGGCTCTGGCTGCAAGGCCGTCGCTCACGGTTACGTCATCAACTGACTGTATATTGTGAACGCTAATTTATTGCCCATCCCTAGTGGGCACAGGGCCATTTGATCCAAGCTGCATCTAGATTTGTGGTTGTATAGAGATGATACTTTGAAAAGATCTGATGTCAGCAAATGTTGTTAACACATACGTTGAATATATTGCAGAACATACTTAATAAATCACATATATTCATCACCATCTTGGGTAATAATCTTATTACTCTAGTCTGGGTGTTGACAGACAATAAGAGTTAACATATGTAATATTATGTGAAGATTGCCCTACACATAGATGTATAAAAAGACAACATAGATATATGTGGTAAACAGCTTATCAAATAATAGTGACATACTGATATAAATTGTGTTTACAGTAGTATTCTGATATGTGAGTGTTTTCAAAACAATCACTCAGCTCCTTTTGTTTCCAAGTGTGAAATCACATGAAGTACACTGATAGTCTTGAGTCCAAATTGAAGCAAACAATACACACTTGGCTCATGGACACAAGTTCACACATATACTGGTATCCAGTTTCTTCAGCTCTCTGAAGTGGCCTGATGCAAATGAACTTTGAACAGAAGCTCCACACATTCACGGTGCTGTGGGAAAGAGGAGGGGTCACAGACAGACAGAAAGGGAGAGAGAGAGAGAGAGAGAGACAGAGGACGGGAGAGGGTTGAAACAGTGCCCTAAATCTCTTTTCGGGCCAGCAGGTTGAGCTGTAAAGTTTGGTAGGAGAAGAGAGGAGGAAAAGTGACACGGGAGGAGAGCTGATGGAGGCACATCTTGAACAGGTTTACTCTGATTCTCTTCTGATGTTTGGCCTTTCAGCAGCCAGACTTACTTCAACTTCTGCTCATCTCCTCTTTCTCATACACCCTGAACTCCACGTCTTCTTCTTTGAGCTTCTTTCTGGTCGCATGTTAGGAAAATCGCAGAGCAGCAGGTGAAAGCTGAGCATTCGGAGACGGGAGAGCAGAGCAGGATGGAAAAAGGGGGTGAATGCTTTGAATGCTTTGTGGACGGTTAATGGGATAAGAGGGGGAGGAGTGAGGAGGGCTTATAGTGTGAAAAAGTGTCATTGCAGCTGTAGAGGAGAAAACACTAGAAGAGCTTGTGGGTCTAGTAGATTAAATAGTTTAAACTCATGGTGACAAGATCAATTCAGGGGAAAAAAAGAGTCTGACAAAGAGTTGGATTTTTGTCAATTTGTGTTTTCCCTCTTCTGAATCCTCCTCTCTTTTCTAGGTACAAGAACGTTGAGCGGCTTGCAGCTGAAGAGTATGAGAAGGAGCGCATCCGTGTGTCAAGGACTCGCCCTGATTTCAGCCTGAACTTTGAACCCTCAGAAGCCTGGCCTTCGTCATCCCGTAGCAGCAGCCCTTCTTCCTATGCCTCCCAGGACGACACAGAAGCTGACCTCGAACCTGAGACTTCGGCCACTGCCTCCCCTCCTTCTGAGATTGGTAGGACAGCTGGGAATATTGTTTGATGAAGTAGCTTATAGTAAAAACACGACTAACATGCTACATCTGTGAGTTTCTATCAACTGTTTAATAAGACTAACCACTGTGGGAAAATCACGACTCTGCAGCCAAATACTGCCTTTTCAGCAACATGTTTAAATGTACAATTCATGTTTTTTTTTTGTTTGTTTTTGTTTTTAATTTAAATATATCAGTATTAGTAATGGTGCTACTCGATATACTACCTTTTTCTCACTAATACCGTAAATACAAAATCAAAAACTTAAAGGGTTTTGCTTCGGCTGGACTGTGACTTATAAAAAAATATCATGTAGCTCCAATAATGTCTCAGTAGCTACAGTAGCTAATGGACTAATGTCTGAGAGCCAGTTCAGGCAGGCAACTCAAGCTGCACTGACTTCAGACTTGATATGTCTAAAGTCACAATCCAAACTGATCTATCCCTCAAATTTAGCTTCTATTACAGTCTCCGGTCATTGTTAGATGACAGCGCCACCACTTCTGCTCTACATAAGCGCGGCATTCAAACCTCCAGCCCCACAGTCACCCCAGCATCTGACTTTGGCACCCCCTGTGGACAAAGTGGTAACCCTGATATCATTGCAGATTCCATCTCTTCTTTGTGAGAGTGGTGGTAATTGACCCCCCCAAAAAAAATTATCTTGTTGTCTTTTTGTATAGAAATTAATCACCCACTGTGAATGTTTGCGTGGAAAAGTCTACTCAGGCTGTTTCTTTGACATATCTACCCCCTCAAAGCAGATACAGGCATTAAAAATCACAACATAGAAACAGTCTTATTTGCTTTTGTACATTATAGAGATCCATGACTGTTCATTTCAGTCTGTTTTATAACCAAACAAAACAAAGACTCCTCCCAGGAGCTTTAATATCGATCAGATGTCGGATGATTTTTTTGCGGTATTTTGGAGAGAACAGTGGATAGAGTATGAAACTGGGGAGAGGGTGAATGACATGAGGTCAGGGACTGCAGGTCAAAATCAGTCCACTTTGACAACTATGGCCTCTGTATATGTAGTGTGCAATTTAACCTATGAGCTAAAGGGGAACGTCTTAAGGCTTTTCATATTTAGTGTTTGAATACATATGGGATTTATGATTGAAGCCAAAAAGTCCCCAGTTTAAATTCCCACTGTCCACAACAATCATTAATAACTTCTAAACTGTTTCAGTTTAAATCAGCGTACTGGCATAATTAAAGAAGGAAAGTGAAGCAGATGTGGAAACAGTTTAAGTAGAGGCGGGGCCGCCGTCAGCTGGGGTGACAGAAAAAAACACACACAGAGGATATGGGTGAAAGGGTCAAACGGGTTTTTGAAAGACCTTTTTGAAAAAGTGACTCCAAAACATCTTGCATAAGAAAACAACCTTGTTTTGGAGCTGAACGCATGCACAGCCATGAGCTGAGGTAGTGCACCTCGAACAGGCGTCACAGTGTCGTCGTGTTATTCTAACCCCGCCTGCATCACTGCATGGACTGTACCTCTGAGTTACGTGTTTGTAGCGTACATATAAGTATGTTTTGATGTAAACAGGAACTTAATTCTTCATTTCCTGTTCATATCCTGATTCTACAACAACCAGGCTCTCTGTACCTGATATCTTGTTTACATAAGTGTATGGGTGTGTGTTTTTGTTTTTCTTGTCCATGTGTGTGAGTGTATGTTGATATAGGGGTGTCCCACGTGAAGCCTAAACAGAGGGGCCTTTAAAATCAAAGACAGCCATGTCGTATGTTTTAAACTGTATTTCCCTGCAGACTTGAGAACAACTGTGTGTCTCTGTGTGAATGATAGTAAAGCTCTTTTTACAGGATGAAACAACCTTTTTTCTCTTTGTGACAGGGGAGGCTGAGGACTCCTGTGCCAGTGTAGAAACAGAAGACAAAGAGGCTACCGCTGTAGAGGAAGGGGAACAGAAAGAGGAAGAAGAGGAAGAAAAGGGAGAGCAGGTAGAAGAGGAAGCCCAGGAGGAAGAAGCGGAGAAGGAGGCACCGGAAGAAGTGGCAACAGAAAAGCAGGAGGAAGAAGAGGAGGAGGAAGGTGAAAAAGAGTGTGAGCAGGAGAAGGAGAAGGAGACAGAGGAGGCGGAGGAGGACAGTGGCATCCTGAGTGACAAGGAACGACAGAATGAGGAGGTGAACGAAAAGGATAACTGCTCGGCGTCCAGCATCTCCTCCGCCAGCAGCACTCTGGAGAGAGAGGAGAGGGGCAGCAGTGAGAATGGTGGGTAGTAAAAAACAAAAAAGAAAAACTATAACACGACTCTACAGCGTCTTTTTTTTCTTTTCTTGATGTCCTGTTTGTAAGTTTCCTGTTTGATGTTTTCTGTTAATGTTCTGATTCCTTTGCTTGGCTCATCTCTTCACATGATGCTGCATTGTATTTGTAATTCAGTCGATACTGAAGGGTTCTTTGATTCACAGACAATGGCATTAGCATACAGAGTGCACGCTCACTTAAATACCTCTCTCCTCCTTCTCAGGCCTTAAGGAGGCTGACGTGAATGAACACAGCAGTAAACTCCTCAACAGCAAGCTCTTCATGCTGGACATGCTGTACTCTCAGAACAAGAAGCCCAGTGACGAGGAGGACGAAGAAGAAGATGCAGAAAAGGAGAAGGAGAAAGACAAAGGAGAGGAGGAGGTGGACAAAGACACACAGGAGGATGCTGAAGGAGAGCCAGGTGCTGAGCAGGAGAGCAACAACAGGCCAGACAAACCAGAGCACCGCGGGACCATCCGACCATTCGCTGAGCGGTTTGGAGACTTAATCAAGGACCTGAATTCACCACACCCTCACCTGGATGTCCCGGTCAATGAGCCCCCACCTCCCCCACCCAAAAAGGAATCAGACACCATCTGGGACCAGCTCCTCGCCAGCCCTCGAGAGCTGCGCATCAGGGACATCAACTTTACCGACCTGACGGAGGACGATGACAAAGACATTCTGGATGCTGTTATGATGGGAGGGTGCAGCAGCCTTCCGCCCCCGCCGCCTCTTCCACCCTGCATCCCACGCTTCCCTCCACCCCCGCCCATGCTAGGCGGCTGCCCACCACCTCCCCCCTTGATGGGAATTATGAGGCCGCCTCCTCCTCCTTCCTTATTCAGCCCCCCAGTTCCAGTGCCTCCTCCACCGGAGCCGCCTCTCTTTAACAAGAAGAAGAAAACAATCAGACTCTTCTGGAGCGAGGTGAGCCAAGATACAACGGCCATATTGTCTGCTACAACTGAGGCGTATTGGACTAAATAAACACTTTCTTTACTGTTTTCATTCAGACTCAGACACTTAAAGATTACATCACCTTCATTTTTGTAAACACAATAACTTACCTTACCATCTAGACCTGGTTGACGGAGCAGGAAAAGAAGCACTTTTTCTCTGTTTGTAGAGAAATTAGATCATAGTAATGCTTTCATGTCCAGTTTTTACTAATAGTAAAGAAGATAAGGTGCTTTAACGACTAAGATCACGTTCACACCAGCCTTGTTTAGTCCATTTAAACTGAAACCTGGAGTGTTTACCTCCTTGGTGCGGTTTGTTTTGGTTGGTGTGAACACCAGCCTCGAACTCTGGTGCGGACCAGTCAACCGCCCTCAGGTCCACCTGGTAGGGGTGGTATCAGACCGCTATCAAGTGAACTCTAGAGCGATTTACTTCTGGTATGAACCCCATCTGCACCCATCAAAGGAAGCTCGCCTTGAAAAAACATTGTGCTCATTATTGCCTGTCATCTTCTGTGATATGACCGTTCGATTGCAGAGCGTCTCCTGTGACATTTGTGTATTAATACGTTATTTAATTGCCGCAGTCTTCCCAGCTGTTCATTTGCGCGGTCTGTTAAAGTCTGCTGATATGCAGTACAGATCAGCACCAACATAAAAATGAGCAGACAATGCTCCGTGATGTACAGTAAAAAATTGCGAGGGATTTGTCGTCTACCCGCCTAAACTGTATAAGTGATCACCAAACAGCATTTGCTGCCATGTGACAATTTTGGACCGTTTGAGTTTGTGAATGTGAACTGTTCCAGTCGAAAAATTGCAACAATGTATCATCCTCACTTTGGTTCATATCAGAAAACTGACCTTTTAGTGCGAACATGACCTAAGACAGCATGTTTCCGTTAAAGGGTCATGACACTGAATGATTTGCTTTAAATATTCTTATAGCCGGTAGTATTTGTAGTTCTTAAATTTTTTAATTGTCTTTATCATGTTTCTGCATAATGCAGTCCTGACTTGTTCTATTTGTCCTCAGGTACATCCCACAGAGTCTCAGTACAGGGACTATAAACGGAGTGGAGATTTGCTTTGGTCCAAACTAGAACCGGTTAAGGTGGACACAGCCAAACTGGAACACCTGTTTGAGTCCAAATCAAAGGAAATACCAGTAACAAAGGTAAACAGCTCATACCTGGAGAGGGTTTAGAGAGGTTTGCATGTGAAACTCCTCATGTTTTGTATTTAACATATTTGAAGAAAACTGAACTCTCTCTGTGTGTAAACTATGCCTCCCTTCAGTTGTGCACTTTTAATTTTGTCCTAATGGTGTTTCATGGATCTCACCTCCCAGCCTGTGGTTAAGCCTCTATTATCTCCATCACCTTTAAGGTGCTGTTTTAAGGGTTAATTGAGTTCTCATGTGCTCTGACATGTACGTTTTCAAATCCTACATGATTCTCCCAAAGCCCCCAAATAAGAAAAGTATGGTCAGATGAGGGGGGGAGCTGAACCTGAGCTTCTCACACTTTGAACTCCTGAGCCTCCGCTTTGAAACCACACCTTCCAGTGCAGAGAAACCAGCTCGTACCTCACCTCCACCCAGCTTCTGGTCTGTACTTTACATGTTAGTATGATGGTGGTCTTCGACTAAAGTATCCAAACAGCTCAAGCAAATCTGACAGGTAATAAGAAAATCTAGGATATAGAGGACCACCTGAACACTGAGGCCATCAGAGGTAGAGTGGTATTACTTTGTTATTGCCCTCCATTGAGTGTTATTATGGGAATCCATCAAAATTTCAAGCATTTGTTACATAGTCATCAAATAGGTTCAGACTAATTTCCAGCATACTTTTTAAGCAATTAGTTTTTTTGGCATTCTCCATCATTCCATCGCAGATACAGATAGGAGAGACCGGCGCTTGCCCTTTCAACTGAGGATTGAGGCGATTTTACCAGAGATGGCCCACATTATCAAGAGATGATTTAGGCTTTTTGTCAAAAAATGACTTAGGCCATTATTTTAATAGAGAGACGATATGATGTGTTGATTCCAAGAAATGTATAAGAGTGTAAAAAATGTGACAACAAGCCCTGGTCTCCCCTACCATTTTTGAGAGTTTGTGTGTTTTAATCAGTTCAATACCTGCCGACCACCTTCAAACAATGTAAAACTATATATTACTACTATGAATTCATTCATAAATTATTTTCATACTTTTGTAAATATGTAAATGACTTCCTAACTAGTACAAGTATAAATAGTAACCTGACAGCCAACAGGTGTTGCTCTACCGTGTAAGTCTGACAGCTCCATATGGTGAGTATCCAGTGACCCGATCTTAGCAGCTACTCCGTTACGCTTTTACTTGGTGAAATAAAACAACTTCCTACCTTTAAAATTCCACACGGTCCAAGTCGCCAAGTGCTGCTGAGCTCATATGTTTATATACAGAGACATAAAGACTGCAGACCTATGAAACACCCACAGAAGCACATATAACCGCACAGAGCTTTCCTGTAATGGCATTTCCATCGATGGGCTTTCCACAGCTGTGTTCAATGTAACCTGAGTGAGGATTCCTGTAATCTTTACAAGCACATAAAGCAGACCACACAAGGTAAGAGACGAAAAGAGAAAAAGGACCCAGCTCTGACGCGCTTTGTTACTTCTCTTGTGTGACAGAAAACTGCAGCAGACGGGAAGCGACAGGAAATCATCGTTTTGGACTCCAAGAGGAGCAACGCCATCAACATCGGTCTGACGGTGCTGCCTCCTCCTCGCACCATAAAGACTGCCATACTGAACTTTGACGAATACGCGCTCAACAAGGAGGGGATAGAGGTTAGAGTTTCATTCAACTATCACTCATGTTTTTTAACCAGTTACACAGACCTGGACTTCAGAATTGGTCAGTAACCTTACAATCTTTAGCTTTCGTATTAATGCTCTAGGCCTCATTTCCCAGGACATTCCTAAGATTTTAAAACAGATTCATGAACTTTTTTCTCAAACCTCAGGATTTCCTAACATGTCTCCTTAAATTGATGAAAGCCTTGTCCTCACAAGTTTGAAGCCCATGCCAGTTTTTCCCTTTTATTTGGCCCATAAAAGGGCAGGAGACTGCAGTGCCATGTGTTCTCACAGAACTCACACAAGGCTGAACAGAAAAGTCATGAGACAACAGAAATGAATACTGGACTTCATTGATTGTACAATGGATTCGAAAGGAAAGAAATACTTGAAGCTCCTATGAGGAGTTTTTTGACATTGATGAAATTGACTGAAATTCCTGTTGATGCCGTTCCATGTAATCCAAAAGCAAACAAACCCAGCGGTGACAAGATTGATGTCTTGTGTTGTGTCATTTTCAATACCTGAAACTGGTGCAAAGGCCAAGCAACTAAAGACACAGTCCTGTTTTTACAGCTGACAACACAAGATATTCCCAATCTTCACAAATTGGCTGTCAAAGGTCAACAGAGTTTTTTTGTCATCAGACACGACTTGGATGAGACAAGCAAAGCACAGGGGGTTGCCAATATTGATACAGACTTAAAGTTCATCACAGGGGCTTCAAATAGTTTAGAAATTTAATGGAAACGTTACACAAACAGGTTATATATATATATATATATATATATATATATATATATATATATATACACTCACCGGCCACTTTATTAGGTACACCATGCTAGTAACGGGTTGGACCCCCTTTTGCCTTCAGAACTGCCTCAATTCTTCGTGGCATAGATTCAACAAGGTGCTGGAAGCATTCCTCAGAGAGCTTGGTCCATATTGACATGATGGCATCACACAGTTGCCGCAGATTTGTCGGCTGCACATCCATGATGCGAATCTCCCGTTCCACCACATCCCAAAGATGCTCTATTGGATTGAGATCTGGTGACTGTGGAGGCCATTTGAGTACAGTGAACTCATTGTCATGTTCAAGAAACCAGTCTGAGATGATTCCAGCTTTATGACATGGCGCATTATCCTGCTGAAAGTAGCCATCAGAAGTTGGGTACATTGTGGTCATAAAGGGATGGACATGGTCAGCAACAATACTCAGGTAGGCTGTGGCGTTGCAATGATGCTCAATTGGTACCAAGGGGCCCAAAGAGTGCCAAGAAAATATTCCCCACACCATGACACCACCACCACCAGCCTGAACCGTTGATACAAGGCAGGATGGATCCATGCTTTCATGTTGTTGACGCCAAATTCTGACCCTACCATCCGAATGTCGCAGCAGAAATCGAGACTCATCAGACCAGGCAACGTTTTTCCAATCTTCTATTGTCCAATTTCGATGAGCTTGTGCAAATTGTAGCCTCAGTTTCCTGTTCTTAGCTGAAAGGAGTGGCACCCGGTGTGGTCTTCTGCTGCTGTAGCCCATCTGCCTCAAACTTCGACGTACTGTGCATTCAGAGATGCTCTTCTGCCTACCTTGGTTGTAACGGGTGGTTATTTGAGTCACTGTTGCCTTTCTATCAGCTCGAACCAGTCTGGCCATTCTCCTCTGACCTCTGGCATCAACAAGGCATTTCCGCCCACAGAACTGCCGCTCACTGGATATTTTTTCTTTTTCGGACCATTCTCTGTAAACCCTAGAGATGGTTGTGCGTGAAAATCCCAGTAGATCAGCAGTTTCTGAAATACTCAGACCAGCCCTTCTGGCACCAACAACCATGCCACATTCAAAGTCACTCAAATCACCTTTCTTCCCCATACTGATGCTCGGTTTGAACTGCAGGAGATTGTCTTGACCATGTCTACATGCCTAAATGCACTAAGTTGCCGCCATGTGATTGGCTGATTAGAAATTAAGTGTTAACGAGCAGTTGGACAGGTGTACCTAATAAAGTGGCCGGTGAGTATATATATATATATATATATATATATACACACACACATATATACACACATATATATATACACATATATATATATATATATATATATATATATATATATATATATATATATATACACATATATATATATATACATATATATATATTCACTTTTTGACATCATAAGAGTATTTCTTTGTTGGTTAAAAAACTCCTCATAGTGCCTTTAAATGGCAAAAAATTGCTCTTTAGTGGTCAAACATTTCAAGTGAGGACAAATCCCAGATGAGAAAACTTAAACGATTAAAAACCGTCTTTATTAAACTGTAAGTGTATTTTAAGAGCAAATTTCTTCATAAGAGCAGTCAGTGAATGAGTCACACTGTTTGTTGGGACTGTAACATTATGGTTGAGACCTGTGTGCTGACTGGTGTACTCATGGATACCCAATCCTGCATATTCTGCTGATGCAACATTTCCAAGGCCAGACTTGTCATTAAAACAACTCTCACTCACTGTCCTTGTACCATTTTGTTCTCTGCCTCAGAAAATCCTGACCATGATCCCAACAGAAGAGGAGAAGCAGAGGATCCAGGAGGCCCAGCTGGCAAACCCTGATCTCCCACTTGGCTCAGCCGAGCAGTTCCTCCTCACCCTGTCATCCATCAGCGAGCTCAATGCCCGACTCCAGCTCTGGGCCTTCAAGATGGACTACGAGGCAACTGAGAAGGTCTGCTTTGAAAAAACAAACAAACAAACAAACACCATCACCAAATGCATATTTGAATTCACACAGAAAAGAATAAATTTAGTTTTATTGCAGAAGAAACAGATGAACTTCCATCATAAAGGTTTGAGTAAATGTGCTCAGCATGTGTGCACGCCTAGTATCAACATCCCTTTTAGTCCAAACAACATCCTCAAAACACAAACAGAGTTACATCATAACATAACCAAATATGTACCCTTATTAGTGGCACCTCACCTTCCTCTGGCACACCATGTTTTACTCCAGCAAAGAATGCATCCAGGAGAAGGAGTTCAAAGTAAAACACGCAGAGAATGAGAAACATCCCACCCCTCCGTTTGGGTCCTGTAAATTTAACAGCTTTCCGCAGGATGCTGTTGTCTTTAATCTCTCCATGAAAGGCTCGATTTCTGAACGCAGGTTCGGCAGAGCGTTGTTCCCGACTTGACTCTGCGGGATGGTTTGGTAGTGGAGAGCTTAATGGAGGGCAACATTCCATGCAGGCACACAAACACATGCACACGAGAGAGCCGTCCACACAAAAACAAACCTTTAACGTAATCAGAAGCAGGTTGGATGAGGAAGGCTGACCGAGACGTGGACCTTTTTAACAACCTGATGACCTCAAACAACTACAGATGATTTGTGGTGGGACATGAAATGCACCTGTGCTCCTCTTATGTAACAGCAGACACATAAAAACCATGTGTTTGCAAGTCTTAATTTACTCCACTAATGATGTGTGTTTGCATGTGTGTGTTTTTTTTCCTTCTCTCAGGAAGTAGCCGAGCCGCTGCAGGATTTGAAGGAGGGTATGGAGCAGCTGGAGAAGAACAAAACTCTGCGTTACATCCTCTCCACGCTGCTCTCTATCGGGAACTTCCTCAACGGCACGAACGTGAGTCACGGCTATAACATGTTCACATCATTATACTGCTGCGTAATGACAAGCTGCTTTTGTATGTGAAAGTACTGGCTCATAATTGTAGCAATGGTGATTTAAAACAAGTTTAAAGTTTCCAAGTCTGTAATTTGTGGATTAAAAATTAAATCACGTATTAGCGACTTCAGTGTGGTGAGAACAGATGCATCTATTACACACTACAAAGATTCATGTGTCTTTTATGATTTTTAAGTAATCTGTGTGTCCATGCATGCAGGCCAAAGGCTTCGAGATGACATATTTGGAGAAGGTTCCAGAGGTGAAGGACACGGTTCATAAGCAATCTCTGCTCCATCACGTCTGCTCGGTGGTGGTGGAGAACTTTCCTCAGAGCACCGACCTCTACTCAGAGATAGGAGCCATCACCCGCTCTGCAAAGGTACAGTCGAGAGTGTCTATACATTATTTTGGAAAAACGCTGGTAGATTTGTTTTTCAAGCTGGCTCAGTTTAAAAACATACTTTAACATAATAAATTTAAAAATATGAGGCACCGAAAGACTGAAGAAATACTGTCTAAATTTAATCTTTACACTGAGGCAGATTCTAATCACTGTGATTGACACATCCACAGAAACAACCATGATTTCACTTCACACGAAGGAAGCTTTAAACATTAATGCCCTTTTGAAACTTCTAAAACCAGGAGTTTCTCTTTTTTGACATTATTTAACAGTAAAGTCAAAGAAGAGAGCCCTGGATTATACTGATGTGTTAAAAAGCATAGTGACATAGAAAGGTGTTGCTGGGGGTTGGATATAGGTACCAGGTGTAGTTCAGGTTCTGAATGTGCAGAGTAGAGATGTGAGTAGGACAGAGAGATGGCTTCAGATAGGTGTTGTTTGCCTCCTGAAATATTCATATGTATGATTATAGTATGATATCAGCCGAGCATTTGTTATTGGTCATTTTCTAGCTGTGCGCTGTTTGTTTACTGATCTGTGTTGGCAAAAGAAAGAGAAACACAATCAAATAAATGGGTCATACTAAAGTTTAGAAAATAAAATAAACAAAAGAAAGGAAAAAAAGGACGCATAAGCAGAGTAATAATTGCCGTGGATATTTAATCCTCTAGATGGCAAAGGTGCAGAGAAAAAACAGCAGCAGGTAGTAATTTCAAAATATCATCTCCACTACTGTCTTTGTCACCATTATTGACGGTGTTGTTATTACCGTAATTGCCATTTACATTATAATTCACATCATTGTTCTCAATTTTATCATTCTCTTTTCAATATTACTTTTCAAAAATGCACCCAAAAGCTCTATAAGAACGTTTGTACAAGTCAAATAATTAATTGATGAAATTTGTAGGTTGGGGGCGCTGGCTCACACCGGCTGGATGTGTTTGTGATAGTTATTTTCTCAGAAGAAGAGGGTTTGGGATTGCTTCAAAGTGTTGAGATCGGTCTCATGGAAAGGCTGATAGTTGTTTCTTGTATATGAAAAGCAGTGGTCCCAAAAAATGGGTGTCTATCAGTCTTCCAAAGATTCATAGTGCATAATTCAGATGTACTCAACTGAAAATTGTCATTTGAATTATTAAAAAAAATGTGTTAGACGGACCTAAAATCTTAAGTTTTTATTTTAAACCAGCATCCATATTTTAAACATTTACAGAGTTATTGTCTCATTAATGTCTGAATAAACCCTATGAGTTTATGATGCATAGATGTAGAAAACTTAGTTTGTATCTTTATCTCCCCGCTAGGTGGATTTTGACCAGCTTCAAGAAAACCTGTGTCAGATGGAGCGGCGCTGCAAAGCCTCATGGGACCACCTGAAGGTGATCGCCAAGCATGAGATGAAACCTCAGCTGAAACAGAGGATGTCTGACTTCCTCAAAGACTGTGCAGAGAGGATCATCATCCTTAAGATCGTTCACCGAAGAATCATCAACAGGTAGTTTAACTTACTCTTTTTGCAGAAATCTGAGCAGCAAGTCTCTAGTCCCATCAGTTTGCTCAAAAGTAGTCATAGGAATCTCTTTTTATGTCTTTATGCTACCTGCAGTTTAGCGCAGCATGATCAATGTCTTATTGAAACTTTTAATTTGAATTTAAAGTAATTACGTAATTTGATTATGCCAAATTAAACAGAAAAATCAATATATGGCAAAGACTGAATACAGACTGGATTATATTCGGCTAGTGTTGTTAAGTAAAAATTCATAATGTGGTGTAACAGTGAAAAGAATATAGGTATTGGTATATAAAAGTGTGTATATTAAATTTTAATTTCATTGCTTAAGTGCAATGAGGTTCGATGACACTTAGGACTGTTTATTTTATGTTTATTCTAATATACATTAGAGACAATACCATAACCTCACTCTTTTTCTCCTCCTCCTCCAGGTTCCATTCGTTCTTGTTGTACCTCGGTCACCCCACGTACAGCGTAAGAGAGACCAGCGTCCACAGGTTCAGCAAAATAATCAGTGAGTTTGCGCTGGAGTATCGAACCACCCGTGACCGCGTGCTGCAGCAGAAGCAGAAACGAGCCGACCATCGAGAACGCAACAAGACCCGGGGGAAGATGATCATAGACGTCAACGCTCCTGTGAGCATCACACACACACACACACACACACACACACAGGACCCATCAGCGACAGACACACTTAAACTTTCAGATCTCTTCTCTGCCTTTTTCTTTGCATATCTGAGCTACATACTCCTTTTCCTTTAATTTTCTTTGTTAGACTTTGACTTTCACTCTTTTTTCTCCTGTAGTCTGATGATGAAGAGGAGAGTGAGGTATCAACCTGTGTGCTAGCTGTCTGCATGTGTGTGTGCGTGTGTGTGCATGAAACCTTTAACCTGCATCTCTTTACCTGAAGGTCCTTCTTTTCATTAGTTTTAACATCTAATGAGAGTCAAAGCTTGAGTAGGGATTTTAATCTCTACATGTTGGTTGTTTTACTTTTTCTTGGCATGTGTGGAGCAAAGTCCAAAAACCCCCAAAACACAAACAAAAACAAAACACAAGCTGCTTAATTCTCACAATCTTTGATTATATGTGTCTACCCCCAGTGTGGCCGCCATGGCTCCAGCAGCAGCAACAGCGCCCCTAGTGGCAGTCAGGAGGGCGAGCAGCCTCAGGGTCTGGGTCACTCTGAAGATGCCGCAGAGCACGAGAACATGAAAGCCGTGCTGAGAACCAGCCTAAGCGGCGGGGACAAGGAGGCCAGTGGGGTACCTGGACTTAGGACACGAACGAGATCCAGACCTGGTCGAGGAGGTAAGGGGGACGAGAAGTTCCGGACAGGGTCACATAAAGAAGTTATAGATGTACTTTAAAGGGATATTCCGGCGTAAAATTAAGTTTGGGTCAAACACATTGTAACACAGAGTTAGACACCCCCTTGAGAGATGAATGTTGCCGACTGCTTGTTTCTCTAGTTATACCAACTTTAGTAACAACCGCAGGATAGCAATACACAGCGGTCTGAGGAGCCATAAACAAACCTCAACCAAAAAGCTACTCTATATGGGGTGTCTAACTCAGTGTTACCGTGTGTTTGACCCTAAATTCATTTTATGCCGAAATGTCCCTTTAAAGACTTAAAAATGACTTTTGTTATTCTGCCGTATGTGTTCAGGCCGCACTGTGCAGGCATGGACGCCAGCCGTGGAGGATGCTCTGGTCTGTGGAGATGACGCAGCAGACGAGATTATGGAGCGTATAGTGAGGTCAGCCACCCAAGGTCCAGGAACCAGAGCACAGCCCAGAGAGAGGAGGAGGTCCAGGGCCAATCGCAAGTCATGTAAGCCACCATTTCTGATCCTAATCCATACAGCAAAGGCAAACGTCAGAGTTTTTAATGTTTTGATTAAAGGGAGAAAAAACACAGTTGTTAGAAACTTTTTTATTATGCTAAACCATTACTGAAAATTAACAGTGTCTCAATTTGTCTTTTCCTGTCTTCCTGCAGTGAGGCGGACTCTGAAGAACGGCCTGACCCCAGAAGAAGCTCTTGCATTAGGACTAGCTGATTCACCTGATCCACCTGATATGTGATCAACAAACCTCAAGCCTATCCTTGTTGTCATAGAAACACAGGCACCGTCATAAACGCGGCGTCTTCATCAGCCTCCCACCTGTTACAGAGTGGTATTCCACCGTTTGCAAACACAATGAGGTTCTTACCAGCTGCTTATTTTGCCTATCGTGTCTGAGTGATGAATCTGCAGCCATATAGTGTTTTTAATGCAAAATGAAGCAAAAGAGGAACTTACGAAAGAGAAATTTTCAAATAGGAAAGATTACATTTGGTGACACTGCAACTGAACTGAGGTGAAACATTTGTTATTTATGGAAACATATATTTAAAATGTTGCATTAGGCCAAAGGGATCATTTTGGCTTGGGGGTTTTTGCAGCTGTGACTTCACCATTTTTTCATTTATTTAAGCTGTGAATTTCAGTTGCAAAGATTAACAGGCTGAAAGGGCAGTTTCATTTGATGTCTCATTTTGCTTTTAAATACCCGAGAGATCAGCTCAAACAAAGAGGCTTACTGAGAATAATCCTTTTGTACAAAGGCAAATGTTTGCTTCTGCAGCCGCAGGTTTGACAAGTGACAAGTGTGGATGTGTCGTAGGATCGTGAAAGGTTCTCATTCTGATGTGTGCCTTTCATTTAAAAGGGACTATGCTGTACCTTTAGCTTATCCCTCTCTCTTGCTTTACGCCTTTCCTACTTCTCAGATGACTCACACACGTCACATTTACAGCCATTGTTTTATTCATACGATTGTTGATCTCCAGTAACTTTGTTATTTTGGCAAAAAGTGTTGTCAGTATTTATTTGCAAAGCTCAGATATCTTGCACCTTACTAAACACTAAAAGTTTCTCAAAGTGATTCAAAACTCAGAAAATGACGTTTAAATCTCAGAGGATTTTTTTGTAAAGTGTAAAAAGTCAAAAAAAGATGAAGACATTTTTTTTTAATTTTAATAAACTATTTTGAAGGACATGCAGGAAATTCTGCAGAAAATGTGTAAATGCCCTTTTCAGCTGCCAGGTACTAAGTTCTGTAGTACAGTGTGCATGTTCAGTGCGGTTTATGTGATGTATTATTTTTGTAATTTCTGTAGAAACTTGTATTATAGTCTGAGAGAAAAGGTTAAAGATGCTGTTCTGTGAATTGTAATAAAAGATAAAAGGAAATAAAAAAAATATGTTGGGAGTTGAAACCTGTTTTCAAAGTATCTCAGTGTGCTCAGAGAGGAGAGCATTATCTGGACTTTGTCTTTGACCTAGGTTTCCACATTGTACTTTGTATGAACTTGGACAGGTTGCGGATCTTTGAAAAACCAGCTGAATCATGGGCTCCCCACAGATTTCAACACAAACTGGGAAACATACCTGCAGAAATATAATGTGGGCCGAACATGAAACCACGGTTGCAAACACTTTCACTTGAAATGCTGTGTATACACAATCTGCAATAAAAAATGAAAACCATGGCGTGAAACTTGAGGGTGTGTAAGTCTTTCTTTCTCATTGCTCGATGAATCTTAAGTTCACATAAGAACACATGGGCATATCTGTAGCCCACATGACCAACCTTTGGATTTATAAGACGCTATAAAATTCTATGTACTCTACTTGTGTAGTTCAGTGTTACATATCCTTGTTTGACAAAGCTTCTGTCAAACATCGAGATGGCCACGTCGATGAGTCTGCTGTGGGGGGTTGGATCCACTCCCTGCTGGCGAGTGATGATAACATTGGAATAGAAGAACCTACAGGGCTACCAAAGCAAGCTGCTTTCTCATGACAAAGAGGAACTCAAATCCACAGAAGTCTTGAAAATCATACCAAGAGGACAGGTACAGTTACTGTAACAATGGTATGATGGTTAAAAAAATCAAGTAATGTAAAACAAACTGAGATGTGTAACTAAATATTCAACTTTCAGCTCCCTAGCTTCAAACATGGTGACAACATACAATCCTGCGGTGCTTGTTTATACCTGGAGGTAAGATGTTAAAGTGCATTTGCAATATGCTGAATATGTCGAATGAAACAAATCAGATCGGATCTTTCTGTCATCTATGGATGCTTGAAACAGAACCAGTTCAAGTCCCAGGGCACCAAGCTGATCCCTGACAGTGCTAAGGAGCAGGCACTGATGTACGAACGCATGATGGAAGGACTCCACCTCACTGAGATAATCCATGAGATATATATATATATATATTTTTTTTTTTTTAAAGTCATTGGTAATGAAGAAACAAATGAAAAGAAACTAAATGATATCCATAATTCATTATTTGTTGTAGATAGAGTTGTCTACTTCCAATGGTTTTTCCCCAATGAGGAGGAGAGACATGATTCTGATCTGAAGAGATTCAGGGAGGCTCTGACTGCTGAGTTCAAACCGTGGGAGACTTACCTTGAAAAGGTCAATTGTTAAAGTACCATTCAACTACAGACACATTCAAACACACTGTTATGACAGCAGTGTTTTTACCATTTGGTTTCTGCTTTAAGATGACTGAAGGCTCATACCTGGCTGGAGACTTCTCTCTGGCTGATGTGGTCATCTTCACAAACATCACTTATGCTTTCCACTTTGGGCAGGTGACCTCCAAAACAGACAAAAATCACCTCTTATCCTCTCTTCCAGGCTCTCTTTTGAGCGTTACCCCAGATACTACAACCTGCTGAAGGACAGACCCAGCATTAAGGTGACCTGGCCTCCAAGGTGGACTGACAGCCCAAACGGTTATGAAGCTCTGACTTCAACATTTAGAGATGAAAGTTGGTTTGAATGAAAATTCGATCAAATAGACATTCAACTACACATTAAGATGTTGTCTGTTCATTTTGAGAGGCCCTGACGTCCTACAAAAGTCTGTGGTTTTGACCAGTCTATGGTTTTGACTCACGACATGAAGATGAACTTGCATTGCTTACTCCCGACCACTAGATGGCAGTATGCTTGCAATTTTAATCCAGCCGTTATCTCCCTGAACTGTGGAGCGAGTGACGGTAAATCCATTTTCCTCAGTGTGGTGAGTCAGTGTCCTCTGTAGCAGTGGCAGTAACTCTCAGGTCCCAGACTTTCAAATCCAATTCATAAACCATGGCCAAGGACATGACTCTGCTGTGGGGCACCGGCTCTCCCCCCTGCTGGAGGGTGATGATCGCTCTGGAGGAGAAGAACCTGCAGGGCTACAACCAGAAACTACTCTCCTTTGACAAAATGGAGCACAAGTCCCAACAAGTGTTAGATCTAAACCCAAGGGGACAGGTAGGAAGTAGCCTTAATCATCATTTAACTGTTGAATATTAGTTAAACAGGCCCCCTGGAAACAACATAAAGACGCGTGCATATCAATTGTAAAGCTTTTAGCAGCTGCTCGTGCAACCTGCAACCCCACTTCACCAGATCCCATTTAAAACTCGATCTATATCGACTTTAGCAGCTTCTTGATATGGTTGTTCACCTGCTGGGACATGTATGAGCACTGAAGACGCATAACCTGAGTATATCCTCCAATTCGGCGTATTTAATATTCACCAAGCTGCTTTTTAACAAACTCATAATAATTATAATAACTTAATGAACTTGCAAATGTTCAGTAGAGGGCGACTATGACCAAACAAATGAGAGTAGGTTCACTACTGTCATGCAGAGCTGAGCCTTCAAGTGTCCTTAAAAGACCTTATTATGTCATTGTGAGCAATTAATCGACACGATAAGACAAAATTGATCGAATTTTAAGGGCGACCAAAAAATTGTGTGAACTACAAAGCTTGAATAGCCAAAGTTCATTCACTATAAAACCTTCATTTGTACACAAGAGTAAGCCAAAATCACCACTGCTGAGTTCCATACACAATCATTAAGTTCCAAGTGAGTACCAACCGGTATTTCAATGTTAAAAAATAATTTAAATGGGGTAAAATCAATGGCTATGTATTGACTTTTAGCACAACTATTGTCTTGAAGAGCAAAATATAGTAAAGTCAAGTAGTAAGATATGTGAAAATAGCTTCAGAGCAGATGGAGAATTTGTGTTAGTGTTGATTTTGGCGCCACCTGCTGGTAAAGATTTATATTGGCTTTTGTCCTTAACATTGAAAGGTGGTGTTTTATAAAAATAAATACCACCCTTCTGTCTTTCCCAAGTTGGATGTGTCACTTTTTTGAATATTTACAGTTAATGTCACTTTTGTTGCTGGTTGTTTTATCTACTTTTGTAGGTTATTATGGGGCATCATCTCAATGACAACCTGTTAAAAAGTCCCCACAATTGATTTAAAGGAGTGGTTATCAGTGGAAAACATTATTGATATCTTTAGGTTGGATAAATAAGCTGGGATCCTTAGAAAAAATACTTAAAAGACATGCTTTATCATAGACATCAGGTCAAATAAAATGAATGGATGCATAGAAGAAATGTTATTGCGAGCCAGTTTTTGTTTACTATGAAACCATGTGTGATACAGCTCAACAGTTCCTCTTAATTGGCTCCCAGTAGCATTAAAACACGACATATGCTGATAATGCTGAAAGCCAGTTACACCTTCACCAGCTTGCCCTGCTCACATATAATCAAACCTGTTAAATTTTTCAGCTTCCCACCTTCAAACATGGGGATACTGTTGTGAACGAATCCTATGCAGCCTGCTTTTACCTTGAGGTGAGTGAGCCGGTCCACAAACTTAAAAACTTCTATTCAACAAGCATCTTTACAGGAACTACATAATGATTCTTCCTCCCATAAATGTTTTTGAATTTTCTCCTCATATGACAGAGTCAGTTCAAGTCCCAGGGAAACAAACTTATCCCAGATGGACAGAAAGAGCAAGCACTTATGTACCAACGCATGTTTGAGGGTCTCACCTTCTACGAAAAACTCAGTAAGACAAGACAGAGTCTTTTCTCTAAACAAAACCTCAGTGTCACTCAGTGTTGTCTTTGAATAATAAATCTCTATGTTTGAAAATACTACACTTAAGGGCATGATCGTAAACCCTGTGTTTGTTCTCGCCTCATCATATTGACCTACCTTTTGTGTGTTCCTTAGCTGCAGTCATCTACTATGAGTGGTTCGTCCCTGAGGAAGAGAGGCATGACTCAGCTCTTAAGAGAAACAAGGAGGCTCTAACCGCTGAACTCAAGCTTTGGGAGAGTTACCTGGAGAAGGTAGAGTTTGTGCTGAAGAACAAACACAAAGCTTCTCGTTCGCATCATCTAAAAATATGGAGCACAGAGTTCCTAGACCACGATTATGACACCTTCAGTTTGGCATTAATAGTTGCCTTAGCAAGAAGTCCCTTTGTGCAGAGAGAGAGAAGGTTTTGGAAGTTTTGGTAGAGGCTGACAGTATTTTTTTACAAGTAACACAAACAAAGTAGTTTTGCAATAATCAGTCTCTTCAGCAAATAAGTTATGTTATGTTAAATATTCATCACAATAAAGCCGTGAGCTACACAGTAAGTCATATTATATGCCAAATGCTTCCTTGAGTCCCATAAATATGAAGACCTCTAGGAGGACAATTTTAGTGATTGAGTTAGTCAAAGTGATGGCAGACAGTTTGAAGTACCTGTCTGTCACTAAAAGTAATAACCCTCTGACTTGTAAATAGAAATGTAAGCTACAGAGACATAAACTGTGTAGTGTCTGCACTTCTAAATGGGTCCCAGTGAAGATTCTCTCACTCATAGAGTCCTTTTCAGATGAAAACTCTTTGACCTGCTGTTTTTTGTTCAACACATTTGCTTCATTTACTGCTTGATCAGAGCATTGATTATCTCTCTTCTTCTGTATTTGTCACCTCTCTCTCCAGCTGGGTCCTAATACCTACCTGGCAGGACCAGCCTTCACTCTGGCAGATGTGACTGTTTTTCCAACAATTGGCACCATCTTCAGATATGGGTAAGCAAAAGAAAGCTTAATCGTTCCCTGTAAGACATTAGGTACGTGACCATGTTCTTCTTCACGTGTCCTCCTTTCTTCTGTCCTGTATAGGCTGTCTGCGGAGCGTTACCCCAATCTGGGAGCGTACCACGCTCTGATGAAGGAACGGCCCAGCGTCAAAGCCAGCTGGCCTCCTCACTGGCTGGAGAACCCTAAGGGAGACGACTCACTCAAAGACCTCTGATAATCTGAGCACTTCACCGTCACATTAGCCTGCAGCGATTTATGTTTCCATAAAAATATTTTGGCTTGATATGATTTCCTTTGACAGTTTGCAAAATGTGATAAAACCCTCTTATTCTTTGACTCTAAAAAGGGAAGAATATGTTGAGAGTGTTCGTGTTATTGTTAAATATCAGTGTTCTTAAAAACAGAGTTAAACTCAGATTTCTGATTCCCTCCAGTGAATACACTCGTCCACTGACAGATATGCAGAGCGCAGTGTTTGCAGTATTCAGGCTGCAGGCATCAAGACACCTTGTGACACTGTTTACATGGCAACTTTCGCTACTAATAACTGGCCTGTATAAGTGACACCAGTCTGTGTTGACTAATACATGCACTAACTACCAAAACACTGCTTTTAGCATTTGTGAAGGTTTCATTTGAAGTCAATCATTTAAGTTAGAAAGACTGTTAACGGACCCCGTAATGTAACCTGAAGCTTGCACTATGTAGGAAGTTTAACATACTCTGGTGCTTTTATGAGAGGTGATCTCTTATCTCAAACCTAACCTGCTCTGGAGCCGGTTAGGTGTGCAGCGTGGTGATTTACCCTGATATGAAGTTCCACCTTTGTTGACCTTAAAACCAGACTAACCTTAAGATTCCCTCTCTGACTGTTAATCCGTCTCTGTATATTGTAGGCTAACGCCAATATATGCCAATATTAAAACACAGTAAAATGCAGGCTGTGTAAAAGGTTTAGTGGTAGGTAGGTCAGGTAAGAAGTCCTCACTGTTTATTGTTTAAACACCGATATTGTGATCAAGCCTTGGAAAGCATTGTCAAATAAAAAAGGTGGGCGGTTTCTTGAGGACGTGACCTGCTGGTTTTATTATTTATGGTGGTGCCAAATAGAGTTTGCTCTGCACAAAGGTAAGTGAAATGCACTGTGTTGTCATGACTAGGCATAAATGAAATGAGTTCTATATTGTAATCTGACCTTGCTCTTGATGGTCTAAATAGTATGAAAAAAAATGAGTTACACCCTGCTTTGTAGAGCCAATTTACATACTTCCAAACAAAAGCAAAGTGTATTTACAGAGTAAGCCAGCAATTAAAGTTTCCTGTAAGGTGACATCCTCGTTCTAGTTTTGACACACCTGTTGAATTTTCCACATCTTTCTGAGCCCATATGAACCCTTTGAACTTCCTTAAACTATACCATGAATTTATAATTTTGAGAGTTGTTTTTTTTTTTTTTTGAAAGATGTAAAAAGTCAAACACAAGGAGGGCTAATCAAACCAAGTGCTCTTGCCGTGTCAACTGCACGAATCACTGAAATCCAACTATTTGACAAAGAATCACAAAACCCGCAGCGAAAGGTTTAAAAAGCAGTTATAAAACGTTCACACCTACAGATTAAATATTTATAAAGACCTCGGTGTCATGCAGGAGAAACAGAAACTGGTATATCAACCATCGTGACAAACTCCCAGAAGAAAACCAGTTTGATTGTAAGCACCCTGGCACTCTGTCCTTGCTTGGTCAACAACATGTTCATGTCATGCTAGTCAAGCAAAACTGATAAACAGACAAATGCATTCACATGGAATCGCACTGAACAGGCTGCATACTGATGAGAAGATACCAGTTGGAATGTAGCTGGCTCCCTCACCTGAAACCACCTTACTTTCTATTTTTGCTTAAATTTCTTTTTTAAAGTGTTTTTTACAACCTGCAAAATATATTTTTTTCCCCTAAACATCCAAAAATGTCAACTTTTATGGGCTCTGTGGTTGAATGAATCCCTGGGGGAACGATCCAGCAGCAAAGCACATGCTTGACATGTGATTTCTGCAGATTTTTTCAGTATCACTACATGAACCCACTCTTAAAATATGTCATGATCACATTTATAAAGTCTTATAAATGCATCTGTAAAGCATAATCTCTAAAAGTGGTAGTAAGCATTCATAAGTTTAGTTTGGATTCAGGTCTAATGCATTATAAACCAGTATGCCCACTGCTTATAACCCTTCATAAAAGTTACAATAAGCTGTTATTTCTCATTAGTGTTTAGATAGCTTTTTAGGATTCAAAGGAGTTTTATTTGTCATTCCAGTCTGCAAGAGAGACGAACAAAATGCGTACTGAGGTCCCAGTATCTGCCATAAGACATGTAAGACATATAAAAGAGATAATGAGTAAAAATTTAAATAAAAACTTTAAAAACTCTCAATAAAATGATAAAAGCGATTCTATTTGCAATTTACCAAATCTAAACACAGTCCACACTGGAGTACAAAGCAGCAGAGTGATAGTTGCATAAGGCTTTACAAATATGCTAATGGTGCATCGAAAGAGGTGACTTCACATTAAGGCTTCCAATAGTTCTAATATCAAGACAGTGATTAAATCTTGCATGATAGGTTTGTGGATTAAATGCATTGATGGTAGATACCTGAGTGCACTCCATCTGCACAAAGAAAATGCAAACTCTATGTGATAAACAGGTGCTTCTGTCAAGGTCTGAACCTTTAAAGGTGAAGGATATGGATGATGACTTTCCCATTATCTCTGATTTGTTTGCTAATTTGAATGACCAGGCCACCGCTGTTTTTTCTCTGTGTTTGTAGGGGTGAGTGAAACGTGCTGAGTCATTGTGACTTTTTCACTAGTCAAATATCAGGATGACATGGCGCACTGCAGTAAATTTATAAATCACCGGTGCCAAAAAATTAAGATAATATTGACAGAGTTATTATTGAAATTAATCATGTGAAGTGGACAATGTTTGCTGGAATGCCAGGGTAATTTTGAGTAAATAGGAGCAGCAGTTTCGCAATGTTAACGATAAGAAGAACTTTGGAGTGACAATTAATGCACTCTTTAAGAGACAACTAAAACATACTCTTTATTGGTCATAGTTTTGATCCAGAAGATCTTGCAGATACAGTTGCAGTTTATAAAAAGTATAACTATGTATTTGCCGTTGACCCACATTCCTTTTACAAATGGCATCAAACACTATTAATACAAAGCAAGGGAAGTGTGTGCACCTCATATCAGATTTTCAAAATGCATTTTGAAATAAGCAGGAAGGGAATAATTAGCCTTCAACGACTGAAATTCAGTTTTTAAAATGTGCAGATGTTGAATTTGAAGCCTTGTTGTTCCTAGTTTACGTAGTCGGAGAAAGGGTTAATGTGCTCAGACAGGGTGTGAACCATCTGGATTGTCTTGAGTTGCACAGCCCTGCTGATTATACAAAAATGGGATGGGGCTAAATTCCACCAATCCTGAAGGAGGAGGCCTGAGCTTGTTATAAAACCAGACACACACACAAAGTCTTGCTTCACCCCTCACTTTCTCCACCATTCATCATATCTTCTGTCAAGTGTGCCAGTTTTACTCTAAAATCATGGCCCAGAACATGACTCTGCTGTGGGGCTCTGGCTCTCCCCCCTGCTGGAGGGTGATGATTGTTCTGGAGGAGAAGAACCTGCAGGGGTACAACCAGAAACTGCTTTCCTTTGAGAAACAGGAGCACAAGTCCCAGGAAGTCATGGCCATGAATCCCAGAGGACAGGTGAGTACACCTTTAACCCTCCTTTAAATAGAAGAAGAATCAAATCTCAGCCGTTCTGGTACAAATATGCACAAACTCATATTGATTTTTGTTCTTAAATAATGCTGCTACTGAACATTTTCATTCACTCTCTCTTACTCAAAGCTTCCCGCTTTCAAAGTTGGAAATTACACTTTGAATGAATCCTATGGAGCCTGCTTATACCTGGAGGTAAGAAGTTTGTTCTTGTGAAACTTTTCTGCCTCCTTCTGGCACTAAGGGGTTAATAATTATACTCCCTGTATGCAACAATGCCCTATCAGACACCCTACACCGCAGAGGAACAGAAACCGGAGCTTCACACAGCTGCTCATAATAGTGTCTCTTTTCATGTTTCCAACAACAGGACCAGTTCAAATGCCAGGGAACCAAGCTCATCCCTGACTGTCCAGGAGAGAAGGCCAAGATGTTTCAGCGCATGTTTGAGGGTTTCACCCTTGCTGACAGAATGGGTACGTTTAATCCTGATATGTTAAGCCAAACTGTCAACACAAACTGTTCAACCTACAAATTATGGCAAAATAAACTTTCTTTAAATTTGAGCGGTTGGACTTTTAAAACCTTTCTCTCAGCGATAACTTCATGACTTCATTGATGTTGTTGTCGCTAAGAGGTCTTCCTTTTGGGATTATGTTGCTCATGGCAGCATCACAAACTGCTGTGGCACCGTCAAACCTCTGAGATTTCACGTCTTCAAGTCAGTCTCCTCAGAGAACTACCTGAGCGGTTCAAAACACATGCCACGCACTAATGAGCAGTGCAGTCACGTAATTAAGAAACATACAGTAGAACCATGCGTAAGGTCAACAATGGAGTGCACCCCGATAACAGGTAGGAATGCTGAGGGGTCACAAGTTAATCCCACGAAGGATCACATGCTGAAACAGTTTTGCAGAGAAGCTCGAGTCACGGGACAGGATAGGAGGGCAAAACTGAGAGAGAGTAGCACTCCTACGCAGTGAAAAATCCGGTTTAAGTAAAAGTAAAAGTACTCTACAAATACATGCTGCTTCAAACTGTCTTTGAAGCCCTGCAGTTTGAAACTGATGTTACGTAATAATCATCAGCCCAATTTAGGCCCCAGGCTGCAGAGGAAATGAGAACATTTAGCCGAGGCACAATGTGGGAGCGGGTGTTGTTAAATATTTAGACAGATTTTGTTGATAACTCTCTGAAACCTCCAAGAGCAGCTGTCACAACTGAATGCCTTACTTGTTTTTTTTGTTTGTTTTTTTTCAGCCAACGTTATCTACTACGACTACAAGGTCCCAGAAGCAGAGCGACATGACAGCGCCGTAAAGAGAAACAGAGAGATGCTTTCCGCTGAGCTCAAACTGTGGGAGGGGTACCTGACAAAGGTACACACACAGATTATGTCATACTGTTCCTTCAGACACTGAAAACCTCAGCTGCAGAGAGTCTTGAACAGCATCCAAGTTTAACTTGATGAAGGGTGTTTCTACTCTCACGCCCATGCAGTTAATTAGCTCTAAACAGTAGCTGGTTAGTTTACTTCAGCAGAGTACCTTGGTTCACTTGCAGATTAAATTTTAAAAAATTGAGTTTAAATGTTTTTAGAGCAAATGATTGCAGCTCTGTTCAGCAGCTGATATCATTCTTCTGGTTCTTCAGGGATGTGAGTCGTCGAAGGACTGCTGTTATCTGGCAGGAAAGGACTTTTCACTCGCGGATGCGGTTGTTTTTCCAAGCATTGCTTACGTCTTCCGCTTCGGGTACGTGTTCATAACATCTGAAAACGATCTTCCTGCTTTGAATAATTCCTGCAAGAGATAATGTGAGCTCTGTACCAATTTTTCTCCACTTTACAGGTTATGTGGGCTGAAATACCCAAAACTGGCAGCTTACTATGAGTGTCTGAAGGAACGACCCAGCATCAAAAAGACCTGGCCGCCCACCTGGAAGGAAACCCCCGGACAGGACCTTCTGAAGACCGTTTAAGAGTCAAGCACTAATCAGCTGACACACTGGACTTGCTCCTGCTGTGTGTTATGTAACCACTCCTTGCTTTGCACTACTCCGGCTGTGTGCATTTTAAAAAAATGTGCATTTGCTGTTATTGTGATAACAGTGGGTTCAGTAATTGACTCTGCGAATGAAGCTTTATATTCTGTAAACTAAAACAATAAAAATTCACTGCTCACTGGGTGCTTTACAGAGATCAGCTTGTGTTGAGTCCTTTATAGTCAAATGTGTGTGGGGTCCTCTGAAGACCAGTTTGACTGAAATATGCTTCCAAAATGGGTATTTAATGACTTTAAAGTATAGTCACTTGTTTATGAGTTAGACATCCACAGTGTAATCACCTTGTACCATCTTTCCTGCTCTCTACAGGTTCAAAAGCGGGGGTCATTTAACTCAAATGATTTTTGACGTTACTGTCCTCATTCTTTAACCTCCCTCCTGTGTTAGCTTTTACTACACACTGTCCATGTTAACGGGTCGGTTTTCAACCCGTGTCTTAAATCAGCTTCAAATTACCCTAAAAACAATTCTCTATCGTCCAGTTTGGTTTTAATCTCTAGGTTCCCTTGTAAGGCTTTTATTACCCATGAAAATAATGGTGATCAGATTTTTTGTTGTGGGCCTCTTGCCCTTTCTTTGTCAGGATACCCCTCATATCTAAACTGAACTGATCTCACATGTCTGGACATGTGGTGTCTGACAGTGTTGTTTTTTAATCTAACTGGGTCAACAGCGACCCTAACACGACAAGTGCCATAATAATTTTAATTGAGAATTTTATAATTTGGTCAATTGTATTGGGGTTTTTTTATTTTGTTGAAATAGATGTTCCTGACAAAGTCAAAAAAAAACTTTGTGGTTCTTTTAAGCATTTAAAAACAAAAAGCGGTCAGTGCAGACCCTAACACAGGAGGAAGATTAAACCTATTATTCTCGGTTTAGCCAACAGGTTATAACAAAGGACATAAGCTTGTGATATAAGTGTCACATCAAGACATAACTGAGACAGTTTTCAGGCAAAGCTTTGATAAGGTCTGTTGTTCACATGTTACTATATAGTCCTTTCCCAAAACCTAAAGAGATGGTGATGGCAAGTATAATGGTGAAAAGAAATTTATCAAGGGTTAAAATGTTGATACTATTGCCAGCTCATCAGAAAAAAAAAAAAAAACTTAAGTACTCAATGAGTGAACATTTACTGGATATTTGAGAAAAGGCATGAGTCAGCGCCGCAAATAAACAAAGAGAGAAAAAGTTGCAGACTTTGTAATTTAACATCCAACTATTGATTTTAATCTGGACTCTGACAGAGCAATTTCACCAGACACCACAGCTTTTAGCTGACTTTAGTTTTTATCAAGTGAAGCTCCTATGAGAAGACTTCAATTTATATTTATTATTCTCTGGCATCCAAAAGCAAACAAGACCATCAGCAACAACTGTGAGGTTTTTTTTCTATCTCAATTTGTATTGCCTGAAACACGTGTGAGAGGAAAGGTGTCAGCTAAGAAGTTTAGGATACGGCCCTCATTTTTACAATTTTTATGTAAATTTTCACAATGCATGATATATTTGACGTTTTTTTGTAAAAATGTCAGCTAAAATATTCACAATGCATGATAAAAAGTCTTTAAAAAGTCAGCTGATTTTTTTTTAAATAGTAAGCCATAAACATGTAGGAGTTAAGGTAAGCAAAGGCTGTCACAGCGGGCATTAACATTGACACAAACCAAAAGTTTCTAACAGGATCTTAACGTGACTTTTTACTTTAAAAGTCACTTCCTTCATTTCTGAATCAAATATGTTGCCAAACAGCACACAGAGGCGGGTTCATGTTTTTGGTGGACTTTGTGACTCAACTGGGGCACCAGCATCTTTTTTCTTTTTTTTTCACCCTTTTCTATCTGTGGTCTCTGACTCACTGCAACTCTGGCCAATCAGATATCAAGGTATCAAGGAGGGCCCAGGCTCCCACTTGCTGTATGGAGAATTTGTGTTGGTGCAAAACCTTTCAAAACAGAAGAAAAATAAAAAAAAATATATAATACAATTTAAAGTTATATAAGTGGTTATAAGAAGCTCATTTATGGTCAAGGAACTTAAAAAGAATGAGATTAAAAAACGACAGTGAGTCATAAATTTTAATCATGCAATACTAAAAAATGTTGATCAGCAAATTCTGCTGTTACGCCCACAAGTTTGTACATTTGGTTTGTTTGGTCACATAAAAGACCCTGCACAAGGGTTATGGGGAGCCAATCAAGTTGTGTGTCAACAACAAGCTGTGCAAATAGATCAGACACATAAACCCAGGGATTAAGGTACAGTTTTTCAGTCTGCCTGCAGCTACAGAAGCTCATTGTCTCTGCAGACAAGACTCAAGCTTTCCTGACCTGTTAGTGCCTCAAAAAACGGAGAAGATGGGATCGTATCTGATTTTGGTTGGTGTGCTCTCAATGTGCACCATCTGCTTCAGTCAAGGTAACATATGCATACAAAACTATATGTTTATGCACGTGTATTACACTCAGAGTATTAAGAAGTATTAAAAACCTGTAAATGTATCTATTTTCATCTCTATAGAGTGTAATACAGAGTTACTGACGAATGAGGATTTCCCGGGGACAGATATACTACACCTCTACGCTCCTGATGCCGAGCACTGTCAGCAACTCTGCACCCAGCACCACTCCTGCCAATTTTTCACCTTTCTTCGGTCAGACTGGAGCCGAGACAAAAGGTGCAAGAAAGGCAAATAAATATCAATTGAGTCATATTTGTTCCTAAAAATAAGTGAAATCATTAAAAATTTGGGCAAGTTACAAAGAATTGTAGAAAGCATACAGGATAGGCCTACTTTACCCATTTGGAAATATGCAGTTACTGTAATAACTTCCACAGCTAGTTTTTATTATGTGACTTTCATGTGAATTTCCCCCTCTTTAGTTTTCCTTATGTGTGGTTTACCTAGAATGAAATAAAAAAGAATGTTTTGTCTCCCTCTGCAGGAATTTTTACTGCTACCTAAAGTCCACCCCCTCTGGAGAGCCCAACAGCCGGACCGCACTGCTGGGCGTCACTTCAGGCTTTTCTCTGAAACCCTGCAACCAAGCCCCACCACGTAGGTGCCCAGTTATATCAGTCTGTGATCAGATGTATCGTAAATGGTGATGGATATTCACTTCACTCTTTTATCTATCTGTTTGGATGCTAGAGCCCTGTCTGTCTAATGTGTATCAAAATGTGGACTTCAATGGTGACGACTACCGCTCATTTTTCACCGGTGACCAAGAGGGGTGTCAGAGGGCGTGCACACAGGACCCCTACTGTCAGTACTTCACTTATGCCAATGATGTCCACACACCAGAAAATATCAGGTACAACAAATCACAAAAATAGACAGATATAGATTGTACACTTTGAAACCAAGAAGGGATGGAAAAGAGCCGCACATAGCTGTTATTAGGAGAATAACCAGGGAAGCCTTTACAGCTAAACACTGTAAACTTAAAAGACATACAAAAACTAGGCTTATTTAAAAGCACAAAAGAAGATTATAAATGAGAAAAGTTGAATCAATTCAATGTATGATTGACAAGTTTGTATCCCCGTGTAAAATTTCATATGTTTGCCAATAGATACCTGTGTAGTGCGAGGCCAAAACCTGGCCCTTATCCTGCCTCATACTTAAACTCCCCTGTCTATTTCCACTCTGCAATGATACCAAAACAAATAGGTTTTCAATGTGTTGCTTCCTTTGGCTTCACTGGGTTGCGCCTCTGCACCGTCTCAGCTTCAACAATCCATTTCCCTTCAGGAGTTATGCAAAGCTATACACACATCACGACGCACACACTCTGAAGAAAGATACCAATAAAACCTATGTTTCAAACCTCGGTCATTATTGTTGACAAAGGCCTTTTCAAAGGTCCAAAAGGTCAACTGTTCTCAACTGAGAGTGCAAGTCACAAATAAAGGACAAGTGATGCTAAGAGCGTTTTTGTTTCGAATAGACAAATTCGTAATGGTTTTCACAATTTAGGAGTTATGCACAAATGTATCAATAAGTTTAGCGTATCAAGTGAATTAATTTTATTTTTTGTTCTTTTTAGGTACAAGTGTCACCTCAAATTCAGCTGGCCAGTCCCCAGGACACCTATAGTTGAAAGAACAGCTGGTGTGGTGTCCGGATTCTCCAGTAAAGCACCAATGAGCCAGGTCTCTGACACAGGTACAATCAGAATCTGAAAAAATAGAAATTAAGGTCAGGAGTGTGTCCAGGAGTGTGCCCTTGGGTGGCCCAGACCCCCCTCAAGTTCTACCCCAAACTCTCAAACTATGAGAACTCTTGACACACCCCTGACACTGATCCAAAAAGAGATTTTGTATCATTTTTAATATAATTTTGTGCAGCATGTCAGGCCAAGCTCTTTCCCAACACTGCTGTCCCTGGAGACCATCTGAAAATGTTCACGACCGCCACTCCTGAACACTGTCTGTCATTATGCTCGGCTCATCCATCCTGCACTTTCTTCGCCCATAACAGGTATTGCATTTGATATATGACAATGCTCTCAGGGGAGACATATATTTATTTAGCTTTTTATTCATCTAAAATGTATTGGTGACAGGGAGATTGTGGAATTTACTTTGTTATTTTACCGAACAATATCTTAGCAAAGAAATGCTTGTGCTATGTTTTAGTTATTTTCTCCCACTCACCAGTTGGTTGTAAGAGTTTGTTCCTTTGGGTATAACTTTTTGAACTCTTCATTTGGTTTGTAATTATAAATGATGATGTGCTTTAAAATGTTTTATCTTTCTTTTAATGAATTTATTATTTCTTTGTCGTCTTAGTGGAAACTTCACTTGTAACCTGAAGAACAACCCGGATGAAATGGTGCTCAAGGCTAAAGCAGGAGTCACATCAGGGATACCTGAACGCTTCTGTCAGCTGGATAACTGTAAGTATCTCTGCTGAAGAAAAAAAGCAAAGGACCTCTGGGTCACAGGTATCAACTATTGTAAGGTGTATGAAATGATTTACTGTTTTATTTTTCTCTGTCCTTATTTGTTTTGTTATGTGAGGGGCACTCATGTTGGGCCAGTCATTGAGTTAGGTGAAAGGAGTCATTACAGAGTCAGGTGTGTGTGCTTGATTGTTCCTGATTGGGAGCAGGTGTAGGGAGCTTATTTATAGACCTTGGCTCCTGGGCTTTCTCTGTGTAGTCTGTGTCTGAATCTACTTATCTCAGAATTGAGTGAAATACCCAAACAAAAACAGAGTGAATTGTCATTTAATTCACCTATCGGCTGTATATAGAATGGACCCTGTCTGCCTCTTAGCTGGGTGAAGTCACCACGAGAACAGCACCCTCTGTTGATGGGCTGCAGTATAGGTCATAAATCTTGCCTCCTCCGGACTCCCTGAGACAATAGACCAGGGTTTGTTTTATCCGTACTCTACAGCTCCGGTGTGAATTTGACCAAAGACAGGTCCACTTTGATACTACTGTACATTGAGTGTGATCTTGATCTGTAAAATGCCATGACACAACTTTGAAACTATAAGTTAAAAACACAAAACTTGGTTGTTTGATTGATTAATAGTGGCCAGAAGTTTGAGTTAAAAAGCAGGAAGCAAGCAAGAATTATCTTTGTTTAAAACGAACTTCCATCGATGAAAAAAATTCAGAAAAAAGGAACAATAAACCACACTTTTCCCCCTAAAATTCACAGTGTGGGCAACAAATAAGCACATCCAGATTCTGTCATTATGGAAAATAATAATTACTAAGAACGAAAGCAGAAGTTTAACCTTGTTCTTCTCTGCAAACAGCTTGGCTGACGGTTCCTCAGGTGGGAATTGATTTCCGAGGTTCTGACATGCGCTTTGAGCTCATGGAGGATGCAGAGACGTGTCAGAAGACCTGCAATGAAGATGCTTACTGCCAGTTCTACACCTACGTCACTTCAGAATTTCATAACAATGACTACTGGTACAGTATTCATGCATACATACACTCAAATAATGTCTGAATGTAAAGTTAAACTTTGCTGCAATAAGAAACCTGCAAAAGTCCTACATAGGCAACTTATGCGATTCATTTTCTGACTCTAATTTAATTTCTGTCACCTCTCAGGGCTTTTCTTCAATACACAAACTATTTAATACTTTTAACATTATTATCTGACTATTTTTTGCAAAATAACTATCTTTGTTTTCTTTGTTTTCTAGGAAACGCTGCTATCTGAAGCGTGTCATCACGATGCCTTCTCCCTCTAAAATTGTTAAAACGAACAATGTCGTGTCTGGCTTCCACCTGAGGAACTGTGCTAAAGGTTCAGGAATTTAAGTACAATAAAAAGTACCAGAAATGAAACAAAACTCCTGTTTTCTTTTGGATTACTGAATGATTTTAAATGTGGGTTTTCACATAGCCTTATTTCAGTCCTACTTGAACTTAAAATCTCTTCAAGAAACATTCAGTAAGAGACCTTAAGAAAATAAATAAAATGTATGTCTGCAATGAAGTATCCTAGTACAAACATAAAATTCAACAGGGATTTGTCACTGCCAAAAAGAAATTATACAACATTTTCTAACATTCATTGCATGCCATAAAGGTATTCATATAAAAAAGTAATATATGATATAACAGCAGTCATACTAAAAATATATTATAATGAATGTAATGACAATATGCCATTTCAACATACTGTCACTATTTACACAGAGGAGTTACAGTTTTTGTACTCCCAATTGTGACATACATTTGTGTTTGTGTACATGAGCTTTTTGCAACATCTAGGCTACCTTTTAGTTACACCTGCTGTAAGTATCATAAAAATTCCATGTTGACATTTTGGCAATGATGACAGCTACTTAGACAGTCATTCAGCCCCAAAGCCACTTACAGATGTTCCCTTTTGTCCCTCATGTGTTTAAGGTTGAAACCACGGAACGTTCTCCACAAAATTAAATACCATAGTGTCCAGTATAGCAAAATAAATCCCTAATAAATTAACCAGTAAAGCTTTGGCCATCCCATTAATTATTCAACTACATCACCCATGACTTCTGATACCACACTTCAAAATACAGTAAAGCCATATTACAATATTCATGTTATTTAGCAGACAATTTTATCTGAATCAACATACATACGAGAACAAGAACAACACAAGCAAAGATCTAGACAAGAGGAAACAAGACCAGTAAGAGCAACAACATGTACATTTGGACACAGGTACTCCAAAGCAGTGTAAAAAGCAATGTACAACGGTGTATAATATATATTTTTTTCAATAAAATAAGGAAAATCAACAGTAAAGCAATCATTCAATTTAAGACCTTTCATCATCACCATCAATTCACTTGTCCCCAGCACAAAATTACCAAAGATACCAAGTGCTGGGTCACTCAAACTGTGAACATAAATTCCCAGAATAGAGCAGAACAGTGCAAGTCAACTGTAGCTGGAAGACTCATTCAACCACTGGAGACAGCAGTGGAGTTCTCTGAAGAGTTGGGTCTTTAGCTGTCTTTTGAAAGCAGAGAGGGACTCTGCAGACCTAATGGAGTTCCACCATTTAGGAACAACAGAAGAGCTCTAAGTAGTTTGAGGAGTAACTTAGTAAACTTTGATTGAGTAGTAACCATGTGCTACTACTTAATCTTAAATGAAACTCATCCTCAAACAGCATATGATATCACCTCTAACAACAGTGTAGGTACTTTTTTCAATGTAACATTTTCACTTCCTCATTTTAAGGCCTCTGGAGTTTGAATATCAACTGTCTGTGACATTCTCCAAAGCATGTTTGCCCCCTCAGTTCTTCTTCAAATTCTGCACTTGTACAGTTTAGACAGCAGAGGTCAGTAAATGTGTAGCGATAACACTGTTATCCTTCACCTTCATCCTGGAGTAATGTGAGTGTGCGTCTGTGTGTGTAGCCACTAACAACCTGAGAGGCATGTGGTGACACTAGGAAGTCAACATTAAAGTCATGAGTAAAACTAATGCAGTCAAACACAACAGTGTTAGATGGGCTAGCACATGTCTCTGTCTTGTCTTTTGAAAGTATCGACTGTTAATCTCATTCTCAAACCCCCATGTTTTGGCAACAGATCATTGCTGGACAGGTGCCAGCCAATAGTTTAATTAGTCAACAGAAAGTCACTGAAGTAGTTCAAAAGTACGAATGTGGGAATTAGAAACTGCACTTGTACATCTTACTGGGTCTGCTCTACCTCCCTAGTACTCAAAGTAATGCTCAAATAAATTTCATATAAACTGAAGGAAGAAAAAGAAGAAGAAGAGCAAAGTGTTTAAGGCTTTAATGTCATTACGACATACTGTACAACACCGCTGCTCACAGATACTCATTACCATCTGCATACAGCTGAAATACTGGGTTAGGGTTAAGTTAGAGTTAACTGTTAAATTTGTGTTGGTCTATCTACTGTTACACCAGTTTATCTGAGTTGAGCAGTGGCTGACCAAACCATACCAATAAAACTATTCTTCTTCGATATAAGTACCACCTCAAATTCTAGTCCTACTGCCAAATTTTTGTGGGGCGCTTTAAGAGGGTCCTTCCCAGACAAACTGAATGATGCAATTTTATTTCGAAATAAAGAAATAACAAGACAAAAGGGTTATAAATTTGATTTCAGTCAAGAGAAATCTTAATTAAATCCCTAACTTAGCCATAATCACTAAAATCTGTTTTTGATACTTTTAATGAATCACATCAATTAAATATGCTCCACTTCTCCACTTCTACAACCATGGCTAACCGGCTAAATTTTCCACTTCCACAAACAAATACCACCAAAAACAACATAACCCTTGCATTATAAACCAGTGCAGCTTTTCTGCTCTTAATTGGGTAACAAAAACAACAACAATAATAGAATAAAAGTAATAAATTGAATTTTATTGTCTTTTAAAAGGCTTAAGGTAATTTTACAGAATTTTAAAGGTTGGTCAAAATCTTCAATTTATGCAGAAGTTTGTTTAAATCATGACACCCATTTTTTTTTCAACTCCCTTGTTTGCATGTGTCTGTGTTCACCTGTTGTCAAAGATCCCAAGACAATCTGTATGTTCGTAATATGTATCTGTATTTAGCAGAGTAACAATACTCTGATTGACAATGTGTTCAAACAAGCTAAAAGATAAAATAGAAGTCATAAAAGGCTTGAGTTAATTTTGGCACCCCCCTGTGGAACCTCTTATCTCTAACCATGAACATCAACATTTTTCTAACCATAGAAGTGAGGTTCTCAGACAAAAACCTCACCCTGTTGTCATATAACAATAAAATGTACCACTCCATGAGAGTATTTTCTATTAACAAAGTCAACAAAGGTTGTCGCTTTGGCCTGGTATGTTCCCTATACCCTCTTACAGTAGTTTAAGGCATTAAAAACTCCAGCAGAGAAACCAACAGTCTTCTTGCTTTTGGTCTTGTGTGTTTTTAAAGGTCATAAAGAGGCATTGATATCAGTGTGAGTCCATTTCTTATTCACACCTGCGTTGTACATACAAAAGGCAGATTGTGGACTGAAGTATAACAGAGGGAGGAGGTTTATAAGGAGGTTTATAGGCATATCAGATATCACAGACATCCACATAATAATGAATGGACTTTAGTTAAATTGTTTTGTATGCATATGAAAAGTACTAATGGTGGGAAGGAGGCTTGTTAAATGATATACTACAGAATTATTCATTTACTTATTAATTTATTTATTCTTAAAGTTTCCATAGCAACTATTTGAGGAAAGTGGCACATTTGACTGTTTAATTGATTTTTTCCATTTTTATTTTATTTATTTATTTATGTATATATTTATTTTTGTTTATATTTTATATTTTTTATTTATGTATTATTATTATTATTATTATTATTATTTTTTTTTTTTTTTGGGGGGGGGGGGGGCAGAAGTGTACTTCCACATGCTGAGGACCATATTGATTTAAGGTACTTCCTTGTCCACACAGGACCAAAAATTTGACATAGGCCAAAAAGTTCCTGACAGAAGCTTTAAACTTGAGAACAAATGCAATGTCACTTGAAGTAATGTCACTAAGTATTTCAGTTGTATTTGAATAAATGTGCTTGATTTACCATTCGCATGCACACACAACAAATTGAGTTGCACAAATGTAATCCAGCAAAGATCCAGAGTAAATCACTGCTTTCCCTTTTTTAACTTCTGCTTCCTTCCTGTGTATTGAACCCTCCTCTTCCTCTTTCAGCCCTCACCACAATGTCCGTCTATTCCATGCACACTTACCCCAAATAAACACTCGCTAACACACTCTTACTTCCCTCCTTCTTTCTCCATCACTCCCTTCCCTCCTTCCTCTCTCTCCCCCCTCCGGCCTCCCCTCCCCCGTGGGAAACGTAGTGCAGTGTGACTGTGGTTGTCCTTCCTGGAAGCTGTGGTGGTGACTCTGGCTCCTCCACTCAGAGGCTAGAATAGTGCCAGTCAGCCAGTCAGCCAGCCAGCCAGCCTGTGTGCGTGTGTGTGTGTGTCTGTGTTTGTGTGTCGTCTGTGTGTATGAGAGTGAGTGTGTGTACGCATGCACCCTCCGCAAACATTCCACCACCATACCGTCCGTCCGACCGCCGGCCGGCCTTGCACGAGAGCCACGCCGCCACCGCGGTTCAGTCCTGACGCCAGCCCAGAGGACTCACATTACACGCACACACTCACACAAGACATAAACAAAACACTCACACACAAACACAGGGCAGCGAGCGCATGAGGCTGACTTGGGCAACACACAAGCACACTCACTCGAATAAACAATATGCACTTTGCGGAACACACACATTTTTGGACCACAGACCACAGACATTGCATCCTGAAGTAGATCAAAGCGTTCCCCGGCAGTAAACACACACAAGCTCTTCTCTGCTCTCTCATCCCAACTGAGCTGTTTTGGTGAAGCATGGCGAAATTAAGCTGATCTTCTTGAGAAACGACTCGCCGCGGCTGTCATTCATCATTGATAAAGGGTTTGTTTCTGCCCCCTCTAAGTGCTGGCCCTCTCTCTGTGATTCACACTCTTTCTTTTTCTGTCCTTTTAAACCTTCACAATCCCTCTCATCTCCCCTTAACCCTGTCTCCTGCCTCCCTTCTCAGCCTGTTATTGAACGTCTACGCCGAATCAGTCACCCAACCACAACCCTTCAGATCTTTTCGTCTTTGTTTTCCCCTCGCTCAGCTTCTCCATCCCTCCCTCTCGCCCTCTCGTCTTTACTGGCTGTCCATTGTTGAGGAGACAGTGGCGCAGACAAACAGGGAGAGAAGATATCCGCTGGTGTACCACAAGATTGGAGAGAAAGAATGGCAGAGAGACAGCAGAGGAGAGGAAGATACATGAACTGATATGAGGCTAAAGTTAATTACAGGGGACCGCCAATTAGAGGGCAAAGTGATGGGTCTGTTTGCCTCGCCGCGGCATCCCAAAAACATCACCAGCTCCCACCATGTTTATCCTCTGCAGCCACAAGACCACAGCTCCCATCAGCCATCAGTGGAGACAGCTCTCATACCGAGGGGGGTTACGGCTGGGGAACATGTGAGCACTGTTTGCAGACATGACTAACATGAATAATCGTGTAGCTTTCAAACGTTCCTCGATTCAAACGTCCTCATTTGCTTAAAAACGATTAAAAAAAACACACACAGAGGAAATCATTAGCAAAGGTCAAGGCACTTTGTCTTTATAGAGGTTTTTCTCAAACATTCTTCAAAAGTGGAAAATGAAATCAAAAGTATAAATGTGTCACAAAAAAACATCACAGTTAAAGATCAGTAAAAACTCTCAACGTCCATCTGTTGAGGCTTGTTTATATGGCTCTGTGGATGCTATAATATATCAAGCAAAATCATGGATGTCATTTGATTAAATCGTATTCCCTCACTGTCCTTCATATTTCCATTACACACGATTGATTGTGAATATCATATACTTCACACACAGTTTGATATGGCTTTTTAAAGTCCCTCACAAAGCAGAGACAATCATCAAAGTTAAACTTTTTTCTCTCCAAAGTATCATGTCTGCTACACGGCGCAGGTAGGAGCTTCATGTCCACTCTACAGAGTTCATTGTCAAAACAAAATAGAATAAAAAAGGAAATCAGAGTTTGCGCTCAAAAAGCTCCGATCTCTGTCCCCCATCCTTGGGCTGACTTGGCTGATCCGCTCAAGCCCCTGCGCTGGGCTGTGGGAGACCCCAGAGGTGCAAAAGGTCTGAAGGAGACCTGCTGAGGGGCGGAGGATGATGTAGTAGATGAGGAAGAGGTTGAAGAAGAGGAGGAGGAAGAGGAAGGGGTGGGAATTGGAAGAGGTGAGGCCCTGGTTGCACTGTGAGGAGAGGGTTGTGCGGGTCTGGAGGGGGCCAGGGTTGTAGACGCTGCCAGTGAGGGCATCCTGTGGACTGTGGCCAGAGCTGTGGGTGCAAGGAGCGGTGGTGCGCCCTGTGGGCAGCCGGCCAGAGGGGTTAGGCGGAGAGAGGCGGGTGATGGGTAGCTCCCCAGAAGAGCTAGGTCCCTTCGCCCGGCAGGGAAAGCAGGCGAGGGGGAGACGGGTGAGGCAGGGGAGATCTGAGGGAAGGATGCCCATGGCCAAGGAGGGAAGGGCAGAGCAGAAGCTGGCGGGGACTGCAGGAGGAGAGGGTCTAGCTCACTTGCGCAGTGGGAGAGGTGGGAGACAAGGCGGGCTCCTATTGGGTCTGGAGAGTCCCCGTCAAGGGAGCTGAGATACCGCACCACTTCTCCAACACACTCCCTGAATCCCAGGGTCCTGTAGTCGACTGCCAGAGCCCTTGCATCAAAATAACCTAAAAAAGAGAGGTAGAGAGAGAAGGGTCTTAGTTACATACCTAATATCAGCCGTGAAATACACTGTGTTGAAAGAATAGACTTGATGCTGTGAGATAAAATTTTCCCAAAGTATCAGAACTTTAAAACTGTATCGATTTATAAGAGTCCAGAGAGGTCAAAGGGTCAAATGGGTGGATATTAAAGATTTATAAAACACTTTTTAGTAAATAAAAAAAGGTAAGAAGACCGACATGAGGCAGACATTTTGAAGCAAAATAACAGGCCGAGTAATGCATGGCAGCAACAGCAAGAACATCCTTGTTCAACACCTCAGGAAGTCTGCTCTATCCAGAGGAGAACTCAATTTTTTCTATTTTTTAATCAAGTGTAAAGTCTACTTTATGTAAGGTTTTAGACATATTATGAAGGGTTTCATTTAGCAAACCATGCTCTACAGAAATTAGATGACGGGTAATATGATCATTTTCTCAAAACACAAAGATCAGAGCTCTTACCTTTCCCTCCCATGGCATGCAGGAGTTTGAGGTGGTCCACAGTCATCTGCAGAATTTCTGCTTTTTCTAGCTTAGAGGACCCCTGCAGAGAACAAAGGGGAAAATATCTCTGAAATCAGCTGCACAAACTCATATCAGTGGCGGTTTTGTGACCTTTAAGTCTCATCTCTTTCCTGATTTTCAAAAAAATAGTCTCTTTTGCCTGTCAAAGATACCACTTTCAATGGATTTTAGCTTTTAAATACATAGAAAAGTATTTTTGGTCATAGCAGCAAGTCATATTGTTGCGTATCGTTGTAAAAAAAAAAAAAAAAAAAAGTATATTTTCAAAATAATATAGGCTATAGTTTGCTTCTTTACATTAAGGCATCCATTAAGAATGTACTCTGTTTCATTCAGAATTTTTCTATTTATTAAAGATTATATTTCAGGCATTATGCTTTTATTTTGATAGGACAGAGAGACAGGAAATGTAGAAAAAAGAGGGGGAAATTCCATGCACCATGGAGGACCAGGTGTTAATCCTACAAGTGCAAGCAGGACTGCAACCCCTGTCCCACAAACTGAGTTTTACCAGCACTCTAACTTACAGTATGTTCAATAAGATGAAACCCTTTTGTCACTGAAATTGTAATTTTTTTAATTCTTCACTCCTGAGCTCTTACCTGCTTCTCAAAAGCACTGGGCACCAGCCTCCTGAGCTCAGACAGGCTATGATTGATGCGGTCTCTGCGCCTCTTCTCTATGATCTACACAGTGAGAGGAGCAGAAGGACGGTCAGGGCCAACAAAAACGACAGGACTAGAAAGATTAGGATCCAAGGCTATAATCTACTCACCCCTCTTCTCTTCTTTCGGGCCAGAATCTGCGAGGCGCTGCCAGGAGACATGGACCCGGTGACTGGGCTGCACCATGGAGACACAGAGAGAGAGAGAGAAACAGAGAGATGAGACATTGGCACAGAGGGAAACATGGTAGCTTTGATTCTCCTGCATATTGTTATTATTACCCTCCTTAATATGACACAGAGGCGGGATGGCACATCAGCTCCCTTCAATCTAATTTGTTTTTTGGGCAGAGAAAGGCAGAGGAGTGCCCGGGAGAGGAGGGAAGATGAGATTGTTTTTGGTTTAATGCGTTTCTGGACATTAGTTTCAGTAAAATGACATGCTGTTCTTCTTTCCATGTGAGTGAAAGCACTTTTAGAAAGATGATTATATAGCCTTAGGGCGATGCCTTCGCTCGCATGGGGCTCCAACATGCAGCTTGGGATCTGAGCTTCTCCGAGTACAGTCACTCAATATGGATTGTGTTTGTTTGTGAACGCTCATCTTACAGTCCTGAAAGAGCCTGACAGCTCAGAGTTCCCTTCAAACTGCCCCACCAGAGACTTATTGACTTTCTATTAGATTTGAACATGAAGGCTGCCAGTTTAGCTGTGTGTTTTTGTTTAGGTTTATGTTTGATGAGGCTGACATGAAAAGGCGGCACTGTCTTCTGGTTGCGTGTCTCACAGCAATTTGATTTATCCAAACCGTCTTTAGTGTTACTGGCTTGTTTAGAGGCTGTGATGTAACCAGCACTGCTTTGAATGTGTTTTTGTACGCTGGAGATGCGCTGTTACAAAAACACTCTTATTTCTATTCCCTTTAATCAACATTTTTACAAATCCAGAACAGGGATGTGACTAACTCAGCTTAAGTGCAAAATGGAGGGATGACACGTAAAGAGTGTGCTGTGTTCGAGTCTTTCTAATGCTTTTCAGACATTTTCACATGCAACATGTTCAACGTGATGAACTGCAGTAAAACAGCCTCCAGGATTTGGAACTGAAATCAGGTTTTTCCAGAAAAGTTTGATTAATATATCCCCAAATATTCAAAAACTTCAACACGGTTTTTGAACAGTATTTTACTAGTTTTTAAAAATCTCTGTCTGTGCTTATATTCTACAACATGCATATGACAGACAAACTAAAAATGATACTCTGATTACAGGAGAGATGAAAAGTAAAAAAATGGTTTTAACTTCTCAAAACTTCTAATGGCAGATTAATAATATTTCTAGAGTAAAAAGAAGAACCAAAGTGAACTAAAGTGTGAAATAAAAAGTGTTTACTCACTGTGTAAAATCCTAATAATTATTTCTCTTTTTCGTTCTTTGACAGTTCAGATTTTTTTTCAGCTGGACTGTCAAAGAATTTAAAACTTATTGCAGCATTGTAAAAAATACATAAAAAATAATAGAAAAATATTTATCTTTGTACATAAGACTATAAAAAACATTTTTAGATCAAAAGGTGTTTCTTAAACTAAACTGAGTTTTTTAAATTCTACTCTGAGTCCATGCTTCAGACATACCAGGCCTTGTCATTCTTAACGTTTCAGCAGTTTTATGCACTCTGTGTGCAATAACATAAAATAACATCTGCACTGACAAACAATTAAAATAATGAGCAAATAACACAAATTCAAAGATAGAGAAGAAATGCAATTCATTTCTGTGACTAACGGGGTTTGCTTCTGAAGGCCTGGAGCTCAATTTCCTCTTGACAGCTTGAGTTTTGCTCAAAGGTTGTCAAACATACAGTTAAAAAAATATTTTTGATTAAATTAAAAAAAATTTTAAATGACATGTTTTTTTAATTTTACTTCATAAGTCTGCTTCTTTTCCTACAATCTTGCATACAACCTGAATTTCATAACTTAAAGTGTAAAATGTTTAAAAGTTTTTCTGACATCTTTAAGACAGTTTAGCCTCCAGTTTCAGTCTCAGCTGTAAACCAGTTCATTCTGTTTTAAGCTGAGATCAGGAGAAGTGTAACACAAACTCAGATGTTGTTGGAGGATGCTCACCAGAAGCCGTCTTCTTGCCCCACGTCAATGAACTCGTCTGTGTCCGAGTCAGGAGAGCTGTAGTCGTGAGGTCTCTTCATGGCTCGGCTCCTTCCTCACTGGCTGGACTGACGGTCGGTCGGTCGGTTGGATGGATAGACGATTGGCCTGATGGCTTTTGACTGATCTCGTCCGCCGCTTTCTCTGGTGAGTTGAGGTAACACACTGCAGACTGTCTCTGTCCCTGTGTGCCCCTCACTCTGTCCCTCTGCGCTGTTACTTATAAAAGCCTTGTTGTCCTTAGTTACTTCTTGTCACTTGTTGTTTCTTCATGTGTCTTTTCCTCTGTGAGTCAGCAGCACCACTTGATCGACCCCCAAGGGTCCATGGCAACTAAGAAAATTCACAAGCTGCTTTAGTCTTTTACTCTATCACTGGCATCCGATCCTAGTCACTCTCTCTCACTCTCTCTCTCTCTGTCTCTCTCTCTCTCTGTTATTTCTCTCTCTCTTGGCTGCCTCTCTCTGTCACAGCCACCCAATGACAAAATAGGACTTTGGCAGTTGGGGCAGGGTTGCCAGTTTTGGCTCCCCCGCCTCTTCTCCCTGTCCCTCCTCCCTCCCTTTAATCTGGCCTTCCCTGGCTTGTCACCCTTTCCTATCTACACCCCCCTTTAGGCCCATCTTTCCACCCCGTTTGCTCAGTCATCCTCAGTCAATTAGCCTGCACTCTCATCCCGCTCTCCTTCCTTCCTTTCTCTCTATCCTCCTTTCTTTCTCTTCTCCTCCTTTAATTACTCTGTGCTGCAGAACAATGGCAAGCCAGAGGGAGGGGAGGAGAGAGGTGAGGAGTGTGGGAATGATGGAGTGTGAAAAGTGAGTGTGTGACAGTGCATAAAGCGTGACTCCCACATCATCATGCAGCTGACTTTGGAGAATGGTGTTATTGATCAAGTTTTAATAAATGACTTTGAGAGACGTACAGTCGGCTCTACGGCTGCCTGTGAAAACTCATCCATTTATCTTCAAAGAAAACCTTTTTTGTTGAAACATTGTCATACACATAATTTCACACGTCTGTACTAAATCTTTTTAAGTTTCTAAACATAAGATACACAGATGATGGTGTTATGCCCAGGCGTGTTTTCAGGATTTTCTGAACAGCTCTCTGTGAGAACTTTGGAGAACATTAGGAGAAAACATAATACATACACTTTGTCAACACTCACCTGGAAGCTGGAAAGTTGGTTGATTCAGTCATTTTGTCAGTCTTTTTTGTCAGTCTTTGTCAGTCAAACCTTATCAAAACTGTTCCTTGCTGTGTGTTGGTGTAAGGACACAAGGGCAGGTACTGAGGGGTCAAGAGAGGAATCAGCCCAGTGAGTGTCTGAACATCTGGGCTCTTCACTGGACAAGATAACGCTCTTTGTGCACTCACTCACTCACTCACTCACTGCGCACACACTCAGTTCCTTGCTACACTTAGCGCTCAGTTCCGCTACCACCGTGGGAAGATTGCTGGTGCAGATTGCCATGGAAACGAGAAGCCCAGGCGCCCGTTGTTAGAGCGATGCCTGCCTAACCGAGCAGTGTGTGCATATGTTTGTGTGAAAGGCGGAGAGAGGCCAAGTGGCATGCCCCCTTCCACACAATGCCCAGCTGAGTGTGTCTCTTCCTGCCTGGCAGACTGGAAGGGCGTGTAAGTTTAAACACACTACAATGCATGAGCGCTGGTTGTTTTTGGAAGTAAAGTGTCCTTTTTGAGCATATTTTGATCCTTTAAGTTGCAACAAGCTGTTCCTAAATCAAATTTGGTGTATCCTGATCAATTTCTCCCTCTCTCTCCAGATGTTTCTTTTTTCTTTTTTATCCTTAAAGATGAAGTCTTCCAACAGCCTTTGTTTTTCTGTTTATTTCACTTGCATTGAATTTAACCAAGCCCTGAATCTGCCTGCATTTTATTGTATCATACGTGTAAAGTAAAAAAAATCTAACTTGAAACATGTGCATGTGCGTGTGTTTGCAACATCCAAGTGTCAGTAATCAGTGTGACCATCACCAGGGGGGATTATAGTGTGGTGAGTATGAGTCAGGACAAACAGAAAAGAGAAATCCCTTTTTTTTTCCCTCCAAACAACCCCCCCTGTCTACATATTCTTTCATTACCCATCATTCCTTAATTCAGATCTGGATCTGATTTAAACATCAGAAAACAGAAAAAAAACAGAGTCTTATAGAAATGGGAAATCTATGAAGTCCGCTTTCTCCGCTGTTGTTATTTTTATCAGCCGCGCACCCTCCTCTTCTTTAAGGAACAACTTTCTCTCTCTCTCTTTATCAACATTTTTTGTAAATGAAATCACTCCGCTGTCACTCACTGTTTCTGACACACTCCCCAGTTGTTCCAGCATGAGGCGAGTTGCATGCTCAAAGTGGAAAGTAATTAAGAAGATGAATGAATAAATAAATGAGATAATTATGAAAATGCTTTTAAGTTAGGGGTGTAGAGGGAGGGCGATGGAGAAAAACATACGGGTAAGAAACATAAGAGAGAGAAAGCTGGCACTGGTTGGTGGGATGGAATTCTGGGAGATTTCTGGCGATCTTGGTCGGCCACTTCAAGTCCTCTCCCTCCCATCCCTCCAAACCACAACAAGGCAGCGTCCCTTATTGAAATTAACAAGCTCATACTTTTACAATTTGCACACACACGCACACATGCGCAGCCTGAGTATGAACGTGTGAAGGCTCAGGGACATAACGCACACATGGGACGCAAGCAGATTCATACAAGAACACACGCAATCCCTTCACATGAATGTGGACAGTGTATACCCACAATTTATAAGGAACAAACACTCGGCTGCAATTATTCCATCTGATGCATGACTATTGCTATTGTTTGAAAGTCTGTGAGATGGAACCAGCTCAGCAGGACATTTTGTTTGTGACTCTCACTGCATTTGTGTCAAACGGAATAACTGATCAGATATGTCTCACTGCGTGGTCGCCTTTGATCGTCTGCTCTCTGTTTTTTAGCAACAGAAAAAAAACATAGAAAACTCCCTTTTAACAATACTCTTTTTTTTCTGAAACAAAGATACTTCAATATGAGGAATGTGACCTGCATTCTTGTGTTGTTAGGAAGAGCTGAAAACGTAGTTTCTGACCAAGATCATTTACGCAACTGTTTGTTCAAAAACAGGCCCAGCTGACAGACTGCCAGGAAAAAGAAACTGTATTTTGTCAATATTTTTTTTTTGTTTTGTGCTTGAATATAATTTGTATTGTAGTGCTCTGGTTATGGCAGAGTTTTTATCATGCACACACTGAAAGATCAGAAGATCAGCCTTTAAACTAAAAAATAAAATAAAATAAAAGTTGGACCAAGCAGGTAAATGCTGTATCCGTGTGTACAAATACAGAGTCCTGAAACTGCTGTAGTGAAGTATTTATAATTCAATTGTATTGTACTAGCATGGTACATTTTTTTTAAGTCTCACATACACATACACTGAATTCTTGAAGGCTCTTTCAGCAGTTGTGCTGTTTATTGCTTCGACTAATGCCCACCGTGCAGTAAAGATTAAAGATGTAGTGTTCAGTGTTTAGAGGCAATTAGCAGAACAGGCTTGGTAGAAATGGGATGTGACAATAATATTTACAATTTTATTAATGTACACTTAACAGAGTGAAAAAAGGCTAATATCATGTTTTTTCTTAATAATCAAACCTTTAAAGGGACATTTCGGCAAAAATTTAAGTTATGGTCAAACACACTGTAACACTGAGTTAGATACTCCCTCAAGAGATGAATGTTGCCGACCACTTGCTTCTCTTATTATACCAATTTAAGCAACGACCACACGATAGCAATACACAGCGGTCTAAGTCGCCACATGCAAAACCTCAACCAAAACGCCACTCTATAGCCACAAATAATGCTCAGAACAGCACCCGACTTCATCAACAGAACATATAGGGTCCCAGCACATAGTACTTTAGTAGTTCGTCTGCCTTAGCGTCTCGGTCTGATTGCATTTCCATGAAGTAATAATCATAAATGTTCTTCCTTGAACTGCGAAACTTCGCTGCACTCTGTGATCGACTCGTGCGGTCGTTACTAAAGTTGGTATAACTAGAGAAGAGATCAGTCGGCAACATTCATCTCTTGAGGGGGTGTCTAACTCGGTGTAACGTTGTGTTTGACCATGACTCAAATTTACGCTAAGTTAGTGGGCTAACTTATGCAGAGGAGGACATCTTGCATCGCCATGTTTCTACAGCTGTGCAGATCAGACAAATGAGGTACGTACGCCTTTTTCCATGTAGTGTGTGAAGACATTCATGTTGAAGCTATCACCCTTTTGTTGCCACTCTTAAACCTTTCAAAACACTTTAAGACAGCTTCCACATTCTCCCCTTCACATACACATTCATGCACGTAAAGGCATTTGAAAGAAAACCTTTTATTCATGTCTGTCAATTCCCGTTTCTTTGATTTAAGGTAATATATTTATTATTTTTGTTTTTTTTTCTTTTCCTTTTCATAACTGTGACAAATTGAGAGCCAATTTTTATCCACCCAAAAATAACTCCTCTAAAGTTATCAAGCAGCATAAGTCACAATCAGATGTTTGTTCACTGTCCGTCACTCCTGCAGAGAGTCTATAAAAGGCCAACTGTGGTCAAAGAAGCTGCATGTTGCCCGGCTGTGTGCAAGTGCTCTTGACTTCCACCCAAAAAATTCAGTTGATTTCTTACTGGTATGAGTCTTTTCTGGTCGTCAGCCTGTGGCTGGGCGCTCAGTCACTCGGGTCGGGATTGGATTGGCATGGGAACTGGCACTAGAGCAGCTTGGCACTGTCCGGGCCGGACCCATGAGGGAATTATCTTCCCTTCAGACACATAAGGAATGCCTGGGACTTGCAGCACTGTCTGTCTGTGTGTCGGGGCATCTCCACGATTTACTCAGAATAACCTGGAAACAGGAGACATTCCTGAGACTGCTGGCTTTGTTCCTATAGGCTGTCTCCAGAGAGCTGCATTGTGTTTTTAATGATCTGATTGAGCTGATATGAGGTGTGAATAAACCCTCCAGTGAAACAGGAGGCGCAGGGTTAGACACAGTCAGTATATATGTTTGAGATATTGGCTGCTGTGATTTGAGGTGTGGAGAGGGCAGGAGGGCTGCAGTGATGGGTCATGCTGCCTGTCAGAGAGTGAGAGACATATCGACGGAACAGAGAGAGAGAGAGAGAGCCTCCCTCCTCATCCGGCTCCCCTCCACACAGATAAATAAAGAGGCTAAAAGCCGGAGAGAAGAAGCAGAAAGGAACTTTTGTGGCTTCCGAGTGGGGTCCCTTTCATGGCCGTTCCCACAGTACTAGGCCCATGATGACATTCACCATGTTTCACACACACACACAGGCATACACACGCTGATGGGCCCTGTGACTGCGGTGACTTTCGCTGGTGCCGGGCCCCAGACGGGACGGCGAGGGCCCCGAGAGCCACAGGCAGCCATTGTGCTGTCGCCGCGGAAACCAGTCTCTTTATGTCAGACATGTTTTTCTGTTTGTTTTCTTTTTTATGTCTTTAATGTGGGCAAGGGGGAATGTTTCCCCCACTCATCTGCTCCCCCTCCTCACTGCTCAGCGTTATTCCCCCCCAATACCCATCCTCTTCCTCCTCCTCCTCCTCCTCCTCCTCCCACCAATCCATCTACATTTGTTTCTCCTCTTCTTCTCTCTCCTCCTCTTCCACTCCCTTTCCTCCCTTATTCTGTTTCCCCCCTTTTTTCCCCCTGGAGATCGTCATTTGTAAAGCTCTTTGCTTAGACAGCCCATATCTTTGTCGCGGTGTTGTGGCCTCCCTCTCACTCAGCCCCTTTTTATCTGTGCTTCATGAGGTTTTGGCACAAACTGGCACTTTTTCTCCCTGCGCTTTAAAAAAAAAAAAATGCATGCGCACAACTCTAAAAAAACAACACAACCCATCCCTGAAAGATTTCTGCCTTTCCCACGCTGAGCCAATTTTCTTCACAAGATTAAACAAACTCCTATAGTAAGAAAATGAAAGAAAAGAGGAGGGAGGGGGCTGAAGAGAAGGAAGAAAAAAAAGAATCTGGTTATGATTGGAGTCTCAAAAAAGCCACCAGAGGATGCCCCAAAGTCCTCCAATGAGAAAAACAAACCTGAAAAAACGCCAACTGTTACTATTTTAAGTGTGGAGGAATGTCGTTTGGTGCCATGACTCAAAGGCACGCCGGCCCTCATCCGTAATCAGTTCATTCTGACTGCACTTCTCCGCCACATCACACACAGGACGCAATCTTTTATGAGCCACAGAGAGAGAGAGAGAGAGAGAGAGAGAGAGAGAGAGAGAGGAGGAGAACAGGGGGAAGTGAAAAATGAAAGAGTTCAGGGTTAATCCGCTCTGTCCCCTCTGCCATGCATGCGACTGCGCCTGATTTGAAGAGCCGGGGTTTCGAGACTCTGCTAATATTAGCCACTGTAAAACTGGTTTTGCCCACGTGTTTTGACTTGGAAGCTGTCTATAATTCAACTTTATGGAGGAGACTAATTTTTATTGCACAAAGTCATGTGATGCCTAATTCCACTATCAGCTTTCTATTTTGGTGTGAGTTGAAAGAAAAGGCAGTCAGTGTGGAAACTTGTAATTCTGATAAAAAAAGGGGGGGCTACACAGTGGCGAAGAAGTCAAAACAGAAACCAAACGCATCAGATCAGATGAAATATGAGATGTAGACTTGGGATTAATTGGATATCAGAAGTAACCTCTTGATCTGATGCTCCGTCCCTGTTTAGCGCACCACAGAAACCCCTGACTGCTGCTCCCTGACAGCCTCTCACTTCCTCAAATCCCTCCTATAACTTTACACCTCACGTTACGACCTTATCAGAGAGGCATCCTGCCGACACCTTGTTCTGACGGCAGCTCGTAAGACCCGAGGTAAGCCTCTAAAAACTGGTATAAAAACTTGCCGCCACCGCACTGCTGAGTAATTTTTAGTGTTCCCAGAAGGGGATTACAGTGAGTGTGCAAGAAAAGAAAGAGAGGCTCTGATAGAGGAAGGATGAAGGCTAGGCTGAAAATCAGCTGTATCTCCTGGGGGAGTTGGTACCTTTTATTGGTCTTAGAATTTAAGTTTTATTTCTGAGATTTCCTAGAAATGAAAAATTGACTGAACTTGATTCTGTCTGCAGTCTTGTCTCCTGACGCCGAACTCAAGTCAACATGATTCCGTGTTACTCATTTATTGAATCAGTCCATCTGATTAATGTGTTGTTGATAGAAAATGATTTTCATTTAGAGAATTTAAGTTACATAAAATCAGAATCAGGTTTATTGCTCGGCTGGTTTATACATTTCAGGAATTGATCTTGTTGTTTTTGGTGTTAAAACAGATTAACAACAAATCACACTCTAAACTTCATATCATAGCTGTTTATGCTCATACTGTATGTTATTGGATATGGATAAAAAAAACAAAAACTTTTTTTTGTCTTTGTGGAAGGCATATTGCAAATCCCTCCATCAGTGTCTTGCAACCCCCCTAAATCACAACCCATTTTGAGGATATCATAGACCCCACACAGGACAACAGATACGACAGTTTTGTTCCTATAGTGGATGGTGTACAAGAGCATGATGAACACAGCACACACCACATACTGTACATAACTTTTTTCACCTGTAGCTGTAGTCTCGACTCACAGAACCTGCAATCTTGTCAAATGAAGCCAACTTTTGATTGCTGCTTGGCTTTCTGGTACTTCCACTGCATTAGCAATTGTCCTCTTGTCATTTCAGTCACTGTCTGTTTTGTCTGTACCAGACATTTTTGAAATAATATTTTGCATCCCCTTTTTTACTTAATATTAACCAACAAAATCTCAACATTATCTGGCTGACACTCTCATGGCTGCAGTTTGTTATTTCCGGTCAGCCTTCCCCTTCAGCAGCTTCGACAGTTTATTTTGATAATGTGAAGGTATTGTTCGGATTATGAGTTGTGTCGTTTTACGATTAAAAAAAGCAGGACTTTGAATACAAATCTGGCTTTTTTGGTTTTCTGATACGGCATTTAAAGAAATAAAGAAAATTGGTTAAAAAGCAGCACTCAGAGAAGTGATGAGCCGCTGGTATCCTCTGATTCAGAAAGGTCCGAAAGGTTGTTTTCAAATCTCACAGCAGCAGCAGCTCTCTGGGGTTGTGAGGAAGGGTTGTGTCAGCTCTCTCTCCTGCTCTTAAACTCTCCCCCACTCTCCCTCTCTCTTCTTTGTGTGTTCAGTTTCAATTCTCCTCTGCAAAATCTGATTAAAAAAACATGTCATTATCACAGTCACAATCCTTCTTAGTTTAGTTTGGTTGTGTTGTCGTCTGCAGACTGGAACAGCTGATCTGTGCGCTGCAGGTGGATGTGTCACGCCAATGAACAGTTGCATATCAAGGGGGATCCCTGATGACAAATACATACGCTGAAAATTTTCAGACATTACCTACACTTACACCAGCATTGATGCTCAGGTTGGATTCTCTGACAAACTGACCCCGTCTGCATCAGTTTTCAGCTTCGATGTCAATTTTCCGTCTGGTTTCTCAACAACAAGAGCAGATGTCAGAATCTCCTGTGGATACACAAACTATTGACAAGAAGCTCATACAAAACCACTAAACAAAAGGACTATCCCTTTCATGGCTTATTGCCTGTATCCCATTTGTCCAAAAAAAGTGAAGTTTTTTTTTTGGTTCATCTGAAAATTCAGCCAAAAGGAGGCACAAAATTTCTTACACACATCTAAAAAAGGGACACACAGTAGATGTTGATGCAGAAACTGACTCGCTGCAGGGCAAACTTGTGTAATGAATTATTCCATGCGCTCTGCATGTAGCTCAAACCCAAGCACAAGCTGTCTTTCTCAGACATGAAAACTTGCTTGAGGTCACCGCTTGAGGACAACTAGCAAACTGTATATAGCACAGGAGGCTTTGATCTTGGACTTGGCTGTGGCAGAGACAGCCAGCCAGCGCTGAGGCCCTGCGCTACCGGAAGCTTGTGGTCTGGGACGGCTCCATTTACAACTCTGTTCTGGGGCTAAATATACAATAATATAAAGGTTGGCAGATTTATTTCAGACCGTTATACATTTCCTCTCCGGCGAGGGAAGAAAGGGCAGAAAAGAGACAGACGTCTTCAGATTAGCGAAGAACATTAAGTGATAATTACAGAGCGAGAAAGACAGAAAGACGAGGTTTCCCCTTCTCGCTTTTCTCTTCCTCTTCCTCTGCCACCACAGAGGAGAGTGGCGTCTCCGAACTAAAGAGGGGCGCCCACTGTATTAGACTCCCAATGATTGGCTGTGATTGCATTATCTGATCCCACGAGGGATAAAAGGACAGCAACACACTCAAACACACACCACACGCCTGCATTTCATTGCAGCGATCACTACCTCCTCAGAAGTCCAACATGGCTTCTTTAAAAAGACATTTTTAGACATGTAGGAAAATCTGATTCAAATTCAAATAGCCTTTATCTTTTCAAGTCAGTTTTATGAAACACACAAGTACACATGCACACTCACACACATTCATACCCTGTGTACTCGACTTTACCACCAGTCCACCGCACTCCTCTCAAAGCTCTTTGATCCCCGGTCGAGGGTCCTCTCCGCGGTGCCTCTGTCTGAATTCCAGAGATTCTGGGATAATTCAAACGTTTCACGGCACATACTTGGTCCCCCCAGGAGACAGTGGCGGAGATGGAAAATGCCACCACGGTCTCTCTCCCTCCATTGTCCCTACTCTTTAATCAGGCCCTCTCTGTGGCTCGCGCTGCCACCGTGGTGTGTTGTCTCAGCCTGGGAAAATGCCGGCCTAAGTGGCTGTTATGTGCAGAGGCGCAGACCACAGGGACCCAGAGGGGTGCCGCTGGAGCCCTCTGTGCCAGCCGTGGGTCTGACAGTGGCTAACACACACAATGAGTGAGGTCCCAAATCTGGATGCAGCTTTACATAACAGCCAACACTCCATTTATTTACTTTTTCGCTTCCATCAGTAAATCATATGCCCTCGTAATCATAGGCATACGCCAAAACCCAATCATAAATCATGGGTAATATCTGTTCCCTCAGGGGTTTCTGGGTTTCAACCAGCATCAAACTGCAACTAGGATAGATTGGAATTGAAGAAACTCCAGTGCTGTTTCTTGGCGACAAAAAATCTGTGGAGAGGGAGTTTCCTGACCTTTCTGTCAACAACTGACCAAAACAAAGGCCTTGTGTTACCCCGTGTCTGAGCGAGGAGAAGGTTAGGTCTACCTCAGAGTTTAAGCCACTGTCTTTGCTGTGGGATTGACTCGGTTAAGAGCAGGGCGGCTGGGTCAACCGGCGGATGGCCTGCCTTCAGCCGGACACAACGCTCCATTAGGTCAAGTTTAACAGGGCTAAGTGAAACCCTGCTGTTTTATACTGGTTTATATTTAGTGCTTATAAGCATGAATAGAGATTTTATGAGGTGCTATAAATTTCATTTTCAAAAGAGGGTGAGTATGGAGGCTCATGTACGCCTACCCTGTGGTTTCCCAAGGCCACCACGAAGCCTTTGTGTTCGCTCTGTTTGCCATGGGAAAATATCTGAAACAAATAAGTTGCTCGGCCGGCACCCATCAGCATAAAAACACTTCTAAGAGCTGTGGATTGTGCTGAGAGGGTGTGGCGCAATGTTGGAGGAACTACTTGTTTACTCTTACCATGTCCGAAAATAAAAAAAAAAGGAATTACTTTCTTACAGAAATGGAAAGCAAATAAACAAGAAACTGGAGCATGCAACATGGGCAGGCACGGGCTGTCTGCAGTCGTGCAGCTACATGATGGACTTCTGAGCGGGAGCGTGACGGTCTGAGGTTCTTCCAGAAAGTGTCATCATTACTGTCCTCTTCACTGTCACTCAGTTTGCATGGGGAAGATTAGACAGCTTGAACGCCATTGAACTCCAGGTTATAAGAAAATCCATCACAGAGTTAAACACTTTTGTTTAAGGGGAGGCGAAGATTTTAACATACTTATGGCCGTCACTGGGATGTTTTTCGGCATCAGAATTGACAGGACTTGTCAAAAAAAAAAAAAGAGCAAGAGAAGAGCGGGGAGGGCAAATGGCTATGTGGGCATACCAAACCTACAGAGTGTGCAGATGACTAATTTTTAGCATGTTTAAATGAAAGTGTTTATTTATTAGACCATAGACTGTATATACTCTGGACAACTTGGTTCCGCCTCCCGTCTGTATACGGATTTGAAGCCAAAAAGCTCTCAGTATTTCCGCTATTTTTCTTCATTTCCTTAAACCAACATTGCACAGTAGTGTTGTACGCATTTGGTGGGAGAGTTGCTGTGATGATGCTCGGCCCAAACAGCGTATCCTCCAGGTGAGCTACACAATCCCTGAACGCCAATAGGCTGTATCAGGTGTCAAAATATGAACCCCTAATAACTTTTATAAACTGAGCTTTACAGAACAAAAAAAGAGGACTTGAGCACAAACCGGTCTTACAGTAACTACATGTCAACATCGCAATCAGGGGGGAGAAAAATGTAAATTCTGTGTAATCAATTTCTAAAGTTTGTCCACAGCTCCATAAGCTTTGCTGGCAGAGGTGGATTTATGACCTATATCGCAGCCCATCAACAGAGGGTGCTGTTGTCAGAGTGGCTTCACCCAGTGAGGAGGCAGACTCTGTCCATTCTTTATACAATCTATGTATCAGACCAAAAAGGCTTGAAGACCTTGTGAAACATAAAGCTTGCATTTCCTTTACTGCATATGTAAGGCGAGAGCAAACAAAACAAAACAAAACAAACAAAAAAAGACAGTCATCTCATCTGACAAGCAAATTGTCTGCTCTGCAAAATACAAATCTCACCCTAACTCCAATGTATAACCAACCCCAGAAAAATTGAACGCAGCACAGGGTCAGGTATCCCAATCCAGGTCATAAATAACTGATTTCACTTGATTAAACTTGAATTTCATTCACTTTACAAACTGGAGCTCAAAGCTCTATCGACTTGTCAGATCATATAAACAACTGATCACCTAGCCACGTGTCAGAGATTTGTAAAGATCTTCAAAAAGGCACAGGCCTCACAAACAATCTTAGCCGAAACTGTAGTGACACTTTGACAGCTGTTAGTGTCCAAAGACATATTTCATAAGAGGAAGGACAGTATTTTTTTCTGCAGTTAAATTTATCACTCTAAAATGGTGGTCCGTAAAGTTTGACTTGTACTGAAAAAACAACAGAGAAATGTTCCTTTTATCATGCGGTCAAAAAACCAAAGGAATATCTAAGGTTGAAATTCATTCACTAGTGTTCAAGATCATTTCAGAGTAATGTTCAGCGTGCAACTATAAAAACTTTTTTTTATTTTTTGCATTTTGTTTCAGAGTACATTCATAGAAAACATCTGACCTGCATCATTTTGTAAATAAGTGGTTTTAAGGGTTTATTTTCCTGAATTCAAAATCGGAATACAAGTATTTATTCAATAGAATAGCTTAAATGAACATTTAACGAGGTCTCATAAGTAGTTTTTGCTCAGTCAACACTTCCACGAAGGTTTGTTAGGGCAGCGCACACAACTACAACATCATCAAGAAAGTCAACCTGTGACACTGGAATTCTTGTTTGCAAAATCCTGAAGTTCTTCAACCTTCTCATCACCTGTTCAATGTGTATCCTGACACAAGCTAGTTGTCTCGACGTGTCAATGGCCTGTGCGGAAAGTTGCTTTTTGCTTTTAGTAAAAGCTAAAGCTGGCTCGCGAAGGGTGGCACCACGGGCTGCGAGTTCTTCCGCACTAAGAACTCCTCTATCTGCCAAAATCTCATCATTAGATTCCAAAAGATCATAAAACCCGGACTCCTTAGTTATCCTCTTGTCAGAAACCCACCCACTCCACCCTTTTGAGAGAAATGAAATTGCTCCAGCTGGAGTGATGCCAATCAAATATTTCATGGTGTTATTGTGTTTAGAATTTGACCACGACCGGGACCTGGAGGTCATGATACTGGGTCTATTGATGGAAATCTTTGTGCGAGCTAATATACAACGGCATCTTTTGAACTTGCGGTGGAAGATTCTGGGCATACGCCTCAGTGTAGCTCCCTTACTTGGCCATGTTATAAGTGGCTTGAGTACTATGGCCAAAGCAGGTAACCAGCTCCGCAGAATTCTGGATAGAGTGGCTGTTGAGACATCAAATCTGAAGGCTAAATCAGTGTTAGTTAGGCCCTGCCTTAGTTTCATTAACACAATCAAAAGATGATCCTGTAGAGACAGGTTTGTGCTAATTGTTTTCACACTGCCGTTGATTTTGGTGCACAACCAGTCAAAGAGCACAGATGTGATTCCAGTGAAAAACAACAGCTGGACTGTGTTAATACTTGAGTAAGAAAAAGTAGATCTTTTAGTCCTCTCCTCTTTTAGTCTCTTATGTTCGTCCCGTAGCCGTTGACACTCTTCCAGCAGGTTGATGTGGTCATTCTCCAGCCGGGCGTACCTCTTGTTCAGGTCATCGTACTCTTTCTTTGTGCATGGATTGTCCTCCTTAGCTTTAGCATGAGAGAGAACAATTAGTACATTTTTATTCACAACCCTGTAAGAAAAAGGTTGGGGGTGAGTGTGACACAAATGCAGCTATTGCACACACCCCTGACAGTGTTTATAGTCGTACATGAATCAAGAGTGATGAACAGGATAGAAGGAGGAAAGATGTAATGACAAAAGGAGGACAGGAGTAACGAGAACAGGAAAAAAGGAGGAAAAAGAGGGTCGTTGGAATCAGCAAAGAAGGAGAGGAGGAGTGTTGGGTGGAGTGGAGGGGTATTAAGGGGGTTTTGTTTTTACATGGTCCAACCGTTACACAATGCAGAAGCACAGAATGACAACCGCTACACTTACCAGGACTGTGATCCATGCTGGTGACCTCTTTAGAAGGAGCAGAAGATGATGCAGAAGCATTTTGATTTGACGGAATAACCGAAGTTATTTCAGCCTCTTTCTCCTCTTGTTTCACTGAGGGCACAAAAACTGGATTCTGATTGTTCAGTGACATCTGACCTGCAATACAAGATACACATACACATATTAGCCGAAAACAGCTGCTTAAGGGTTATGAAATGCTCATGTCAGATATGGGGCAGCCAGGGCACACACCATAACAATGATGCAGGGGCGATAGCTGTCTAAGAAGTAATGTGGAAGAAACTAGTGTGCAGTAAAGCTCACTGTTGAATTAGTTACTAGCAGACATGATGGTGAAGAAGAGGTAAATTTGGTGGTAAGGGATAAGAAAAAGGGCTTGTTGGAATCAGCACAGGAGGAGAGGAGGAATGTTGGGTGGAGTGGAGGGGTATTGAGGGTTTTGTTTTTACATGGTCCAACCATTACACAATGCAGAAGCACAGAGTGACACCGGCTACACTTACCAGGACTGTGATCCATGCTGGTGACCTCTTTAGAAGGAGCAGAAGATGATGCAGAAGCATTTTGATTTGACAGAGTAACCAAAGTTATTTCAGCCTCTTTCTTTTCTTGTTTCACTGAGGGCACAAAAACTGGATTCTGGTTGTTCAGTGACATCTGACCTGCAATACAAGATACACATATTAGCCGAAAATAGCTGCTTAAGGGTTCTGAAATGCTCATGTCAGATATGGGTCAGCCAGGGCACACACCACTGCATTGATGCAGGGGCGATAGCTGTCTAAGAAGTAATGTGGAGGAAACTAGTGTGCAGTAAAGCTCACTGCTGAATTAGTTACTAGCAGACATGATGGTGAAGAAGAGGTAAATTTGGTGAAGGAGGTAAGGGATAAGGAAAAGGGCTTGTTGGAATCAGCACAGGAGGAGAGGAGGAGTGTTGGGTGGAGTGGAGGGGTATTGAGGCTTTTGTTTTTACATGGTCCAACCATTACACAATGCAGAAGGACAGAATGACACCGGCTACACTTACCAGGACTGTGATCCATGCTGGTGACCTCTTCAGAAGGAGCAGAAGATGATGCAGAAGCATTTTGATTCGGCGTAATAAGCAAAATTATTTCAGCCCGTTTCTTTTCTCTGTTGTACCAAACAAAAACAATAGTTAAATTAATTAATACTGTTCTTAACCCAAATGAATGAGCTCAAACTGTTATACAAGAAATCCAGACCCCATGTTGATTAATAGGTTCTATGGGGTTATGATTTTGTGCACAAAATGGAGAAAAACACAAATTCATACCTTATTGCTAAGTATTATACTATTATACAGACATTTATAGTTCTTACCCTTGGATCTTTGCCTCTGGGTTCTGGTTTGGTTTTGAGTGTGAAAGCACTGAGGGCACAAAAACTGGATTCTGGTTGTTCAGTGACATCTGACCTGCAATACAAGATACACATACACACATTAGCCAAAAACAGCTGCTTAAGGGTTATGAAATGCTCATGTCAGATATGGGGCAGCCAGGGTGCACACAATAACAATGATGCAGGGGCGATAGCTGTCTAAGAAGTAATATGGAAGAAACTAGTGTGCAGTGAAGCTCACTGCTGAATTAGTTACTAGCGAACAAGATGGTGAAGAGGAGTCAAATTTGGTGAAGGAGGTAAGGGATAAGGAAAAGAGGGCCAAAGGAATCAGCAAAGGAGGAGAGGAGGAGTGTTGGGTGAAGTGGAGGGGTATTAAGGGGGTTTTGTTTTTACATGGTACAACTACTACACAATGCAGAAGCACAGAATGACACCGGCCACACTTACCAGGACTGTGATCCATGCTGGTGACCTCTTTAGAAGGAGCAGAAGATGATGCAGAAGCATTTTGATTTGATGGAATAATGAAAATTATTTCAGTCTGTTTCTTTTCTCTGTCGTTCCAAACAAAAACAATAATTAAATCAATTAATACTGTTCTCAACAAATATGAATGAGCTCAGCTGTTATACAAGAGATCCAAAACCCAAGTTAAATTATCGGTTCAATGGGATAATGATTTTGTACAAAATGGAGAAAAAAACACAAATTCATACCTTATTGCTAAGTATTATACTATTATACAGACATTTATAGTTCTTACCCTTGGATCTTTGTCTCTGGGTTCTGGTTTGGTTTTGTTAATAAATACAGTGAGGGCACAAAAACTGGATTCTGGTTGTTCAGTGACATCTGACCTGCAATACAAGATACACACACACACACATATTAGCCAAAAGCAGCTGCTTAAGGGTTATGAAATGCTCGTGTCAGATATGGGGCAGCCAGGGCACACACCATAGCATTGATGATGGGGCAATAGCTGTCTAAGAAGTAATATGGAAGTAACTAGTGTGCAGTAAAGCTCACTGCTGAATTAGTTACCAGCTAACATGAGGGCGAGGAAGAGTTCATTTTGGTGAAGGAGGTTAGGAATAAGGACATGGGCAATGAGCAAAGGAGGAGGAGTGTAGGGTGGAGTGGAGGGGTACTGAGGGTTTTGTTTTTTACATGGTCCAACCATTACACAATGCAGAAGCACAGAGTGACACCGGCTACACTTACCAGGACTGTGATCCATGCTGGTGACCCCTGCAGGAGATCCGGAGGCATTTGGATTTGACGGAGAAAACACTATTCTTTCAGCCTGTTTCTCTTTTCTGACGTACGAAACAAAAACAATAATTAAATCAATTAAATGTGGGGTAGGCAGGATCTAAAAAAAATTTTGAATGTTGACTACACAGACATAACAAAACACAGCGACCAATATATCTTACCCTTGGATCTTTGCCTCTGGGTTCTGGTTTGGTGTTGTCAATAAATACAGTGAGGGCACAAAAACTGGATTCTGGTTGTTCAGTGACATCTGATCTGCAATGCAAGATACACATACACACATTAGCCAATTACAGCTGCTTAAGGGTTATGAAATGCTCATGTCAGATACTGGGCAGCCAGGGCACACACATACCAGGACTCTGATCCATGCTGGTGACCTCTTCAGAAGTTTTGGAAGCGTTTTGCTTTGGCGGAGCAACCGCTTTTCCTCCAGCCTTTTTCTCTTTTCTGTAGAATGTAACAAAAACAATAATTAATACTGTTCACAACCCAAATGAATGAGCTCAAACTGTTTTACAAGAGATTCAAACCCCATGTTAACCCATTTAAACCGGGACAGCATGTACGCATTTTAACCTTCAAATTCGGCAGCACGGATACGTCATTTAGTAACATTCTGTGGTTTTTCAATCATTTCTGAAGTCGTGGCGAATCAAGTCATCATGCCACCGTCATACTGCCTCTGATAGGCTAATAAAGCTTCATACAGTGATAGGATTTATGCTGGGATCTTACTACGTGCTTCATGAAGAAAGTAAACAATGGTGGAGGCAGAGAGCAGCTTCAGAGGAGAAGCATCCAGCAGTGTGAACAATCTCTTCATATTGAGTGTTTTGGTTCACACTATCGGCATTTTCTGTGAGTGTTGCATGAATTTGGGTGAGCACAGACATGAACACACTGTCAGCCACCTATTTATTTATTTATTACTTTTTAGAGCTGCTTTTGTATTTGTACTACACTGGGGCAGCTGCATATTCTTTCAACACTTTATTTTTTATTTTTACATTTGTATTGAATGGACACTTTATCATGACTGCCATTTGTTTGACAGAAAGCAAAATGTTTGTTATTCTCCAGTGCAGAGCATTCACTTTTATTTATACAGCCGCTTTATTTCATTTGAGTTTGTTTGTTCAAGGTTTTCAAAAATGTGATGTGAAAAGATATTTATCTTGGAAGCCACGTGTATAAGCTCTAAAATACGTTTTGAATTTTGTTTTTATCTGCTACAGAGGCTGAGATATCAGCTTTTTTGTTAACCTCAGGATCTGGGCACTCTTCTCAAAAATGCCCTCAGGATTTCAGAGGCGTGGCTCAGACAGGGTTCAGGTCTTGATGATTTGTACACAAAATGGAGAAAAAGTATTATACTATTATATATACAGACATTTATAATTCTTACCCTTGGATCTTTGCCTCTGGGTTCTGGTTTTGTGTTGTGTTTGAAAACACTGAGGGCACAAAATCAGGATCCTTGTAGTCCAGCGACATCGCACCTGCAATGCAAGAGACACATACACACATTAGCCAAATACAGCTGCTGAAGGGTTATGAAATGCTCATGTCAGATATGGGGCAGCCAGGGCACACACCATTGCATTGATGATGGGGCGATAGCTGTCTAATAGGTAATGTAGAGTGTAATGTAACAAGTGTGCAGTAAAGCTCACTGCTGAATTAGTTACCAGCTAACATGATGGTGAGGAAGAGGTAAATTTGGTGAAGGACATAAATAACATAAATAAGACAGGCTAGATGAATCGAGGTGGAGTCACATTTTTTTTGTATGACAGCATTTTTTTTTTTGTCAAAGTGGCGGTCGGATGTGGATGTGCGTGTTTATCAGCTGTCTAACTTGGCTAACAGACTGGCTGTGAGTGAGAACACTTATTACAAAGTTGACCAAGCAGTTTTACATCAGTAAGGTCCTTACACACCGGGGCCAACACAAATATAGAATGCGAAATCAGAAAATATTCAGAGGCAAATTTTGACGCGCCTGACTATAAACATCATGCGATTTTGCGACTTTCCGGGGGAGAAGGACGCATCCCGGTGGAAGACTTTTCCGGGGGAAAGTCCCGCCTCCTTCGCCTCTGATTGGCTAGAAAAGCTGGAAACGCCATCACATAAGAGCAGTGGATTAAACAGAGTGGCGACACTCCCATAGGCATACGCTGTGCAGCCCGGCGGACCCCACTTCCGGGTTATGGAACTTTCAATAGTTCCAACATGGCCGCCTGTCATGTCGGATGCCGTTAGGTAAAATGATAAAATATCAACAAGTTTAATGCCAATATGTGTGTTATTGATATCGAGGGACCCCTTTATACGTAATATGATTTTAATTTTAGTATGCCCTGATTTGACTAGTGTTGTTTGTTTTTAAAAGTCAGTGTGGTTCATCAGCTGCTACTCAACCCCCCCTAGGTGTCCCGTGAGCGTGGTCCTGAACAGGTTTTGATGCTACAGGAAGTAGCTCCATGTAGTTGAAACTGAGAACTAAAGAACTGCGCTCACAGGACTCCGCGGGCGATGGGTCGCAGCTGTTGAACCACACTGACTGTGGGGAAACAAACCCAACCCTTGTCAAATCAGGGTTAACTATTCCTTAAATCCAAATTTTTCTTTACAAATATATCAAGATGCCTGTAGAGACAACTGTGTATCATACCAAAATCATTTCTTGTACAGTAGTTGTGGTCATCGCTTGGCAAGTGAACCTCTGTTGAAGATGTGTGCCGTTCGGGAGCTCTCCCTCTCGTTGGCCATTGATGATGGCCAAATAAGGTGGGTACGGCATCATGTCTTAACCTGAGGCGTCCTTTTTTTGTAGAAATAAATTGACTGTCCTCAAAATGCACCTGCAGGGAGACTCTTAAAATCAGTGTTAAATGTACACGCAAGATAGAATTGAAATGTTGTTCTGTATGCTCTAATAAAATGACCTTATAAATTTAAACTGTTGTACGTCACATTTATAAACATTTACCTGACATATCTTTCTGCTGTTGCAATTGCCAGCCTCGACATCAAAATTTTGTATGCTGACCATTGCCAGCCATCTCTTCTGCCTCTCCTTTCCTTTTGGGAAACCATACATTCGATGGCCCCTCTCTGAGCGGTTGGTGCACCCGAATGCTGCACAGCCAACCATCACTGGTCTCTATACTGTACAATGGTAAACGTAAAAATAATTAGCTGTCAAGCCTCAAATGTTGTGTAAAAGTGGACAATATGTCCCTTAACAGTCATCCCTGAGACCTGCATTATAAATCAGAGCTGAAAAGATGAATACTTTTATAACATTGCAAGACATTCTGAAGAGCTTCTCTGTTATTCACCGCTGCTGTAGTGTGGAAATGTGGGAAAATGACATATGATTTTATTAAATGTGTTTATATGTAATGTTTTGTATGTATCTGTGATTGTCCAGTAGCATTGGTGGTAACAGTCAACTCTCACCTGTATTGACATCTTGTTTTCACACACACACACACACACACACACACACACACACACGGTTGTGACATTCATCTAACTTGCCGAAATAAAATCTCTGAATGAAAATCATAATTTATCATCATTATCCAATGTCAGAGAGTGTTCAAGAATAGCCTTATGTTGCTAAATAAGAGATCACAGGTTACGATTTGGTTCCTTATTCTCCAGTTAGTTAAGCTAGCAAAGTTTTCCCTCCAAAAACACACCCAGACAAACTTGTCTTATTTCACTTTTATTTGTCATCCAGCCACTAAATATACGTAAGTGACTTTGATGTGGACACAGTAATCCAATAAGAGTTGCAAATGTTGACTTTTTCCGGTTGATTTTAATATTTACCTCTTAAATGCGCGCTCACTGCAGTCTGTCCCGTAAAGAGCATGGACAGTGCCGGCTGCGCTTGGAACTATTGAGGGGTACATGAACCACGGGACTGCTCCAGCAGCGAGATCTGACGTTACCGCCACTCTGTTTAATCCACTGCTCTGCATCACATGCTCAAGCCAAACGGTCAGCACTTATAGCCAATCAGAGGCGAAGGAGGGCAGGACCTTCCTTTAACAACCAACAGCCTCCCTGGTGGAAGCGGGAGGACGAAAATGGAGTCTACTCCAACTTCAAGTGATGGCAAATTGGTACTCCTTTTGCTTTCTCAAAAGAAAATTAAACCCATGGGTGCATCCAATATTAAATAAAAAGAAGAGAACTTGGTGAGTTTCACTGCTTGGTTCAGGAGCTGAAACTGTACCATGGTCGCTTCAGAACCTATTTTTGGATGTCCGTTGGACAATTTGAAGTTCTGCTGAAACCATTAGCTCCAAGTTTGAAGAGGCAGAGGACTAGACACTAGACACTAGTGTTATATGGCTTTCTGTCATGACAGCATGTACTGAGTCGGGGCCATTACTAGATAAGCACATGAAACTGTGGTAACAACTGTTAGCTTACGTTAGCACAGATTACAGTTAAAACAAAAGACGTTTAGCAAACTGTGAAAGCACACAAAACATCGTCATATCAGAAATTCGACGCTATGACTCTCCCGGCCGGCCATGTTGGACATACCGGTGAATCTGACGTCGCAAAAACACGCAATCTGATTGGTCAGACGTAGACACACAGTATGCGAAACTTTAGAAAAATCAACCATGATCCGGAAAAATACATGCCGCAATATCGCAGAATGGGAAAACGTCGCTGATGTGAACGCTTGTATTGACAGGATTCGGGTTAAAAAAAAAATAAATACTGACGTCCGAGATAATCACACGACAAAAGTGGTCCCAGTGTGTAAGGACTTGAAGGAGAGGCAGAGATGCTCTTTTGTTTCAACATAACTTAACTTGCACATGTTTTCCAAGCTGTGTGGTTTGTTAAAAACATCTGAAATGTCAACATGAGGCAGAAATTTATATACATATTATTACTTTATGTTACTATAGTTAACCCTATAATAGAAATATTACTAATATAACATACATGGAATGAACGAATGTTTTATATATAAATGATTTAATATAACTGCCTTAAGCAATTTAAGGTTATTTAAATGCTACATGCACCGTGGACTGTTATGTTATGAGTGGGCGAGCTGCATGAAGCAAGATGGCCGCCATAACAATGATGCTGGGGCGATGGCTGTCTGAGAAGTGTGGAACGTGGAAAAAACTAGTGTACAGTAAAGCTCACTGCTGAATTAGTAACATGATGGTGAAGAAGAGTTCAATTTAGTGAAGGAGGTTAGGGATAAAGACAAGGGCTTGTTAGACTGCAGTAAAAAAAAAAACACGAACTTTTGCACACTAGATGTTTCCACTTCACTAATTGGCAAGTCAACGCGATGTTGTTTGTAAATCCTGCTCTTACTTCAGCATCGATCTCAGTTACTACTAGCAAACAACACAACTTTGTTACTCCACTTAACGTACATTTCATGACATCCACGTTAAAAGAAACCATACAGTCGTGATAACTTACCAGATATGAAATGAGCAGCGCAAACACGGGCATTCTTGATGATCTGTTCGTTCCAGTCTGTTCGTTTGATAGCTTCCAGCCAAAGGCCCCTTCTGTATTTCTGAAATGGCCTGTTTCCTCTTGGAATTGCATAAAATCTTAACGGCGGTCCATGAGCGGTCCGATTGGTACACCCTTTCACGCAACAGTTAGGCATATTGATATATTTTATGAAGCAAAAAACACGCAAATCCTCACATCTTTTTGTTTGAACTTCCGCTTTTTCTGCGCCGAGGACGCGCGCGCATCCTGTGATGACGTAGACGGAAAGCCGCCTCTATCGGCCTCCTATTGGACAACTCAAATGTATCACTGGTGACGATAGCGGAAGTTTCCGTGTCTTACATGGATGTGGGAGAATGAACGGTGGTTTTGTGTGATGAAAAGGGCTCTTCTTATTTACACCATAAAGCATAGGTGAGACCATCTTATACATACCTGTACCACCGTGTTTGAAAGCATGCTTCAAGGTTGCTTTTATGAATAATGTGTCGCCAACGAGCTGCTCGACGCTAATTACAGTACAAGTTAACTCGTAAGCGGTCTGATCATTTTTCCAAGATGATCATACCTTGTCTGTGTCCGAAATGGATCCCTAACCCCTATATAGGCGACTATATGGGGGTTGGCGCCATTTTAAGGGGTGTCCGAAACCTGAGTGATCAATTCCAGTGCTCCATTTTGAAGCAAACAATTGTGTGTTGTGTGATGTGGACGTTGAAAACCTGAGCCATGTTTATTTTTCTTTCACTTCACCTTACATCCCTTCTGGAGTAACATGTGGAGCTGGTTGCAGTCCAAAAACATTGACTTCCCTTTGTCAGCAGAAACTATTTTGTTTGGTGTTTTTATTGAGGATAGGAACTTGGATTTTGTTCGAAATGCTTTATTGCTTTGGGGAAGTTCTTCATTCACAAGTGTCGAGATTTTAAAACAAGACCACGCCTACCTCACTGGGAGAATGAGCTGCTACTTTTTTGTAAATCCTTAAAACTTGTTACAGACAAGAAAGCCCTACGCCTATTTTCCTTACTAGAAGTGTTCGAAATGATATAGAATGGCCTCTAACATTGAAATGATGTTGTTTTCTTTTCTTTTGATGTTATTCATGCTTAATCTAAGGCAAATATTCTATAATTTTCTTCAATGATAGATAAGTGCCTTGTTTGTTTATAAGTCAATTAAAAAAAAATCCAATGTCCCATACAGGTGACTCAAAATTTCCCATAGAGCATTGCAAAATGTAGTGACCATAGACTGTATATACTATGGACAACTTGGTTCCGCCTACCACCTGTATACGGATTTGAAGCCAAAAAGCTCTCAGTATTTCTGGGATTTTTCTTCATTTCCTGAAACCAGCGTTGCGCAGTAGCGATGCGCACATTCGCTGTGAGAGTCACTGGGATGACGCTCTGCTCAAACAACGTATCCCCCGGGAAAGCTACGCAATCACAAAATGCCAATAGGCTGTATCAGATGTCACTCATAGAAAACATGAACCCCCTAATAGCTTTTAAAAACTGAGCTGTACAGAAAAAAGAGGACTTGAGCACAAACCAGTCTTACAGTAACAACATGTCAACATCGCAATCAGGGGGGAGAAAAATGTAAATTCTGTGTAATCAATTTCTAAACCACTCTGTGGTTTGGGACGGCCTTCAATATGGCAGAGCCTCTGCGGGGACGCGCAAATGGAGGGCAAGTGTGTAGGGGGCGTTTGGGATTGGGCCGTAGTGTCTGAAACCTTCGGTGATTGAGCTCACTACATAGTCAGCTATATAGTTAAATCCCATGTGGGGGTTCGGGGTTAGGGATTGAGTGATTCATTTCGGACACAGCCCTTGTCTGTGCACAAGATAAACAGCTTGATGGGTGTGATGGACTTCGCACAATAAATGAAATTAATTGTCTGATATTAAACTGGCTGGTTCATGTGTCTTCTGGCTGTGTTCTTCTACAGATGTGATCACTTTGAGTGTGTTGCTTATCTCTTCCACTCTCTGATAGGACTCACTGAGGTGGAGACATGGAAGTGCCTTGCTACATGCCCAAACTGCTGTTTGAGCTCAATGAGCAGCGCAAACGGGACTTCTTCTGTGACTGCAGCATCCTTGTGGAGGGTCGTGTCTTCAAGGCTCATCGTAATGTACTGTTTGCAGGAAGCGGCTATTTTCGAGCTCTCCTTGTTCACTTTCTGCAGGTAAATGTCATAGAGGAGGGTGGGGTAAGTTGAGCCACCCCTGTTGTGACCAAATATGTAGGAGATGGGCATCAATTCATTCTAACCTTCACAGACTTCAAAGAGTCTGTGAAGGTTAGAAGCACATGGGTGAAGGGGTTAAACATTTATTTCTAAAAAAAAACATTTTTCACTCTTGAAAGTGAATTTAGTCTGTCATATGTTTGATAAAAAATGTGTTCGGACCAAAAAAGATCATTTTAAATTAGCTTTATACATCAACTTTGGTATCTATGAGCTACAACATGAGGTGGTTAGTAGGGCTATGGCTTAACTTACCCCATACACAGGGTAAGTTGACCATAGGAGACCACTTTTTTTGGCATGCTGTATTATCAAGACAGTTATGTTTACACTCATTCTGTTGGTTAGCAGGGAAACACAACATCTTGAAATATATGCAGATACACTAGTTAGAGACAAAACTATGATTGCCTTGATGTAGTGATCTGAAATATGAAAAATGGCTCATCTTACCCCACGCTCCCCTACTGCATTATTGCCTATTATTTTTTTGCCGAATGGCATTTGCTATTGAGACATTTCTCTCCTTTCTGACCTTATCAACAGCCCCTTCTGACTATAAGTTGCTAAATACACTTTACACTGTACCTTAAAACTGAATATGAAGGTGGGAAATTTCAGAGGATGCGAATGTGGCAGAAAAGCAAAAGCATTTTTTTTTTCATGCAGAGTTTTAGATTAGATTAGATTGTTTTTTTCCTTTATTCATCCCTCAGTGGGGAAATTAAAATTGGTAACAGCAGCAGTACACAAAACATACACATTCATACACATTCATACCGGGTACAAAAAAACAAATAAGATAGAAGAACTACAATAAAAAAAGAAAGAGCAGTACAAGGGAAGAACAGTATTAAAGATTAGTGTAAGAAAAATATAAAGGTGATGATGATGATGTGATATTGATATTGCACATGATTAATAAATAATTAGGGGTGTAGTATTGCACTTTTATTGGTGTTGGTCTGCTAGGAGCAGGCCTGGTTGTAGAGTCTGATAGCAGCAGGGAGGAAGGACCTGCAATGCCTCTCTGTGATGCATCATGGGTGAAGAAGCCCGTCGCTGAAGGAGCTTTTTTTGTGTGTTGGGCCTTAAGTATCAACAAAACAGCAATTACTAGATTGTTGACTATTAACTCGTTAATAAGGTTAGATTACTTTGCTTGTCCTTACCAATCAGGGGTCCAGTTATAATTCGTACCTTCAACTGAATTTTATTCTGCATTCCCTTAAACTTTGTTATGCCTCTTTTATCAGGATAGTGGACAGCGCTACAGCACAGCATCTTTGGACATCGTAACAGCCGATGCTTTCTCCATCATCCTGGATTTCCTTTACTCAGGCCGCCTGGCTCTGAACAGAAGGAATGTCATTGAGGTGATGTCAGCAGCTAGCTACCTTCAGATGACTGAGCTGGTCAACTTTTGTAAAGGCTACATCAGCTCATCTTTGGAAATATGCAACAAGGAGAAGGAGAAGAATGCAGCAAAGGAGCGCCAGGCTCAGGTTGGAGGGACTGGACCTGCAGACAGTGGGACTTCTGCTGCCACAGTCTCCAGTGGTGCAGCAGCTGCTGACTCACACTCACAGGCTGCAGAAGCTGATAGAGGGACAGAGTTAGGTCCGGAGTCTGTGGCCTCAGTTCCTGGTGAAACAACTCCACGCACCAGTAGAGACATGGACACTGACTACCCAACCAGAGAGGGATTTTCATCTGGTAGGGAGGGTCAGAAGGTACACCCAGATCAGACTAACCTTTCATCTTCTTCATCATCTATACTAACCCCAGAGTTAGTGAATCCTAAGATAGAGTATGACCCTGATGAGGAGCTTATGGAGTCCCCTGACCCCAAAGACCTGACCTCATATCCTGGAACCTCACTCCATAACTCCCATCATGGCAGGCTACTGCCTCCCTCTCCCTCCAGCGACCGCTCTTCTATGGGATACAGCTCCTCTTTTAATGCTAGGCAGCTGATGGAGATGCTGGCCAGAGGTGAGGGCTCCAGTCCTCTAGGAGACAGAGTGGGACAGCGCTTTAGCCAGGGTCTAAGTAGTAGCACGGGAGGAGGCAGAATGGATGAAGGTTTAGGGTTTGTTGGGTCATCGATCATGGAAATTCAGACTGACTGGCTTGGAGAAGATACAGGTAATGAGCAGGTCACACAGGAGAACATATGTATCTCCCTTGGTGTAAAAATTGTCTAATAGGAAGACTGAGCAGCAGATTTTGCAGTGGTATCCTGCTGCAGCATAGCTAAATGTTTGGCTCATTTCTCCCCCCTGCAGGTGATGGCTTGGTAGTGCCAGTGAAACTCCATAAGTGCCCTTTCTGCCCGTACACTGCCAAGCAGAAAGGGATCATGAAGAGACACATCCGCTGCCACACAGGAGAGAGGCCCTTTCCCTGTCCCATGTGCGGCAAGAGGTTCACAAGACAGGAGCACCTCCGCAGCCATGCGCTCAGTGTAAGATCTGCAATTACGATCTGCAGGATCATCAGCTTATTTCTTTTTTTTTGCAGCTGGTTTGTGCTATCTGATCTGCATTTCACAACTGGATGATTTGAAGAAGTTGTTTTTAAAAACGCGTGTTAGGAAGTCATGTGGCTGGTATAAAAGTAGCAGCAGGCTAATGCTGAATCCATCCACCTCAATATCATCAAGAGCTGAAACTAGGTATAGCAACATCACTGGATAACCATGCAAGTTAATGAAGATATTTTTTTCAAATTTTATAGTCATTTAAAAAAAGTTACAGTCAAAAAGGTCCTTTAAGTTTTACGTATAATGTCAATTTGTGATTATTATTGTTTGTGACAGTAATTAATAGTGAGCTTTATGGCAGTAAATGCTTAGAAAATATGGTAATGTATTGAAAAATGTCTTCAGGGACGTTATTATTACTTTTCATCACACAAATTTTAACATGTATCTATGAATTACAATGACCGGGGGACTTTCTCACGTCTTGTTGTCGCCCATAAGCCACTCATTGTCCTTTTTCTCCATCTTAGAAGAATCATATGGTTATAATAGCCTATCATTAAAATATAATAGTCATTACTAGGAACAGTTGGTCGTAAGCTGTGAACTGTAATTAGCTGCCTCATTCTCTATTGATTGTTGTGAAATCTGGCTCTGTCACTAATGCTTGTGTTTTGTAAGTAAGTCCAGTAAAATATGTCCTAATAGACTTAATGAAAGACAATGAGTGTTTTTTTTTCATAGACACAAGACCAACTCATGGCATGAATTGATTTTGATGAGTCAGAGAAATCTAATTTTAAGGCAAAAAAATGTATGTGTCTAGTTTCTTGAAATAAGAGTTAAGTTGAATAGTTTGGATTATATCTGTGTTTTTTTTTAATCTTATGATACTGCCTGTCTAAAATGAACTACATGTCTGTGTTTACATTTTAACAGGTCCACAGGCACTACTGGCCAGTGTCCTGTAAGAGCTGCAGACGAACCTTCACCGGATCTAGCCTGACACCGGGACTTAGACGCTTTGGACTATGTGACAGCTGCAACTGTGTGACCACCACTCATGATGATTCAGTCCCCGTTCACCCCGCCAGCCAACCAGAGCCCATGGAGCGTGCAGACGGGGGAACGGATTGGTCCAGTTTTATGGATGATGTAGACGAGGTCGAGGTTGGCAGAGTGGAGGACTTGGTTGAGAAGCAGATCCTTGAAAGGCAGCTGGTTGCTTGTACTGATGTCGATCACACACTGTGAATCTCTAGATCAGAGGAAAAAAAATCCCTGCAAATGTTGTACCGTCCCATTATTGATACACGAGAAGAAGTCATTTGTTTACGTATTTGTGGTGAAAAACATACCCTCTTCACTGCTGAAGATATCCTGATTTGCTTTGTAGCACAGATGTTTTTTTTTCTTTCAATTTTTTAATTGATTTAACCAGAATTGTTGTTTTTCTTTCTGTCTGTGTCTTTGGGTTGTTCTGTATATAAAGGTGATCTGTTAAAGCAGCTTGTTTTCATGAGTTATTTTGTCCAGAAAGACAACATTCCCCCTGGTAAAACATACATGAACGAAAAGGGAGCCTTTGTGGGTCTTCTTGCAACAAATGTGTGGAGTAACCAAGAATGTACTCCCTTAAAACTTACTTTTTTGTTGTTTATATTGGCACTTTTACATGCATGGCATAATTTGAATGTAACGTTAAGTGTCGTTTGGCGCCCTCTAGTGGTTGAGCTCTCAAATGAGGTGACGTTTGTTTAGTCTGTCAGACATGTGCGTTCAATAGACTTGCTTACCCTGTTCAAAAAACATGGTGTTTTTGTATTTACCCAAAAACCTTCTCCTCCAAATCATATTTCATAAAATTGACTAAGTCTAGTTCGCTGAATAAAACAGTCTGATCTGCGGGATATTTTATGTTTATAAGCAGTGGAGCACGAGAGAACGACAACAATGTAAGCCCCTCCCACATCATCACTCAGGTGTCTTTAGAACCGTTGTCACGGACAGGTAAAGGCTCACTACCTTGTTTTGCAACAAAGCTGCATTGTGCTTCCTCAAACGGGGGTCATGTCTACCTCACTGCTGTCTTCTGGTATTATATCCTCCATTTGTTTGATTTCCGTTCTTCTTTTTGGAACTGGATGTTCAGTTCGTTACACTCCGGACTGGACCAGTCTAGATGCTCGACCCCTGCCCCCGTGGTTCGACGAGGCGAAGATCGGGATTTTCGTCCATTGGGGGGTATTTTCAGTCCCAGGCTATGGGCAGTTTAGCGAGTGGTTGTGGTGCTGGTGGAAGAACAAGAAACGTTTGGACATTGTAGATTTCATGCGTAAGAACTACCCACCTGGTTTTAAATACGCAGACTTTGCGCCTCAATTTCGTGCGGAGTTTTTCAACCCGGCAGACTGGGCTGATATATTTGCAGCCTCCGGAGCCAGGTATGATGACAGTCTCTTTTCTTCTCTTAAGAATGTGCACAAACTTGCTGAAGGCTTTTTGTCTGAAAAATGTTTCTACCAAAACCCCCTTTTCTCTTCCTTGTAACAACATGTTCAGGGGCCTCTTTTTGTGTTTGCTGTCTGTTTAGATATGTAGTGTTCACATCCAAACACCATGAAGGGTTCACAAACTGGCCCTCAGCCACCTCCTGGAACTGGAACTCAGTGGATGTGGGTCCTCACCGGGATCTGGTGGGAGAGTTGGGTGCAGCAGTGAGGAAGAGGTAAGGAGATAAGAGGGGTGCAGCACTCTGTAGAAAATCTAAAGGGCCGTGGTGCAACTTTAGATGGGAAGTAAAGCAGGGAACTAGTATAAGATAACTGGTTTAAAGGGATATTCCAGCGTAAAATTAATTTAGACCGTAGACACCCACTCAAGAAATGAATATCTATAGCCACAAATAGTGCTCAGAACAGCACCTAACTTCATCAACAGTACATATAGGGTCCCAGCCACAGCACTAGCCACCAAACATCTTTTTAACTTTGCCTGATTTCTTTAGCAAAGAGACTAAACACAACTCACCTACTGTCTTCCAGCAGCCGCTTGTTTGTAGCAAGACCTCAGGCCAGTCTATTACAGACTGCTGCGGGGTGACGCAGCTCAAGGAAGAACATTTATGATCATTTCGTCATGGAAATGCAATCAGACCGAGACGCTGAGGCAGAAGAACTACGGTGTCTGCAGTGTAAAATGATTATCATGCAGTTATTATTAAAGTTGGTACAACTAGAGAAGCAAGTGGTTGGCAACATTCATCTCTCGAGAAACTCTGTGCTATGGTGTGTTTGACCCTAAATTAATTTTGCGCTGGAATATCCCTTTAAGTAATTTCTGGAAATATATTGATTTTATGGTTAATGGATCATATTTGCCATACTTATTTTTCTCATCCCTCAGGTCACTGCACTGGGGTCTCTACCACTCTTTCTATGAATGGTTCCATCCCCTTTACTTGTCCGACCAAGCCTCTGGATATAAGACTCAGGATTTTGTCGCCCTTAAGGCTCTTCCTGAGTTATACGATCTCGTGATGCGGTACAAACCAGAACTTATCTGGTCAGATGGGGACTGGGAAGCACCTGATAGCTACTGGAACTCCACCCAGTTTTTGGCCTGGCTGTATAATGACAGCCCAGTCAAGGTAAGCTTTCCCTATAGCAAGCTTGCTTTGCCACATTCCATAAGCATGATGCAGAATCATCCATAATGCAAATGTGCTGAAACTCCAAGTTCATTCATTTTTAGTTTTGTAAACATATAAAATGGAGTTTCCTCTTTGAAGAAAATATTGTTTCTGAGGATGATTATTTGTGTTTCTGCAGGATGTGGTGGTCGTAAATGACAGATGGGGTAAAGGTTGTTACTGCAAACATGGAGGCTACTACAACTGTGCAGACAGGTACACACCTGGTAAGCTTCCCGATCACAAATGGGAGAAGTGCCAGTCCATTGACAAACGCTCCTGGGGCTACAGAAGAAACATGAAGCTGAGCGAGACCATGGACCTGCCATCCATCATCAAGGTGACAGGTCACATTTGATAGACGATGCAGATGAGTGTATGTGTAGACATCTTGAAATTCCTGCTCGTGTTAACCTTGCATAGTTTTTCTTCAGGACATGATGTACGTGGTAGCACTGGGAGGTAACTACCTGCTGAACATTGGGCCCATGTCAGATGGCATGATTGCCCCTGTGTTTGAGGAGCGGCTGAGGGGACTTGGAGCCTGGTTAAAGGTCAATGGTGAGGCCATCTATTCAACCAAACCTTGGAGAGTGCAGACAGAGAACAGTACCGTCAGTGTCTGGTGAGACTCATTTTGATCAACTCTTTCATTTATGTATTTTTATACAATTTTTTGAAACAGGCAATATCAGGAGATATTGGTATTAAAACTGTTGTTATTATTATTTGACTTAAATACCACATTAACACCTCCACTTCTTTCCACTCTTCCTTGTATGAGTCTTGTACACATATAGGGTAGCAGAGTGCATGCTGTAGTTTGACCCCTGCCTGTTTGCTCTGATTGTAGGTACACCTCCAAAAACAGCACAGTTTATGCCGTAATACTCAGCTGGCCATCCAAACTACTATTTCAGCTCCTAACACCAAAGACATCCGAGACCACAAAGGTAAGCCGCCGCACACCTTAATGCCAAAAATCTCTTGTTTTCTTCATTTGTCTCTCCAAAAGCTCAACAAACCATCCTTTATATCCACAGGTTACACTGCTAGACTATCCTGATTTACCACTAAAGTGGGCACCTGCAGCTGAAACAACAGGACTTCAGATTCTCATGCCTGCAATGCCTGTTTCACATGGGAATGCATGGACTCTGAAACTGGAGGGAGTGGTCTAACACCTGAGAGTTTGAACATAAAGAAGAACAGGTAGTTTTAGTTCAAGAGTGAATGCTGTTGGTTTTATTTTGCAAATTAGGCAGACAGACCGGATTTGGGTTCAATGTGATTTATTGAGCACTGTGAACTGAAAAGATAAAGAAGCTCTTTATGTCAGTCAGTGTTGAGAGTCATTGATTCCTTGTGGTAATATTTGTTGGTATTGAAATGTGCTTCTCTGTAAGGCATGTTACATAAAACATATTTGGAAACCTCCAGAAAATATATTAAACCTGTAAAGTTTTGGTGGATGGGTATCTTTCTTTGACAACAATAAGGAAGCCTCTTGAGTAGAGGCATGTTTGCAGGTTTTTTACAGTGCTGAGTACCTCTGTTGTGCAAGAGTTTTGTCCTTCACTTTTCTAGAGGTGCTCATTGACAAAAAAAGGGCGATTTTTTTTTTCTACACTTACACAGACTTTCCTTTTATGTTGCATCACTGTTACATAAATCCACTATTGATGACCATGTGTATAAAATGAACATCATACATCTCATTATGTTGACTCATTGTCTCTGGAATTCATACAGTCTTTTGTTTGAGGTCTTGGCAACAACTTGCCTAACCATATACTAGCTTTACTCTTTTTATACCTCAACATCCATATGTTTTTACACATTTTTCTGTTTGGTGTTGCTATTTTATTAAAGTTTCTTCAAACAGGAGCCCTGCTGTTCACTTGTTTTATTTTCTTTGTGCCTTTTTTGAGTTAATATTATAATGTATCAAAACAATCTCCTTGTTGACTTACTCTGCAGCAAACCTGTGTCTAATACACAGTCCTACTCATGGGAGTGACTGTCTTCAAAACCTTCGCATTAAAAAAACACATTTTTGTAGCCAAATCTTCCAGCACAAGCCATGGTCTGCAGAGAGCTTCCAAAGCATCAGAGGGATCTCATTATTCAAAGATATCAGTCAGGTGAGGGCTACAAAAGAATTTCCAAGAAATTACATATACCATGGAACACAGTAAAGACCGTCATCATCAAGTGGAGAAAATATGGCAATGGTGACATTACCAAGAACAGAACGTCCGTCCAAATTTGGTGATAAGACAAGAAGAAAACTGGTCAGGGAGGCTACCAAGAGGCCGACAGCAACACTGAAGGAGCTGCAGGAATTTCTGGTAAGTACTGGCTGTGTAGTACATGTGACAACAATCTCCCGCTGTCTTTATATGTCTGGGCCATGGTGTAGGGTGGCAAGACAGAAGCCTTATCTTACAAAGCAAAACATAAAAGCCTGGCTTAATTTCACAAAAAGACATCTGAAATCTCCCAAACACGTGGGAAAATGTGTTATGGTCTGATAGAACCAAAGTTGAACTTTTTGGGCATCATTGCAAAAGGTATATTTGACGCAAAATCAACACTGCTCATCACCAAAAGAACTCCATACCCACAGTAAAGCATGGTGGTGGCAGCATCATGCTTTGGGGCTGTTTTTTCTTCAGCTGGAACTGGTGCCTTAGTCAGGGTGGAGGGAATTATGAACAGTTCCAAATACCAGTCAGTGTTGGCACAAAACCTTCGGCCTTCTGCTAGAAAGCTGAAGATAAAGAGGAACTTCATCTTTCAGCACAACAATGACCCAAAGCACACATCTAAATCAACAAAAGAATGATTTCACCGGAACAAGATTGAGACTTTGGAATGGCCATTGACCAAAAACAGGAAAAGTAAGATTTGATTTTATGTTAGATGGTGAGGAAAAAAAAAGGTTATGTGCCTTTTTATATAGTGTATGTAAACTTCTGGTTTCAACTGTATGTATAGGCATACATCTTTTTTTTCCTGCTTAATTTCCTGTGCCACACTCCAATCCAGTAGAGTGCGGTAATGCTCCCTAAGTTGGTTGCCAACCGCCAATAAAAGGAAGAAGAAGAAGACCCTTCAAATAGTCAATAAGAAACACGCTGTTTTGTGGCATTTGTGCAAAGCTGAAGAGGAAAGAACATTTATTTGAAAGAGCGTGAGTCTCTCAAACATACCCTACATGGGGAAATCGCAGGATTTGACCGAGTTTGAGCGGGGTATGATAGTGGGAGCGAGGAGATCCGGCTGCAGTGTCTCAATGACTGTGAAGCGGCTGGGCTTTGCCAAGACTACCGTGTCCCGGGTTTACCGGGAATGGCTTGGGAAACAGAAAACCTCGAGCCAGCGTGGGTCGAGTGGGAGAAAACGGCTCGTGGATGACATCGGAGAGAGGAAGCTGGAGCAAGTGGTGGAGGAGAACCGGCATGCTACCATAGCGCAGATCCAGGCTTTGTACAACAAAACCGGACCAAAGAAGCCCATCTCACACAAAACCACCCAGAGGGCCCTGAAGAGGCTGGGGTACAGCTGCAGGTCTCAGCAGAGGGAGGATGTTACTCTGGCCCTGGCCGGGTTGGAGGCGCTGGCTGCGTTCAATTCCAAGCAGCCTGAGACCTCCGAAGAGCCTGTGTGCAACAAAAATGAACCAAGTCCAAAAGTCAAGGCCTCACTAGACTCCAGTGATGGTGTGAAAGGATGAAAGTCCATGTACAGACTCAGGAGACAGGAGAATGAACACCTTTGATACCTGTCCTCCTTGGAGTGTAAGGACATGGACGTGGAAACTTGGTCAAATGTGGTTCATTGAATGATGCTGCCCTGCACAATAGGTTACACACAGAATCACATTGTTGCCTCCATGTGGAAAAAAACACACAGAGAAATAGACAATTTTTGTTTTCTTAAGTATCTGGATCAAGCCCACCTGGAGGGTTTTTTTTTTCACTTTACTTGGGCTTGCCCCAGCCCCTTTCCTGACACCTGTCCTGTGTAAATAGAGCGATAAAAATTTATATGAAAGATGTAAAACTTCTGTTTTCGTATGTTGCTTTCAGGGAAAGTAAGTTTTATGTAACTGTCATTTTTTAAGTCATTTTTGTACTGGGTAATTTTACCTCTGGCTGCTTAAAGATGTTTGTAATTGGTTATGAAACGGGTGGAATTTTTTTTTTTTATTCTCATGACCAAATAAATTGAATTTCCTTTTTGGGATCAATGAAGTTTTTATTTTATCTAAAGGCAAATGAGCAACAAGATTGACAGTTCCTTGAGCCGCTGTTAAAGGGGAGTTGTGAGACCAGATGACTGTAGCATGCTGAAGAAACAGCCCCTCTGTATTTTCAACTGCAAATATTCACAATGTGTGTTTGACTTTTAAGGAAAGCAAGGTGAGATTTGTAGTCAGAAAGTGCTATCTGACATGTTCATGACAAGGCCAATCAAGTATTGTATTGTGCTGCGTTTTAATTTTTGGACATGGAAACAATCAGTCATAATACCAATACTAAAACCAGGTAAAGATTCATCTAATCTCTCCAGCTACAGACCCATCGCATTAACATCGCAGTTAGGGAAAACTATGGAACGATTGGTAACAGAGAGACTGTCATATTTTCTTGAGAGCAAAAACATTCTCTCAAATCATCAAAGTAGATTCCGAAGAGGAAGAGGGACAATGGATAATGTGTTATGTTTAGAGTCAGAAATAAGGAAAGCCCAGACCAATAGAGAAATGGTGATTGCAGTATTTTTTGATATTGAGAAAGCATACAATATGTTATGGAAGGAGGGACTACTCATCAAACTTACTAGATTAGGTGTAAATGGAAAACTATACAACTGGATATTAGATTTCATGGTAGGAAGAACAATAGAAGTGAAAGTGGGTTCAGAATATTCTAAAACATATCAAGTAGAGAATGGAATACCACAGGGAAGTGTCTGCAGTCCAATCTTGTTTAATATCATGATCAATGACATTTTTGAGCAGGTTGAAAGAGGTATAGGAAAGTCGCTGTATGCTGATGATGGGGCATTATGGATAAGGGGGAGGAATATTACATATATACAAAAGAAACTCCAGGCAGCAATTATGACAGTGGAACAATGGGCAGATGAATGGGGCTTTAAGTTTTCTGTTGCAAAAACACAAGGAATATGCTTTTCTCAACGACACAAAGAAATCTCCCTGAAATTATATAGCCAAAAAATAGAGCAGGTCAGTGTTGTTAGACTGCTTGGAATGTGGATGGATGAAAGGCTGACTTGGAGGCAACACATAGACAAAGTGAGAGATAAATGTAAAAGAGTCAATAATCTTTTAAGATGCCTCTCAGGAAGACACTGGGGTGCAACCAGAGCATCACTGATAAATATTTATCAAGCCATTATGAGAGCAACACTAGATTATGGTTGTATAGGCTATCTAGCAGCAGCAGAAAGTCACCTGAAAAAGCTGGATGTACAGCAGACACAGGGACTAAGGATATGCAGTGGAGCTTTTAAATCCTCTCCAGTAGCATCCATACAAATAGAAACGGGGGAACAACCATTACGCATCAGGAGAATGAAACTTATGTTAGCTTACTGGGTCAATCTTCAAGGGCATAGTACTTCACATCCCGCTAAAGCCATCCTGGAGGACTGTTGGGAACATAATGAATCAAATATTAGGAGTTTTGGCTGGATAGGAAACATAAAAGCAGTACAAGCAGGATTAGGTGGCATACAATTCAGTCCGACGGTCCCATATTCAATTACTCCTCCCTGGTTATTCATAGAACCATCAGTAAACTTTAAATTACAGCAACAACTGGAAAAAAGGAATAGGCAGGTCTCTGCGGGAGGAGTAGCTGTAAGGTACCTAGAACAACATTTTTCAGATAAAATATGGATTTTCACAGATGGATCAAAAGACCCTGATACTGGAAGAACAGGACCTGCAGTTCTCATTCCACACTACAAAACACATATCAAGAAAAGAACCACAGACCATCTATCAGTATATACAGTTGAGCTAGTTGCTATAATCTTAGGTTTGGAATGGATAGAAGCAAACAATCAAAACAATACACTAATAGCATCAGACAGTTGGGCAGCTCTTACAAGCATCAAAACCATGAAGTCATGTAGGCAAGAACTCATATATAAAATACACAATCTACTTTATACAATTTACAAGAGGGGTTTATCAGTGTGTTTTATTTGGGTTCCTGCCCATGTAGGTATAGAAGGGAATGAAGAAGTTGATTTTCTGGCCAAACAAACACTCAAATCACACAATGTAAATACAGAAATTCCGTTAAGTAAGGCAGAGGGTAAATCACTAATCAAAAAACATATGAAGAAAGTATGGCAAGAATACTGGAACATTCAAGATACGGGAAGACATCTTTATAACATACAGGAAAAAGTTGGGTTGGGAAGAAGAAGGGGCAGGAACCGGAGGGAAGAAACAATCATCACATGTCTGAGGATAGGACACACAGGACTGAATAACACACTGTATAAGATAGGAAAACACCCAGATGGCAGGTGTGACAAATGTGGACAGGCTGAGACTGTCCAGCATGTGTTGTTAGATTGTAGAGGATATGTGGAGCAAAGGAGGATACTGGCAGCAGCAGTGCAGGAAACCAGGATGGCACTTAGCATGGGGAATCTACTAAGTTCAGAATCAGAAATTGTAATCAAGCATCTAATGGCATATTTGAAAACCTCGGGGCTACTGGAGAGGATCTAATTCCTTTTTTTTTTTTAATCATTTTTTTCTGTCTACCAATTTACTGCTCCACACTCCAGTCCAGTAGGTGGCGGTAATGCACCTTCTCGTTGGTTTGCCAACCGCCAATAAACACCATAGAAGAAGAAGAAGAAGTTTGTTCAGCTTTGGGTCCGCCATCTTTGCGCTGCATCTGGGTACTCTTGAATAAGAAACACGCTGTTTTATGGCATTTGTGCAAAGCTGAGGAGGAAAAAACATTTATTTGAAAGAGCGTAAGTCACTCAAACTCACCCTACATGGGGAAATCGCAGGATTTGACCGAGTTTGAGCGGGGTATGATAGTGGGAGCGAGGAGATCCGGCTGCAGTGTCTCAGTGACTGTGAAGCGGCTGGGCTTTGCCAAGACTACCGTGTCCCGGGTTTACCGGGAATGGCTTGGGAAACAGAAAACCTCGAGCCAGCGTGGTTCGAGTGGGAGAAAACGGCTCGTGGATGACATTGGAGAGAGGAAGCTGGAGCAAGTGGTGGAGGAGAACCCACATGCTACCATAGCGCAGATCCAGGCTTTGTACAACAAAACCGGACCAAAGAAGCCCATCTCACACAAAACCACCCAGAGGGCCCTGAAGAAGCTCGGGTACAGCTGCAGGTCTCAGCAGGGGGAGGATGTTACTCTGGCCCTGGCCGGGTTGGAGGCTCTGGCTGCGTTCAATTCCAAGCAGCCTGAGACCTCCGAAGAGCCTGTGTGTAACAAAAATGAACCAAGTCCAAAAGTTAAGGCCTCACTAGACTCCAGTGATGGTGTGAAAGGATGAAAGTCCATGTACAGACTCAGGAGACAGGAGAATGAACACCTTTGATACCTGTCCTCCTTGGAGTGTAAGGACATGAACGTGGAAACTTGGTCAAATGTGGTTCTTAAGAGTTGCTCATTGAATGATGCTGCCCTGCACAATAGGTTACACACAGAATCACATTGTTGCCTCCATGTGAAAAAAAAAAACACAGAGAAATAGACAAAGCTTGTTTTGAGCAAACAAGTGTTTTTGTTTTCTTAAGTATCTGGATCAAGCCCACCTGAGTTTTTTTGTTTTTCACTTCGCCCGGCCTTGTCCCAGCCCCTTTCCTGACGCCTGTCCTGTGTAAATAGAGCAATAAAAATTTATATGAAAGATGTAAAACTTCTGTTTTCGTATGTTGCTTTCAGGGAAAGTAAGTTTTATGTAACTGTCATTTTTTAAGTCATTTTTGTACTGGGTAATTTTACCTCTGGCTGCTTAAAGATGTTTGTAATTGGTTATGAAACGGGTGGAATTTTTTTTTTTTATTCTCATGACCAAATAAATTGAATTTCCTTTTTGGGATCAATGAAGTTTTTATTTTATCTAAAGGCAAATGAGCAACAAGATTGACAGTTCCTTGAGCTGCTGTTAAAGGGGAGTTGTGAGACCAGATGACTGTAGCATGCTGAAGAAACAGCCCCTCTGTATTTTCAACTGCAAATATTCACAATGTGTGTTTGACTTTTAAGGAAAGCAAGGTGAGATTTGTAGTCAGAAAGTGCTATCTGACATGTTCATGACAAGGCCAATCAAGTATTGTATTGTGCTGCGTTTTAATTTTTTTTTACTGGAAACTGCAACTACTGTACAGCCGTGGCCAAAAGTTTTGAGAATGACACAAATATTAATTTTCACAAAATCTGCTGCTTCAGTTTTTTATGATGGCAATATGCATATACTCCAGAATGTTATGAGGAGTGATCAGATTAAATGCAATCAATTGCAAAGTCCCTCTTTGCCATGAAAATGAACTTAATCCCCAAAAAACCTTTCCACTGCATTTCAGACCTGCTACAAAAGGATCAGCTGACATAATTTTAGTGATTCTCTCATTAACACAGGAGAGAGTGTTAATGAGGACAAGGCTGGAGATCAATCTGTTTTACTAATTGAGTAATAATAACAGACTGGATTCTTTAAAAGGAGGGTGGTGCTCGAAATCATCGTTCTTCCTCTGTTAACCATGGTTATCTGCAAGGAAACATGTGCAGTCATTATTGCTTTGCACAAAAAGGGCTTCACAGGGAAGGATATTGCTGCTAGTAAGGTTGCACCTAAAACTATCATTTATCAGATTATCAAGACGAGAGGTTCAGTTATTGTGAGGAAGGCTTCAGGGCGCCGAAGAAAGTCCATCAAGAGCCAGGACTGTCTCAGCTGCAGGATCGGGGGCACCACCAGTGCAGAGCTTGCTCAGGAATGGCAGCAAGCCGGTGTGAGTACATCTACATGCACTGTGAGGCGAAGACTTTTGGAGGAAGGCCTGGTGTCAAGAAGGGCAGCAAAGAAGACAATTCTCTCCAGAAAAAAAACCCATAAGGGACAGACTGATATTCTGCAAAAGTACAGGGATTGGACTCCTGAGGACTGGGGTAAAGTCATCTTTTTTCCCGATTGTTTGGAGCATTTGGACATAAGCTTGTTTTAAAAAGAAAAGGTTAGCGCTACCATCAGCCCTGTGTCATGACAGCAGTATTCATGCTAGGGGTTGCTTCTCAGTCGAGGGAGTGGGCTCACTCACAAGTTTGTCCAAGAACACAGTCATGAATAAAGAACGGTACCAAAACATCCTTGGAGAGCAACTTCTCCCAACCATCCGAGATCAGTTTGGTGACGAACAAATGCCTTTTCCAGCATGATGGAACGCCTTGCCATGAGGCAAAAGTGATAACTAAAAAATTTTGGGTCTATGGCCAGGAACCTCCCCAGACCAATCCTATTGAGAACTTGTGGTCAATCCTCAAGACGTGGGTGGACCAACAAAAACTTACAAATTGACACTTGTGAAATGCTTGTAATTATACTTGAGTATAACATAGAAACATCCGACAATAAGATTTTTAAACACTGAAGCAGCAGACTTTGTGAAAATGAATATTTGTGTCATTCTCAAAACTTTTGGCTGTACTGTATATTCATTGCCAGAGCCAAAACTCCGTAACGAAAGGTGGCGGTAATGCCCAAAAAAGACGGATGCCAAACACTGTTAAACAAGAAGAAGAAGAAAATACAGCAGTTGATCACGTGACCGTCCATATGATAATATTCACATGATCCGAAATCTTTTATCCGAGGGGGCCCTCAAAGAGTGAGTTTTCCCTCTGATGCAGCTTCAAGCAGTGGATTAATCTTATTTCTCCAGTCTCTGTAGACGACAGTACGCCTCGCTGCTTGACATAGACTCCTTTTAGCACCAGGCTGTACCCACACGCAGAGGTAGTAGACAGGAAAGCCCCTCGTTATTATGTTATCAGTTGTTGTTCTCGTCGTTGCTCTCATTTCTCAGACAGCTGCTCGGTATACCGCGGACTGGAAGAGTTTGGACTCCAGGCCCCTGCCTTCATGGTACGACCAGGCTAGAGTTGGGATTTTCGTCCACTGGGGTGTGTATTCTGTACCCGGCTTTGGGAGCGAGTGGTTCTGGTGGCACTGGCAGGGTCAGCGACCCCCGGACCCCAAGTATGTGAACTTCATGTTAAAGAACTACCCACCAGGGTTCACCTATCCAGAGTTTGCTCCCCAGTTTCGGGCTCAATTCTTCAACCCAAGGGAGTGGGCAGACATATTCAAGTCTTCAGGTGCCAAGTGAGTGTGTCTTTTCAGCCTACCTTTTCTGACAGCTTCACTCCCAGGTATGGAAATCAATGTCATGCTGAGTGACTTACTTATTAATATCATTACAGGTATGTCGTCCTGACTGCAAAGCACCATGAAGGATTCACGAACTGGGGCTCCCCGAACTCCTGGAACTGGAATTCAGTAGACACAGGTCCTCGCAGAGACCTGGTGGGGGAGCTGGGGGAGGCAGTGAGGAACAGGTGAGCCCTGAAATTTCATCATTTAAAAATGGAAAAATGAGAAGGACTAGATCAGCTTTTGACTTCATCTAACACCTTCATATAACAGAAGTTTCAATGTGTCAATAAATGCTTTATTTTGTCATGTATGTATAAAAAAATCAAGAAAATGTAAGAATATTGAGGTGTAAAAAGCTGCTGACATGAAGAGGTAAATGCATGAGAGTTTTAGGACTTGTACTATTCATGTGACTTTTAAACTAACCCCCCTAAACCCCCCGCCCCCTCACCCCCAGACCCTGCTTTGTGAAGATTTTGGCTGCGCTCCAGTGCTTTTAATCTCATACTATTCAGTGTGAATAAGGAAAAGATTAGATGGGCTATAAAAACACAGGAGACAAAAAAAGTACCATGATATCTACAACACTTGGCCTCTGTATAACCAGTAAGCTGACATGTTTTCTTAAATCAGACTCCTTAATCTCTCGCACAGTTGAACATGTGCCTTGTCAAAGTGCTGAAGGAGCACAGACAGACCCACGGTTCTAACCCGTTTGCCTGTACAGTGGGCGGTTAAAGATGTGTAAGAATGTCAGATCATGGTGCAGCTGTTTCCCAGCACATTTGGTAACTGTTTGGTTTGATTTAAAAGTGAATTAGGGATGCAATGATTCACTGAAACAGGTGTTTTTAGGTGGTGTACTGGTGATGGTAGTGCTGTGACATTAAAAAACAGGTTCTTATCTCTGTCCAGGTCGATACACTTTGGACTCTACAACTCCTTGTATGAGTGGTTTCACCCTCTGTACCTAAAGGACAAGAAAAATGGATTTAAGACCCAGGAGTTTGTGATGCACAAACTACTCCCGGAGCTTTATAACATGGTTGTCAGGTCTGTACTGCTACATTACTCTATCAAACAGGTGCAATAAAAAGATGTTAAATCATGCTGTAAAAACAGACGACTCACTCTATGTCATTACAAACGTGGATCTTTTTGTTGCTTTGCAGGTACAAACCAGATCTTATCTGGTCTGATGGGGACTGGGAGGCACCTGACATCTACTGGAACTCAACTGTATTCCTATCCTGGCTTTACAATGAGAGCCCTGTCAAAGTAGGTTTTCATTTTTATTTGTTAAATTCTATTTCAGGGCAGTGCACAAGCAGCCTGCTCCCAAAACCAAATAGTAGATTAAGTTCTTGATCACTGAAAACAATTAATATAATAATCTTATGAGTAAAACAGCCGGGGTAAACAAAGTATGTAACAACAAAGAAAAGAAACTAAATCTTCTTTAAATACTTGTGCAATCCTTCATAAAACAGACCAAATCTGAAGAGTTGATTATCCTGACTCTCTAATTTCAGTTAATTTTCAATCCCCACTAACCCTCAACGATTGAAACATAAATCTGACACTCATGATCCAAACAAACTCATAACAGATTAGGTTAAAAAGAGTTTTTGAAGGCTACAAAACCAACACAAAAAATTGTTTATTTTCATCTATGAGCTAAACACCCCCACCCCCCTGAAACTAAACTCCACAACCTTAGATTCTCCACACCACAGATATTTTACCACTCAGAAACAGCCAAAAGCAGCATTACGACTTTAGTTGTATTTGTTTGTCAGATTTGCTTCCGGCCCATTTCACCAAAAAGAACTCTGAGACCTTATGGTCATGGTCTCCAGGGCTGATCAAGAACCCACTGGGCAAACCTTTTGTTTCTATAATCTACTCAACTCCAACAGGCTGCTAGAGGAACTCGAGACAAAATAGACTGTTGAAGTGAAGTCAAGGCTTATTTTTCTTTGCAGTTTCTGTTTGAGTTTTTAATGTTTATTCCAACAAGGATTGTCAAAGCCATCAGTCTGGCCCTGCTTAGTTTGTTTACAAGTCTATGTATAACCTTTTACACTGGAGTTGAAACGAGATTTATGACTTATTCTGCATGTTTGCATTGACTTACCAGTTTCTTTCTCTGTATTAGGATAAAGTTGTGACCAATGACAGATGGGGAGCTGGCTGCGCCTGTAAACATGGAGGCTACTATAACTGCGAGGACAAATTCACACCAGGCCAAGTGCCCAAACACAAGTGGGAGAAGTGCACCTCCATTGACACACTGTCCTGGGGTCACCGCAAGAACATGAAATTGAGTGAACTGATGGACCTTCCCACTATCATCAAGGTAAAGACATACTGCTACATTGGCTGTGTCCACTTGTGTTTTTGACCCTCAAAAATATACAATAAAAGGGTAATGTCTGTTTTTTGTAAACAAATTACAGGATCTAATCCGCACTGTCTCTTATGGAGGTAACTACCTCCTGAATGTGGGTCCCACACCTGAGGGGATGATCCCTCCAGTATTCGAAGAGAGGCTTAGGGGGCTTGGAGCCTGGCTTAAGGTCAACGGCGAGGCCATCTACAGCTCCAAACCTTGGAGGTTGCAGAATGAGAACACCACTTCATCAATCTGGTAAGAAAATGTGAGTCCACTGCAGACATCAGTCTGTGGTGTGTTAAATTTTGTCACTGATATGTCAAAGCATTTCAGTATAGAGGAAAGGGATAAGTGGTGCTTTTCTATTTACTTTGAACCCTGTTTTTTGAGAGTTAAGCATTAGTAGCTTGAGTTATTCTGCACTTACGTTTTGATTTCCTCAGTCATATGAAAGAGTTTGACAAAGAGAGTAAAGAGTGTATTAAGTGTTCCTGGAGATGTGTTGTTACTTCTGTCCAATTTCCTGAAATTAAGATTAATAACTCAATTATGTCTTCCATCAGGTATACATGTAAAGGAAACTCTGTCTATGCCATCATGACGACCAAACCTCCAAAGGCCTCAGTGCAACTGCTGGAACCAATAACAAAAGCAACCACGACGGTAAAGGATCTTAAGATCATGATGCTAATGCTTTTTTTATTCAGAGGTACTTGTTGCTCTTTCCAATATGTAGCCCTATGAAATGTAATCTCTGTCTCCTGTCCAGGTGACCCTGTTGGGGAATCCAAAGCCCTTACCCTGGTCTCCAGTCAACCCAAATGCTGGTCTAACTGTTCTTCTGCCTGATCTGCCTAGCATCCCTGGTATGGCTTGGACTCTTAAACTAGACAATATCCAGTGAGCCCTCGACTCCTTAAACATTCAACCTTCACCGTGTTAAATATTCAGAATGTGTTCAACTCAGGATTTGCGTCACATCAGTAGGTGAAGGCGAGAAGTATGCACTTTGATTGAAGGGCCGGCACTTTTGTAATGATTTAGTATATTAGAAACTTCTTTTCAGTGATTTCTTTGTAGCTCCGATGACTGAAGGTTTAACGTTTCACTGACTCTTAGTTGTGTTTAATGGATGTAACAGAGATGATTGCTTTTTCATGTGTTTTGTTTGAAATGAGAAAATTGACATACAAAGCACAATTTATTTTTTTACTGAATGCTTTTAAATAATCGAATAAAAGATGATTTAACATGAATGCTACATTGTGCTTGAGGTTTGTGTAATTTTAATCTGCTCAGGGAAAAGTAACACAAGTACTTTATAATAGTGAATAGTAAACTGGTATGACATGGCATCGTTAAAAGTTACTCTGCAGCTTTCCAGAACTTTCTTAAATGCCTTAGAATTTCATTATTCATTCATATGCTATACAAAGATTCAACTATCTCTCTGACTTTTAGCTGCCACCTGAGGCCACTGCTGCATGTTTTTAAACCTCAGCAGGACACTTGATTTCAGCTGCGTCAGTCTGCCAATGTGAGCACTGCCCTCTCCAGCAGTTACTCTGTAAATGGATAAAAATAACTCCTTAATGTACCAGTTGAAGTCTGGGCCTGACTGTAAGGAGGATACCTGGAGCGATTGTGCATTAGACGCAGAGTGACTCTGCTAAATTGTTCTCTGTCCTCTGACAGCTTGGAGGAATTTGCAATGCAAATCCTTCACCGGTTAGAAGAAACAGCAAAGAAAAATGGAAATCCTCTTTGGAAAATCTGTCTCATTGACCTCTGTTTTGCATTTTTGATGAATGCTGCTGAGGTAGGCATGTCTGCACTGCTCTACAAAGTCATTTATCATTGGATTCAGGCTTAAATGATTTAATCACCTCAGGGGTATGGATAGGGAAAAACTTAAGAGACCACTTTGTAGGATTTAGAGGCTGGTAAAGCCTTGTCTTTACCAGCTTGTGAGCAGTATGGTTGTGTGTGAAGAAAAAAAAACAAATCTGTAACAAACTTTTAACATTTTGTGGATTTTTATGACTGAAAGTGCAGAATTGAATAAGTCGATTAACACCACACTTAAGTTTGTTATTGAGAATAATGCTGCAATCAGTCATGGGTTAGCTTAGCTTTAAGGCAGCAAACTAGTAAAAAGACTAGATTAGTCCCAAAACAACAAAATCTCCCTCACAACTCCTAAATCCCTATAAATCATGCAGTAATATAATATACTTTGCCATTGTACAATGTGGGGGTCATGTGCTGGAATGTCACACTGGTTAGACTCTGTGACTGAATGTGGTGAATGTGTTGTCTTTGTCGCCTTGGTTACTTCAGGCTTTTGTCTTGTTAAAATTTATGAATCAGGATTAGACCATTCAACTTTTTAAGAGCGCCCATCAAATTTGGATCTTAACTTGAAGACTTATGAACTATTTAAAATGTTCATAATAGAAAACCAACTAAAGATTGAGCACAGTTTTGTTCCTTAACTTTAAATTTGATCATTTATTGTGTCATCAAAGTTGTTCGATTTCAACACTTTTTCAAAATGATTTCTTTGACTTGTAGGTTTTAGGGACTTGGTTTAAAACGACTGAAAGGCTGCTGCATTTTCCCTGTGAAATAAGAAGGAAATGGTCGAGTCAGGAAACCATCACAAAAGAAAGACAAAGGAGACACAGCACCCTTTGTTTAACTCGCTAAAATAGCTTTATAATAATCATATTAATAGTAATAATAGCCATTAGAAAATGTTTCGACAACGTTGACAGTGTTACATTCTGTGTTGGGGTAAACCACGTCACAGTGTGCCATCTCTCTGGGCTTCAGCTCTATCAGACGTGCTCCTTTGACACATCTAGATCCAGAAAACGTACAAGAGCCATAAATAAATTTGTATGTACAGAATGAGAACCACAACACAACAAACAGAATCATGATTAACACTTCACTGTGCAAAACCCTCCTCTGCAGTCATGCATCCTGTGTGTCCACTGGTGGCAATATGAAAACAAAGTTCATATCTTATGGCATCACTATTGCTATTTGCTCCAGTCAGTTCTTCTTAAAGGAGAGAAACAAAAGCATTTCATGTTTGTATGTACAGTATGCTGTCTTGGCACTGAATCAAATGTATAAAACAAAAGAAGTCAAGAATAAAGCTGAGCTTAAAGACAGAAAAGCTCGCCGTATCAAACCCGTCTGATTCAAAATCATGGTGTTCAGTGAAGAGAGAGAGAGGGATAGAGAGGTGGAAAAGGAAGAGAGGTGGAGAGAGAAGTGGGATGAGGGGCTATATATTGTTTTTGCTACATTATAGAGTAAAACTAGGAGAGAGTAGAGTTTGTATCAGTTTGATGTCCGTGTAGTTTTTCTTCTCTGGCAGAACTGAGAGTTCAGAGCGGAATAAATGCAAAGAAAGTTTGGATCTTCCATTCTGTTCAGTGCTTTCCTCTAGAGATGATCTCCTACTCCTCATGGTGAGTATCCATCACTGATCCCAGAGAAAAATGTCCTCCCAGAGTTTTTGTTGGTTTTCATGTTTTCTCTTTCCATCTCGTTAGTAGCAGCGATTTAAGACTTGTCATCATTTATTAAACTAATTTTTTTTTGTTCGTGTTCACATGACTCACCCTTGAATACAGAACAATGTTTACCCATAGCTAAAACTGACAACACCATTTCTAATAATGAGACTGATGGTAATAATTAATCCCTTTAATGACAATTAATCATAGAATAATCATATTGTAGTAAGAATATATGTAATATTGAGAAGAGCAATGTCCATTGGCAACAGGTATTTACAGTTTTGTAAACTCGAGTGGCAGGTTATTATTTTTGTGAATTACACAGTAATTGCTCAGTTGTCTCTGGCCCCCTTAATTACCTTGTGTGTGTGTGTGTGTGTACTGTAAAGCAACATTTTCGTGTAAGTAAACACACACTGTTTCACACACACACATATATAGGTTATCTCCTGGGCTTTGAGCTACTCTTGAGGCAGAGGGAAGTAAAACCTTAACAGGAGAACCAAAATCAAGCAGCAAGCAATTTAAAGATTTTCCTCAGAACCCTATTTTGATCATATATTTGTTTTATCCTTTTATCTGTGGGGAACTTTTGGTTTGTGTTAATTTTGGCGCCCCCTGTGGACAAAGCAGTTTTCACATATATAGACCTCTACATGCTAATAAGTAGCGTCCTGCTGATTTTGCTTAATTCAGTGAAATCAACCTCACTGCTCACTGAGCTCACCTAACTCCATCATAGTTAAGGATGATATTCAGATAATGCTAACCCTACTTTTTATTTTGTTTAGGGTGACCATACGTCCTCTTTCACCCAGACATGTCCTATTTTTTGAGGGCTGTCCGGGCTTGTCCGGTTTTGTCCGGGGAAGTTTATAAAATCCCTCAAATGTCCCCGGTTTTGTATGTAAGTTTTGATTTTGTGTTTCGTGGACTTACTGAGTTAGGGGCATGTAAAAAACACTTGATCCGATCCAAAAAACTCTTGAAATTAACTTTTTGCAACTCCATGACTTCTCCCCTGCCTAGTCGTGTCATCTTTTTGGGAAGTCAGAATAGGGTCACCCTACTTATGTTGCTAGCTACTCAACAGCACACAACTGCCGAATCTTAGAGTGACTTATGGTGAATTATTTGTCAAAAAGTCACATGGTTGTTTCCCAGTATTTTTCTTATTTTACTGTGTGTTTGAAACACCAAAGGGGGAAATGGATTAACAGCTCGGATTCAGTGACCCCTACTATTAGCTGTATTTGCTAACACTAGCTTCTTGGCTTCTCCTGCTGAGGTTGAACTCTACTGTTGACTTCCTCCAGAGCAGCTCTGCCTGTCAGAAATATCTGTATAACTCTAACTCAAATCTGCCGCTACAGCGTTCTACCAACTCCACATTGTTACAAATGCAAAGTGTACAGCACACACACATTGGCTACAATTCAACTCTTGCATTGCCACTTCTTTTTACTGCAATTCTCCCTTCTTCCAAAATGGCTACTAGAAAATCTGGGCTCAAAGGATTTCCAGTTTCATTCAGAAAATATGAACAACATTCCTGTGGTTCCAGTCCTGTGTTTTCAGGGTCCATCGCTTTTGTAGAGTAAATAGAATCCCCTGAGGACAGAGGCCTGGGTCGGGGTTGGAGACACTGCTGCTAGAAACTGAGGTACTCAGAGTTGACTTGTCCGTCTGGCTGTCCACGAAGGGTTTTTGCACTTCTAGAAAGAGGTGAAAGGGTTCATAGAGTAAGTGTAACTTGAGTGGTGGTAGGTGCTCAGATGTTCATACAACTATACAGCCAGGTGCAACATCAAGCAGAGGCTCCAGTATTTAGACTGTGAAGGAAAGTACAGACGGATCAGTATAATTCAGAACAAAAAGAATGAATGTCCCTCCACCAGAAAGTGTGTTTGCTGTGGACCTGTTTCAAGGCAAGGTGGCTGGCTAACACCTCAACTTGTGATTAAAAGGATAGAAGAGAAAGTCTTGAGGAAGGTGAAGTTGCTACGGTGGATAAAGGTCCGACAAAGCCTCTTTAAATCCTGGAGTCCCGCAAGGCCGACTTGTAATGGAAAGAGCTTGCCATCCCTCTGCGTGTAGGTATGAGGATTGTGAGGGTGGAGTTCGAGAGGCCTTCACAGTGGAGTAACAGTATAAAAGCAGGTCTTTGTGCTTTGTTTGATGAGGGCTGTGTCACGAACTGTAGAGATGCCGTCGGGTTCGAAGGTAACAGAGGAGGAGGATGAGGGACTAAAAGAGGCTGCTCGGCAACCCACGCTGCTACAAATGAATAAAACATTACGCCTGATTCTCAGCCCTTTTCTAATCACTGTCAGGGCGGCTTGTTTAACACGGAGTTGTCGAAATTGATCCGTTAAGTCCCAAATTGAAACATGGATTGCTGTTTTCAGGTTGCCAGTATCATTGTCCTCAAAGGGTTGAATCTTTATACAAAGAAGTGACTCGCTGAAATAACCGCACTGTAAAATTGTCAAATTTTTTTTTCAATCACAAAAAAGTTTTGTCGTCTACAAAATTTGTTTTCTTTCCAGTCAAAAATGAGATTCTTCTGATTTTTTTTTTTTTTTCCTCAAAGGAGTTTGACAGAAAACATGCAGTATCAACACCAACAAATTCTTCCAGTCGTGTATTGCAAGTGTGAGTGAGGGAGACAAAAAGTGGCATGTAAGTACAATAAAAACATTTTCTTTAACAATAATCTC